CAGGAGTCCAGGGTCTTTCATTGTAGGCTGTTCGGCCAGCCCTTAGACCTAGTAGGAGCTTCTCCTTTTGGGAGACCTCTATTCAAGGGACACCTCCATTCAGGGGACACAAAATTTGGTCCTGGAAAAATGTTCACATAATCTTTGTCTTTGTTACCTCTATTGAAGGGACACCTTGGACACTTTTTCTGATTCCAGAAACATGGTTTTAACTTCCATTTAGGGGACACCTTAAATGTAGCAATCAAAAAGTGACTGACCACAAAAATCGTTGATAAGTTTAATTGTTTACTAGTCTGAATGACGACAGCTTTCAAAACATTAAATCAATGTACTGCCCTTGTGGGAATTCAACACACAATTGCAACATCGCAGAGATAAAGATTATCATGATTTTTTATGCATTGTCTAGCTGCTTGAAATAATGACTGCACTAGATTCCATAGCCTACAGGAGCAGATGCCTTTTTCGGCTAAAATAATAATATTAATTTTATTTGTTGGTTAATAATTAACAAACCCCAGCCCAACTGCCATTCAGGGGACACTTGTCTTAGTCCCAAGGGTGTCCGCCCTGAATAGAGGTTTCACTGTACTGTTTCCATAGCGAACAATCCCCACAACCCATCCATAAGCCCCCATGCAAGGCATCCAGGCCCCCATGACCCTGTTCAGTAGCACAAATAGGGAGGGAAGGGTAGGGAGAGAGCAATCAAAATCCTGGCAAGCAGGCACTACAAAATCAAAACACATGAAATTCCTGTTAAATTTTTCATGGTAAATTCACAGCATTTTCACAGGTTTTTCAAAGAATTTTCATGGGAAAATCACAAGGTTTTTTCTTGGTTTTTAGCCATGAGAAAGCCTTGAAAATTCCATGGAAAAAAACCATGAAAAAGCTTTGAAAACTTCCATATTCATGGCCCATGAATTGTCCTACCCACACAGAAGATAATGAAATTTCCAGGAAATTAAGTTCATGGGATGTTTATGACATTTGAAAAACCCATGAATTGAATGGCAAGTTTTTTCATGGTGTTTCACTTTAGATAGATAATTCATGGAAAATTTATGGTCCTGAACCAAGGCCATGAAATTGACAATTGCAATATTCTTGACCATGAAAAAAGATTCATGGGTTTTTCGTGAATATTTCATGGGATTTTCATCAAAGTCACGTTGGTAGTGCTAGCCCAGCCTGTCTTCTCATATACATATAAACACAATGAATTTGAAATTAGATATTGAGCCAAGCTAGCCTGGTAAAGTGGACCAGTCCAGGCTCTAAATGAAACAAAGAGGATCAGACCCATTCAAAAAGAATTATCAGCAACAACACTTGGGTAATGGCTTATTTTTAGACCAAACTGAGGCCTGAAGGGCTGAAAAATATTTTTTTTGAGACCGGCTCTCCCCCCACCCACCCTATACTGAACGTCTGGATGTGCCTCTGGGTTGTTTACCCTTTGTAAAAGGTTTCCAGAAAATCCGGTTTTAATGTAAATGAAACACAACTGTTTAGGTTGTTGTAGCGGGAAATTAATTTCCGGGGAGCATTGAAACAATCTGTAAAGGTGTTTTTCTGGATAGAATATTTCAAATGGAAATGTGTGTTCCATAAGTGAAAATGGGATCTTTGATACCAGTTTCAGGCTTCTGTGGCCTATTTTAGGTAAAGGGAACTGATTTCTGCAAATGGTAAATTTACTAATCCTGAAGTTTGCTTACCATTTGCCCAAACCATAAACCGACTGGTTTGCCCCTGTAAATGGTAAACAACCTTCAATTTGATGATCATTTGATTTCTGTGGTAAATAAAAAATATACTATGTAGCATACCCTCTGCTGATCACCATGGCAGGGCCCTGTTTTACCGATTAATTCTTTCTTAACCTGTAGATCTATGGAGCAGCAGTGACATTTTTTGAAGTTTTACAAGAGGAGCAACTTACAGAAGAAAGGAAAAATGCTTTGCATTTGAATGAGGATGAGGTGAACTAGTGAATTCTCATGAGCATGCAGCCAGTGATACTTTGAAAATCATAATTCCTCTGACTGTTAGCCATTATAAGTGATGCAGAACAGAAAGCAAACATTCCTTGCACCTATAGCGAAAACTATCAATTTATCTTGCAATTTTTCTCAGAGCTGGAAAGTAGCGCACACAAACAAGTGCATCTGTGTGTTGTCTCACTGGCCATTTTTTGAAGCCTTCAAGAAGTTTTTATCGCAGTTGTATCGCATTTCTGTATCAGCACAGCCACTTCCAATTGAAAGGTAATGTTAATATGAGAGTCAGTGGAAGATGTGAAATTTTTTCATCACTGTTTACCATAATATGTTGTATTTTCACTGTTTCATGATGAATGGCTCGGTTGAACACAACTGAGCAGAGAATTTCATTTCTAAATAATTTTGTAGTTGTTAAGGGTCAGAACTTAATTTTGTCGTAAGGTTTGTTAGTATGAAAATAACTGTGGCCAAATTGTGACAGCCCTGGTTGCACATACAGCTGTAGTCAGGTGTATGGGTTTATGTTCTTTTTATCTCTGCTACTGAGACAATAAGTTCTATAAGACAAAATTAATATTATCGTTAAAATTCCCAATAAATTCATGTGGATCAAAGCTGTTTTTAAGGGAAATTATTACACTTATTATTACAATGAATTAAATTATAAAGCTATAGTACATTAATTAATTGACTAATGGTGCAATTACCAGGTTTAATTATTAAGTAATAATTAATAATAAATTAATTAGATTTATCCTGTTTTTTTTTTTATATCATCCTGGCTGTAGGTACATAGCAATTCTGATGCTTGATGTTCCTTTCCCTTCACCTCAAAGACCAAGAATTCTTGTACAGGTACGTACATTTTCTCTTCAACCTTGTCATACATTAACCTTAAATATCTAATTTAGCAACCACTTACATTAAGCAGCAATCGTGGCCTTTTGACATTGCAGGCTCTAAATCCACAAGACTGTAACAATTAAACTATTTCTATATTTTTGTCTCCATAGACAAACATGTATGATCCTTTTGAATTCTGCCAGCCTTACCACACTCCTCTACCAGTGAGGTAAATATCTACCAGCATTATACAACAATTTTATTGGCGACCAGCTTGCCTCTAATTTGTCAGCAGCTCACCTCACGAGTGCAGGGTTCACATGGAAGGCTACTGCTTGATCATCACTAAGTAATTTAGTCGAGGTCGTCCAAGGAATTTGTAGCAGTTTTTTTGTGGTTTTTTTGTAGCAGTGGCTATATCCCCTCTACCTCTCTATTTTGCCTTCCTTTAATGTGGAATCAGTTCGATGAGTGCTTGAAATTTGAGCTCATGGCTGGGTTATGATGATTTGCCATTAAGAGGGACAGTGTCGTGTTGGAGGTGGGGGGGGGGGGGGGCTGGTCACAGTAGAATCCTCTTGATACCCTAGGCACCCCCATGTCACTTAATTGATTGGGGGTGAGGCAGTGGGTTTTGTTGATTCTAAACATAATTATTTACTATGGCCGGGGCTTAAAGGATTAAAACAAAATTGTTATGAGTAGGAATTTGACTTGGATGATTTTCTTTCAGTGGTGCATCTTACACAGCAATGCTTCGCTACCTTCATCCAGACAATGCCATGCTACTGTTCTATCTTGTGCTGACTGAACACAAAGTGCTGATTCACTCTCTTAGACCAGCTCTCATGACAAGTATTGCTGAAGCTATAACAACAGTGAGTAGATTCAAAATGGGGACAAGCTCCCAGGGAGTTATTCATACAGTTTTTGTCAAATACCCAAAGTAGAATACCGTATTTCCTTGAATAAGACTTAGTGCCCTATTCCAAATAACTGCCCACTCCCGAGGCCATTGTCAGTAACCTCCCCCTTTGAATAAGTGCCCCCTCCCCTCCCATCCCCCTCTCTTTCTCAAATAGTAGGGATACAAGGGAAACCAGCTTCTTCTGCCAATTTATGTCTAACTTTTTAGGCTTCGACTTCAGCTAAATCAGTATGGAAGAATAGTTTCTTTTCCGTTAAGTCAGTTTCAGTTATTTCTATATCCATGTGAATGCTTGCAGAGTTCCTTTATGTGAGTAATCTCTTCTTTTAATTGTTGTCTTTTTGGCTGCACTCTTGGTAAATGGCGTAAACTTCTTGGTGCCCCCACCGATTAAGCGCCGTCCTTTGAAGAAGCACCTCTCCTTTTAGCTAAAATTTGAAATAAGTACCTGGTCGCTTATTCCAGAAAATACAGAACTTGTTTAAAATGATCATTTTAAGATTTAATGGCCACAAACATTAAAGCTTTGAAAAGATTCAGGGTAGATGTATCTATGTATTTTGATATCGTGGGGCTAAGTTGGCTTTGATGACTTTTGTTACTAACTGCATCCTTAGTTTTCAAACATTGCATGTAACATTGTGAAATTATGTTCACCCTACAGTATATTCATCTGCCACTTTTATGGATCCTTGTTCCCTCCTACAGCAACTCTAAAAGAGTTATTTTTATCTCCAGCCCAGTCAAAATGTTTTACAATAGTAGGCAGGATAACTAGAGTAGCAGGTGGCAAAGACCTAAAACTTTTATGTTTTTGTATTAACTTACAGCAAGGAGCCCATTCTTTCCTACAGATGTAATCCAATCAGAAGCCAGCTGGAAACTGTCCTTGACTTCTGATTGGTTGATGTCTGCTTGAAAGAATGTGAGTTGATTAAAGGAGGTCACACTTTGTGCTCCTTGCTTAAGTGTTGAGGGGGTGGCAGACATTCCAATTAAAGTGGCAAAGTTGCTGACTGCTGGCTTATTTGGACTGGACTGTGTCTCTCTATTGGATACTTAACAATTATGATCATTGAAAGTTTGATTTTGTAATGTTTTCTGAAATTGTACTGTTCTATTTCAGCTGCTGTTTCCTTTCAGCTGGCAGTGTCCGTATGTGCCTCTCTGTCCTTTGGGTTTAAATGATGTTCTTGACGCCCCCTGTCCTTTTATTGTTGGTAAGCTAACATCTGTTGTTCGTGTATTTCTCTTGAAATGATTTTCTTTGATGTCTGGCTAATTAGGTTTTAAAATTAAAATTGAATTAGTAAATTAAATCCAAGTGAAGTAGCGATATTGTAGTGGTCCTGTCTTCCTGTCAAAGTCAAGTGAGGAAGTACAGAGAAGGAGTTCAGGGGAATTAGAAGCAACTAAGAATGTAAAAAAACTCGTAATTAAATTTTTTGAGGATGAATCTGAATCTAAATGCTATCAACATGTGCAACCGATGGTCGTTGACCAACTTCTTAACAACAAACTTTTCACCAACACCAAGACCAAGCGCGAAAGAACACTTGTGGTAGCCTTTAATCATCACTTTTAGAATGGTTAGTTTCAAGGTTGGCTTCACATTATCTACCCTCTCTGACGTCATTCTTGCCTGTTTACTCGTGTTTGAAATTGAAGCCAATAAATAACTTATTTGACCTCAACGCCTTGTTTGAAACCAGATGAAACTGGTTTTATGTTTGATTGGCAAAATTTGGGGATGACTTTGATTATGTTCGATTACCAAACCCAATCAAATTCAATCAAACGATTAAGTTCGATTACCGAACATTCGATTGTCTGCACCGGGTCTAATGGACACGCTGGAATTCAATGCCCTGACGTCAAACAAACCAATTATTAGAGAGATTTGAGGTGATGTTACGCGGTACGATTCGCATCGGCCATTTTTAGCGCAACACAGCGTTCCAACGTTGAACAATGTTGTAACTATTCCAAACAATGTCGCAGCAAAGTTGTAGCACTGTGTTGCGCTAAAAATTGTCGTTGCGAATCGTCTTCGTGTAACATCATCTTTACAGTCACGTTTACGGCAAACGGCAAACCTGAGTTTGTACCACATGACCAAGTTTTCTCTTTGCTTGTCGTTTACTCTTTATGCCTTCTACCGAAAAAATGAGTAGTTTCACGCTATTTTTATCCATAACAGTTGTTTTTGAGGTGTTTTCATCCGCTCATTTCCTATTTTGAGAATTTCGCAACTGGAATTTGATGTTCGCTGTCTGGCGTAAACGTGTCTCTAAATCTCACTATCATTTTACTGTTGTTGCTCGTAGGAATTGATTCACGTTACTTTGGTCAGTATGATCCTCCTGACGATGTAACCTGTGTTGACCTTGATACAAATATGATTTCATTGTAAGTAATACCTTTAATCAGCGATCTGTCCATAAAAGGAATTGGCAGAAGAAGTTCATCTGGGGCAAGGTGTAATCATATCCACAAAACCAACCAACGTGTTTATACAGCTAAGACTGACTTTCACTGCTAAGCTTTATTTTTATTTTTCTGTGCGTATTCTGGGCTTAGAGACACCAGGGTAACTTCTGTTTGTCTATTTTTTTGTGTTTTCCAATTATAAATATTTTAATTAGAATAAATTCCGAACACTGTTTTCGCTTTACAATTGATAATTATTTTAGTCAGACCCACGAAACCTACAACTGGAGTTCCTTATGAGCGCTTATCCACAAAAAAATGTTATTTTTTTTCTTACTTTGGTTGGAAACGTTTACAGGGGACCAGTTCAGGTTTTATAATTTAAGTTTCTTGAACCCTAAAGTGCTCGCTTGCAAATCAGGGCTACCGCTTTGAAAACTTAAATTTTATCTTTTTTCTTTTTCATTAGGGAAAATGAACTCAAGAGTGCCAGTTGGAAATCCCTTCCAAAAGTGAGTGAAAATCATTGGGATTTTCTGGTTTCTGTTTTAGACGACATTGTTTAAATTGAAGTCACGAATATATGAAAATCATATATGAGAACTGAGGGGTGAAGAATTCTATGAAAGAAGATCATCGCAGTTATAGACGCAACTTTAGTAGATGCGTACGGCATTCGAACCCTTGACCTCTGCGATACCGGTGCAGCGCTCCTCCAGATGAACTAACAAGGCAGTCGAGCTCTCATCATCACCCTTTCACGGGTTTAATACTAACCAATTCAACGACCTGCTCCTAGATGGCTTGTTAGCTTAGTTGGTAGAGCGTTACACCGGTATCGCAGAGGTTCAAGGTTAGAATCCCGTACAAGCCTGAATTTTTTTCAGGCTTTCTTCCCGCAACTTCAAAAATTGCGTCTATAACTGTGATGCCGGATCTTCTTTAGTAAAGTTGTTTAATTCCCGTGTTCTGTTGCAGAAACCAGGGAAGGCCTTGCAGGAAAGGTTAAATGAGCTCTACTACCAGTTATATCAACTCTACCACAAAGAACGAGAAAGTGAGTAATGTTATTATTATTTCACACCAAATATTTTTATTCTCTGTGCACTGCAAACAGAGAGAGGAAAAGTTGGATGAAAAGAGCTTAGAGTTAAAATCACTCTTTGGTTAATAACTGGGTAAAGTAAATTCCTACACTTCCATTTTCCGTATCAATTTAAGTTTAGTAATGTTAGTGAATGTCTTCCCTTTTTTTCAGCGTCTGGTGGAGACATAACTGAGACTGCTATAGAGTTGGCACCACTTGACCACGATAATTCGCATTCAAGAAAAAGAGTGAGCTGCTTTTAGATTTTTTTTTTCTCATGTTGGTACAACTAGCATTTTAATCCTTTCACGTCCAGAAGTGGCCAAAGGAAAAATTAGACAAAACTTCCAAATTTCATTTTGTAAAATGCTGAGTAACAAATGGTATCATGTTAAAGTACCGCTGAAGGGGTTTTATTTGAATGGTCACACCATAGGATTTGATTTACAGTCTCAAAAGTTAGAACTGCATTACGTGACTGCCACATTCACTCTGGTTTGTTTCATTATAGCAGCAAATTCTAGTAAGAGGTCGCCATTCAGAAGTTTAGCGTCTGTTTACAGTTTTTTATTCTCTCTCTTTTCCTTTTTAGCTTCAAATCGAGGTTGCAATTCAAGATGCGTTCTTACGATTCATGGCCACGATCCTCAAAGGTTATAGGTGCGTGACAACTGTTGCAGCTATATGTTATGTAAAAATTTATTTGATTGTTTTAGTGCAATACAGTCCACTGCCGTAATAGCTGTGGGGGGGAGGGGGGCGGGGGGGGGGGGAATTCCTCGGAAAACATTTGCATTCGAGGGGTAAAATTTATTTACATTTACGATAAGTTTGATTGATGCTCAACATACGCTCAATGTCCGCCACTCTCCCCTGTCTGGTCTTTGATACTTCTCGAAGAACTCTTCTGGGGGGGAAGGGTGAGGTCTCATTTTCTCGATCAACGGCTTGTAATCTGAGTTAGGGCGATTTTTGTAAGAGCTTGACAAATGGTTTCGGTAAGTGTTCGTTATTTGTTTTTTCGGCCAATGAATGAAAAGATCAAAACATGGACTCTTCGTTTTCCCGCCAAAGAAAGCCCTAATATGGAGAAGGCATTGCTCGATGAGCCGACCGTGTTGCAGTATGACGTCAAAGTGAAGTATCGATTGATTTCTAGAAAGTTCTCGAGCATGACGTTTTTTTCAGCCGAGCGTTCGCTTAACCAACCAAAACCCACGCGCGTTTGTATCCGTTCGATAAAACAATCAAATCGCTCTATTTCCGCTCGTTTTTTGTTTCTGTTTTGTTCGCGCGTTTTCATTTCAAGGTCATACGAAAATCGGTCTAACTGCGGTAAACAAGATTGGGAAGACGAGGAGACGGGCCAGAAGTGAAAAAACAGCGTTGGGTGGAAATGTCCCAACTATTCAGTTTTTTCTGAGACTGTAGTATCGATCCATCTTCACCATATGCTTGGTTAAAAACGTTCATGTCTTAATTTGTTACGTTACAGGGATTACTTAAAGCCGATCACGTCTGCACCGACGCAAGAGACATGTGACTTGACATCTCTGTTTGATCTCGAGGGTATGTTTATATATATTTTCTCTTTCATTTTCTGCGTTTTTTTCAAGTTTTGACTGGGACCAAATAAGGAAAATCCGGCAAAACGGCTGGAAAGAACGCCTTACTGTCAGTCAAATTGCTTAGTTTAAATGTGATTTTTTGAAACCGACTACCGGAGATAAAACTCCGCAAATTCGCGGAATTTTACAGACGTTTGTATGGTCGGAGTGGGGTAAGTTTGTGCACCCCTACTATCACCCTACAAGAAATATCGGTAATTTTCGTGTCTTTGTGTAGTAATATCTTTGCTCGCTTTGGCCGTATTACCTCAAACTTAGTTAACATTATAAATGCAATATTGCAGCAGATATTGCATTTACTAATTGTGAATTGATTTTTCGACCAAAATAAGGTAATTTTTAAAATAAGACCCTTTTCTTAGCAGTGTCAATGAATATTCGCTTACTGGTCGTTATCTTTATTAAAACTTGAAAAAAAAACCGTGACAGGGTCTGTTTCCTCAGATGCCCAACTTTACTCTTTCATGTAATAAATTATTTGGGTCTTTTCATGTTTTTACATGTTTTTGTTATTCTTTTTTTTTTGGTAGGATTTCAGAAGAGTCGCCCAAGTTCCCAAACAAAGTTCTTCCAGACATTAACCAGGACGCAGATGTTTAGCCGGTTTATTGAACAAAGATCATTCGTAACCTCTCAAGATTCCTTACTGGCGTTCTTTGACAACTGTTTGGAGAAAGTAAGTTTATGATATTCGTTACGACATTTGTGGTCGTATGTCTTAATCTGAAGCAGTACTGTCATGACTGCTCATCGCCACTGCTGTTCAGGTACCCAAGAACGACACCGTTGGGATTTGTACTCACTGTTCATTGCTCCTTGTAAGGGAATCTGAAGTCTGGAATCTGGGAAATTTTGGCCTGTGGAATCTGGATTTCGGGAAAGTTTTGCTTGTGGAACCCGGAATCCTGGGCTTTGGAATCCAGAATACAGCTCAAGGAATCCGGAATCCCACTAACGATGAGAATTCAGAATCCAAGTCAGTCCACTGACAAAGACTGGGATGCAGCACCTGGTCTCCAGAATGCATTAAATGGAATCCGGAATGCAATCGAGAATCCAAGCATGTCTTGGATTCCCTTACATTGGTCGATGTCCATCTAATAGTTGTGTCCTTTCTGGGAATAATTTCTCTTGCGTTTGGTCCAAATTCTTTTAATTTCCGTCGCCGTTTTGATTTCTTATTAATATCCTGGGTGACAAATTATGCTCTCAATCGTGGGTTTTTTTACTTGTTTATCGTATCGAGAACTCCAAATCCACGCACTGTAAAATTTAGATGGTAAATTTTGGCTTAAACTCAAATTTTCGACAAAATACCTGTTAGAATTCTCGTTGATGTGCTCTTTCTTGTGTTTAGGTTTTTCTAAAGCGTCTTTTAATGCCCTGACATCTTCACTCATAAAATTTTAAAACCTTGATGCCATCCTGGCACTGAGACATATTGCCGTAGCAATTCTGCAATTTCACATGTGAAATTATAAATTGACGCTAAAAGTTCGCGCCAAAATTAAAGAGAAGTGACTAATCTGTCGCCCATGATAGTGTGGTTGTTTTGTATGGCTCAGACTTTAAGTTTTTGCCATGTCACCGTATCGACAAGGATAGGAAAGTCGCCTTAACAACATGCAGAGTCCTTCAATTCCCTCACATAGAGAGCGCTGTTGACAGTAGAAGACATCAGAAATTTGACGATAATTCGCAAGTACTCGGATATCACGTTTGCGGACTCAAAACTCTGCAAGACATGCTGCATCATCTAATTCGTAGAGGTCAAATAGAAAATTATCAGGATTTTTAGACCTCTAAAATTCAATAAGACTTAGGCTTAAAACGTCCCCATCATCGAACAAGTTTTCGGCATAGCATTCACGAGTTTCTTTAAAAGATGCCATCCGTAAACTTTGTGTTCGTTCTAAGTTTACCCAAGCTTAAAAGTTATATATTTCGGGCCGAAAGCAAAGTTTATCTCGTGTCGCCCCAGTCTTTTTGGGGCGCATACGTCATAATTTCGTCTTCGTTTTCGTCCCAGACGCTGTTGCTTATAAGGTTCCTAATGTCTGACTAAAACTGGCCGATGCCCGACGCCATCTGCGGTCGGACATTATGTCTGGCCAAATTTAATGCCAAAGACTTAATTTGCAGATGAACAAGATGTAAATCGTTGCGCTAACGAAATAGCAGATACTGACCAAAATACTGTCTTAGTCGGAAGAGTGTCCCCTGAAGAAAGAAAAATTATTTGGAGCTATGTAAAGTGGCAAAACTTTACTAAAACTAAAATTGAAATTGTGTCCACCTTATAGAGTCTAAGAAAAATCCGTTAGCCAGCTTGTTGCGAAAACCTCATTTTATGACCAAATCCTCTTTAATCTTTGTACGCCAGTTTTCCGCCAATAAGCAGAGAAAAGCCTAAAAAAAAATTGCGATATGCAACACACAGTGCATATTTTCCTTATATTTTCCTTTATATATTAACTTAAGCGAAACCATCACCCTTGAAGAAGCTGGTTTATCAGTGTGTGTTATTGTTGTGGTTGCAGCTGGACTCATCACCATTCATCCCTCTGATTGAAGTTGATGACTCGATCACTAGGTAAACATGATTAACATCCTTTCACTTCTTGTAATTGTCAAAGTCGAAATTCTATGACAAAAATCCCAGACTTTTATTTGATGAAATTCTAACGGTTGAATATTACTTTGCGGAAGCACACCAAAGGTGTTGCCATTAATTGGTCACAGAACTTTGTAAGTATAAATCTGTCTGGATTTGAAAAAAGGTACCTCCAGGATTTTTTAACAACAATCTCATTTGAGGCTTGTTCAGTACTTGGTGTTGACGACTTTTCGTGTGTTTCCAGCGATTAATTTGTCCTTTTTAAGCCCTAACTAGCGACTTTCAACTCTTTTTTATTCACCACAAGGGTGAAATGTTTAAGGCGCACTTGAAATTTCTGTACGTACCCTTTTATAAATTCAAACAGAAATATGTTGAAATGTTCGCGTAAAGATGGCGAGATTGATCATTGCCTAGAATATGTAGTTTGGTTTTACTAAAGGCGTAGTCTCTTCTGTCTTGTGAGTTTTTTGCTTGAAGCACTAAGAAACGTTCTGTTGTTTTACAGAGGTGGACAGAGGACATATGTTGTCACGCCACCCGATGTCTCCACCATGGACAAGGGAAAGCTCTATTCGTAAGTATCAACTCGAGGACAAGTGTTTATCACACACAGTGCACAGTCCCCTACTTTTTTTCCCGTAGGATCGTCAAGATCGAGCGCTCAAGGTCACTAGCAGCCATTTTGTAATTGATTTTAAAAGTACCAAGGGGCCGGGCGTCGGGGTTTATAGCGGTAGGGAAAGGAGGAAGGAAGGCGAGAAAAAAGAGGGACTGCTGATATATCACTGCAACTCGCATTCAAGGAGCGTGTTGCTCCAGCAACGCAGGGATCTGATTGGTTATTATTCTCATTATTGGTTATTGGTTATTTGTGATGATGCGACAGACCCTCTATTTTTTCTCACCTCCACCCAAACCTCCTCCTCCCCCGCCCCCTAAGTAGATAAGAAGTCATCTTCAAGCTAGATGGCCAGTAAGCGCTCGATCTTGACGATGGCTTACGGAAAAACAGAGGGCCTGTGAACAGTCTGAAAAATGCCATGAGAAATGTCCAGAAAGTCGCATAAGAAAACTAGGCGCCTCCGAGCCCGTTAATTCCCCTGTTTACACCTCAAAGAATATTAAAGAGTTAACTTAACTCAATCATAGAGAGAGTCTGCAGAACAGGCGTCATTTTTCCGCGTTTCTCGGGCGAGACGCGCAACTGGGGCCTTCCCCGTGTCTCGCGCTCCACGCCCTCTTGGAGCTTGCCCTCGCTTGGCTAAAAAAACGCGAAAAAAATAACGCCCATTCTGCAAGCTATGGCAGAGACAGCATATCAGTTTTCCTAATGTTTTAATTTGTTAAACCCTCAATTAACCTTCAACAGTTATGAGTGTCGTGAGAAGGTGAGTTAGTGCGGTGGGTCCTGTTATAACTGGTGTATGTAGAAAAAAAAGGTCTTAACTTCGACTGTAATTGAAGCCTAGAGTGATAAAGCTGTTTTCAAGTGAGCACTGAAAGAAAATATATACCACTGGAAATTGCTTTTCCCACCGTGTGTGTAGTAACAACTTTTAATTTGTACTTTTTTCTTTCTTTAACAGATACCCAGTGTTTCCGGTGTTGAATGTTCAACTCATGAAGCCAGAGAAGTTATCCCTTCACGCACAGTCAATAATGACTCCGCCGGTTTCTCCTGTGGCCAGAAGAACAAGAGCAGAAAGGCACCAATCTGTGCTGGTAACGAAAACTGTTCACATTTCGTGATAGAAATGAGTGTTGGCATAAGGTTGTGTATGTCAGAAAACCCACTGCCTCCCTAGAAATTTGCCCCGGACCACTCGTCCCCGATTTTTAGACAACTCGCTCGCGATTTCTCTGTCTCCCTCGATATGAAAACCCTAATGCTAACTCCTTTCCATGGGTAATTGATACCCTGGGGATTATAAAAAAAATAAGACTGTAAAAGAGGTTACTCATGTTCCCTTTGATCCCCGCACTCGAGGCCGCAAAAGTAACGAGTTTAGCAACCCACCCTCCCACTCGACGAGAGAGTCGGGGTTGATCGTGCCTCGTTTCTACTTTCGCCCGGTCTTGGGCTTGTCCCAGCGAGAGTGATTCCCCATACCTTATTACCACGCCAATGATAACAATGCCTACTGTTTAACATTACATTTTAGTATATACACACTCAGTGATCGTGGTAATTCAAGCAATCTGATTGGTTAGCTATCTCGGACTATGACGTTTTAGTATATACACACTCAGTGATCTTGGTGATTTAAGGAATCTGATTGGTTCGCTATCTCGGACTATTCAACAATATTCACCTCCTAGCGAGTGGATAATGTGTGAGCTCGGTTTTTTCCCATTTTTTTAGAGAACGATCTTTCAAAAGTCGACAAAATCCTAGGGCTGACTTTTTTTCAGACAAGAAAAGACTTGGAAGGACTCAATACGGCGTTTTTCAATTTACTGTAGCTGAGTTTTGTGCTCGATGGATTGTTTACAACTCCCGTGTATTCGCGTAGAAGAAGCCGTTTCGTGAACCCAGCGTTTTCTAACAAGAAAATTTTGGCTAAAAAATCGAAGTTTATTTATGACGAACAAATTTAAAAGGAAATGGTTGCAGAAATTCTACGTTTCAAGTAAACAGGAAAAAGAATGATACAGGAAGACGACGTCTTACCTCGAGCAACCGAGGCGCCTTTTTGTCAGCACTTTATGCGAAGAACGACACAACAAACCCTTTTGGCTATAAACTTGGCTAGTCAACAGAAAACAACAAAGCTCTACTTTTCTTCTCAGGTAAAGAAACAGTTCAAACTTTTAGCGGTTCCATTTAAGCCATTACGCTGTTGTTTCCGAAATGATAAACTTGTGAATTGCCATGTTTGAAAATTCTGCAAAGATCTATTCTTAAACTTACGCGTGATTTGATCTGTCAATCAAATCGTACTTTTTAATGGTTTCCTCTCTGCTTTTGTTGAGGTCACTTCGTGTGTATATACTAAAACAATTATTCTTTTCAATCTCGGTGAATAGTGGCTTTGGGAATATTTACCTCGCCGCTTTCGCGGCTCGGTAAATATTTGGCCACTATTCACCTCGATTTCAAAGAATAATTGTTAAATATTCACCGCGCTAGGCGGTGAATATAAAGCAGATCAAAATCGCTGTCATGAACTGGGTGTTTTGCCAAAGTTGAAACAGGCTAGAATAAACTAAAACAATTATTCACCTCAGGCTCAGTTAATATTGATGAATATTCCCCTCGACCAACAAATACAATATTAACTTCGCCTTCGGCGAATAATTGTTAAATATTACTGTAGTTAAATATTTTGCCCTGTGTGGCTAATTGTCTGTGGTGTAGGAGGGGGTGGGGGTAGGGCAAGCTGTATGTACACGTTCACTAGCTTAAATGGACTGGCTTAGACATAACTTTGTTCACAGTGTCATTTGTTTAGCGCTTTATGTTCATTGTCTTTCTTTTGTTTGTAGATGGCAAAAAAGAACGCTGGAAGTCCTATTTATTGGGCAAAGTACGTTTAATGATTTTTTTCTTACTGTTGTTGTTTGTGGCTGTTGAGTTTCTCTTCAAGATTTTTCCAGTCAGTGTATAGTGCATTGTACAGCCTAGTAGTTGTGGGCAAATCAGCAGCTCGTAAAAAAACAATAAGTTACTCGAAACAAAAAATGTATATATTGATAGCAAACGTTTTTCAAGAAAGCAAAATGTTTCATCAGTCAATGTTTTTCTGTTCGAAACTTTACGTATAACACCCAGGAGACATATTTGTTCGACACAAGTTGTTATTTTGTTTTGTCATCTACCAGCAATTTTCTTTGTTTCCATTGTCGCACTTTGCAATAAACATGCGACCTCATCTCGAGACGTCAAGTCAAAAATATGACTAACATTTACATTTTTCGCCTCTTTTAACACTCTAACGGACATCTCAGGAAACGTAGGCTTTATTCAGCGGGTTTAAAAGGTCACAGAAGCAGGTTGTACGTAACTGGTTGATTTCGATCCATGTCGTTGATTTCGTTCCGTGATAATTATGATTGACAACTAACTTTCTCGACTGTATTGTTATTTTCCCATCATCCAATTGGTCAACCTTGTCTAGGTGGCCCCGGTTCTGGTAGTCGCACATTGCGTTTACAGTCGGTTTTCTTTTCTTGACAGGTGCTTGGTGGCTCACTGTTACAGTCTCTGGTTTATTCACCTGCCGGCATATGTTAAAGTTCACCACAATAAAGCTAAAGTGTTGCATGTGGCTTTTGAGGTTAGTCGAAATGATTATTCGGGGATAGACCGTTCATAGCCCCGTATTTTTTTCCGTAAGATCGTCGAGGTCTAGCAATCACCGTCACTGGCAGCCAACTTGTAATTGGTGTCAAATGTGCTGAGGGGGCGGGCTTCGGGAATTATAGAGATGGGGAAGGGAGGCGAGCCACGGAGGTGACAGTGACCGATCGTACGGAAAAATGGGGGACTGTGAATAGTCTTGTGAACAATCTAATTCGGTGACATCTGTTAAAGTTAATTCGCTCCTTGTGGTTTCAAACACATAACATATTTCATTTCCCCCAGATCTTGTGCAAGATGCAGAAAAAAAAGGTCAAACTTCCAGATGAGGTAAGTCTTCAAGTGAAATGTAACATTACTAATTTTGTGACCTTTGTATCCCAGAATTCGCTGTGCCCGAAGACAGATGGCTGATCTCCTAAGTTTGCTTAACCTGTGATCGGGCGGTCCGTCTTCTCGTTTATTTGCGTATTTATGTTTGCTACGTGCATGACTACGTCGATTGCAAAACGTGTTGCGATCGCGATCACGCGATTCGGTGTCCTGGACACCTGAACAGATTGTTTTTCGTTCGTTGCACGTGGTCGAGAAAGGTTTAGTTTGTCGTGAGAAAGTTAAAAGCGTTTTAAAAACTTTTGACCATAGTTTATTTCAATCACGTCATCCTAGCCTTACAGTTTCGTTACGCATTATGCATACCACAGGCCTAACGACTGAGGACTCATAAGATACCAAGATCGGTTTACAGCATTCTTTCTTGAACCTCGGCACTTCGTAGTTCGTTCGGAAGCCTCGCTCTCCGACGACGTCACCCTTTGGGTGTTAGTCGTTCTTGTTATCTTGCAACCATTGTAGGCGTCATTCAGCATGATTGCATGGTGCCACGGTCGGTCACGTTTACTTGTGCAGCTACGGTTGCACCACGAAAAAACTGGAATCAAGGTCAAACGTGACGCCAATTCATGTGTTTGTTGTGGTTAGCAAAAAGAAAGCACTATAGCTACTGAGGTTGACGAACAAGAGAAGTGTATTGTATTATTGTTGATTTATTTCTAAATTCTCCTTAAACAGGTGTGTTATCGAGTGTTAATGCAACTTTGTGGCCAGTATGGTCACCCTGCTCTAGCTGTTAAGGTAAGCTTTTTTCATTGTTGAGTTTTTTTTATAGCCTGCGATTACAGCCCTCTCTCCTCGCTTCTAGCGGCGAGGAGCGAGGAGAGAGGGTTGTATTCGCAGGCTAGTTATTGTATTTCAGGTTTTTTAGGGACCTTCAGCTAAGACGTTTTTGGGCGACGCACGTCGACCGGAAGTGTAGCCTGCGTCGCATGCGTAATTCAACCCCGGTTAGTAACATCGGCGAAGCAGTGCCCATATCCTTGTTCTGGGCCTCCAACGGACTCAATGAATTACCGGAAATACTTTTCGAATTTCCCTTCAACCTGATTGGCAGATAGACAGTGGCCTTATCAACAGGCCAATCATAGCGCGTACTCAAATCCTGGTACACAGGTGGGGACCCAGAACAAGGATTTCGGCGCTGTTTCGCAGACGGACTGTGGTGCAGGCTACCGGAAATGAGCCCTTTCCCCCTTTAATATGCCTTGGGGCGCTACCAAATTTGTATTGTTAAATGTCTCTACTCTTATACAGACGATTTGCCCGAAATTGTGTTCAAAACTACTGCCCAAGAATGCAAAATGTCCACTTCCGGTTGGCGTGCGTGTCCTTATACTCCTTGCCGACTTTTCCCCACCCGACGTGCGTCCAAATTCAAGAAAAAATTTTGAGTTCCATTTTCAAAAATACAGAACACTAAATAATGACGTATGAAAGTACTGTTGAAATGGTTACATTTGAAATGTTCCGGGCTTATCCCTGTCTTGTTAAACAGGTTTTGTTTGAGATGAAAAACCAAGGGATAACTCCGAATGCTGTTACATATGGGTATTACAATCGGGTAAGTTCTCTTTTGTTGTTATAACAGTCGTTTTAAGCGTTTCAAGGACAAGAACTCTTTCAGAGCTCTGCTTCCAATGTTAGAAGTATTCTCTGTACTTTCCTAAAAAGAATGCTTTAATATTGTGTTGTGTTACTATACAGTGAAACCTCTCGGGACCGAGGCATATGTCCCTGAAGGGACGTTGGTCTGGAGTTTGGTAATAATTTACAAAAAAAAGGCACTATTTATATGTTTTTACTCTCTCAGAATCTGCTGCAGTCATTATAAAGCACTTAGATATTTTTAAAAAAATCATAGTTAACATATCTCTGCGATATTGTACGTTGATTTTCCAGGAGTGTAGTGCACCGATCTAAGTGAGATAGTTCAGTTTGTGAAAGCTGACATCATTGTGATTAGTTTAAACTTGTAGTGATCAACTCTCTTTGTCAGTAACTTCGTGACTGCTAAGGTGTCCCTAGACTTGCTACAAGTCGACCTCACGAGTTTCTTAGCCAGCGGAGCGAGCTTTTTAGGCCGCGAAGCAGCCAAGCGACGAAGGCGTAGTGTGCCTTTTCCCTTAAGTAGAGGTGTCGCATCAATAGAGGTAACAGATACAAAGAGTAAGTGAACATTTTTCCAGGACCAAAATTTTTGTCCCCTTAATGGAGGTGTCCCTTGAATAAAGGTGTCCCAAAGGAGAATTTTCGTTCAGTAGATTTACAGTTTGAAGTTGTAAAAATGGTATGCCATTCACACGTTATGATGTAGTTCAGCCCAATATTTTCTCGCAGCGCTTCACCTACAATTTGGAACCTCTAGTTTATTAATTATGTTGTTTCATCTTCGCTGTTGTTCATTTTAAGTAATTTGTTGGACTGGTGGCAATTTAAATTTTTTCAAAGATTAGTTTTATTCTGCGTTTGTAGGCTGTAATTGAAGGGAAGTGGCCGTCGAAAACGACAAGCTCGCATATGTGGAATAAGCTGAGAAATTTTTTTGCTGCTGTGTATGAACTTCAAAGACTGGGAAAACTAAGAAGCAAAGCAGGTAAACAATCGGTGGAAGGTGTCAGTACTGAAGTTTGATTTAACACTCCCCTAGCAACGAGAACAAGTTTTCTCACCCCTCACTACTTTCTTCAAGCCAGCTTGGAACAGGTTTTTCCGTTTGGGAGAAGGGAGCTTAAAATCCCGAGGAGACAGCAATGGAAAAATTGGAAGAGGGGAAGTGGGGGAACGGCCGCCATTTCCCCCTCTTTAGCTAGTCCTCGCTCGACTCTCTTCGTTCGCTGTTTTTTGTTTTCCTTTTTCTGCACCAAGGAACCTGGTCTGTCTAAGGCTACCTTTCTCTCACTTGCCAAGCTGTCTCACCCCTCCCCCTCAACATACTGTCTAGCTCCTCCCCATCAGCATCCTCATCAGTCTGTCTTCCTCCTCCCCAAACAAGTCATGTTTACCATAACTACAGGTGGAACGGATCGGTGTGTGATTGCAGCTCTTGTCTCGTGTGTTTTTTGCTGTCTTCCCCCTTATCTTCTATTTGCTGATTGCTCCTGAAGACTGTAGACTCCTGTGCCAACCGTCTGTATCCACCGATATGCCGAAATTATATCCCATATAAAAAACATGTACCCGTATAAACAGTCCAATAAATTAGTTACAGTCTGCAATCTCGCGTTGTTTTGAAGAGTGTTCTTTCGTTTTTTACTTGTTTGTTTGTTTGTTTATGTTGTCCTGTTATTGATTCAAATCACACTTTTCCTAGATTCCTTATCACCATCAGGATCAAGTAATGATCTTGATGTTACAGACTCACCAAGGAGAGGAATGTCCCTTCGGAAACCTGACCGATCACGCACTCCATCACGCGAGCGTGAGAAAGCCTTGTCACGCGAACGCTTGCTTGATCTCGGTGAATCAAATGGAACTGAAGGGAGACGCACTCCTGATAGAGAAATCAAATCAAAAAGAGAAAGAACGATCAGCGAAATGTCTTCGGCGTCTGAAGCCGCGGATATGCTCGACGTTTCCTTAACGTCGATCGATGGCACAGCGTTTTCGCAGAAGAGGCGGTTAAATTACGGTAGAACAATAAGCGAAACGTCGGTTCTGTCCGCCGCTCATTCGCAGCTTTTCATCAGCGCAAGTAGCGAGGACTCGGATCCGTATGAATATACAACCAAGATGTTAGATGAAGTGATATTTGGACTCCCGCTGGGCCTACAGCCCGACACCGCGCTTGAAGCAGTGATATGCTCTTGTAACCAGTGTGTTAAATGCAGTAGATACTTGTATGATGAAGAGATATTAGCAGGTTGGACGGCAGACGACTCCACTTTTACTACAACGTGAGTGCTTTTTGAATCCGCCCAAGTTCCCCGCATTCCAGAATCCACATAGGGGATGGGTACAAGCTTTCGGCACAACGATTTCTAGGATCGTATGGTTGCCTTGAATACCATCAACCAATCATAGCTAACGCTTGTGCACCCAAACAATCCCAGAAATCACTGCGCCCTAAACTTGTACCCATTCTCCCTAGAGGTTTTGGAGTGGGGAATATGATTTATGTAAGCAACGAGTTGTAAGAGTCATGTGAGTTGGAGGCTGCGTAACCCGCACCGGTGAATTTCTGGGAACATGTACTAGATTTTATTTTCTCTCCATATATTTATTTATTTTCGTTTATTGTCAAAGCCGCCATTCCTGTCTCCTGAAGCGTTTGTAGTATTAGAAAAGCCGTCAAAGACATTGTGCGGTTTTAGCTGGAGGAGACGTGATGCTGAACTTTGTTTAGTACTCGGCCGTCATGACGTCGAACCATAGTTAGACTAGGCTGATTTTCCAATAGAATGGGAACGTCAGTTGACGACGGCGCGCGCCAACCAAACAATTGGCATGACTAATGACAGAACGGCAAATTGCGCAACGGAGGTCACGTTCAGTCCTTTCCGCGCGCTTTCCCGTCGTTAATTGACGTTCCCGTTCGGTTGCTTAATCAGCTTACTTTTAACTCTTTTGTACTCAGTTGAAGGGGATATGACTCAGATTTAAACTTTTTTGAACATGTTTTTTTCTTTTCGGTGACAAAAAGATTACATAAAGGTAGGTTACTCACCAAAATTTCAGCTTCTAAAGAGCTTTCCAACCCTATGAAATTCTCGTCTAAAGTAGCTCGAAATTCGAGAATCGGGGGCCGCCATCTTGGAGAATTCCTAGCAGCCTGTTGTCGAGTACGTGACAGACAGATTAGATCACTCAACATTTTTGGATTGTGTTTTTTGCGGCCATGTCTTCTTGTGCAGCTCCGAAACGAAGAAACAAGAAGTTTTGAGTGATTTAACAAACTTAGGTTGAGCGCATTGACGTCACACGCTTGTCACCAGGCTGCCAAGAGTTCGCCAAGATGGTGGCCCCCAGATCTCGAATTTTGGGCTTCTTTAGATGAGAATTTCATAGGGTTGGAAAGCCCTTCGGAGGTCGAAATTTTGGTGAGTAACCCACCTTTTTATAATCTTCGTTTTGACCAAAAGAAAAAAATCCTGCCACCTTGGAATGAACTTCTCCTTTAATAAACGTTGACGTGTTTTCTTGGTTATTTCTTTCAGTTGTCCTCACTGCCAAACTCAGCAGGTAGCAAGTCTCAATATTAAAATCAAGGTAAGTTCTTTGAAACAAATGGTGTTGTGCTTGGTAAAGGACATCAACAGCGGCCATTAAACGCAGGGCGCGGAAAAAATCCAGGCCGGTAATCTGGAAAGGTAGATTTTCTTGCTGGTGCGGTAACTTTCTTGTCCAATGGATGACGGTCCAGGCAAGTCAACCTCTAACAAAATCATTAACTAAGTACAGCAAGAAGTGGCTGCGGGTGAGGGAAATGTGAGAGCTGTTTGCCCAAAGGTACAGGCTGGAAATCAAGTTATTTTCGAGCCCTGTAAACGCCGACATTGCAATTTGTTTTTATCACACTCCTCTTGTATCACAGTTTTCATTTATGTAAATTTGCCATTTTTGTCTTCTGCCGCGGTAATCTAAATCTTCTGAAACGTTTGTAAGGGAAGAGTTTGCGTATAGAATGCAACAACTTTGTATTCGACCTCGTTGAAAGTAAATGAATCCATGACGACAATTTCATTTCCTTAATCTGAACTTTTTTCGTTACCTTGTGCGAAGTATAACCAAAGTTAGTGCTCTAATAACTTAAGTTAATCTCGTTGTAGGATTATCGAAATTGTTTTTCGTCTCATCCAAGTTCCGAGTTGTCATCCAGCATTAACAGCTTTGGAAGCTCCGAACTGCTGCCGAATCCCGATGATGAGCCGAAATCTGGACATCTGAGCAACTCCGTTCCTACTACGATCGAGTCCAGTCTTCTTATGCAGAAGCTGGCCAATCCCTCGCGGCCACTCAGTGCTGCTATGTCTCCTCCAGCGTCTAACCCAGTCCCTATACGAGCTAGTCATCATCGAGTGCGGGGTTACAGTATAAGTGCACCCTCAAGCGCTAATGCTAGTCCTTCTGGGAGCCTTCACGGGAGCCCGAGGCCTGGGTCGTGGATACAACGCACGCGCAGTAGTAACAGTACGTGTAGCTATGGAAGCAGCTGGTATGGTAAGCGGAAAATGCAAAAATTATTTTATTTTATTACGATGAAATTAGATTATACTTTGATTCGACCTGGAGGTAAGAAGTTAGTCGAACACTACTCGTGACAAACCTTTGTTATGTTCAACTTCTTTGACCAACTTCACTTTTCTGGCTTGTGCTTGTGAACTGAAAACTAGTTATTTCATCCCATCAACTCTATTAGAATGTGGGTATTGCTCCTAAGCTTTGAAACGTTGTGGGAAAGCATAATCCATGCAGGTATCAACCTTTTCATGATCAGCCATCGAACATTCGCACCCAGAATTAGTTGCTTTTATCAAAGTTTGTGATACCATGATGCTGCGACTTCAAATTTCGCTTTTCTTTTTTACACGCGGCACTAACAGTTGCCCTGTGGGACCGAAAACAGCATGGCCATTCAGTTAATTTGCCACTCCGTAAAGTAAAGGGAGAGTGACTGAAAGCTTTCTGTCCAGCGATTTCTGGGATCGTTTGGGTGGGCAAAAGCAATCAATTAGAAATAGTTAAGATGGATAAACAGTCAGTCTGGCAGACAGGTAGACAGACAGGCAGACAGACAGGTACACAGACAGACAGGCAGGCAGACAGGTAGACAGACAGGCAGGCAGACTGGTAGACAGATAGACAGATCGACAGACAGACAGGTAGACAGACAGACAGATAGATTGATTGATTGACTGATTCACTTTTATTTGAATACGGTAATTTCATAAGTTACATAACTTTACATGAAAGCCGTATACAAACAGAAGTAAATACCGTACAACTACACTAAAAATATGTGCAAATAATAAAATATAGTAAAATGTAGTCAACAGTTTGCCTGCCCACTAGCCAGTTTTCTTTTAAAGATAGCTTTAGATTCGGACGCTTTTTTTTTATTTGGTAATGAATTCCACAGCATTCCTCCTCTGTATGAGAAAGACCCTTTATAATATTCTGTTTTTGGAACGTGGTCCAGTACAACATTATATTCCGTATTTCTTAGCATGGACTTATAAGGGTTGTTCTCACAGACATTCGAGAAAAGATCGCTTAAGTAACTAGGTATATTTCCGTTCACTGTATCGTACATTAATAGACTTAAGTGCCTTTGACGCCTTGAGGCAAGCTCTTCCCAGTTTAGTTGTTTTCGTACTTGTCCTGAACGAACGTCATAACCTTGAAAAGTTATTATGCGTGTAGTACGATTTTATAATTTCTGGATCCTAGTGGCAAGTCCCTGGTCTAAATTGTCCCAAACAACGTCGCAGTAGTCGAACACAGGCTGGATAAGAGATTTGTAAATAGTATTTAGAACATCTAATAGTACATAATCACGTGCCTGTTTTAGAGCACTGATGGATCGATTGACTTTTGAACAAAGTTTGTCAACATGCTCGTTCCATTTAAGATTTTCATCCAAGTGAATTCCTAAATATTGTTTGGACTCGTTTAACATGATTTTTGCCAATCTTAATTGGAAAATCTCTTCCTAAGTTAGATAATTTGAAGGTAGTTGTTAAAAACATGTACTCCGTTTTAGTGACATTTAAGCTTAACTTATTTGCAAGAAGCCGGTCCCTAACGCGAGTTAGGTCATTATTTACCTTGGCATATAGTTCAGCAGTGGATACAGAGGACGCATATATCGTGGTATCATCGGTATACATGTGTGCTTGGTATTGAGAAGACATCCAGGGAGATCATTAATATGTATTAAAAACAGCAAAGGGCCTAAAATTGAACCCTGTGGAACTCCACAACTTATCAACTGGGGCTTACCCGAGTTCCCTAGGGCGTGACAACTTTTAATACATTTTCTTACAAAACGTAACGAATCTTTCATATGAGAAGCAAAAAGTTGGCTAAAAGGGTTATCCGCCTAGCTGGGTCATCCTTTTGCGATGATAGGGTCCCCCTCCTAGCCGGTTTTCCGGGTCAACTCGGTCAAGGGGAGACAATTAGAGCATGCGCGAGCGCTGTCGTCAACTTTTGGACAGGGCAAAAGGGTAACTTTTTTCTCAAATTACGCTGAAGTTGACGCGGCAGAGAAGGTGACCATTCTACCCGGGACAAGTTTTCTCCATATAAACGGGGTCTGTCTGCCTGCCTGTCTGTCTGCTTCCCATTATTTTCTTTAATTGGTATCTTAACATTGACAAAGGCATGACCAATTTGATTGTGCTTCTTGATCTTGCGAAAGCCTTTGATACCGTTTCACATAATATTTTATTTAAAAAGCTTGAGCTCTGTGGTCTGAATGGTGTAACGCTCGACTGGTTTTCATCGTACCTATCAGATAGGCAACAGCAGTGTGTAGTAGAGGGCTGTGTATCTAGGCGAGTTACCGTTCTCACAGGGACAACTTTTCTTTATAAAAACGGGGCCATAGATTGATAGACAGACAAACAGGCAGATCGCTCGACAGTTAGTTTTTATTTACCCGGGTAATATTATCAGCTTGCACTGTTTTTTGTTTGTTTGTTTGTTTGTTTTTTGTGTTTTTCCCAATAAATGCTGCATAAATTTATCAAGGCTTTTGTTGGATCATCAGGATCGTTTAGTGATTGATCACAATTTGTATCTCCTAAAATATAAACCTGATCCCTTGATTTAGGGAAACCAATCTACCAGAAAATTGTTGGAAACTTTCGAAAAATATTCGTTGCTGCTATTATCGAACTAAACCGTCCTAGAAATCTTTGTGCCAATGGCTTGCTCCTTTTCCCCCTGTGGCTTATTCCGTGGTGGATTATATAAAAATGTTTATTTCTTGCTAAGTATTTGCTCACCACGCCCCGAGCGAAGTCATGTGATTAATGTTCACTTTTTTCCACCCGATTTGGGCATATTTTTATGAGATGAATGAATGAGCAAATGAATAAATATTCTTGTGTTGTCTGTATTTCAGTGTCCAGACCGCCTGAGGAAAGAGAATTGATCACTGTTACCTACCTTAATCCCTTGGTCTTGAGAAAAGAACTGGAAAACATGTTCGAAAATGACGGAGTAGATAAACTCCAGTCTCCAAACGTAGTTCACGATAAGACTGACATCTTTTGGAATTTGGTGAGTAGAGATTGGAAGTACATTTTCTACTTAGTTATAGAACGTAGTGCTCTTGTAGCTTGATTTCGTAGGTCGCTAAGAGAATTTTACACAGAAACTTGTTATTTCAAAGCCAGAACTTCGACAGCATTGTTAGTGGTACTAAAGGAACGTGGCTGCGAAATTGCTGCCTCTCTTGTTATTTAAGGAAGCTTCATTTTAACGATCAGCATAGAACTGAATGACAAGGAAAATAACCAACAACAAATGTTCCGCCTGTCTCATAACTATACTCACATTGTGGGCCTATCTCCTCTAAAATATACAGCGTACAGCCTCTTTTTTATACGCGCACAAGTCCTGCACACGAGTCCCGAGACGGGAAAAGCGAGAGTGGCAAGCAGAAAAGAAAAATTTGCGTCTCCCGCCCCGCGCACTAAATCGCTTACGTAGCCTTTTCCTTCTCACGTGAGTTTCACTCGAAGGTCGTAGAAAATGAATAAACTGCTTGTTGTCTCGTTCTAAAACGAGAGCTGGTAGAGGATTACCAGTAGCGGGATTGCACTAATTAATTAATCATCTTACAGGTACTGCACTTAGAAATTCTCTGGAGCAACAACTATTTATCGTCTGTCTTCTTAGAATACATATTTGTTCTTTTGTAGGTTTGGTATTTCAAGCGGCTTGATCTTCCCTCGCATTTGACTAGTCACCTGTTGGCTACCTACCCTTGCAACGAAAAAGCTGACCGGTTAGAGGTAAGTGACGAGATTACAGTGTTTACTATCCTTTAGGCGAAGACCGTTTATTTCTTGCAAAATATTGGGGAGCTTAAACAACAACAACGGCGACGGGTACGAAAACGTCACGTAAAAAGTAAATTTGCGCTGCTTCAAAGTCTATGACCGCCGCGCTTATTCCATCTCGTTCAATGCGTTTAATACTGGCAGATTTTTCTGGAATTTAATTCTAAAAACCTGTATCAAAGTTAAGGAAAAGAAAACATAAAGTCGTTGTCTCTCTGCAAAACGAGGAATTTGGCACTTTCACGCCGTAGTCGTTACTGAAGCTCCTCACTCTCGTACAGGAGATGCTAACAGTTTCTTCAAAGTTTTTCGTCCATTCCTAATGACAATTCTTACCTGTCTCATTATTTCTTGTTTTGGGCATGGTGGGGAGAACTTTGGCGAATGATTGCATAGTTAAATGCATAGGAAACTTTCAATATACGCATGCTCCCTTGTATGAAACGCTGACTAGTAGTTGTCATGTGACAGGAACGGCGCAGCGTATCGGTAATTGGAAGTCAGGTCCTAGTATCCACATCTTGGGATGGAGACAGAGAAGAATATGACATGGTCCCCCTCTATGTCCTCTGGAACGCTCCAGGTAAGTTAAATGAATCTTTTGTTTTGGCTCTGGAATTTGCGCAAATGAAATGATCAACAGCTACGTCCAGAAATAGTCAGAAGACCGACTTGCAGCTTAACTGCTGTGTTGCTGGGGCTTCTGGGTAACCCTGGTTGCCCATACTACCCCGGGTGTCCTAGTGCCGAAAACTGGTGCCCAATCCCCCCCGGAGGTCATGGATGAATTTGACATACTTATAAAACAACTCTTGCCTGAAGAATGAGAAACAAGAATTCTGTACGGGGATTTTGTTGTTATGCTATTAATTTTTGGATTTATTGTTGGTTAACAGCTGACCAGCAAGGCTCGCTGATGGACAAAGGACTAACAACAAGGAGGTACACGCTGCGCAGAGAACGTTTAATTTAATTGCTTAGATTTTTTCATCTTTTCACATCATCTTTCCAAACCACGACTTATTCATTCTTTACCACAACTGATCTAGAAAGTAAAGTCGTTATTTTTTCGTATATGCTAAAACAGTGGATAGTGCTTTTCGTGCGCTCTGATTGGCTACTCAAGCACGGGATATCCAGTGCTGTTCACCTCTGAGCGACGCTAGAGTCACGTAGGTTACGAGTAAATTGGCTTTCCGGTTTGCTGCCGTAACAAACGGCAAAATTTCACAAATAAACGAGAAAGCTGTTACTGACAACACGAACAAGGCGACGAAATTCGGTTCGGCAGTTTTTACAAGTGAACCTTTGCCTGTTTAACCTTTATTTATCGATGAAAGCGGTGAAAAAAGTTTTTTGTTTTCATGTGCAAATTAAGTCTTGCATTACTTTATTTAGCTGGCATGTTCATAAATAAGCTTAAAACTAAATTAAATGGGTTTTTTTACAGAATGGTTTCAAATACAGAAAGAATTCACAACCCTTTTTGAAGAAATGTCCCCGCAGGAACTAAACAAATGCCTTTAAAAGTGTTATTTTTCGGCAAGATAACGTGGCGGCAGTTCGATTATTTTCGCGCCAAAATTGTAATCGTTGACAGCAGTAAATGAGTTAAAAATCGTAAGTTTTGTGTTCAATTATCTCACTGTTTTAGTATGTACTAAAACAATTATTCAACTCAGTGTCGGTGGCTAGTGGTGGGTATTTTCCTCGCCGCGAATATCCACAACTAGCCACCTCCACATCTGTGAATAATTGATAAACACCAAGGCAATGCATCATCAAGGTCAGAGCGTGGTACTGAAGTGAAAAGCAAGGCAGGAATTTTCTGCCAGAACAGAGAGTTGAAGCCCCAGGCACTCACTTTTTAGTCTTGTTCGACACCGTTTTTCTCTACACAGGCTGAAAAACGATGTAAACGCTACAAAACTTCGCCTTCTAATTAGCCTGCTTACCAGGCAATCGAATGAGAAGTTAGGCCCGCTGAAAGGCCAAGGGTGGCCATCGTGTTCTCGTGGGCCTGGTTTGACCCCTCTTGAACGCCGGATATGCCGGTTATCTTTCTATGTTTGTGGTTGTAACTACCATAGGAAATATACAGCGCTGTTTTTTGTCCACGCTGATAGTGTTTCGTTGCTTTCTTTAGTGTTATGCAGTCCGTTGTAGCTCATATTCAAGAGAATGATGTCGTAAACCCAACCCTTATCCTTCTAGAGGAAAGGAACCGTCAAAAGAACATTAATCCCAATGCGAGATGGTATGTATGCTCTGATATTTACCTCTATATTTCCCGAAACCTTTTGCCCAATTGCTCCCGAGAGGTGAGCACGATGAAAATTTGTCCTTTTACACAATGGCCACGAGGATTTGTTGATGAATTTGTCACACATAATGGAGTCATGTCATTCAACCTTAGTCAACGACCAAAACTGTACCTTTTCTTTTTCGTGTTAACACAATTGACGTCGGATGATCATAGTAGGGAGCTTAAGCAACCATGACAACGACGCCGACGCGAAAGTTTTTTTGTGTATGCGTGCGTGAGTGTGTAATTTATTAGCTTTTATTATTTGTTTTCCCACCTAAATAGTGAATACAAAACAAAAACAATTAACAAATTACTTCAAAAACAGTACAAAACTCGAACTATCCAAACAAATTTCGATGTACGCTATTTAGATAACAACCACCAAAAAAATACAAATTAACATAGAAAACATTCACAATGCCATCAACAGGAGAAAAGGAAAAAAAAATACAACGATGGTCGAGACATTAGTGTTACATGCAAACTATCATTAATTATAAACTTACGTAAAGTGAAACGCATATGCGGGACACTCCTTCTACGAGCTTACAAATGGCAAAAATTTCTTCCATTTCTTGAAATGTGTGCTAACGCGAAAGCTAATAACAAGCAAAACGACGCTCTGCGTATGCATCACACTTCTTGGTACATTTCTTTGAAGTCCACTGCAGGACTGCGACGTGAGATTTCCTAATGCGACTTGATTTATCCAGGACGTGAAGCCACGACGATGAATTTTCCAGGCTTCGCACCGTCTTGAAAAGTCCTTGAAATTTAGGGGAACGCCTTAAAAAGTCCTTGAATTCCATTTTTCCTTGAAAAGTCCTTAAATTTCTGTGCAAGTCCTTGAAAGGTCCTTGAATTTTCTTCAACTTTGAATGTAGTGGCCTGGAAAGAATTTTTTGATGCTTTTCGTTTGTGTGTAAGACAGAATGTTAATCATAGCTCAGAGAATTTAAACTTTATTTACATAAAGTACTCTATGTTTTATGCAATAATTAACTATCAGTTAAAGACAAGTGAACTGAAAAATGTAGAGAAGTTGATGAAGCAAACATTTTATGCCTTAGTCTTATTAGAATATACTGGGAATGTGCATTTTTATACAATCTGTGAAATAAAATTCCTAGCAGGTGGTCCTTGAAAATCTAATTTGGTTCTTGAAAAGTCCTTCAAATGTCCTTAAAAAATGGTTGCATTTTTTTGTATGAACCCTGTTTTCCTTTCTCTTTTTATTAAATCGGATATCGTCCAGCCCAAGCACTCAACTCCCTGAAAATTCGTGCACATTTGACAAATTAAGCGAGACTTAACAAACGCGATAAAATTTGAAAGAACGGAAATTCATTTTTAGAGACATTATCACTGTCGCCCTCCTCATCGTTGTCTAAGCTCCCTCATCTGACCTCACTGACATTCAAAGTATTGGAAAGAAAAACACCATTATTGTTAATCAGGTGGTCTAGATGGAAAATTTAGCGGGTAAGCCGTAAAAAGCTGTATAGATTCAAAATATTTGAAGAGAAAAACGCAATTATTCCTATTCGGGTGGACTAGGTGGAAAATGTGGTAAGGAAACCTAATGAAGCTGTGAAGCTTACATTATAGACAAGAAAACACGAAATGAGTTTTAATTTGTGGTCTAGTGGGTTTGGTTTAGCTTTGGACCAGCTTTTCCATTCTCAGAATGGCCCATTTATGTTTACGTACAGTGATTAGGTAGCCTGGCGTTTTACATACTTTTGTCGTTTTCATTTTTAGGAGTGTGTATAGAGAGTTACTTTTCTTATCGCTGACAGCTTGTGGAACCGAAAACATTGACGTCGGTAAGGGTTTAAAAAATCGACTTATTTGCCCTGTTTCTAAATGTCCTTGCTTTCTTCACTAAGTAGCACTACTCAGCAGTAAGATTTGGCGGCGTCAAGTTATATTAAAGGGGAAAACGCCTCATCCGGTTGACGTGTGTCACTGAAAAACACCTTTGCTTAAACTCCCTACAATTTCACCTAAAGTACTGTTAATACTCTGTTATAACCTGTGATCAAGTGATTTTTTCCCCGCCCCCAAAAAAACGCCTGATCGCAGGTCAGCTATGTTAGCACTCTGCAATTAATACCTGGTTTAGTTATTAAGGTAATTGCGTTGTTGGTTTCCTTTGTCTTAAGATGCCTTCGACAAAGAGTACAGACGTGCGTATAAGCGTATCCTCGAGTCAAAGAACCACTCAGATCTCCTTTGCCCAGAGGACAGATATCCACCGGCCAGAGCCGTGTACTGCAGGCGCACATTTGACTCTCCCACCCTCCAACCCAAGCTACCGCAGTACCTTGTGAGCTCGTTCACGTGAAAAGGTGGGCAAAACGTCTCCAAGCCAACCATAGACCACGTGTTAGCCGTGGCACGTTTTTCAGTGAGGAACGGATGAGCTGTCGTTCTTTGTTTTTGGTGGACCTTCGCAGATATCGACAGTCGGATGCGTCTGTTGTGAAGGTGGTCTAGAGGGCAATCTTGAAGGAACGGCTTTGCGTTTAGCCTGTCTAGCTAGCAGTTTGTTTGACTAGAGGGATAAACAGCTTTGAAAACGCGCACGCTTTTCGCAGCTCCACAAACAAAACCGCCAGCTACGCAGCTACTTAACGCGCTGTCCTAATCTTCGTCTTAGTGTCCATTCATAATGCAGTGATTCGTCTCATTCAGAATGTCGTTAAATTATTTTCAATAATCCATGGGAAATGATTCAAGCCTTTTATTTTCAAGGCATCTGGATCATAGGAAAAAAGTTAAACTTTTATCGGTGACCATTCCAGATCTGTGTCCACTGTAGACCGGCTGCAGTCTACTTTTATCCTTGTGGTTGCTGTTTTGTCTTCTCTCTGGAAAAGGGCGTGCTTTTTGTCAAACCATACACTCTGAAATTCTTGCGGATTCTTAAGAAAAAAACAAAATTATTTCACAAAATTATTTCACATTCATGTCAATGAGTTTGTATTTCAGTCGTCTTTTTTATCAAATCATTGCTCAGAGCATAGTTAATTGATTACAGTGTGCCTTGAGCGGAAATTATTTTCCCAAGATTTAAGCGAAATTCAGTTGAGACAAATGAAATTTTAAGAGGTTTAGTGGGGATTAGCCCTTTAGAAAAAACAGCCCTCTGAATATTGATGATGTCTACATATTTTTAGCGAACCTCGGCAAATTTTAACATTTCCTGAAAGTGAAAGCTGATAATATATTTATGAATATTTGCAGTCGATTGTTCTGTTAAATCTAAAGAAGTGAAGAACTATCAGAAACGTTTACACCAGCTTATTCCTTCTAATTTTTTCACTCATAAAGTAGTTCGATATAACGCAAGAAGGCTTCACGAGTACTTAACTCGCCTTGTTTTCTTTCATTTTTTTAAAATACCAAGGAGATCTAAAAATTTCAATTCATTGGACAAGTAGGTATTTCTTTTTTGGTAAGTCTGTTCACGTGAACGACACAAGCTCATCACGTGTTTCTCCGTACGAGGGAAATATCAGTCTCTTCGGAGTACCAGTCATTTAAAAATTGCTGGTGTAGATGTTGCTAGTTTTATGAAAGGCAATACCGGTGGCTCCTTGCTGTCTTTAAATGTGTGATGAATTATAAAAATGCTTGGTAGCTTGCTGGTTGTAATTTAATTTTAGACGCAGTGTAGGTCATAATTTAGTGGGCTCAGTTAGGGAAAATATATTGTTCACGTTGAGTCTTCTAGTGACAGGGGCACCGAACGACGGTTTCCTCCTAAATACATTAATTTTTAGGCTATCCAGAATACTTTTAGATCTCTAGGAATGCATTCTAAGCGGCGCTATAAAATTTTGTATCTGTTCGGTCATCCTGGGGGAAGTCTTTTCGAAATTACGAGGGCTTCAGAATTATTTTCCCGAAAATTACATGCGATTTAACGAATTACGAAAAAGAGCATTTTACTGATTCCTCTCTCCATCACATTAATTGTACATGAATGGAACGATCATTTAAGAATTTTTAGCCGTCCTCAAGTAATAGAAAATTCTATGCAATACTTGCCTCTCCGAACAGATATCTTACAGAAAACAGTCGTTGGTTGCCCCTGCATTATTTCTTAACTAAAACACTCTATCACAAAATTCTCAGGGTAATTTTATCGCAGCCGTTTTTTCGGTCGTCACACAACAATTCTAGCCTAGTTGTCCGTGGCGTTAGTTCGAGAAAAATGTTGTTTGACCACCTAAATAGCGGGGCCATGACAGTCAGAATGCAAAGTAAGAATGGCTACACTTCCCTTTTCTTTCCGTGGTAAAGAAAACACGCGCAAGTACGAAATTGCCGCATGTAAAGTCGAGGAGCTCGAGGTAGGTGACTGCAGTGTTCCTTAATTGCCAACACTTCAGATTTCTCAACCCTTTAAACCCTAAGAGTTAAGATTTGAATTCTCATTTGTTGCCCACACTCATTTCCTACAGAATTAATAGGGAGAAGTTGATAAAATATCAAGCAAATTCATCTTGTGTGATCATGTCCGTAATTCTCATAACCACTCTGTTTTACAAAGCATTGATATTACAAGGAGAAATTTGTTGCTGATCACTCTTAGGGCTTAAAGGTTAAAGAATGCTATCTTTCTATCAGTTTTTGTCGCAGTGATGGCACCAGACAAATGCCTATTAATCTGTGGACGAATTGCGATAAGAAGTTACCATTGGTAACCGTACCTAAAGGAACTCTACGATTTGAGAGTTTATGGAAAGAGTTGAGAGCAACCTTGAGTCTTTGATCAATAATGGCGTCTCTAGACCCTTGGTATAACCAAGGTCGCCCCCAGGTGTCTCTCCTAGCTTGCATGAAGCGCGCGATGTTTTTGGGAAGGTACATTGCATCACATGGTGGTCGCGCTTCCTTCCCATGAGATCCAGTGTGTTCAGTTTTTAGCGAGATGCTGGGACCAGTTTCTCTGAAGTCCCTGTAACTTTTCGACCCCGAAGGCCGAAATCCAGAGTCAAAAGCACGGTCCCCAGCTCAAAAACCAGTCAATTTTGTTTCGTTTACTCAGAGTTCCATTGGAACGTTTTCAGATTCATTTAAACGATGATTTTGGATCTGAACATGGAAAACCTAAAACAGTTAAACGGGACTTTCGAGAAACGGACCCCTGGTTTCTGAGAGCGAAGTAGCTGGGATGTGTTGTTGGCCACCTTTTCTCTCACGTGTTTGATTTTCTTAATTGTTTGCTTTTCATTTATTGAAACACGAAGGCAAAAAAAGTGGGCTGCTGGCAGTCTTATGCGCAGAAGGTATTTACGATATCAAGTATCGAGAAATTGTGAATTATCTTTCATGTTTAAAGTTGATGCATTGTAAGTTATTATTGTACATTTCGAAATCATGTCAATGTTTTTAAAACAAATTGTACAGCGCTTATATAATTTACATTGCTGTAAACGCCGAGATCGTGTTCGTCAGTCTGCAATAAAAGTAGCTTGCTTTTTATCTTTGATTGTTTGGTTGGTTATGATCTATCTGGGCTTTCTAGGTAGTCCCCTAATTGCAGAAATTCAACTGCCCTGCATGGATCCCCGGAGAGGTTGCTAGGGTACCCGGTACTGCATTGGCACAGTACCAAACTTCGTTGGAATGCTACGTTAAGATCCGATTTCATTGTTCGGCTCGTACAACATGTTTGTCACCAAGGGAAGTGCTGACGCTTACGTCAAGGGCTGTCACGTTATGAAATATACTCACGTCAGCTAAAAGGAGCAGAAGACCAGCGCTCAATCGGTGAATCTTGTTAGACAACTATTAACAGCAAGTGACACACGCACACCAACCCACCGCCTGGCCAGCACCTGATACCTGCGCACTGTCATATCACCCCGGCAGTGGCAACCATGGACAGCTGTTTCGCCTATGTTAGGGCCAGGAGCCCATTTGATGGGCTCCTGTTAGGGCTCATCAGCATGGCATAACCGTCGGGCCTTTGAAAGGACAAAGTATCAGAGGCCGTTTACTGCTGAGGCGAGTGCAAAGCACTCTTTTTAACGCCAGCTCCATACAACACATGATGGAGCTTAGTATTGGGTTGGAACCGCACTGTAGTTCTCCCACGACATGTGCTGGGAAGGCGGATCAACATTTCTGTCGACCTTGCGTTTTTCTAAAGGCGCTGCAGTGATGACAAGACAACCAACTTTCTCTCGTCGAAAGTTGACTTATTTTACGTTTCTTTCGTCTACATTTGTGTTACAGACTTCAAGACATGTGTTAAATAAAGTAATCTCGTTAGCGTGTCCGATTCTATCGTCTAGTAAACCTGTTTTAACACAACACTTGCTGAAGTTTTACTTGGCGGCCGATCGTTTGGCGTCTGGTTAGCTTGGTGGTTTAGTCAAACTATGCATTATGCAAAGCAGCTGAAATAAAAGTTGCTAAAAAACCTTTTGCTTAAAAGTTGCCGAGCACAATCTGGACAGGCCCGATCTTGAAGTTGGAAACGATAGCGCCGACAAAGTCCCTCTCTACTTGCAACCACAGGCGGTAACCACCCAGTCTTTCATTTGCTTCAGAACGTAAGTACTTTCCCCTGGCCCACCATAGTACAACATAGAAATGGGGGCCATTTGTGTTGGTGCACAGCAGGGGGCGTTGGCATATCCGGGAGTTTCCTGGTGCATCATTAGCTGTATCAGAGCGTGGTTACTCTGGGTGTTATCGTACCGATCCAGGCATGTTCCCGCGCAGTAGGAAGCCGAGTACTGTTTAGGAGCGATGACCCACTTGTCCCATCCTAGGTCCTTAAAGTTGATGTTAAGTTTTTGAAGTCCACACTTACCCTTATGACTCGATTGATCTGATCTACGATCTCTTGGGACTCTCTTAACAGTGGATCTCTGTAACGCAGCAAAAAGAGAACTCGTAACACTGCAGTAAGCGACTATGAGTGGCTGGAAAGTGGCGTTTTTTTGCCGCGTTGCAAACCGAATTGCATTAATGGTGAGGCGAGGTGATCCGGCTATCCTTACAGAAACGCCTGCGTTAGTTTGTGGCTTGCGTTTCCAGCGGAGGATTATGCCCCGTGGCAACTCGAAGCTTATCCAACCAACAGTTTGTATGGCTACAAGTTTGGATGCAATTTCCCTGCCACTGTAAATGTCATGGATGGTGACCAACAGGCTGGAACGTGAATATGAGGCATGATTCGAAGGATACTTGTAAAGTAGAAGTTTTGCAGATTTCAAAATCTCGTTTGTAGGAATCGAAACATTGAATGTGAAGTTGCTGTCGTTGGAACCATCTATAACAAAAGGAATAGAAAGAAGTTATGTCAAAAAACAGTTTGATAGTGTTTTTTAAATGCCTACTAAGCATAAAACAAAATCTCGGTAAATAAAAAAAACAAACAATTCAGAACAGTAGAGAGACGGTCCTTGAAAGATCAGTCACCTTTAAATTGTATTTAAAACAACTAGATGGTGATTGAGAATTGAAGCTTTAAAAACTTAAATTGAATTTTAAAACATTTATTTTTAAAAAAAAACGCGCAGTAGTTTTTGAAGCACTTTTTCCTTGGAAGTGTTTTACATTAAACAAAACCATGTCCGTCGCGACTCTGAACAATAAGACACGCTGGGTTGAAATTCTGCACCCCTCTTTGGGTAATGTCAAACTCCAACCGTTGCCCACCAAACCCTTTCCACCCCCGCCCTCAAGAAGTTTGTGTTAACCCCCTCTTTCTGGGGACCCAACATAGTCATCAACTGCCTGGGGTAAGGATATGCAGAGGTAGTGTGTAAAAACGTTTTGAATCGATGGGCACACAAATCTTCTTTTTTGTATGCACAGATGTGCAAAACGGAAAAATCTTTTTTAAGGCCATGTCTCTAATGAGACGAAAAGGATATAGGTATATTTTTTCGGCGATCATTTGACAAGCTTTGTTTCAGTTCAAGACAAAACAATTCAATGCCGCGAATTCTAGATATCTGTTGAGATCAAGACCTTCTCTTTACAAAATTTGATACAAACTTCCGACGTCAGCTATTATAAAAGCACCGCGACCATAAACAGGAAACGTCGTTTTTTTTTTTTATAAGCACGCATGTCTCATGATGTCTGTAAAAATGTGAAACAAAGGTGTTGTTGATGAAGTTTATGAGTGCGTAAGTAATTTCATTTTCGCCAACTGCTAGTTCTTCTACTTCGTCTTCTTCGTCCGTGTTCTTAGTTCCACAGTCTTAAAGTCTTCTCGTCCTTACCTTAAGCTATGTATTGACTCACACCTCTGTTCCAGAAACACGAAGCTCTACTCGCTTATCATATCGGGGTTCTTAATCAAATTTTTGGTTAGCTCATTCATCACGGAGCTTTCTGTTTTCTTCTTTAATTTTTTTTTTTTTTTTTTTCGGTCAACTTTTTTCTACCTTGAATTTTTGCTGATCTACGTTGTTTAAGAAAGATATAAATGACTGGTTGAAAAAAAAAAGCACTGAATAGTTCCAGCAGTTTTTAATTTTAGGTTGTTCGAAATTATCGAGCCAACAACAGAATGACTACGATAGAAACATCCATCTTTGACTCCGAATTCCACCATTTCAATTAGTTTCTCTAGAGTTTGGCGCGAACTTGTTAAAATTGGGGAATACCTGTAAATAGAAACTCCTGAGACAATTACTCAGAACTCAATGACTACTTTTGTGTCTTGTGACCGTTTCAAACATGCAACAGTTGGTCCAGTCTATGATCAGTAAGTTACTTCTCGATATGTCCTGGTTTGTAAATGGCTCAATATTGGATTACGGTCGCTTCTATCGGATATAGTCTCCCAACAATAGACGGCTTCATACAGCTGTTTCGCCGGTGGAATACTAAGTTCAAGAGTCTAAAAACTGTCCAGCCCCCGCCAGCCTTAAACTTTATACCCGCACCATGTAGAAAAGATACCCCTTTCGTGTATCTTCAACTGAAGAATGGTTTTCCTTTCACGTGCTTACTGGGGAACTCTACATCCCTTTTCTAACCGTAAAACAGAAGGTCTGATGTCCTTGCTACATGTATATCAATGCAGCGTTTAATAAATTACAACATGATACAGCCTGTGTTCGAATAATTTTAATGTAGGACCATTTTATAACCCACAGGACAGATTTTTCTTACTTCATTATATAATTCAATTTAATATACACGTAACCTGCGTACTCTAAACCTTCTGTATGGAGCTATACTAATGTTCACGATGAGTGGCTCGGCTGTAACGCAGGCTAATATACACGAAGCTTGAAAAAAGGTGCCTTTTAGTTTTGTTTCATTTGAATCACAAACTAATGCTACATGCTTTTAAAGCAAAATTAACCATGTAACCAGCAAAAAACAAAATGTGGTGCCCTTCCAGCCTAAAACTAGGGGCACTCAACGACTTTTTGTTGTAAAATATTTTAAAAACTGTTTGAAGGAGCAAATATTGTGTAAAAAATTGTTAAGCTCGAAAAGGCTAAAATTTTCTGGATAACCGTTCTGTTTGTCTAAGAAATTCGGAGTTTTTCTCCTCACTTACCCACGTTTTCAGCAGCACGATACCGTCATTATTGTTTAACTGAAATTTTGGTATAAAAAGACAACGTCCACGGTTATTCCATATCTTCGAACTTTCGATCTCACTCATCGGGTAGATAACAGTTTCACAGGGCGGATAAGATGAAAAAACCACCTAAACTTTCGAGGCAACCAAAGTTCGCGTAAGACTGACATTCTAACCGATAAATAGCATTTAGAGCAGCTCGAAATTAAGCAAACAGGCTTCTAATGCATAGAGAAAACCATATGAGGCACGTTTAACGTATACACCCATAAGCCCGATTTACAAACGATACGATTAAAGTCCACTTTCAAAGCAAATAACTCACCATTATCGATGAATCCGTGAATATGGTCTCCCATAAAAGCGTCCGGATTAGTCAATTGTCCGTTTGATTTCGAGATGCGCAGGAAAAGCCGAACCATGTAGTCTGATGCTTGTATATCTCCGAGGGGGTTTGATCCCGACAGGTTTTCCGACATAGGTGGTAGGCCTTCTGGTTTAGTATTCAGTGTGCTTAAAAGATCTCCGCTGTTTGTTATGTTTCTTTTCGCAGACTGAGTAACATTGCTGCCAATACACAACAGCGAAAACAAATGGAGAAGTAACTGTGGCGACATTGCCATGATTTCATAAGTTTTAATCGTGGATTGCGCGGCGAGTGGTTAACTGTGCCCAGCGAGAGAGTTAAAACACAGAAGTGGAAAACAGATATAACTGTTAGAGAGTTTATATAGCCAAATCATGGCGCATCTGTTCAGTGTCTGTTTAATGTTGAAGGAAAGTTATAAAAATAAACAATTAGAGGTAAAGACAGCCCTTTAAAATATAACTCGGTAAGGGATTTCCTTTTCGGCTTTTTATTATTATTATTATCCCGATTTTTCATTTTACAGTGTGTCACACGCTGATACGCGATCCCATCAAGGGATCAGGGGGAGGGGTACTCCCTTACACAAGTCATATAGGTATTTGTCGCCCCAAAGAGTAGGTTTTTTGCACCGGTTCGACCTGAAAACGGGTATAGATTTTGCCCACACTAGTCTGGAAACAGGTATGGTTTTCGGGGAAACTACGGGAGTGTATGAACATATTTGTTTGAATCAGAAAGAACGAGTAATATGCGAAAACGAAATGTTTGAGTTCTAGTCCAAAAGTGAAGACTTATGATGTGCCAGGCGCTCTCTTACATATGGGCTAAAACACGACAAGCAAAACAATATCACCAACGAAAATGTTAAGGTTTGATCATACTGCTCCAAATGATCAAACTTTGCTGCAAACGAGTTTGAATAGACCCTGAGCAAAAAAACACGTACTTGATAATTTGTTTATTTTTACTTCATCCTCATTATATGTCACATATATCTAACTTTACCACATTTGTCACCCTTTTTTTTGGCAGAGATGGGCTTTTACACGCTCTTTCCGGATCAAATGATCTGAGGAGTTAAGCTGTTAGATCGACCAGTTCGAGATCAATGGAGATATCATCCGGAAATTATGATAACCTGAAAGCACTGAAACCAACGAAGGTTTATTTTCGTACAATCCATGATTGTTCTCCAGAACTACAACAGCGGAAATGAAGTGGAGATACTACCGATGGAAAAGATAGAAAAAACTCTTTTGAGTGAAGGGTCCTCGAATCAAAGGGTTTCTATTACAAATCCCGATTATTTTCTCAGCGATTTCGGTAACATGCAGCAAATCATGTATTCATTGCTTATGCGCTAAATAATGCTAATAACTACTGAAATGAAGAGATGGGTACATCTTGCCCGCTCGGGATTTGCCGCCTTCGCCGGCAAGAAAAATTTCCCTTTTCAGTCATATAATAAATTCTTTATTGATCAAGCTTGTTTAATCAAGATGGCTTTATCTTGGCCTCGTTCTTTTCGTTTGTCGTTTTTATCGACCTTGACTTCGCCTCGGCCAACGACGTTATACTGAGGAGGAGGCCAATATCCAGTCATCTTAACCTCACGTTTGGTAAACCGAAAACAGTTGTATAGAATACAATTCATGGAATGTGCTGGCGTACGGTATTTACGTACGAGTTGTTGACATTTCTGATTCAAAAAGCGAGTGCGTATTAATAGACAGAATTGGTATTCCAAACTTTACAACCTCGTTAAGTAATTATGGTTACATAAACCCTCCAGTTATACCCCCATCTTGAACAATATCCCATGTTCTTCCCGTCAGAGGCACGATTATGTGCGAGCTTCTGTTCCCGTACCATGGCTATTCAAGATTGCTTCAAAGGCGAATCCCCGTCTAAGCACTGCTGATGGTCCCCGCTCGCTGATACTTGCGTCCAATATTGTCGACACCCCCGCATAGAGTGGCAAAAGTAACAGTCTAAAACCGTTGAAATTTCCGCTAAAGCCCTGCATTCCCCTGAAACCCGTAGATCCAAAAGGCATTTATTTATTATTTTCTGGGCCGGAACCCTCTCTCTCAGAGATTGGGTAAGCGCCTCTCCCCCCCCCCCACCTCCCCCTCAGGATTTGAATCTGCCCTGGATGGGGCAATGATCAACCAGTGCTTTGTTCAATTCAGTCTATCCCACAATCTTGGACAGCAGCCTCCCCCCCCCAACCCCCGCCCCTAGCCTGAGTCGCAGACTGTCTAATTACCCGATATATATGACTATATCGATTTCTCTATTTAGTTCTCGATCGAGTGACAAGTCCTGCGATGCAGGCTACAAATTTCCAATCTCGGACAAAATAGACAGAAAATCTAGTCCCCCCACCCTCCTGCAAAATCAAGGGTGAAGCAGAGCGAAAAGTAACTTAAAGGCAGAATTTTCCCCTCCTTGATTTTGGGCCAGGGGGTTTAGATTTTCCATCTATTTTGTCCGATCAGTAGACAATAGTAGGCAACTGAGTTTCATGCCAGTGGAGAACAAACTACAATTGTAGTTCCTACCTATACAGTTATTAGTATGGTAAGTATTATCAAATGTCATTTATCTTAAAAGTGCCAGTTGAAAGTGAATAGAGAAGTGTGTTTTCAAAACAAAAGGCTGAATTTTAATTAAAAAGTTTCATTTGTACAGTCTCGTGATCTGTAAACTGAAAAAGTTTTTATTAGCCAGCACGTTACAGTGGAGTAGTGCTGACTAGCTATCAACTAGTCTTAACACCTGAACTGTGAAATATAATAAGTAAAAATGTTCTGACTATGCTGATTCTAGATGATACTAATTCTGCTTAATTAAACTGAGATTCTGGGAAGGCAAGCTAGTTCTTACCCGTTAAGTAATTCAAGTTATGTTAACTTGGTACAGCAAGTGTTATCACATTTTTAAAATGTCCAGTTTCTTTTAATGTAAGTAAAGAAGTGTCTCTTCAAAACAACAATTCTGAATAAAAGTTTCATTAAACAGTCCTGATCAGTTTTATGCTGCTTGGGGGCCTCTAAAACCTGCAAACGGAAAATAAACAACCTGATTATTTCTCTCACGCTTCTTCTTCCTCTTTCAATTCCCAGTCTTTCATCAAGCCGAGGTAATTGCCTCCGTAAAACCTGAAGGTTAATTGTTTTGTTGATGCTTAGGGTACAAATGTTTTGCTAATATGCCATTTGCTATACATAAAAAGGGGTTGTTTCTTGGTGTTGAGGAAACTATTATTGGTTCGCTTTTGTTTTTCAATTCGGTGCAGGGGGTATAAGTGTTCAGTGTCTTTTCATTCTATTTCCGGCCGGTATTACATTAGCCTAAGAAAATTACCCTAAGTCAAGTTTTCTTGTTGTTGTTATGAAGAACACATTAATAGTTTCCGTCTGGTAGAAACACCAATGACGAGGTTGACAACGAGACATAGTTGAGGGGCCACTCTTTTGACGTTCTTACAAGTTTTAACTGAACACACCCATATCATGGAAAAATCGAATCTATATCACTGAAATGAAAGCCCAAACGAATTTGGTGGCGCGTATTTCATAACCTGTATACTGATATACTGTACTTGTGGCCTATCTGAGCTAGTGGGGGTAAATTGATCGGCAAAAACTAATTTCTGTTCGAACGTTCTGGTAGCCAGCTTGAAAATGATGAAATAAATACGCTAAAATAAGATATCAGAAATCAGAAAGTCTTAACTGATCACAGTCCACGCGAAAAGGAAAACTTCTAAGACTTAGCTACCTTAAGATCGATTGGAAAACGCAAATCTTGAATGTAAGAATTATTTCCCCCGCAGGGATTTCGCTTAGAAGGCAAAATCCCGAGAAGGGACGCTAGTAACTCGCGTGTATATACTTACAGCTGAAATATACAGTCATTATGCCAGAAAAAATGTGGACTTGCTTGAACAGGGGCCGCGAGGAATCGGTAAGTAATGATGGCGTTTCTATTGTTCGCGCCCGCAAGTACGAGATAGTTAGGATGACGTAAAGATAGAAAATCCCGAAGGGACCGCTTAGATAGATTTTGTAACATTCATTGAACAGTCATACTTCGATACCCATTCGCGTTACGTGTTATCAGGAACATTTCATAGGATATGTTACCCTACATTAAACTTCACGGCGCGCCATAGCGGTATCTACACAACGAAGTCTTCGGATATAACGAACGATTTTCTTTACTCTAGTAATAGTAAAATATTTGAAAAAGAACCACGATATAACGAAACCTCGTCATACAAATTTTGCCAGTCCCTTGTGCCCTTCGTTTTATCAAGGTTCCACTTTATTGTGTTACGATAGGCAAGATTTATCTTGACTGCTTTTTCTGAGGCAGCAGCATGTTGTTTAGGAGCGCAGAGTCTCTTCCTGTTAATGTTATTTCCAGTTTTATATCCGACTGACAGTTTCGTTGCAAATAATAATAGCTTGTGAGGAGGTTATTCTAAGGATGATTAGGAGTTCCCCTTTGAGGAAGCTGTTTTTAACAGTCGTTTGATAAAAAGAGCGAGATGAAATGTGTGTCCAGGAAGCTTTCAATTTCCGATGCCTTATAATGAGTCTTTTTTATCAAGAATATATTTTTCCTTGAATCTGTTCAGCCTTTGAATATAAACCATGTCTAAAAGCATAGTCCCTTAGTGTCAGATATCTCGGCCGTGACTTTATCGCGGTGACGAGAGTATAAAAATCTTTGGTTCCCATTGATTAGTCCACGTTCTATATGTTTAAATTCTAAAATGACTCCGAGCAACGCTGCCGAGCCATGATACGGTCAAAATTGCAGTTTTTCAAGAATCCATTGTCTCTCAATTCCCGGAAGAGACTTCAGTGCTCAGTGACAAAGGAAACCAAACCAAATACAGAGTATAACCAAAAAGTCTTGGAGTCATGTTAGAATTTTAATATATTGATCGTGGGCTATTGGAAAGAACGAAGCATTTCCCGGAAAACACTGGGGAGGAGACTCCAGACTACTTCCGCACATTTTAGGAAACTGCAGAGTAGGAAGCCCCTGATTTAGTCTGATCTGACGTAAGTGGGCGAATTGCGTTTCATGCTGGGCGGGGGAGGGGGGTGGGGGAGGTGGCAGGACAAGCGCATAATTCACAAGATTGATAAGGTTCCGAAAGTGGCCATGGTTTTATAACTCGTACTTTTTAAAGTGCTTTCTTGGTTTCCATCATCAAATAACACTACTGCTACAGTTTTCGCAAGTAATAATGCTGAAGAGATTTTAAAAGTATAGATGTGCGCTCGCTAGTAAAAAATAAGGATTTGAAAGTCAAAACACAGCGAATGGATTCGAATGTAACACAGCGCGTCAACAGGGGTCACTAACAAGTTAGATGTATGAAAGGGTAGCAGCCTGCCTAGCAAGCGTTTCTAATAGAACTTGCTACACAGGCTAAAGGGTAGGACAATATGACATTTAGCTTCAAAGGGCCTACCCTGGGGCTTGCCTGCGCGTGAACAATTCATTTTAAACGTTGCCAATGTGAAGAGTTCGGAAGTCACACAGTTCTTTGATTAATCTCGCACTTCTATTTATTTCTTACTGTACGACGTCTTCGCAATTCGCTTGCTTTCAGTCATTTTTTTTTCCAATTCTTTTCCGCACGTGTATGAAGCTTTTTAACTTGTTTTCTGAAAAAGGGGAAGCAGGCGGACGAGCAAAGTCTAAAGAAAGGACTTTGGTCCTGATGTTCAAGCAACCTAGGACATGTTCTCAGTTTTTTGACATGATGATGAGTCATACTCCCGGGCATTTGTTGGTTTATGCTTCCGGGTGTCGTTATCAAAAGGAAATGTATTGTGCAATCAAGTTCAGCCGGTTATTCGCCAAACAGTGTTTTGGTATGAAACCAGATTTTTTTACTCTAAAAGTGATAAGTGAAAGACAATAGTTTCATCCAAAGCATATTTTAGTGAAGCGACTGATCTTAACTAAACATCACCAATTTCCCGATAATTAGATCGATATCCCATATTGCTGAAAACCTTTTCTCTTCGGGCATGGTGTGTGGTTTCATGAGTGGTCTGACGTTTTATAGTGTGATTGATGTCTGAAGGGGGCTTATCAAATCCGAGGATTTATTCCTTTGTGATATTTTCTGAGATGATAAGAAATGCAGATATCCAATAAATTAAAAGAACAAAGGGTAATGAGAGACTTTTTTTAAAAAATTCAGCATGTAAGAAGGGGGCCTACTGCGTGGCACGAAATTTCTGCGGGAGTTTATTTTTGCAGCTTGGCGATTTTTTGTGTTTTGCGGGAACTAATTTTTGCGATTAGGCCAGATTGGTTTTTCTTGCTGGGAATTAATTTTTGCGATTTTCAGTAAGTACCCAGTACCGAGCATTTATAATATTTTCAGTTTTTTTTTTTAGTACGTGCAATAGAAATACATATTTTCAAAAAAATAAACCAGTATTTCGTTGTTTCTGAATGAAAGAGACAAGTTGTGATCTAACAGACACGGTTTCTTAGTATTGTAGTTTCGTGTAGCGAATTTAAGTTTATTTTTGCGGCAAAAATGTTTGCGCTAAGTTTTTTTGCGGGAACTCATGTATCTTTGCGGATCGATGGAAAAAGCGCAAAAAACGTAAAAATTTCATGCCACACGTGATTAAAAGCGAAAAGGAGAATGGGATAAAACGTAGTTAATAACAATCAATCCGCTATAGTAAAAGTACGTTTACTGCGTAATTTATGTTTTGCACCGCCAGTAAAGTCTGTTTCACGGGCGTTGTCTTTTTTCTTTTTTTTTCTATGGACTTTCTTAAAAAGCGACGTGATCATCGCGGTCGAACCGTTTCCTTACGAAATTTGAGGACAGCTTCTTCCGGTCGAACTGTTTCCTTACGAAATTTGAGGACAACTTCTCCTGTATATGTATCTCAGTTTAAGACAACCTGTCACAAAACAATTCATTCTGTTCTAAATAATCACTTTTAAAGCATATTTACGCCCAAGGTATAAGTACCACAACTTAAGGATAGTTGTGACACTCTCTAGCACAACATTCAGCAAAATGCGGCTTGATACGTTCTTTGTATTAGTTCTTTTTGTAAGTTTTTTTCTTTGCTCTGTCGATTCGTGGCGCCGTAGGCGACGCCGTAGGCGCTGTTATCGTAATTGTACGCCGGGAGGTTGGAGTTCATGGACCAGTTGCACAAGAGGTTGTGGCACAGGTACACAATATCGCACGAGAGGCATCGCTGTACCCGCTCGGTGCGGAGGTACCTGCAATGTTGCTTTGACAGAAAGAAGGTACTGCAACACATACTGTTGCCGCGTTTATTGTGCCTGGAACTGGAATGCTTGGAGCCCATGCACGGGTTGTGGAATGTCCCAACAAACGCGCACAATGCGTATCACTCGGTATCCAAGTTGTGGAGGAACATCGTGTCCGAGCCAACGAAGTCAGACGCGAAGTTGTAATACAGGGGTGTAAGTACAAAAGAAAGCGTTATAGTAATAGTTGGTTATTTAATGGAGAGTTTCCTTGGTTTTGTTATTTGAGTGCTTATTCATCTACTTCTCTTCCTGCTTTGAACTGTACCTGAAGATCTAGTAAGTGTTACGTCAGCTATTTACATTTATCTACTAAGTATGGGCTCAGTGGCTACCAAAACAATGTTTATTTATTTTTCTGGAGCGATTTCTTTTTCTTTTTTTTTGTGCAAAATGTTTCCTTCTCTTGACTCCACTTCAATTTCCAGTTTCTACAGATTCTCTTCAAGAATTTCAAGAATTTCAGTCAAAGCGTTGATGTTAATTTTATTGATCCAGTGAAAGATTTTCTCGTTGAGGAAGTGAAAGAATAGAACTTCCGCGATATTCTATCCGGTCGAACTGAAACGGAAGGTCATAAAACGTTTATGTAAGCAATTTTATAGAATTACGGAAAGTCTCAAGTCACGTTTATACCCGCCGTAGAGCTTGACTGAGGAACCCGCTCTAACGTTTTTCTCCAAATTGAAAAACTGGGGTTGTAAGGTTGAGATTGTCAAGAGCTAGATAGTGAAAGTGCGAAATCGACATGGACATCGTCCATGATATTAGTACGTCGGCGGAGCGCGAAGTAAAGGATTCGCGACGCTCAGGAATGTATCAAAGTGGACATTTTTGAGACAAGATTGGGCACGCAAGTCTGTAGGCTTTCAGTTTTATTCGGCTATTTGACGAAGTGAGAGGCGAATTAGTTCAGGATATCTCGAGACCACTTCGACTTCGTTGATTTATTCTTTAACTTTTTCGAGGAAGAAAGAATTGTTACTTTGGTTTTCCCGGGTTTGAACCGACTCACCTGTGTGACCCGTCAGATCAGAGAAGACTCTAAGTTGAGGGATTAGCCAATTGCGCTACAGTTCTCTCCGCCAGTGAGATCACGTAATAACTCTTACATTAACGAGTTAGAAATAACCTTATTACGCACCAAATATGTTAATGATCATTATTAAGATGCTCAGATTTGTGGAAAGGCAACTCATTTTCCATTAGTATCACTAAAATAAGCGAGCCCTCCGATTCTCGGGTCCGCTTTGGCAGTTTCCACGCTGAAACTCTTGATTAACATTATTTTCTTTTTTAATAATTGACAAAAACCGCAGAGAATCACTTACACCTTGACATTCCACTACCATTAATCCTCGGCAATTCAGCGATTACATACTGACACGCTTGTTAACCAACTTTCGTAAACCCGTAACCACATTGCTTTTAGTTTTCGTCCATATTTCAAAAGAAATAGACCAAATATTACATCGCCATGAACGTCAGTTAATACCATGATAAAGACTTTTGAAAAGGCATGAACACTTGTACTCTTTCATATTAAGCTTTGGCATAGATAGGTTTTGCCACAGCACGTACGTTGGAAGTAGGTCACGATATTTTCAACGGTTATGCTTAGTCAGGTTTTTGTTACAAACTAGCAGTCTTTCATTCAGAAAAAATCAGGGGAAAAGAAATAAACATAACTCGGAAATACGTAATTGAAAAAACCACCAACATAACATACATTTGAATCCAAGCCTTGTAAATGGTTACAAATTGTGGTAAGCTTTGCAAAAAGTCGGGACATTCCCCCGCCCAGTATTGTCATCCGTTCCCTGGTAGATTTGGGTTGGCTTCTTTATTACTTCCGTGTCCTTAGAGATATCGATTCGGTCAAAATTTATCTGAGGCCAAGGCAAGTGCCAAATTATTTAAAATGCGGTCCTAGCCCCAAGAACCCGCAAATGATTATGACGATAACACGGAGAAACAAAACAAAGCACGCGACATTTTGATCTTGTCGGGAATAGTCGGGAACTTTGCGCAAGGGATCCCACGGGCATGAATTACCTAAGGGCTGTTGAATTAACCCCTGTTCCTAATGTTGTCAGACTGGGAAAGGGGAAAACTGGTACTGGATCTTAACAAGATTATTTTTATTTTTGACCGTTCTGTAGAAAAATTTGATAAACAACAAGTAACTTTATTCATTTATGACGTTGGTGAGCAATCAACAAAAACTTTTTACCTTTTTTTAACGAAAGTGCCTTTTATTGTATTATAATAACAGACAGCCCAAGCATACTATGTGTGGATTCGGGTCAATATTCCAACTTCCATCTTCTCCCCAATTTGTTGGTGATGAGTACGCCACGCGCCTTCTATATGGCGGTCACAACAACTAGTGACGAAGATTATCACGAAAATTTATATCTTTGAAAAAATAATGAACGTTTAATTGCTTTCTTGGCTTATATTATCGTGCGGAAATGAATGTAAGTGGGTTGACTGTGACCCCGTTACGTCATGTGCTAGGTTTGCGTCTGAAAAAAAGAGTTTTCTCGTGTGTGTAGGCGATGTCGTAATACTGCTGCGTTCATTGTGAACAAGAAAACATGAGTCATATAGGTCATCTTATGGGCCATGGGGTTTGTTTTGAAATTTAATATGTGACATTACATTCCTACTATTTTACAGGTACTGTACAAATACCTCGATCTCTGAAGAATTATACCAAATTGAAGGGGTTTTATAAATTGATAGTAGGGCTGTCTCTGGAACAAAGAAATTAAACCGCGCTCTAACTAAGACGCGAATTCAACGTTTCGTAAATTTTAATCGAAGTACTAGTAAAGCTGCAATAAATGATCATAAATGGTGCTGGCCATATATGGTGATATTGCCGTATTTGAATGAATGAATGAAGAGTCGTGGATGAGAGGACAATAGACGTACCCTCTTACAATACATTTTTTTAACATGTGAACAGTAAGCTCGGACGTCAGCATACAAAGGCGCCACTGGCAGCCGCTCTGAGTCCATTTATGAGCTTACTGTACCCACTCAACCTACGATGTGAATGATGTGATGTGTGAAGGTTGACCACACTACCGGGGTCTACGTCCCCTACTCTTTTCGAACAGTGGTGTGGGTTCTTTCACGTCCCACAAGAACCAGATAAGTGCAATTGCTGTGAGACGGGACCTACGGTTTTTCGTCCTTATCCGAGAAGACTAGAATGTCTAACCATTTGCCGATGTCATAACAAAAGCAGTATTTTCTTCTCAGTTATTTAAAGACCCTGAGTGTTGGTCCGGCCGGGGTTCGAACCCGTGACCTCCCGCTCAGCAGACCGGCGCTCTCCCAACAGAGCCAACTAGGCGGCGGTTTATACCAGAAGACGTCTTAGACGTCCAGACGCATTAAACGTCTGACTGTTAAGTGTGACAAGTATAAATACGGGACGCCCTTAACTTTGAGGCTAAAAAAAGCAAGAGACTGGAAACTAATAACATCAACCACAAACGCCTTCGCGCCTCTTCGCGCCAAAATATGAATCGCTGTTATGGATGTAAGGCGCAATGGACCCTTCGTTGTAATTCTTAACGTCGACGGGAAAAAGAAGATATAGAGATAGAAGTTTATAAGGAATAGAAAGAGGTCAAGGCAACTGTTTTTGCAACAGGAGGACGAAGATTTGGAAATGGCAGAAGCACTTGCATTGGGCGGTGTGTTGTTGAGCAAGAAGCCCAGGGTCGCTCCATCTTCTCCACTTTCTTCATCATCGGTCTCTGTCTTCAGACAGCATGTCACTTCCTTTGGTAGCGATGTTTAGTTCAGCGTGAGTCTCGGAAAAGATTGGATCCAGAATTTTGAACCATTCGGGGTTCATTTACCGTTGACTTGCCACTGTCTACCTTTATTATGTCCGTTATTTTAACCCACTGATCCTTCATCCATTTGTGTTTCACCCTCAGCTTCGGAATGGGTGTGTTTATCGGTCCGTTGCTTTCCTTTCTTTGGCAGATCTTCCTCTTTATCCTTCCCCTCGAGTAGCCGAGCATCCAGCTCTTTCTTAACTTGTTCAAATATATGTATATTGGCAGACTTCTTCAGAGCCAAAGTTTCTAAAGTGAGGGCAAATTCACTTTTGTCGTCTGCTAGCACAATGGCGAATTGCTTCAATCAAGAGACTATAAAGGGGACAGAGAGGGCATCCCCCATATGCACCCTATTCCATAGGTAATTCATCTCGAGTCATTTTTAGAATCGGGATAAAGTTACCTCGCCCGAGGGGTGGATGTTTCGTGGAGGTTTCGCACGACCAAACGCCGTGCAAAACATGTCGGGCGAGAGGCAATGAAAGCGTAAAAAGATCGAGAGCATTCCGGAATATTGAAGCGAAATGAGTCGGCGCTCACCTGGGAAAAAGGAATCGCTGGACTCTTTGACAACCCGTGAAATCAGTTTAACTCGAAGTTGTCGTACCTCAGTGCTTTAAGAAAATGAGAAATTTCGCCGGTCTATTGAAACCGGTCGTTTGTGCAATTTAGGGAGACGACGCGGACGACAACTAGAACGTCAAAAAAACAATAGGTTTAATTAGCAAAACAACAACTTCGCACGTGCAACACACCTTTTTGTTCATTTCCTTCCCGTTTTTGCACGACTACGACGTGAAAATGCCTAATTTCGCGTTTTATGGAGGACGTAAATAAGCAACGACGAAATTTATTTCTCTTTCTGAGCTTGAATATGGTCCCTTGAAATTCAGCTTTAGGAGGGTTCGCCTACAATTGACAAAGTAAGTGGGTAGGAATAATCGCTATAAAGACTGAAAAAAATAAACATCAAACCAGAAATTGCTCTCTTCAAACTGTAAATTATAAATGATCCTGAGAGAATGTTCAGTGTGTTAAGGATTTCCCTGCTCTACTGTTAGCTCTATACAAGAGAGGAAGGGCGATTCTTTTTTAATTTCGGTTTCGCTGACACAGCTTTCGCAGAAATCTCGCTGTAGTCGTTTTCGTCGACAAAAGGAATAGCAAAATCGCTCTCCGCGTCTTCCCCCATTTTGTTCTGCGTCATTTCGTGAAGGACGCGTGGCTCTCAGCGTGGGTCATCCACGCGGAACACATTCGCGCTATGTGATTGGCCGTTGTCTAATCCCCCTTGAGATATGTGGTGTTAAAAATAACTCGAGACGAATTACCTATGGAATAGGGTATATATGCGGGATGCCCTCTCTGTCCCTTTATAGTCTCTTGCTTCAATACAATACTTTATTTCAAAATAGCAAGCATTGTTACAAACAAGCGCAGTCATAAAGAAAAAGGAAACCCAGAGGTCAACCCTATATTAACGATCTCCTAAAAGAACATAGAAACATGTATATAAATATAGCAATAAAAATATGTACAACTGTGAAAGGTTTGAACCCATTTCAAAAGTAGGTTGAGTTTGATCGCCCGGGTGAACGTAGTCCTGAATAGGACTGTTGTTGTTGACAGTGATGTACATTATATAAAAGCAAGTTAATAAAAATATATGAAAATCAAAGAAACATCTTTAACAAAGTATGGAATGTACATTCAATAAATATTCATGTGATTTTTCAATCTTAGTTTAAACTTGTTGATGTTTGGACTGTCGTGACAATTGATTACGTTACTTGAAAGATCGCTCCAAAACTTGATTATCTTAACAAAGAAGGAATATTTAATACAGTTTAATTTTGCGAGTTTGGTTTCTATCTTATATTGATGGTTGGATCTCGTCTTAGTGCTCTTGCACAAAATGGCTCGATATCTGTCCATTTTCTCTCTCTAACCTCGGGCCGTCTCTTCCCTTTCCTTGCGGCAGCCATTTTCTTTCCTTGGAGCCTCGATTGCATGCAACGTTTTAGCACTTAAGTGCGTGCCGTTTTTATAGTAGACGTCTTAAACGTCTGAGACGACTAATTCATCTGTTAAGTGCGTCGATCGGACGCTTTACTTCAGACGCTTTATTCGTGTGACGTTTAGTGCGTCTGCCGTATTTATACTGGACGTCGAAGTCGTCTAAGACGTCCTAAACGTCTCAGACGTCTTAGACGTCCTCTAGTGTAAATACGGCCATTGTCTCTGTCACGCAAAAAGCTAGTTTCAAACTTTTTTTCTCGATTACAATCAAGTTCTGATACAGAGATGGGTATTTGCTTCAATTACACTCTACATCAATGGATTTGGCTCCACCAGTAAAACCTCACTTATTTTTTTAATGCTCTCAACCACCAAATATAGCCCAAGGTTGTTAGGAAGACTACACTGACCGCGTCGTATGAAAGACGCCTATGGCGTACATAATTTGGACCCCTCAGATAAATACAGAGATAAATACAGTAAAAGTATCAGAAAGACAAACAAACACGCAATTAAATTTTTCGGTTCCGTTATACCTTGGTTTATTTTTTTCAGTAGAGTACCTGCTTCGTGGCTAACCGCTTTACATTGAGGCTCGATTGATTTGGAAGGTAAAAAACAGGTGCAAACTCAAAGAAGGAGAGTGATTTCCGTCACGAATTTCACACGAAGATTAGCCGAAAACCCTCATTGGATTACCGAGACTTACGTGCTATTTTTTTTTTTTTAATGTTTTCCAGTACTTTTTACTAGCTTTTTGTTTTTAATTTTGTTGCTTTAATTTCTAAATTTCCAGATGCTGCCCGGTGAATTGTGTTGTCGGTTCGTGGTCTGGGTGGGGATCTTGCAACGCGCGTTGCGAAAGTAATGGTCAACAGACGCGTAGCCGCAGGGTAACAACTGCGGCTTCCTGCAGCGGTACTCCCTGTCCAACACTGAAACAAACAAAGTCTTGCCGAGGGCCCTGTTGTCGAAGAGATTGTCAGGTACACTCAGTTCACAGATGATAAATTAATTCATTTAAGTTCATTCTAAGTCATCTAATGTTATTTTTAAACTAAAAGTAATTCAGCACATTAACATCTACTGTCCAAAAACCTCGTCGAGGAAGTCGAACCCCGTTACGCGCGTACCGCTTACGTAATGCACACTCCCAACACACTTAGACTCGCCCCGGCCAGAAGGAAAAAAAAAGAGCTATCAAAAAAATTTCATCAACTTTTTTTTCTTCAATCGACTTCTTATTAATAATGTTTCTGCAGCAGCTCTTTTTCACGGTGGCCATATTGTTATGTGCATTGGTAGATGTACAGTGCAAAACCAGCGATTCACAATGCAGTGGAATTTCTGTTCAGGGGACACCATGGGGACCCGTCGAGGCGTCCCCTAAATAGAGGCTGGGCTGAGGTTTGTTAATGATTAACCAACGAGTACAACATAATAAAATCGTCATTAACTTATCTGTGTGAGATTTTATGTTGAATTTACGCAAGTGCAGTAAAATTGTCTGAAGTGAGATAGTTCAGTTTATGAAAGTTTCGATAATTGTGATTAGTGTACACTCATTATTATAAAAGATATCAAGCCTCTCTGTGATCAGATACTCTTTTAGTTCCGGCTGAGGTGTTCCCTGAATGGAGGTTAAACCCAGGTTTCGGGACCCAGAAATAGTGTCCCTTCAATACAAGTGTCCCAAAGGAGTGGTTCAACTGTATTGCTTTTATGTTTCTTTCTTTTTTTTTTTTTCATTCAGGTTAGCAGTTGGTCAGTTTGGGGGTCATGTTCTGCACCTCCAAGCAGTTGCAGCACGAACAGTGGTACAAGAAGTAGAGGAAGAAGAGTGACTTCATATCCCAGCTGTGGAGGATCATCGTGTCCTACATTAACCCAAAAATCTCAATGTACACCTGTTCCAATACCTTGCAAGGTTATTCTTATTATTTGCTGCTTGTTTGTCAAGTGTTTTTTGTACACTTGTCATAATCTTTAACATGAATCGTCATCTTCAAAATCATCACCAGGGAGCTTTAGCAACGACTACAGGTCATCGAAAACTATTGAAATGAATTGGCGTTTTTGCAATAAACCAAACTGAAAGTTTACTGCACGATTAGAATTGTTGTTGTGCTTTTTAAACTAGTTGCTTTTTTGGCGTTCTCTTTGGCGTCGCCGCCGTCGTTGCTAAAGCACCCTAATGTCGATATCAAAACGAGAATTAACCTGCATATTGCCACTCTCATCATTAACCTCAACAGTATCAGTGAGAACATCAGCTTCTGCCCACAGTCACTATCACCACCATCATCATCCTCAGTATCATCATAAACAAAAATAGTCTATAATCGCTAAGATCGCACGAAAAGTCAGTGCAATCGAGCACATTGAGATGTCATTTTGTCTCAGCGTTGGATTACTATGAATTCTGTTAATTGCTTGCTTTCTCAATAAAATTTTCAAAGTCATAAATTCACATCGTCATTAACTCATAGAGGAATATTCCGAATGTAATTACCCATTTTCACTGGCTAAGTCAAAGCCCGCGTGAATTCTCCCTCCGACCATAATAGTCTTCATTACACAACGTGCTATGATTTTTAATTCATTATTTAGATGAATGCGTGGAGCAAGTGGAGTGCGTGTTCCCCAAACAATGCCAAATGCGGAGCTGGAACTCAGTATCAGACACGTACTGTAGCTACCCAGCCATATTGCAGTCCCGCGTGTCCCGCCACGCGACAGACACGCTCGTGCACGCACAGTTGCTGCCCGAGGGACTGCGCTGTGTCGTCTTGGGGTTCGTGGAGTGCGTGTTCTAACATCTGTGGAACAGGTGGGTCATAGAGGGCCTTTTTTTGTACTGATATCTCCTGATGAAGACCTGTATTTAGACATTACCGTCGCCTGTCAATAGGCCCTTCCCTATGGGTTCAGGGGAGATAAATGGGGCAGAAGGAAAACTGCTGAAAGGGTGCTCTTTCACTGTACGCCTTACTCTTGAGCCTGTTAATTCACACGCTAAATTTACAGCTACACCTGTATTAAGTGGTTTCCCTCGGGGATGGCCAACTGGCAGCTTGATTCATGCTTAACCAACTAAACAGAAATCAAGAAAGGGAGATAATGGCAAGGAGAAGTATCCGGAGAAATACAAAATAAACTCAAAAGATTTTCTATCTCGTTGTGGCAAAAAGAAGCGACTGGATTTTCGAGCTCTAAAGGGTATCACACACAAATCTGTTTAGTGCGATGTCATTGTACCTCTTGACAAAGTGACCGTTACAGGTGACGACAAGGACATAATAACCCGATGGGACTTAAGAAAATGTCTGGAAAAAAGTGTGAAGAGCTTGTTCATGTCGAGAACCAATAAATGAGCCTTTGTTCACATTTTATTTTTATATATATATCCATCATTTTGAATTTCAAGAAGTAAAAAAAAATAGATAAAATCATTAAATAAAAAAATAAAAAACAACAAAAAAAGATAAATAAATGAATTAATGAATGAATAATGAATGAGTGGTAAAAAGATGAACTGTAAGTGCCGATTCAAAATCATTCACGCTGGGTTGATCTAAAATCTTCTATTTCAGTTACTCCAGTTTTAAGAACTACCGGCATGTCTGAAAAGGATTAGGTTATTATTAATAATAAATATGAAGATTTTAATCAGATCTTAATGGTTCGCAGGTACAAAGACAAGAACACGGCGCGTTACTGCTAAACCATATTGTAATGGAAGAGCTTGTCCAGCCTTGAAAGACGCAACAAAGTGTTCGCAGTACAACAACAGCGATTGCGCTGTGTCGTCTTGGGGCTCGTGGAGCGCGTGTTCTAACACTTGTGGAACAGGTGGGTTATAAGAGAGCCTGTTTTTTGTACTAATATCTCCTGATGAACACCTCTATTTAGACATAACCGTCGCCTGTGAATAGGCCCTTCGTTATGGGTTCAGGGGAGATATAAGGGGCAGAAAGCAAACTGCTGAAAGCGAGCTCTTTCACTGTATCCGTTACTATTGAATCCGTAAAATTCACAGGATAAATTTACAACTACACCTGTATTAATTGGTTTCCCTCGGGGATGGCCAACTGGCAGCTTAATTCCTGCTTAATTAACCAACCAAACAGAAATCAAGAAAGGGAGATTGTGGCAAGGAGAAATATCCGTAGAAATACAAAATAAACTCAAAAGATTTTCTATCTCTTGTTGTGGCCAAAGAAACGACTGGATTTTCGAGTATTAAAGGGTATCACACACAAATCTGTGTAGTGCGATGTCATTGTACCTCTTGACAAAGTGACCGTTACAGGTGACGACAAGGGAAAAAAACCGATGGGACTTAAGAAAATGTCTGGAAAAAAGTGTGAAGAGTTTGTTTGTCAAGAACCAATAAATGAGCCTTTGTTTACATTTTGTGTTTATATATATCCATCATTTTGAATTTCAAAAAGTAAGAAAAATTAGACAAAATCATTAAATAAAAAAATAGAAAACAACAAAAAAGATAAATAAATGAATTGATAATAAATTAATAAATTGGAAAATAATAAAAAAACAACACACCAGGGGAAAAACAAAATAAAAAACATTGGTGCAGTTAGGAATTCTAAAAAAACGTAGACAAAAATACAAAATGACTGAGTGGCACAAAGATAACCTGTAAGTATCGATTCAAAAGCATTCACGCTGAGTTGATCTAAAATCGACTAGGGTAAAGTGTCCCATTAATATAAGGTTCTATTAAAGAAATTGGATTTGTGCTGCTGTGACTACCAATGTTTATAGAACGATTTCGATGAAAAAAAAAAACTTTTTTACCACGGATAAAAATAGACTGAACAGCGCATGTGCAAATTTACGTTTGGTCGAAGGTACTGAATAATTTCATGTTTTTGACTTTTCTATTTCAATTACGCCAGTTTTAGGAAGTATCGGCATGTCTGAACAGAATTAAGTTATTATAATAAATATGAAGATTTTAATCAGTTCTTATTATAATGCTTCTCAGGTACAAAGACAAGAACACGGCGTGTTACTTCTAAACCATATTGTAATGGAAGAGCTTGTCCAGCCTTGAAAGATGCAACAAAGTGTTCGCAGTACAACAACCGCGATTGCGTCATGTCTTCGTGGTCATCCTGGTCAATTTGCAGCAATGGCTGCGGAAGCGGGCAGTCCACCCGAACACGCCAAATAATATCGCCAGCAGTATGCCTCGGGAAGGCATGCGGGGCTACAACCCAGAGCAGGAAGGGGTAGTGCATCACGTACGCCTTCCGCGAAATATACTAATCTTTATTTGAGTCATATAAACTAGGCGCAAATTGTCCTAAACATTAGTATAGGCTGAACTTAATAACAATTACGAAATGCACCGTAGATGAAGAACGTATTAGAGGTACCACTATTCCTTACTACTTCTAGCCGTTACCTTGTTATCTCTGTTAAACCGTACCTCTATTACCTTGTTGCCTTCAATCATGGACAAAAGTCTCCGGACACTTTAAAAATTTGCATTTCTGGGGCGTTTTCCAATTCACACAGGCCCAACCCCTCCCCTCACCCCACAAACAATGTTGGACGCGTGTATCCAGAATTTTTTCCGAGTTTCAACTTTGTATAGGGCTGGGGAGGGAGAACTGCAAGAAAATTTCAAAAAGGATGCACAGTTTTACAATGGAACCCAGAATTACAGATCTAAAAATATATTGCATTCAAAGTAGACAGACTGCAAATTATAGTAGTTGGTAGAAATATATCTACGTGTCCCAACTGTTCATCAGTAGGATGCCTAAAATGCGTGCAATTCCACAATGGTTTCGGCTCCATTAAATCCTATACCATCTGCAGAACATTTTAGGAGGAGCCACCCACCATGTGAACACAGTCGCGGAAAACACGTAGAAGTGAGGAAAATAACGTAAAGCAAAACTAAGACGTTATTAAACGAACTAAATGTACACGCAACTTAAATAAATAAATAGTGCACGCGCCCAAAATTAAATTGCGCGCGCACACGTACCAAGATACAACTGAAATAAAAATCCAAGTAATAAATAAGCAATGTAAGGATACGATGGTGCAATTCAAGCCTGGATTGCTAATCTCATCTCCCTCGGGGCTGCACCATACTTCTCGACGATAAGACCATGGCGATTGACGAATTACAGTCCCGGGGACTTCTGTCCATGATTGACTGAATCCTGGTTTTTGGGGGAAAAAAGTCAGTTTTCTCCATTTTTCCTACCCTTTTTAGGCATTTTAGAGACAAGTAGGTGATCATATGCAATAATAATGACCTTTGAAATAATTTTCTCAACATAGCAAGTTTTTATAAGACAATTCTCTCATTAGCCATATCGGGCCCATTCCCCTAAACTGGAGCCAAGTACAGCGGAAGTTGGTTAGGCACGAATGTATCGAGCATCCCGCACAGTACTCGGTCGCAAAAACACAGTGTATTCAGGGGCACCCAACGTCAATTTTCGGAAAATATCTGTTCGGAAGACAATTTGAGATCTGGAATTTTCGGAACATTGTTGTAAAATTTCTTGCTTGCCTGCCTCTCTTTAGGATTTTCGAACATCTAACAAATGGTATAATTGCCCATTTTTAACGGATTTTTGCCCTAAAAAGGTCACCTAGAATTTTCGGGAGCCTTTTTTCTGGCTGAAATTTTCGAAAAGGTAAGTTTTGGTCCCTATAACTTTCGGATCACTAGACTTTCAGCTAGAAAATCCGAACAGATGAAAAATTTTTAGGGGATAAAAATATACCTATATATACCGTTTAAATACTAAAATACGTTTAACAATGCTATGTTTACGTCATGTAAGTGGGTTTGAACTATATCCTCGTCGGGTGCCCCTGTGTATTATGAATCGATATTCGCAAAAATTAACTGAAACACGGCTAAGGTATATTTCAACAAAATATTGATTGCATTTGAAATAATATGCTTCAAAGTGAATACAAGAGTATTCGCTCGATTCAGTAAGGAGAAATGATCTTGTTCATGATTTTTTTCTTTCCATTTTAAAGTAAGCACTGAGACTAGAAAGCTGAAAATTGTGTTTTCGCTGTTAATAAAAGCGTCAAAGGATGTAACTACAGATTAATTTTCTCTCATTATATCCCGTAGATGTTAAGATTCTATAGAAAAGCACATATTATCAAGGTTTTAGAGTGAGTACTGTTGGTGAGTACTGTCGAGCTATGCAAACAAGAACGCTCTTAGTAGCGTGAGTCTCGCTTGCTTGGAGATAAGATACAAAATAAGGAGGCGATTAAGACTGTGTCTTAAAGTACACACGAATGACGACGAGTGACTACGAATGACTACGAGTGAGAATTCACCAAAATATGACTTTTCTATTATAATGACATCATTATTACGTTATCTTTAACCACAAATAAAACATTTCTAGAGTTTGAATAATTAAAAAAGAACTTGGAATTTCGTTTACTTTCACCAAAGTGGGTCGGGGACAAGGAGGGACCGGAAAGAATAGTGTAAAACCCTAAATTCCCCCTCCTTTCCTGGCCTTTTTACGTCATAACATGTTACGAAATGCTATCGCGTTTCTTCAGGTTCCGCCATCTTGAAAATCCCGCTTTCCACTCGCTCGTTAGCGTTCCAGAGCAGACGACGATCGAATAGTATCCCATGATGCATTTTTCCAGAAGTATCACGCAATATCGCAGTCATGGCAGATTCCATCGTGAAATAGGATCGTTTTCTCGTCGGCTTTTTTCTCATTCGATTTCCAGTAAAAGTAAGAAAATTACATTTAATATTTCGTTATTTGGCATGTTTTTTCCGATTTGAAATGCCTTAAGAGCGAAGTTTCCACATAGAAACATTTATTTTCATGGTTTCAATTAGTCTTCCCATCACAAAGTGTTCAGTGACCCGCAACAAGGTCATGAATATTCAAGAATTTTAGGGAAAAAAAACACTGACTCGACAAAATGTTAGAAAAAATTGGGTCAACAAAAAGCTTCAAAGAAACTTTCCCGCTTGTAAATAAACCAGGGACCACTTGCAAACATTTTTACGTTCGACGTAAACGCTAAGCCTGGTCAATCTCTTTGTTTCGTACGTCTGAACTTCCTTTATGCAAATTGGCCCAGGTAAGACACAAACAAGAAAAGAACCGCTCACAAAGTTTGGGTCGATTCATTTGCAACATACGCGTATAGCTGTTGCATTTGCCTGTTGGAATTTTTTATTGTTTTCAATCCACAAGACAATAAAAAATTCTAGCGGTCAAGGTCAAATACGACAGCTATACGCGTATGTTGCAGATGAATCCGCCCACTGAAAGAGTGTCAATATCAAAAATATATCTTTTATGATATCGAGAAAAAATCTGAGAAATTTGTTGTTCAGATGAAAAAGAGGAAGTTTCTCCATGCAAACAATTGAAAATACAGAGACAAATTCAACATTACCCCATTGGGGTGGGGCTGCTCCCAACGCACCACGATAAGAATAATGAACGGTCCTCAGAAATTCCCCCTCTCGGCCATTACATCTAAACAAAAAAACGTAAGAAAGTGAACTAGAGTTTGAATTCATATAATCAGATCACTCATCATCAGTTATTTCGGGATATCGATATGCCTTTTAATTTGAAAAATTTTCGAGAAATGTCATGAACGGTTCAGAATAGTACTAATTGCCAAGGAGCAGCCTCGCGAAGACGCGAGGCTGCAAGGCGCGGCAGCCTAACAAAGCCGTGCGCGAAAGTTCCGAGGCAGAATGAATCTCGATAGTTATGTAAGGTAATGCAGGAGCAGAGAATGCATTGTTTTCGAGCGGACACTTGATACAGAGCGGAGAATTTATTTAAAGGGCCAATCCAAGATGGCGCATTGTCATTGACTAACTGAAATATTTGAGCTTTAAACCACCAAAGACACGATAGGCAGTCAAATGGCTTATTATGGGAGCAAACAATGTAAGAAACTCTCAAACAAGTTTAATGGTTTCGTATAAGCAAGCTTGAGTGCCCAGTCATTACGTTCCACAGCCATTTCGTCCCACACTTCTTTTCACGCAGCAAGTGCAGGAAAACCATGTTAAATTCAGGAGTGAATCAAGGAAAGTCAGCGAGACTGAGTAGAGGAGGACGGAAGACTTGCTAGCTGTATAAATGGTTTTTATAGTGACGTCATCAAATTGTAAAGTCAAAATAGCGAGGTTTTACGTAGCCCTCAGCGGCGATAAGTGAGGAGAAACGTCTGCCGTTCGCAGGCTAGGTTTTACGAATTCTTATTTACACTAGGTTGAAGATGAACAAAAAGTAAATCTTTGTGCAAGTTTTCATTCCCCTAGCATGTTTCATTTCGAAAATACAGCAATTTGAACTTCCGAGTTTTCACAGTGCGTGACATCAAACAGGAATGCTGTCCAGTTGAAAAAAGCCTCTCCTCTTGATTTTCAGCAGTATACTCATTTTAAGTATTTCAAGATATGTTTATGCACACGTATGCTAGTTCTCGATTGAAAAGAAAGAGCTTTTATAGAAAAAGTGAACTCCAGATGTTTTTGTTGATTTCCGGCGGCCATATTGGTGGACCAAAACGATCCACCAACATAGCGTCTCCATACAAAGCTCCAGCTGAAAGCTCTACAAAGGCGCGTGAAACGTTTCGGCCAATAACTCAGAAACTGTGGGCCGCAAAGACCTGACACTTGGACAAATTGTTTATACATTAGTCTTTTATAACATTTCATTTTCTTGGCTTCTTCCACTGGACGGTTTCCAATTTATTTTTTCGTTGCGTGACAGTGAAAACGATCTATAGAGATTGCTTATTAATTTTTTTAAATTATTGACTCAGAGGCCATGTGGGCGAGCGGATTAATTGTTTAAGTAAAATCCAACTAGTTGGTCAAAAATATCTTTACCTAGCAAAACGCGATTCAGCCACCATTGTTTTGGTTTTCAAAGCCGGCGCTTCTCGCTACTAGTGGGCTTGACATATAGCCTAGTAGTAGATCAACCAATCAGAACGTAGCATTGTTAATAGACCACTAGCTGGATTTTCCTAAATATAGATATTACTTGCTTATTTATTGATATCGTTAAAATCTAAATGTTTACACAGTTTCTGGAGGGTCTCAATGGGGGTAACCGTCAGCCGTCAAACAGCCTGAAAATTTACCGTCAACAGTCAAAAAAGTAAAGGTAATAATTTTTTTAATCGAAAGGATTAGTGTAAATAGTGCTTTGACTGAATAGTTTTTAAGTGAAAATAATTGTAAATAGGATTTTATAGTTAGCTTTGTTATCATTAAAAGATTTGGGTTATTATTATAAAATTTTAATGAATATCGATTACTTGAAAACCTTTTACATCAGGCTCCAAAGAGAAGACCTCTGCAAGAGATTTTACAATTGCTTGGTGCTGTAGCTTCTTTGCAGCGGACAAGAGGCGGCTCGGTACAATCTTATCAGCCTACATATTAAACGAAAAATGTGGGTAATTATAGCACCTTAGTTATCATGTGTAGCACGATTTATTCAAGTCGGTATATTTCTGTTCAGTTTGTTGTGCGTTTTAATAGCTTTTAATATAACATGTCTTAAGTCAGTTCAAATAGTTTTCCATCACCGCTGCGATCTTCGATATCTTCTTTTAAAAGCCTGTGTAGTTGTGATTTATGCGATCTCAGGGGACAATGTTTAGCCAAACAAAAGCATGTGATCTGAATATTCTTTTTTGAGATTTTTTTTAATATTTATCCTCCACCTTTTGACCGGTTCCACTGGAATGGCATGGCACTGTCTGGCAAAAAGTCAAAGAGCCTGTTTGAGGTAACAGGCTGCACATCTTTCTATAATTGCGTGAAACCGTCTGTTAACCTTTTATATTTCGGAGTTTCTTGTTGTTGTTTTTTTGCGAGACTAATTCCCTGGTCTGGATACCGGAGAAGCAAAGACCACGAGTACCAGGGCACTGTTGTATTGTTAAACATCGGTTTTATACGATCCCTGCTAAAGACCACCCATAGCCCAGATTGGGAGGAGCAGAATTTGCTCTGTTTGGTGCATAAATACCGTACAAAGCACTTTCAATGCATGGTCAATGTGCTATATAACTGTCTATATACATACTGAGACATTTATCATTTTTGGCAGCCTCTCATTTCAAATCGTTTCAAAATGCTAAAATGGTAAAACTTGCCGGTACACACCGCGAAATGACAAATAAAAACGAAGTGTAGGCGTATAGTTATCAAAAACGTGTCAATTGGAAAAAAATATAATGTGGGTAAGATATCGTGCTCAGCTGGCGGTTTTCACTTTGATGGGCTCCTGCTTGGTGCTAAAAAAACCGCCAGCTACATAGGCTAAGGGTAATGATATGAGGTACCGTAATTCAAGAATTACCGTGATGTTAACTTTTTGTTTTGAATGCACATTTGGCTGAGTAAAATGACCGGTTTGGAAATAAACAGAACCTAAATAATTCCGATAAAAAGTACAACTTACAAAACGGATCGAAATCCACCCATCACAAATCCCAAACCATCACCCTTTGAACCCGTTTAAGTAAACGTCTGTTTCCTTAGAGGTCCGCTAGAAAGTGCCAAGCCTTCAGAGTTTGATTGACGTCGCAGAAAAACTTAAATTCCAAAGACGGTGCAGGTCACGTGTTATTAATCCTGGGAGATCCAGGGGCAGCCAGTCGGGCGGCGAGAAAAGGCGCGACGAAATTTTTCAAGCACGGAAGCTTTCTTCGTGTTTTTTCACCGGGACCGACTGACTGCCCCTGGGTTTTCGAGGATGCGTGTTATCCGAAACAGCTGTAAACAGCAGGCTGCCGTAAAGTGAGTGCAATACAGACTTCGTCACTCGTCAGACGAAACGGCATGTGGAAATCATAAGTTTTAAAGTAGAACGTTGAACGATAGCGATGAACATTAAAAAGGCCAAAACGAAGAAAAGAGGAAGGAAAAAAAAAAGAATGAAAATGGAAAGGGAAAAACGAAGTGTTTGTGTTCCCATGACCCTCTGCAAGCCTGATTGGTCTCCTTATAGGGTTGGCAAGAGAAGCAATAAAAGAACCCCCCTATTGGCCGCATTGTTGTTAGTATATAAGTCCCTCGCGTCGAACAAGAAGGTGGCTTTTCGAAAGCCCAGCGCTCTGTAGAGAAGTGAGATCACTGATCGCGAGCTTAAAAATGACCAATTCAAACCAAGCGGTAAGTTCCTTGGTAGTATTTCACGTTTATTTTTTCGGAAATTGGGAAACATCTGTGAAAAATGTCATTTTCTTCAGTCAAAGGTATACCGTGGCGTCATCGAAGACGTGATCAAAAACGTGCGAGAAAGCTTTTTGAATGAGGGCGTAGATGAGCAAGTGCTTCAAGAACTTAAACAGGTAACGGTATCTCTTATAAGCCAAGGCTAAAAACAGGAAAGGTGTTGCTCACTGCTGTTCTTGCGGTCTTACTGAATGAGAATCTTTACTCGACAACTGACTGAAAAGGTTTCTTTATTGGGCCTTGTTAGAAGCTTATTTGTGCGCTCTTATTGTGCGAATATATATACCGGTAAAACTTGTTGAAATGTTGACCATCGTGGCTTTTTTCTTAAACGCGTGATTTGCAAGTCACAAACAGACCATGTGCAACAAGTTAATGTGAAATTGAAAGAGTGTACGTCGTCTTGCCCAGACAAATTTCCCTCGAGAACTGATCTAGTACTTCTTTGTCTCGCCATTTGACCAGTGGCTTTTTTTGTTGGAACATTGTGAATGTGTTGAGCCACACGAAACATATAATCTTTAGCGAAGATGAACTTAAGGTTATCTCTTGTGCAGCGAAATAACGACCGCAAAAAACACTACTCTATGTAAATTCGATGATCGAAATGCGCTGAGGATGTAGACCACTTTAAAATCCCCGATCGAAACTAGCGCTATGCGAAGGACTGGGACGAACTTGCTTGAGGTTCCTGTTGCACCCAACCTATTAGAGGTTTTGTTTTCCCATTGCAGACCATGTGATGTTACCCCAGAGAATTGTAGACTGCGTAGCTGGCAGGATTCTTGTGTCTGGGGTACTTTTTGGCGGCCGAGCCGCCACGCTAAGCGAGTGTCAAAGCCACGGGGTATTTTAGAACCATTTGATTACCCAATAAGAAAGAGTGATGTAATACAAACGAGCAAACGAGCCAGGCCAAGCGTAACAATCAAGTCACGAACAAAACAACAACTTGTTGAAAGTTATTCAGGATCCTGGCGGGACATTCGGCAGTTACCCCAAACTTGAGAGACTAAATCTTTATTAAACGGTCATTTAGCCGCAATGAAAAACTTTTTGCTTCAAAAGAGGTCAAAGAATTCCCTAAAATGCTTCAGAGGTCAAATTCTGTCACAGACAAAATCTAGAGAAAATCAATGCTGGAATGTACCAGAAACACATCAGCCTCATGACCTCTCTATCGCCTTAAAGATAACTTTTGCTCAGTCAAAATGAAGAATCCTCCACAGCATATTGCACCCATTTGTCTTTTGTCTAAGGTGCAGATTTTAAATAATCAAGTGCTCCTTTGATGTTGAGCTCAGAGTTTGCACTGCGTGACAAAAGGCATTATTTTCTGATGTGCTTTTGCTCTATAGCCTATTTACAAAAGAGATTAGTTTCTTTTTAAATAAAGGATAGCAGAGGATGCATCTTAAATTTTGAGATCCATTTCCTTCGAAATATGTCTTTCGAGGATTTCTTTCAAGCGCAAATCTTATTGAGGAGTGGAGCCTGTTTATAGCTTGCTAAATGTGATTTCATTTCTGCATAAATATCATGCATGCCCTAACTTTCCCTTGGGAGATAGTAGAGATATCAATTATCATTTGATCGGCGTTTTATCGCTTCTCAGCTAATTAGAAACCCCACTAAGCCTGGCTGCAGACTATTCAAAATACCCAAGAAGTGTGGCAGGCAGGACTTCAAATTGACTTGTATACCCACCCTTCTCGTGACTCCGCCGCCAAAACAATACCGCACTCCCACCCAGGCAGTTGTGCACGTTAAGAGAATTGTTTCTTTTATATGTTGCCCTATGCATGTGCATATGCGTGCATGACTAATGAAAAGACTAAAGCAAATTCCTTAGAGAATATCACATTGTCTGAATTGGGAAAACAAACTTGCAAGCTACAAAGGTGTATTGAGATATATTGGGTTAGGGTATTCCAGAAAAAATCCACACCCCCACGACGGAAGGCATGCTGGAAAATCTCACGGGAGTGGGGGTTAACAGCTCTGGAAATCCAGATGGGAGGGGGGCTCTGAACCTGAAAATACATCCTCGGGGGTAGGCTTTCAATTTCATCGATGTTTCAATCGCTTCAATCGATAAGTTTTCAAAAAACTGCTTGCCTTTTCAAATTTTATTATTCTTTCAAATTACAGACCTCTTACCACATTTATTTTAAGTTTCCATCCATAGGCTCGCCCTCGTTGCTTTTGTAGAAGCGAGTCGTGCGATAACTTGAAGATATCAAGAAAAATCGCATAATTATTCGTAAAAAACTGCTCAGTTCAAGTAAAGGAAACAATGATTTTACCTTGAATTGTACATTCTTCCAAGGTTAATACTATTTCAGGGTGATTTACCGCTAAACAGGCCTTACAAGTACATTTTGTAAGCCTGGTTGTTCATGATTGTTTGGCGGCCATTTTGAAAGGCAAGTGTTGTGGCAAGTGGTACAGCACGTCATGTAATATCCTGCTAAGTGTCCTTTTTCTTTTTTTCGCAGTCGTTTTTATCGACAAAGAAGAGAACCATTTATTTGAGAACATAGTTAGCTTTGAGCTTTACTGTAGTATATATTGCTGTATATTTTGCCTGTTCTAGAAAAAAAGAGAAGTTCACTTAAATATGAAAAAGTGTAAGCCTGTTTGAGAAGATGTGAAAATGGAATCTTGATGTTCCCAACAAACACAGAATTCATGGAAAATTGAGACTTTTTTAATAAAAAAGATCATCTAAGTGCCTAAAAGGATTCTTCTACATTGAGTATTAAGTAAAATCACAGTGTCTAACAATTTTATGGAAATCCAGATGGGGTGGGGGGGTCTTTGAACTTGGAATTCCTGAGGGGAGGAGGGCTGAAGCAGTTTTGGATATCCAGGTGGATGGGGGGGGTAAAAAAATTGTGCCTTCCGTCGTGGGGGTGTGGATTTTTTCTGGAATAACCCACTGCATGAAGCATCATGTTGTTTCACACATGTGAGTTTTAAGTGGAGAACTTCAGTGTATGCCTGGGAGAGGGTAACAAATAAATTTTTAAAGAAAGCATTCAATTGGCAGTAGTAATAAAAGTCGGTAATAGACAAAAAAAAGCGTCTGTCTGGTCCCATACTAAATAGAGATGGGGGTTATGAACTTTTGCCATTTTTAATTGTTCGTTGTCTCGTGACTAATTCATGTAACGACACTGTTCGTTCATTGCTAATGAAGACTGTTTGATAGAGTCGAAAGCTACAATACTTAAAAATCTGAGACCTTTGGAGACTCGAATTTATTTTTCAAATTGGCTATACTAGCTAGTTTCAGATACCCTGAATCATGTACTAGCCTTACCATTATTCTCATTTTTTATGTGCAACCTTTCAAATGAAATCCACTTGGAAACAGACTTCCATCAGTCAAGTGGCTCAAACACACTTGTTCCTTTTGATCATTTTAATGTTAAAAGGCGCTTTATTAAGTGAATAAAGTATTATTATTATTCCTATTTGTTTTGTTTGATCAATCAAAATCTACAGTGTATTCTAAGTGATTTTTATTTTGAATAACATTTAGCAGTCAAAGTTAGGCACACGAAAAAATAACGGATTCCCATTTTTGGATATTTTAGGGTATTTAAAGAATACCCACAAAAATCCCAAATTTGGCAAAGTGAGACAAGTCCCAACCAGGGAATTCCCAACCAAGTTCCCTGGTTGGGACTTGTCTCACTTCCAAATTTGGGATTTTTGTGGGTATTATTTAAATACCCTAAAATATCCAAAAATGGGAATCTGTTATTTTTTCCTGTGCGGGTAAGTTAGCTTTCCAGTTTGTTATTTTGTGCAGATGATGCATTGTTTGTACTTTTTATGATTTTTCTCCTGGTTTATGTGATCACGTAGTTTACATGTGAATTAGTCAGATCAATAATGTGCAACGCATTTTGTAATGTCAGAATCCTTGTAGAATAAATTGCTGATAAACTTGATTGCTTGTACTGTCTTAAGATTTGGGAAAGTAAACTTCTACAAAGTCGAGCTGTTGATGGAATGCCTGCAGAGGGACAGCAAACGACACGTCAACAGTATGTGTATCCACATGGTCCACCCAATCCAGGAATGACTGCACGAGCTATGGCTGCCTTACCATCAGGCCAATTAAAACAAGGTTGGTTCTTTGAAGGATGGCCTGTTAGTTTTCTCTTTAAGTCCCAACAGTGACCAACAACAATTTTCTCCTAACAATATCCATACACTTTCAAGAGATAAAGTTATGAGAATTAATAAAATGATCATCATAGAGAAAATTCCATGACCTTTTATCAAATTCTCTCAACTAATTCTTAAAGGAGATGTATGGAGATCAGTTTGGAGAATTTGTATGTGGATATTGGGGCTTAAAGCTAAGGGTTATACCAAGTAACTTTGGTCTGTGGTCTGTACTGTGAATGCCAACCCAGGAAGCATGCAAAGTTTCTCTGCAGCCTACGCTGTTATTCCCTAGTTTTTTTTTTCAATGGCTTTAAGAAGGAAGTTATATTTCTCTCACATGGAAACTCACTGACAGGAAACTTGTCATTACATTCAATTTATTTATGAAAAAGAGCCTTATTTCAGACAGTGAAAGGCAAAAATTGATCTCTAAGTCTTGTGACGTGACACTTAAAGCAGCATGTAAAGAAATTCATGCTTGAAACAGGGTGCAAAGAAAGTTGGTTTTTATGGCTTGCCATTCGGGCAAGTTGTTGCTAGTATATTGTACTATCCCAAGAGTCTTTTAAGTAGCCCAAAAAATCTTTTGATGAGCAGCATTGATTATAGGTCTTCTGTAATTTGAATTTCCGCAAAAACTTTACTTGCCCTTCGGGCAAGTTAAGAACAGGATTCACTAGCCTGGTTGCAAAATCCACTAACCCTAGGCTATCGAACACGACTTTCTTTGCACGCTGGCCTGATAGTCCTGGGTTAGTGTATTTTGCTATCGAGCAAGTGAATTTTTTTGAGGAATTCAAAGTGCAGAAGCAATGTAGTCAATTCTGATCATCAAAATTTTTTTTAGGGGGGGGGGGGGGGTGGAGCAGTGAGAATGACTCTGATGAGCTAGTACACAGCAGCTACAACTTGCCTGAATGTCAAGCTCAGTAAAACTGACATTCTTTACACCTTGTTACAGTCAATAACTGCTCTAGTTTCATTCTTGTTGATTGTGGTATCAATCGCCCGTGGTGTTGTCTCAATTCTTTCTCTAGTTAATATTGCACCTTCCACTACTGTAAGAGTCCCAGAAGCTTTAACGGCACAACAAGCAGCTAGTGGTCAGACCACAATAATGTACCCTTCAACACATGCGCATGCCCTGGGACAGATGGTGAGTTGTCTATTAGATGTATGTAGTGTGTCATAGTTTTAAAGATTGATGTAGGGGTTTTTAGTAAAAATTGAAGAAGCCAGCAGGTTTGAATAGAGTAACTGACAGTAGAGGGGGGGGTGGTCTGGGGTCATGCTTCCCCAGAAAAGTTTGAAATTTGAAAGCTCCAAAATGCGATTTTCAGTGTTGTGCAGAATAAATTGACGACAAAAGAGCGTGTTTTTCATTCAAGAAAATGTAGCTTTCATTCGATTCCTTTCGATTTATCAGTCACACAATCAGTTCCTACGGGCAATGAACAAATGATGAAAACTAAATTACCTACTTTCGCACGTGAACAAATTCTGCGTAAACCTTTAAAGAAACTTGTGAAAAATTGACTGAAATATTGTGTTCAAATGACTAAAACATAACTATAAAACCAGTGAAAACACATCATAACTACGTTTTCATTCACAGATTTTATGATATATTTTTTGTTTATAACATTATTGAAACTAGTTGCCTCTTCTTTCTAGAAAAAAATAGCCAACTTCTATGTGCAAAGTAGCGGACACATTTTGTCGGCTGTCGGTGCTTATTGAAACCCCTGTTGATGGTGCGGTTATTTCAGAAAGTTTTTTATTAACCGGTCATAAATTAATGTCAAATTGTTGTTGATGATCAGACTGCAGCAGCATCAGCAGCAACAATGGCTATTCCAGGAAGCTTGACTCAAATCCAACCAGGAGCCGCATCCCATAGTAAGTTACAGTAGCATCCTGCTCTCGAATCCCTGTCAATCTTGTGTCAATTTGTTCCACACAGACTGTTTTGTCCAGTGGTGCAATACTCATTAGTAGAGGAGTGGGTGAAAAAAAAAAGAAGTCATCTGTGACTAGAAGAAAATAGGCTGGGGACACTTGGAGTATTTTTTGTGAGTCAGAGTAATGTGTTATCTACTTAAATTTTTAAATCAGATAATTATTGTTTAACAGGTTATCCGACAGTAAGGACAATACAAACAACACAACAAGTAGGAAACCTTCGGCAACAAAATTTTACTGCACAGCCTCGTGTGATTGGAACTAATCAACAGCAAGTTATACGAGCAATACAGCAGCAACCAGCCACTGCAGGAAACACGCAAGTCATCCGTGGTGGAACTCAACCGAGTATCATTCAAATGACACAGTTACATCAAGGTGACAAACAGGTTGGTTCAAATATTAATAATAGTAATAAAACAACTGTTGTAAGTGGCCGACTACAATTCACTCTCTGATAAGGGTGATTGACAAAATCTGATGACGGCGTCTCCAATTTGTTAAATCATGAGATCATGTTAACAGACCCAATTGGACAACATGATGTTTTTGTTACCAATTAACCTTAAGAAATTTGCGATATTTTAGGATATTTCAAGGGTTTTTCCTAGATGTAAAAATAGATCCTATTCAAAATCATGCATGCAATGGCATGTCTTATTCAATAATTGGACAGGACTTGCCATTATTATTACTTTTGCATGATGTGAAATGCCCTGTTACATTGTCCTATTAATGGTGAAATCAGAGCAGCTGATAGGCAATACATGTAGTTATGATTAAACATGCACTGTACGGCTGTGCAATAACACCATAAAGTTACCTGTACTTTGTACATGTACATGTTTAGGCATGCAGTACAGCACTATACTTAATTATACTCCCCAGGACTGTTACACTGTAGGGCATGGAATAGTCTCCGTCATTCTTTTAACTATATGCTTCTAGTGTTCAACAGTTTAAAAGTTTTTACAGCTGTACATGCTAATTCCTATCAGCTGCCATAGGAATATCTGTACGTCACTCTCTTTATACACACTTCTTTAAGCATCTTTTTTTTTCTTGTCTGATTTTACAGGAGTAGGTGTTTTGTCTTAGTTATAGAAATTGTAGAGGTTTAAAGTCAATTCGGGCCCCTTCCCTGTTTTCATCTCCAGCCAGCCAGTGTTCAATCTAGGCAACGTTTTGTAAACATTGACGCAGAATATTTTACTCTAACGTGAAATAAAATTATCGTGGAGTCATACTGATGCCAAAAAAATTACCTCAAAAATAAGTACATGCACTTTCAAAGCTGAAGCTGACAGTAAAAGTAAGTTTTAAAAAAACAGGTGTACTTACTATCCTAGGCCTAGATCCAGATATCACCAAAAATTGCCTAAATATGTTTCCAGAAATTCCTGGTTTTTTTTTTAAACAATTATCTGGAAATTTTTTCTAAATATCTCGAAAAAGTTCATTTCATAAATAACACGACACTATGAGTGTACACTTCGGCGTCGTGGTTGTGGATTAATATTGTGAATGCTGAGGAATAATTCCTCTGTAAGTAATGAGGAACTGCAAGAAATCATATTTTTTTGGATTCCCTTCCATACAAATACCCTTACTTTTCTCCTTTTGTGTAATAGACTTCTTAACTTCTTCACCGGAAGTCTGCTAGGTGCATGACTGCATGGCTGTAACCTAATTTTATTATAATTTCTGCTATAAATAAATTGCGCACGACGAGATCTTAGTTCCACTTCCTTTATTTCCTCTACAACAGCACTTTCCTATGTACAGTAAACTCCACCTACTCCAACATCTTAACTAAAACTGCTATTGCACAATATCCACACTGAGGATAATTCAAAGCTGCTCTTGTATCTCAATTTTCACTCGTATTTTGAAGCTACTAGCACAAATTGCTTTAATGCTTTCTGTAAAATAATTTTGTAGTCAATATTTTTAGCCACAATAATTAATAACTAAGAATTAGAATAAATCAAAGAACTCTAAGATATATCGAACTTATTCCAAAGCAACTTCAGGAGATTCGGAAGCAACATTGGGACATCCAAATGCAACTTTGAAACTTTCCTGATCTTTGCAAATCCTTTACTTCAGGCTCCGCCGAAGTAACAAGCTGAAAGTCATGAACTTGTGTCCCAAAACTAGTGTGTAATTTCATAGCTATTTTTCATATGCCAAACTACCTTGGGTCAGAGGGGCGCAGTTGGCTAATCCTTCAACTTAAGAGTCTCCTTTGATCTGACAGGCCGCACAGGTGAGTCGGTTCAAACACTGGGCAAGCCAAAATAATAATTCTTTCTTCCTCAAGTATTTTATAGAATAAATTCAAGAAATCGAAGTGATCCCGCGATGTATCTCAAACTAATTTGGCTCTCACTTGGTCAAAAAGCTGAATAAAACCAAAAACCTACAGACTTTGCGTGCCCAATCTTGTCCCAAGAAAAGCAACTTTGGGACATTCCTGAGCATCGCGAATCCTTTACTTTGTTCTCCGCCTAAGTAATTCAGTGATGTCAAAAGTAGCGGGCTGCCAGTGAAAATTACCGCCTACTTGGTTAGTATCGGCTGGCTCTCTGCTTGGCATTTCTTTATGGATGGCATTTTTTAAATAAAATATCCCTGGAGTGGCCACTTACTTTGACAACCCAGCCATCTACTTCAAAACTTTCTGGCAACCCCAAGAAATGTTATTCTTAACAGTAAAAACAAAAAAATAACCTGTCATCTAAAATGGCAACACAAATTTCAGCAAATTTCAGGACATTATGTTCTTGTTCAGCATACAACAAAACTCTAAACAATTACCCTTAAAGTCAGCCTTATTTACAGTACCCCTCAGCCCCCAAGAAGACAAGGGCACTGCACTTTAATACAGGCAGAGTTCGTGAAAGACCATTACGTGTTGGAGGTCTAAAGTGGTCTAAAAGGGACACTACTGCTGTTTGGTTTGTGCATGGCTCAGAGGGTATGTCATCAGCCATTTGGTTGAACATCAGCCATATTACATAATTATTATTATAAATAAAGAATATTGCTGAATCTGATTACAACAGGTCCATATGTGGAGATTTGTTTGAATTTCTGTCACTGAAATGCCATGCCCTGATTAACATTGAAGTGGCTTCCTAGAAAAAACATGATAACAAAATTCTAAATATCACAATTTTTTCCTGAATATCATGAGATTCTAAAGATCTCAAAATCTTCTAAATATCTTGAAATCATATCCGGGTATTTGTATCTAGGCCTATACTAGCCTAAACTCAGTGGGTGAAATGACTATCATTTCAGACTATGTGCTTACAAGTAGTTTTTTGTGTCAGGCGTTGCACGCATTTCCGAAAAAGACTGGAGCATACATTTTAACGTTCTGCGTACGATTGATTTATGCTTTGTTTGTCAACTTTGTTCTTTTGTTTTTTTTCATTGTGAAACGAAAACAAAAACTAATTTCATTTCTTATGTAAAAGAGAATGGCAGTTGAGTTGTTTGAGCAATTTTTGTCACCTTTTATTCAGAACCGGTCAGTCATTTTTGAAATAACGTATCAGCTTTATGATTATTTTAAAGGCCAATTCATAAAGCTGTACCACCTATATACAGTGCCAGCCTCTATGTTCATGTTATCAGTATTAATTTTGACTGTTTACTGCAATAAAGGAATCCAAAACTGTGAAAAGCATAAAACTGTTATGTACTGTCCCTGGTGATACTTTTGATGAAGTCTGTTTTTCAAAGTTTCAATAATTATACTTTGACCCAGACCATTTTTGAAATGCCATGTGGGACATATGACCCACTTTGACTAATTTCTAGGTTGAACACTGGTCAGCATTTTTAACTCGTGGGTACGCGCGAGCGTACCACGAGTTATTGCAGGGACTGAGATATGCAAATGAGTCACTCACTCACTCGTAGTAGACGCACTTCGTAATTAATCGGGTCCGAACTCGAGAGCGCGAAGATCTATCGTTTCCAAAGAAGCACGCGCTCGCCGAAGTTCGGTAGCATCAAATTCCTCGCTGCGAACGTGCATCGTGCGCTACAGCACGGTTAGGATAGAGGTCTTACCAATTAAGACAGGCAGGAATCTTTCAAATTAGTACGATTCAAAAGCCTTTGACCCGTCCAGGCGTTAAACTTGACAAGAAGATGAGCATTTGCTCTTCGACTCCTTCAACTTCGACGCTGGCTTGATCTCGTACCTTGTAGTACTGTAGTAGGTTATGTGTATGAATGAATTTATGGCGGTCAGTATAAAACACGGAATGCGAACTACGGACTGGTGAAATGTATGGTAAATAAAGGTACTTCTTCTTCTTCTTCTTCTTCTTCTTCTTCTTAAGGACTCCCCAAGATCACGGGGGGAAATGGATGTGAGTTTGAGCATTACCTTTTTAAAATAACAGCGGATGTCGACATAAGAAAACATAAGCTAATGTTTTGCGTCCTACTTCGCGGAGGAGTTGTGTCGGCTTTGTATCGCATATGTTCTTTCATTGCTATGAAATGCGTTTACATTGTTTTTTACTGTCAGTAGCCTGGTTTCAATTAGCCTTAATTTCATCCCATTCCTTCGAGTCGTTTTTATGGCTCGTTTGTTTGCCCCGGTCGTTTGCCGGCGGAAGTTCCATATAAAATGCATTAAATTTGATTGTTGATCATGGGACTTCCTCAATGGCGTAGTGGCTATGTGAGGTCGGGTTTTACCGAAGGTACTGAGTTCAAATCCTACTATAGACTTTCTTTTTCCCTTCTTCCTTTTTTTTTTTCTTTTTTGTTTTGTCTCGTTTGCTTATTTGTTTTGCTGTTTTTTTTGTTTTGTTTTTAAATATATACTTAAATAACTGTTACTAAAGTGCAATTAACAGCAAGAAAAGTATTGTCTTTCCAGAACAAGGATAGTATATTTATAATATGAATTTCTATCATTTCCTAAAATTCACTGTGGGAAAACCAGAGGTGATAACCAATTGATTATTTTCTAAACAACGTACCCACGAGTTGACGATAGTCTTTCTTTGATTTTTTTTCATGTACAGCTATATGTACAGTTTGTATGAATTCACATTATCTGGTGAAAAAAAAAAATCAATCAAATGTGATTAAACAGTGGCAGATTCAGGAAGACTAATATGTTATTGTTGTTACTAGATGTGTCACATGTACGTGTAATTCTTTTTTCAGCCTCCAGGAATTCAAGTTATTCAGGTGGATGGAGCTAATGATAGTGACAGTGAAGATGATGATGATGATGACGAAGATGAAGATGATGATGAAAAAGATAAAGCTAAAGACAATGGGTTGGATGACGAGGGAGAAGTTGAAGTTAGTGTTTTTTTAAGGACACCATTTAGTTTACTAAAGGTGGTTTCAAATAATATTTGTTTGGGGCTTAAAGATCGTGATCAGCTACATTGAAATCAAGCATGTGCCATCTTAAATTTACAAATTGTATCTTCGTGGCCTGTTACTTTACAGCAAGGAGCCTAAAAGTGTGACCTCCTTTAACTAATTCACATTCTTTCATGCAGACATTATTTCATCAGAAGTCAAGGACAGTTTCCAGCTGGCTTCTGATTGGATGAAATCTGTAGGAAAGAATGTGTTAACTTTGTAAGAAGGACAAAGATTGCCTGAATACCTCAATAAAATTAATTTGTTGTGTACCAGCCAGATTATGTTGACAAGAAAGAACAGTAATTTCTTTTGTCCTCATTGGATAGGAGAAACTAAGAACATAAGTTGGGTAACTAAATCTCATTTTACATCGCTGATGAAGTTCAAGCAATTTGAACAAAACATTTGAATTGCTTTGAATTTTTTTGCTCTGAGTTCTGGAGTTTGTTGTTTCTAGTAATGTTTTTAGTATTTGTGATAACAAAAGAAAGACTTAAGAACAGGATTGTTTGACAAACAAAATTTTGTCCTACAGTGTACATTTGAATTCCTTTAATCAGGTACATGTTTACTTCTGCAGGATGAGGATCCTCTTAATTCAGATGACGATGTTTCAGATGATGACCCAGCGGACCTATTTGACACTGATAATGTCGTTGTGTGTCAGTTTGACAAGGTGCAGAGACTTATTCTTGTATGGCGACGGACAGGGAGCAAAGTGAGCCAAGTGATGGACTGGGGAGAAGAAAAGGGCAGCAAAGCCCTTCTCTGCTGCTTTCTCTCCTCAGTCCCTTGCCGGCTAGTTTTTGCTCAGTCCATTCTCCATTTTCCTCCTCTAAGGAGTCTGGTCCAAGGCTATCATAGTTAAGGACTTTATTCACAGACTCGAAAGTTACAAGTGCGTTATAATGAATGATAAACATGCAGTAGCACGGGAAAAACTCCTTTAAAAATTAATAAGTACGTTTTTAGAGACACATAAAACTAATTTTCATACCAATCATAAATAGAGACTAGGGTGCACACTGTAAAGGGGTAGGATGGGCAACACTGTGACTTTGTATGCTTGAATTCTCTCTCAATGAACCACTTCTGATTTCCAATATCCCTCAATGGGTCATTTCCTTTTTCCAGCAACCCCTGCCTGTTTCTTTCTCCGAGATAGTCGGGTCTGTGAAATTGAGAAAGCGCCAACACAGAAATAAAACGTGAAGAAACCGTGGAGAGGAAGGGCACCACCACATTTCTCCTTTACCAGATCATGTGCTCATAATTTTTTTTTGATTTTCCTTCACTTTTGCATCATCCCTACAGTACTATCTAAGAGCCTGGAACAGACTAGTGAAAATGAGGTGTATTTGCACAAAAATGAAAATAGCTTTCACAACAAAGACAGCATGTGACCTCATTCTGAGAGAGAGGTGAGGGGCAACTCAGAAATCGCATGTTTACAGCAAATAATAATATCGGAAGATGCCTGACAGCTATGAAAACTTTCAACATCGCAAAACAGAAAAACACGACTTCACGTAAGCCAAAACAAGTAAACGCATCATGATTTTTACTATTTGTAAGCTGTTAAATTTCTTCAAGAAGATAACCTTAAGATATGAGTCGTGGTTGACCTGCTCACTCGTACTTCTTTCCTTGTCTTTTTTTAGATCAATCGCAGCAGAAACAAATGGAAATTTTATTTAAAAGATGGAATAATGAATCTTAGAGGAAGAGACTATGTGTTCCAAAAGGCTACTGGCGAAGCTGAGTGGTAGCCTAGGATTCAAGGACGATTAAATTAATATTGTATAAAGATATTAAAATCTAAAACTAAAGGAAAAAAACTAATTTCAAGATGCAGACGTCATAACACAGTGTGTAAATCAAAGCGAGAAGTCCTTGGTGATGTACAAGTGGATGTGGGTGATTCAGTATTTTACGACTGCACAGAGTTGTAACCCAGAAGTTACAGTTTCCTGAATAAACTGGTCAGCAAGCACCGGGAAGGGAAAGGAGAGGTTGATGCGCATGTCCCGATGTCGGACTTCCCCCCCTCCCCCTCCCCCTGTGCGCTTCATACTCTCTTGTTCATCCTTTTCACATAGCATCATATTTTTGCACCACACTCAATCATTTAAAGTGCCTTTTTATGTGGACGCCTCTCCGGCGGGACGGTTAATATGAAAATGGTTTAGAATCAAACGTACAGTAGATATCTAAGATACGGTCACGTGAAAACCAGTTTCCTTAAGTTCTCTGGCTAACCGTGTATAATTTTAGTAAAATAAATACATCCTTTGTTTTTGGACAGGAGGACTATTATGACGTCATCCTGTCAGGCTTCCATCAAGGGTGACCATTTTAACCTCCGTTTGAATCTCACAAAAAAGTTATGAAACCAACTAAGGATTTCTGCCATTTCTTTTTGTTAGACTATTATGACAGTATTTTGTCACAGTTGATGGTATGTAAATGTTGTGGATAATTTTGCATCTCTGAACCTCAAGAATAAAATAGATTTATGCCCTTGGAAGCTAAGCCAACAATTTAAATGTGGATATTTCTAGGGTTTTATCTAGTAACAAAAAAAGGCATCCGCAAATCGAAAATATGAAAAAAGTTTATGTTCAAAAGTAAATGAATAAATAAATCAGGAAAATGTGAATTGTTTTGTGTGTCCATTCTCTCGTACAAATACAATAGCAATCCACTAGGAGACCCCCCGGGGAGGTTATTTTTCCCCAAGCCCCGGGGGGGCGCTTATTTGAGAGGGAGGGCTTATTTAATTTAGCAAAGAGGATGTTATTAGTTCTCCATAGAGAACTAGAATGCAAAGTGGACAAAACAAATCCGAACTTCCTGCTGATGATTAAAGCATCCTAGATCAGTAGACTCAAAGTTTATCAGTCGCGATTGATTAATACAGTCTATCATTTATTAGTGACTTATAATGAAGGAGTTGGGGAGGGGGGGAGGAGCTTAAAGACTTTCTTCCCCTGAAAAGGGAGGCTTTATTAGGGAGGGGGCTTATTTGAGGTTTTACGGTATGACAATATGCCGTTCTGATGTGAGAATAGACCTTGTCACGTAGGCAGCCATTTTGTCTCAGGAGATTTGAAAAGCTTTGTTTATGCACGGGTAGCCTCGTAGAGATAACGAGGCTAGCCGTGCATTAAAAAAGAGCGTTGTAAATCTCCTGGGACAAATTGCCAGCCGCGTGACAAGGGAGTCTACCTTAGACCTACCCTACCCTAGAACTCTTTAGCTTTTATGTTTTGTTTCCGCAATACAGGTCATGTGATAATACTCTAGAGAACTGATTCTTTCAAATTTCGTCTTATTCACGTGCATATCTACGCATAATTTATGAAAAGACAAATTGTTAAGTTCCCCTGGGACCTCTATTGGGAAAACAAAACATACAAGCTATAGAGGTCTATTTTGTATTTTGCACATGCTAACGAGGTCAGAAAGGCTAACATTATTCATTCAAAATATTTCCCCTTTCTGATTGGTTAAAGCCAAACGCATAATATTTATAGTTCGCTCCAACAAAATATAAAATCGTGGTAAGCGGCGAAGGAAAGGAGAACGGTGGAAAAATAGCCTCCCGAGCAGACGTTCTTAGGGGTTCGTCAAGCGTTCCTGCCCCACGAACGTCTGCTGAACCGAAAGATAAATTCTTTTCCCATTGTTCGCAAATATCAGCTGGAGATCACATGCAGCAGATTATCGGAGATCCAACCGGCACTGTTGACGTCAAAGTGCTGACAAGCAAAACACATACGTACAAGCTCGGTCAGTAGAGCAGGAACGCGTGACGAACCCTTAAGAAAGTCTGCGTTGGAGGCTGGAGGAAAAACAACAGTAGCTATAATTAGCAAAAACAGAAACTTTACACGTGCAGCACACTTCTTTTGTACATTTCTTTGCCGCCGTTGTTTTGCACGACTACAACACGAAACTTCCTAGTTACACGTTTTATGGAGGAACTGTCATACGCGTTCTTGTTCACTGTTTTTTTTCACTGCCGCTCTTTTTCACGTTGGTGGCCGCTAACATTTCTCATTTTCTCACTGCCGCTACTAGATTTTTATGTTTTTCTTCCAATAAAAATTGTCTTCTTTGGTTTTTGTCTCTCGCTCTAGCTCTCTGTCGCCCTTTTTCTCGTTCAGTCTCGCTGGCCTGTTGCCTACTTTCTCTTTTTCTCTGTCTTTCTCTTGTGGAAATGACAATTAATCTAAGCTTAATACTTCAGACAACACGGATACAAATAGCCTGAAATTCATCCCATTGCTACGAGTAGTTTTCTCCTCTTAACAACGAGGGAGTAATAACGACTCGAAGTAATCGGATGAAATTCAGGCTAGGATACAAAAACAATTTCCGCTTTCCGTTTTCGTCTTTATTGACTCTTTAGTTGATTATCAAAATTTCTTGGCGTGGAGCTCCGCTATTAATCACAGGGTCCAGAGGAGATGTGTTTGTCGTTAGAACATCAAAACCCGTCGAAAACCTCTGAAAAAACGGGTTATTTTGATCGCGTTACGGTTTCGTTACACATTCTATAGACCGCAAACCAAGAGACTGAGGGCTCGCAAGATCGGCTTACAGTATAAAATACGGAAAGGGAGGAAACACATTTGGGACCGATTTTCGAATCCCTGAAACTCAAATGGAATTGAATCAAATCGCCTGATTTTACTAACCTGATCTAGAATTCTTATGTATTTGCCAAGTACTGTAGGAAAACGGCATAAGAAAGCGTTCAAATTCATTTTCGGCGACCGAAATTTACGGCTTCTAGAGAGCGCTTTCGTTCGGTGTGCACCGCAACACATGGTGACGGAAATGACGTGGTAAAGTAAATGTGTTCAAGATGGGAGCAATAAAAGGGAAGCCTACACGACTTTTGCCTCATGCCAAAATCAAAATGCTGCTCGTTCCAATAAAGTTTTTTTCCTCTGCTGGGTAGATTATGCTCTGGAAGGTTCTACAGCAAATGTGATTTTAGCGGGGATTTTAGCCGCATGTTTCACACTGACAGGTCATGACACGTATCGATTTACTGTGGTTATTGTTTCTGGTCGGCAGGATTTGCCCTCTGATGAAAGCGCATTTTCTTTGACCTCTTTTCAAGCGTAAAGCTTTTTATTACGGCTGAACAAGGGTTCCAGTTTTCTCCAAAGTGCCTTCTGGATCTGAATAACTAAGCGATTTTCTTTAGTCCGTGAATGTAATGTTTTTCTTCAGTGCTGTATCACGCTGGGCCCAGCTTGTTAGTTTTGTTTGGAGAATGTTAAATTATTACGGATAGTGATTTACGGGTCGTGTGTACTCTTGCAATAAAAAGTGACACTCAGTAGAGCGGGCGTACAAGGCAACTGTAATATCATCACGACTGTGCCATTCTTCGGTGGTCCAACTTTATTACCTCTTGCGTCTTTGGCTGTGCGTTTTGCGACTACTGGGAAGCCTTCGCACAAACAAAACCTGCTTAAGACATCGAAGACTGTTGAAACGTACAACAAATGTCTAGTCTTGAAAGATCTTCACTTCAATTAAAACTCTGTTGTTTTCGCATAGGTCTCTGAGATCTTTAAAACTCTCTCCGCAGCTGATGTTTTGATTCTCGAATTAGCAGCGGTCTGTTGCTTTTGCGTTTCCGGTCTCATTCCGACTTCCGTCACCGAGTGCTGCGGTTCACATAGAACGAAGTCACGTGGTACAAGTTTCCTCCCTTGTCCTTTCTTTTACTCGGCACTTCGTGCCTCGGTCGCCCTTCGGGCGACGTGCCGTGCGCCAGCGAGGATATGGCTTGCGGTTATTGATTAAGTCGATCTGGGTCAGATAAGAAGCGAAGAAATCGTTTACAGTAGACTTATAAAGATCCCCTTGGGCTAATTAATCGTGCTAAGCGACAGGTATAGACATTTTTCAAGGTAAGTAATTCATTTATTCATACGAAACTCCTCTGGACCCTGTGTATTAATAGGCCGCAATTCCGAAAGAGGTCAATGACCTTTTACTCTTTTGAAGCTTTCCCATGATCCTTCCAATGAAAATACCAGACGTGAATGTGTATGAAGCAGGTTTCACTTTTATTGTCGTGTCTACTTCAAGAGTCCAGCTAAAAGGTCTTACAGGTTAACAAGACAGTGTTTTGTTTCTCTCCACGTGGTGTTTTAGAATTCAAGGTACGAGCTTTAGGAAACGCGTACTGTATTTGGTCATGCAATTTACTTTCCTATTATTTCAATTTACTGACATGTAGAGCACCTTACAATCACACAAACATGTGCACAAACATAAAACTGTAAAATTTGACATGGTGGAAGAATGATCCGCTACAAAGTATATACAATTTAGCTGAACAGACTAAAAAAGAGTAGAAAAATTGCATCGCCTCAAATCACAGCCAAACGGAGTGCCATGAATCATTTCATTTTCAACCGGAATTTCCGGTTTGCCCTTGTAAATGGTTCTCCGTCTTATATGGGAGGTGTCTGTTAAGATAGAGTTGATTGTTCAATGCCTTAACTTGAAACGGTTGGATAAAAAGTGCCCCACAAAACGAGAAAGTACTCTCGGGTAAGTACATGAAAGTGAATTCAAGGGAGAAGGGGTGGAGAACAAGTAGGCGGTTAAGGCCTGGGATAGGCGAGGTTTAGAAGAATACTGAGGTTTTTCGACATTTCTCGAGAACCATGAACGTTGAGAAGTCACGTTACCAGTAGCTTGCCGTCGGTTAGCCTGCTCAGTTAGCTTAATTGCGCGCTCGCAAAACAAAGTCACCAGCTACGCAGGCTACGGTTTGAGGTTCACGTTTGTACATCTGGACCACGCTCTGGATGTTTTAAAGGTGATATACCGCAGGTTTTTTTTTTACGCGCTAAAACATCACAATCCAAGCATAAACTGCTAATATGAAGTCTGGCAACGCGAAAACCGTAGCCGACGGTCTTCACAGCCTGTGAAACGGTAAAACACTACGTTTGCTTTTAAGGAGATTTATTGATTTAAAAATTAGCAAAAATATATACAATATATTTAATAAAGCTGCCCGTATGCCAACAAAGGTACTGTATTAAGTATCATAATTTGTTAATGAAAAATTCCTGAAGAAAACCCACCTAAGACAGAAAATTCGAACAAGCTCTTACTGCACAGGTTTTTCCAATCTTAAGTACCAAAAGCACGATAAATTGCCGAAATCAGCTAAGTACATAACCGGGGCACAACATTGCAGCATTAAATTTTATGAACCAATTCGTTGCATTCCTTATATGCAAATCCTCATTAAATCATTGTAACTTAAACCTCAGTCACAAGTCAAGGTTTGATAGTCGAGTATCTTAAGATGCTTTATTGGGCTGTGTTTTTATCAAACAGCTTTTGTGGTCGCGACCGAAATTCATAGTATCTCAGGAAATCAAGTGTCCGAAAATTTATCTGAACACGACAAGAATGCAAAAATAAACCCTTGAATTAATTTTCGAATGTGCGCGTATCCTGGGAATTTGCGAAATATCTTAGTGTAAATCTCAACTCTTATTCGTAATACTTTCAGAGATAATTTCGTTATGCCTTGAATTACATGTAATTATGAATGGATCAGGGCAGGGCAAAATTCAAAGACGACGAACGTGTCTCTAAAATTAACAATTAAATTTCAATTATCTGTAATTCTCTTTGCTTTCTTTGTATTTCCCTCCAGAGAAAGAAAATCGTCCTATGTAACGTAAATAATAAGTAAAAAAATACAAAAATAAAACTGCTTAAAAAGCGTACAATATATCCCGATTTATCACCTTTTTTGATTCGTTAAGACTCGTGTATTTTTTGGTCGTTATAATTACAACGACAAGATTATAGATACTAGATGAACAAGTTAACTCGCTGGATTGATAAAATTCAAAATCATGTTTATATTGGGACTGATTACATGAGCCACTCGGGCTGGCTTGCTTTGCCATGTTAAGATTTCGGCTAGTTAATTCAACACAACAAAAATCAATTTAGTGATTATTAGCTGACAAAAGGCCCAGCCTGGTTAGCCAGCATACCGGTATTGGGACGCCAGCTCCGAGATCACCGGGCTTGACTGTTACTGTTCGCTAGCAACAGGACAGCGGGGTAATACACTGTTCATGCGCACAGCTTTCACTCTCCCTGTAAACATGGCGGCTCCGTATGTATTGCCTGGTCAAAAGTCACCTCAGGTAAAGCGAGGAAGCCCAGCTAATATAATCAACCCCCAAAGTTGAAACAAACGGATCGACAACTAAGATATCTCAAAATTTGCTTGTCGTTTATGCAATAGTTGTTCTTTCTGTCAAATAAAAAAAGGTGACTTATGAGTCAAACGAACATAAAATTCTGCTCTTCAGATGATACTGTTTTCTGTGTTGTCAGTGAGTGCCGTCACCCAAGGAAACTAACACTAGCAAACAATTCCAAAAAAGAACAAAACAAGCGTTTAAACTAAGACTAAAACAATTGCCAAAAGCGAGAGATAGCGAGAACTCCTCGCTGTGCACACCATCTCGGCGGTCTGTACGTAACACAGGCATACCATCCTCAATTGCGTTGCGGACTGCGCTTTATGGTGGCTGCTACAGTAAAAACAACGAAAAACCTCACAGACATGAGGACGGTGTTGATATTTGTTGATATGTGATAGTTTTGTCGCTCTTATGCTCGCGAAAGCGGTCATAAATCGTCTATTAAAGCACAGTCGCAAAACAAACACAGGACCGGAAGTGTTATCTATGCCGTGCGGACGAGTCCAAATAATCATTGCCGTCACTTTCGGCCGAGTCCAAAAAAACTACAGCTAAAACGGGTCTAAGGAGATATTCTTGTTATTAAGTAGCGTTTCATTCACCATGAAGTGGAAATATTGGCAACGGTACGTGTACAAATATCTTTTCTCAAATTAAAACAGAGGATTTTCTTAATCCCAGAGAAAAATTCTCTACGCCCGCATAAATCGCTTGATTAATTTCTTCAACACTAAAAATTTTCCTAGCAAACTGTCAAACTGTTTCGCAAATATAAGGAACGGAAGAGACCAATTAAAATGGCATCCTTAGCTTTACAGTACTTAACCGTTTTTTTGAAATTTTTTTCTCCTCTGACCGCCGTCAACGGTGACATTTGATCCGCAGACATTCTGAACAGACCGCAGAGATGGTGCAACTAGTACCTACATCTCTTATTATTTGTAACCTACTCATTATAAATCCGAGCCCTCATCTTAACAGTCACTTTCTCCAGGCAGTTCCTTGTCAAGGTTTTTCTCTGGTTGAGGTCTGCGTGGAACAAAAATACTGGTGATGTCCGTAAATTCTTCCACTTGCGTTCGGGTCTGGTAAAGAGGATTGAAGAAACCGCATGCTTCAACAACTTGTGGTTCTTCATTGAAAGGTTTCTCTTTTTTCTTTGGCGTCTCATACGTCGGTGCTCCTGTGTTTTTGTCAGCTTGCTTTTCCTGCTTGACCGGTACAGCGTAGAGCGTATTCCCGTCCCCACTTGCGCCAGCTTCCGTCTTTTGCTATTGGCAAGCATGGAAATAATTTTTAAAGCACGTGATTTATTTAACTAATGCCCTGTTCACAACACCACCACCACCATCATCATCATTATTATTATTATCACTATTATTATTACAGACAAATTCCGTAAATACGGACAGTGGGGATTCATAGAAAGAGTCCGTATTTAGCGGGTTGAATTTAGAGAAAATGTAAGGGCTTTCTTTCCCCAGGGACAAAGAAAACGGTCCGTAATAATGAGCGGGTGTCCATAAAGCGAGGTTTGACTGTATTATTACTAATATTAATATTAATATTATTATCGTTATCATTATCATTATTATTATTATAATTATTATTATGTATATCATTATCACTATCATATGAGAGTCAAAAGGAAGTGCCTTTTAGGGAGTGTGTGAGGTGTCCGTTAAAAGAGATCTGTTTGTAAAAATGTGTTACTGTATAACCTTTATTGTGATCACATTCAAAGCAAACGAGAAAAATAGTCCTACCTGTCTGTAAAGTGAAAACATGGGATTGGCAAAACCGGTGGGAGGCTTAGCACCATCCTTTTCCTCTTTGAAATCGTCCTCTTCTTCTTCTTCTTCTTCTTCTTCTTCTTCTTCTTCTTTCTCCTTTCCTGGCCTGAATCGGGAGTACATTGGATTTTCAAATCCAGTTGTTGATTCAGATCGCTTCACGCTGGGTGTGCCATATTTTCGACCAGGTTCCTGGTAGATTGGGTTGTCCAACATAGTGATGTTCGCTTCCTCTTCAGTGGTGCCATATATCGGGTTTATTGCCGCAGTTTCCATTTCCTGATTGGCCATATGATGCCTGTACATGACATCGGTGTACGTTTCGTCGTCAGTGTTGTCTCTTAACCGCTGGCTTCTGATGAGTCTGCGCTCCTTTGCGGTTAGGCTATTCCTTCGGCAGAGTAGCAGCGATACCGCAAGTACAATCAATAGGAGACCCCCGGTTGCTCCGATAACATAATACATGCGTTTACTCATGAAATGCTTGTTGTCCGTTAAGGGCGAGTCCTCAGCTTCTTGAGCAACGCAGCTTGAAATACCTAAATAATCAACTCTCCGAGCGGTAGCCTCACAAAGCTGGTAGTTAAAATTATCTGGGGATTCTTCCATCGCGGATGCACTGCAAGTATTGTTAATACTGCACAGAACAGTCTTCTTTGGAACGCCCACAAGTTTATCGTCTGATTTGACAAGAATGACAAAGTCCACCGTATTGCTCTCAATTGGTGCGCTTCTTTTAGCTTTGGAGGCGCGTTCCAGTTTTGGACTAATGATATAAATGTCTTCTGCATTGACATCTGTAGAATCGTACTGATCATTTCTTACCTCCGTCATGGGAAATGTGAGTGACCCCGTGAAATTCTCAAGTTGCAGCTGCCACTGCTGGTCTGCAGTATCCACTCCTTCAGGGAAACTCAACGAGACAATGTTGTCAACGGATATACAATAAAAGGAGTTATATTTTAGCGCGTTTGGTGGGACGCAAATTTCTTGATCTTGGCACGACTCTTCTAAACAAACACCAGGTTTTCTTTGGCATCGCGTCCCAAAAAACCCAGAGCCGCTGCAGTTGCAAGTAAATTGGTTGATTCCATCTAAGCAAACCCCCTCCGCACAAGGCTCACTCGCACAATCATCTATATTTATTTCACAATGCAGACCTGTAAAACCAATCACACAGCTGCAGTTGTATCCATTTAAGTACATCAGACATGTAGCGTTGTTTTGACAAGGGTTCGACAGGCAGAAGTTAATCATATTCGAACAACTCGTTCCATTATGATATCCCCTGGGGCACGTGCAGTTGTAATAATTCACGTAATCATGACACGTGCCATTGCCGCACGGGCTCGACTGACACTCATCTATTTCAGAACAGTTGACACGACCGTCACCCGAGTATCCCACGTTGCATGGACATGTGTAATTCTGCCAATCAACGCGTCTGCACTTGGAATTCTCTTGACACGGAGACGACCAGCAAGGGTCAATTTTGGTCACGTTAACGTCAACGGTGCCGTTAAACGATAGCGGGGGAATTCCATTATCTTCCGCTTCAATAAGAACCTCATAGATACGGTAGTGGTTATAACTGAGATGCGATTTAACTGTCAGGTAGGGCAGGTCCCCTTTTGCGTCATTGACTACAGAAGAATTGTCGTCACAGGAATCTTTGATAGCAAACGTGTCCTGATGATGCAGAAGTGTATAATTTATTTTTTGGCTGCGTTCAGGGTTACTGGATGTGATCTGCGCGATACAGTAACCGATCGAAACGTTTTCTGGAATGGAAATATCATTAGGAATTAATCGGATGTCAGTTGGTGGTTCATTGACGTCAACAACACTGATATTGACGTCACTAATGACGTGAAGTGGAGGTCCTGTTTGTTCCACTGGTACATCTGTAGCTTGAATTTTGACCATCAGCACTGCAGGCACATGTAAAGCCTCATAATCTAAGAATGATGAATTTATAACATAGAGCTGGTCTCCACTGTTGTTAACCTGGAAAAAATTCATTCCAACAAAGAATTGAGAATTTATGTTCTTCTTACTTTCCTAAGTGATAAAATCTTAATTTTTAACCCCTTGAATACGATTGTCACTCAAATGCGGTTCAAAATCAGGTTTCCGATGAAGGACTGAAGGCGAGGTTCATTCCAAAATGGCAGGATTTTTTCTTTTCGCCAACAAAACGATTATACAAAGGTAGGTTACTCACCGAAATTACGACTTCCAAAGGGCTTTCCAATCCTATGAAATTCTAGTCTAAAGAAGCCCGGAATTCGAGATCTGGGGGCCGCCATCTTGGAGAACCCTTAGCAGCTTGGTGACAAGTGTGTTACGGCAACGCGCTCAACCTAAGTTTGTCAAATCACTCACAACTTCTTGTTTCTTCGTTACGGAGCTGCACAAGAGGTTATGTCCACAAAAAAAAAACAATCCGAAGCGAAGAAAAAAGAAATATTGAGTGATTTAATCTTTCAGCCAACTCAGATTGACGTCACGTACTCGTCAACATGCTGCTAGGAGTTCTCCAAGACGGCGGCCCCAGATCTCGAATTTCAGGCTACTTTAGACGAGACTTTGATAGGTTTGGAAAGCTCTTTCGAAGCTGAAATTTAGGTGAGTAACCAACCTTTGTATAATCTTTTTGTCGGTGAAAATAAAATAACTGTTATTTTGGAATGAACTTCTCCTTTAACATGAGAAACAACCGACATTTCGCGATGCCGCCATTGGTTTTCGCGCCAAGTGACGTCTGAGCAACGACTGCAGAGATTCCATACTAATGACGTGTCACTAGCTTTCGATTGGTCCGGCGTGCCGCAAGGGAAATTTGCTTTAACTAATCAAAGCACTATACTACATCTTGGTGGTAACACGTCATCAATATGGAATTTCTGCGCTTGTTCATCGAGCGTTTAATACATGAGCCCCTGGCTCGGGAGATCGGGCAACCACTCCTCACGCTATCGAGCTTAAATACAATTAATTTAATTTAATTTTTAATTTTTTTTACCACACAACAGAGCACGGGCAAGGCTTCCACATTTGTTTTATGATAAAGAATCCGTTAAATTCCCCACGCACTACATTCTAATTTTCAAAACAAACTGTTTATTGACGTCCATAGGAGTTTCATTTTATTTTCAAAGCGAACGAGAGTGTTACCAGAATGTTTTATACTCTCATAAAGCATCAACCAATCAGAGTGCGCGATATTTCTTAACTACTTACTACTTTACTACTTCTTTAACTTTACTACTACTACTACTCATTCTGAAAGAAAAACCAACAACAATAACAAAATGCATTTTTACCTGGAAGACAGACGAGTAATTGCCAATGACTGTAAAGATGTGCTTCTGCCCAATATCCGGATCCTTGCACGTGACATTTCCTACGATGTAACCGACCTGAATATTTTCCTGTATGACCGTAGCACCATAAAAGCGAAGGTCGAACGGCGCCTCGTTCACATCAGAAACTTGAACGCTGAAATTTCGTTGAATGGAATATGGAGGATTTCCATTGTCAACACAGTTGACAGTAACTGTTTGATAGAAAACCAGAATTCAGTTTGTCGTGAGTTCGAATCAAGACTGTTAAACTGAACTACAGTGGAATCTCTCGTGAGCGCGGGACACCCTCGGGACGGGAAAAAGATGTCCATAACTAGAGTTGAGGCGCTTACGGGAATGTAAAAATACAAAGTTCGTTTGGGAGTTGAGAAAAAGGGGGTTTGTAAAGGAGGCCGTAAACAGAGCTGTGATCCGCTTATAAGAGTGTCCGTTAGGAGAGATTCCATGTCTGTTTATAAAATCTGTATGTCTGTTTATAAAATCACTTAGAATCTACAACCATCAGTTGCTAAACACTTTGCCTCGTTTATTGCTTTTCAAGCTTCCTGATTGTTAACCGAGTCTTAGTTATCAGCCAGCTATAGTCAAACCTCCCGTGAGCGACCACCCAATACGCGAAGGTTCAGTGATCGCTTACGGGAGGTTCCAACTGTAGTGATTTCACTGGGGAAAATATGGTATTTTGGATAGGCCGGTCGCTTATGGGAGGTGGTCGCACATCATAGACTTGAGGTTCGACTGCATAACAATAACTAAGTTCCAGCCCCTAACCCGATCCTGAGAACGACGTTGGTTCAAAGTTAGCGGAAGCTGCCGGCAGCTTTCTCACAAAAATATGAACTTATACAGAACGATACATACGTTGTAATGGAGTCCCCATGAGACTTTCATAGTCCAAGTTAGCCCCTTGTTTGACACGAATCTCTGAGGACGACTTAGAAAGGGAGCTGATGTTAAAGTTATTTCCTCCTTCAAGAAGCATACAGCGATGTTGCTGCCCTACATCCTCATCGACGACGCTCAGATTTGTCAGCGAGGTTCCAGTCGGGCTGTTCTCGGCAATCACAACTGTGTACGTCACATTATCGGGTATCGAGAGAGACGAGTTTAAGATTATCTCTGACGGCCGATCGTTGCTGTCGAGAACTTTGATACTCACAACGTCCTGTATTGGAAAGTTAATAGATTTATCTGAGTTTTTTAATTAACATAATATGCAGAACAACATAGAGCCTTACATGGCTCCTAGATCCAAAGTCTTAGGGAGTATTCATTTGCAAGATTGTTACAACAAAAAACGTTAGCTCTTGTCCGACCGAGCACAGACCTTCCTCAACGAGATTTACTTTGTTACTCTGTATAATTGTTATGCCTAGGTGAACTACACTCAAACAAGAAAGCATTGAAACAAACCTCTTTGGAGTATGGAAGGGAGCCGTTATCAGTAGCCTCAATGGTTACATTAATTTCTGGTGTTGTTTCATAATCTAATGAAAAGTTGCTCAACAGCAAGTTGTTTCCTCTGACAGTAAACCAATCTGAAAAAAAGCAAGAATCAATTTTTGCCTTCAGCAGAGACTTCAAGAGCTTCCTTAGTATAAGGTTGTTGTGCATAAGTGATATGGATTCATTAATTGATCCAAAAATGTTTGTTCAATTTTAAATGGTTGTTAACGTGTGTATAACGCTTAGGGGCCGACTATTTGACTTTTGAGCGGGAATTGGGGGGAGGGGGCGGGGCAGGGAGGTGGTATGCGTCATTTCAGAAAAAAAATATCCCGCAGTCTGATTTCCAGGAAAAAAAAGCCTTGTAAAAAAATACCTGGGAAAGTAATTCCTACAATGAAAAAATATCTTTCATGGTGTATAATGCTGGAAAAAAAATCTTACACCATTGTATGTCAGGAAAAAAAAAACCTATCACCAGAGGTTTGAGAAAAAGTTCTTACCCAAACAAAATCACCCATACCGCGCTAAAAAGTCAAATGGTCGGCCCCTTACTAACCTGTATCGTTGACAGTAAAGAAATGACTTTGATTGACATCTTGATCTTGAGCCCGCAATACGCCAACAACTGCTCCAGCGGTAGCATTTTCGTAGATTCCGTCTGACAAAAGACTTATTCCGGTGGGCCGGTCATTTGTGTCAATTACCTAAAATGAAATCAAAGTTACCTTCATAATTTGAACACTCCCTTGAATATCACCAGAATAGAAGACAGGTAATATGTCACAATAAGCTTTCTGCCGTAATTAAGCATATTGACAATGAAGGTAGCAACAAAGGGATTCCATTACCACAATTAAAAGGTACAAACGCTTTGCACCGCACATTGAATACTATCATTCTCTTTTCTGCATCAAGACCTCTTTATTTAACCGCTTTTTTATCTTTTTATTTTTTGAGCGATAGGCGAAGTCTGATGACAAGAAAGCCCCGGTGATGTACACTGGGGACGGGGTAAAGAGACAAGAAGCCGTTTTCACCCAACCCTGGTCTTCCCTGATCAGTTCTGTCGCTACTTTCATCATGAATTTGTTTACAATTAGAGGAGCACCGTGATCTGCAAATGAAAGAAGTATCAGTATGTTTCGGCGAAGTGGTGATGCTTGTCATTTCTTTCCCAGCCGAACGGTTCCATAATCGCACTAGTTTAAGTTATTGTTGGTTTGCAAGCACGTGACAAGGCGGCCATGTTGGTGGTCAATGCAATAATTTTTTTTCGAGCGTTACATGTAAATGGCGTTTAGTTCTCAGCGGAGAGAAATGCTTTTGTTCTTGTTCACCAATATGGCCGCCATGACTTCACGTGCAAATAAGCAACAGAAGTAAATGAAGGTATGAAATTTACGCCTGGAGAATGACTTCAAAGTTAGCAGTCGGTAGTCCCAAATGCCCTAATTTTTGTGCTCGATATCGTGTTTATTTTTCCTTATACTTTTAAGAAGCTGGATTCTAACGGGTAAAGCTCTGAAAGTAATTATGGTATGCGTTAGTAGATAAGTGAGCTCCCAAAAAATCAGATCTGATATTTAATTAAGGCAAATACAGTTTTAAAGAGCCGATGTTTTGAGCGCAAGGCTTTCGTCAAAACCAAGTCTCATAACTCTTCTGTCGAGAGCCTTAGGAGTAGTCCTCAAAATATTGAAAACCTGTAATTAATAGATTCCAACACCATATCGTTGTGGCTTAGGAATGATCATTCATCCATACCTGGATCGTGAAGGAGAGACTGGTACTGAGAGGTGGGTTACCGCTGTCCGTTGCAACAACTGTCAGCGTGTACGTGCTTTGATTCTCAAAATCAAGCATCCTTGTAGTCACCAGACTGCTGTTTATTAATTGAAAGGCATCTGGGCCTGGTGATTGATCTCTCAAAGCCAAGGATATACTGGCAAATCCGCTGGTCTACGTAAAGAAGAGAAAGAAAGTTACCATTTAAAGGGAGAGGCTTAGTGTCCTAGCTTTTGAGTCAACGTGAGGCCGAGGTTGACCTTGTTTTGATACAAACCTCTTTTCATCTCTAATAGAGATTATGCTTAAAGAATGTTAGTTGGCATAAGAAGAGCATGATTTACAGAATAAAGCAGGAAGAAGTGTATCAAAACAAGGTCAACTCTAGCCTCGTAACCTGTAACCGTAAAATGCGCTATTCTGAGGAAAACTGAATAGGCTTCAAATCCAGCGAACCCGGGTGAAAACGTAGCGCTGCGAAACGGTCGCCATTTTTTCACCTCTAACAAGAGAAAGACGCGAAGCTCGGAAAAAGTGGAGACATGACGGCGCAAGCCCTGCACATCGCGCATTTCCACACCAAGCCAAATCGTTTCTGACCATAGTAGATGAAGGGCGTTCAAGAGCTTTATGGGTCTCAAGAAGAAAAGGAAGCAAAAGGTACAACCTGGAATCTCTTTTGGCAGCGTTTCAGTGCTTTTATAATCTTGTACCCAAATCAGAATTGACCCAGGAGGCTTGTAAGAAAAAATCCGAGTACTCCGGACAGGAGTCGAACCTTTGAGCCTCTGGTTACTAGTAGTCCAGATGCTCCAGCTACTAGAGAGCTTTAGATTTGAGGACGAAGGCGACTTCTGGTACGAGATTAAACTTAAAGTTTTTTCGCGTATTCTCGAAAAATATTCAACCCGGAAGCTTCATAGTACTATTTTTCACCGGAAAAATTTGTGCGGTTATTTTTATTGGAGAAGGTTTAGCCCCTTCCCGGTCGCAAAATGATTAAACTTCTAAAATTTGATAACTTGTTCCCGCCACCACGACATTCTCGCTAAACCTTGTAATGGAATGACGACAGCTATCTCGTTTTCCCGCCAAAATGACGTTGGCTCACGCGCGAGCGCTACTTAGTCCAGCTCCTGAGAAAATCTCGTCCTCGTAGTCGTCCTCGTCTCAGAATCTACAGATCTCTAATGCTGAGCTTCTCCCCAAAGTTAGTACGAAAGCGGTTCAGTGAGAAACCCGTGTACATCAGTTGCCTACCGGTAAATCAGGATCGAGAACACTGAGCATGCCCACGAAGTAACCAGTAACTTGGTTCTCGCTCACAGACTGGGACGAGATGGTCAGATTGTAAGGAGCCTCGTTTACATCCTGGACATTGATAAAGAACACTGAAGAGACGGAGAGGGGATTGGACAAGAGCTCAGTACACGTAACCTAAGAGAGAAAATTCAAGTGTCAGGAAAATGAAGACCACATCGATTCATCTTAAACAGTATAAATGAAGTGAAAGAGAACTTAGGTTTGAACTATTTTTGGACTCAGGGGTAATCAGGGATTTGAGTCAATGAGTCAAGGATTTCTCCACGCCTTTTTGACAATGAGGCAAACTGTAAATGGTACTTCAGTAGCCCATAAGAAGAAACAGTCCATTGATCACAATATGTCTAGAAATTTATGTTATTTTACTCGTGTTAAAGTTAACGTCAAGCTCACAGTTGAGTATGTTTTGTAGTATATTAATTTCGCTTATACCATGGAAAAAGTAAATTCCTTTGGACAAAAAGTATTTGTAACAGTGTTACATAGACAAAATTAAGAAAACGGTTATTTGTAGTTTACTCACGTTAACTGTGTATGTGTCGATGGTTTCATAATCCAAAGAGTTCTCAGATACCACCAGAGTCAAATGATTATCGACCTGCAAAAATAAACAGTCTACTTATTACAGAAAGGCATTGATAACGCCCACTCTTTGTCTTCTATTTCGAACTCACTGTTCAGTACGCATCTTTCGTGGGAACGGAAAATCTGAAATCAAGGTGGACCTGTTCTGGCACTGTAATTGTTATGTTTTTGGTTCATGTCACACCTTTGTCGAGGTTGATACGTAAATTGCCCATTTTTGCCATAGCGTTAATAAATAGACAAATATATAAAAATTAACAAACAAACATCCATGTAGCGGTTCTTCGTCTAAATCTCCTGGTCGAATTGGAATTGGGTAGTTCAAGAAAATATCCATACCCTCCGCACGGAAGGCAACGGAAATTCTGAGAGGAGGGGGTCCAAAAGGAGGTAATTTCCGAGGGGGTGGGGGTGGCTTTTCGAGGTTTTTTTCCGTGGATTCCGGGTAAGATTGGTGAGTTATTGGGAAAGCTATCAGTTCTTTTACTGTTAACCGGTGTTTCACAACAAGAATTATTGTTTTCATTGATGACCTTTTAATTCTGGACGGCTGAATGATTTTTTCACTGCTTAATGCGATACAATTGCCATCGACTCATGAATAAACTTCCAGTTTCTACAATGTTTTAACTGAAAAAAAAAATTAGTTGAAGTTCACTCGTGTTTAGTTTGAATGTGCCTAGTTCTTTATAGCTGGCATTATTCGTGTAGTGTAAGTTGTGTAAGTTATCGCCTCCATGGTTCTTCAACAGTGGCTTACCGTTAATTACTAGCTAAGAACGGACCTCTACAAGGACAATGATTGTATTAACATGAAAAAAAAGATTTTTTTTCTCACTTTATCGCAGAAACAATTAAATTTTGCATAATAGGGTAGTGCAACATCATTTTAAAAGGAAACATTCTTTCCAGGGGAGACCCAACCAAGATGGAAAATCACGCAAATTCCAGAGAGTAGACGGGGTTTGACAAGCACCCCCTGGAATGGAAATTCCAGAGGTTGGGTGGGGGTCTAAAGTAAAAGTGCCCTCCGTAGTGGGGGAGAGAAGGATATTTTCTGAAGTACACATTTGAAGAGAGAAACCTCTCGGAGTAAAGGAGAGAACCAACAACAAACTCAACCCACAAATAGTGTCGAAGTTGGGATTTGAACCCGGGTCACATTGGTGGGGGGCCAATGCTCTCATCGCTGCGCCATCCCTTGTTTTGAAACGTTCTTACTCTAGAGCTTTGGAAAAACACTGGTTCACGTTAGCGATTTCCTTTCAATTTATATATTCTCCGCGTTAGGCGGTCAATATAACGTCATAATCCGAGACAGCGAACCAATGAGATTGCTTGAAACACCAAGATCACTGAGTGTGTATAATATACTAATACGTGATACTATTCTCTCTACCTCTTTGCCACAGCTTGCACAGAAAGGTTTCAATAATTCCTTAACCACGTAATAACTACTAAACTTACTTTAAAGGGTCCACCATCTTCCACAACACAGTTGAACTTTTGTAGTGGCACATTAAGATTGTCAGGGTCATACACTGACAAGTTACCGATAACTGTACCAACAGGACTATTTTCGAGAACCTGAAATATGAAGGGAAACCTTGTTACAAAATAAGCTAAAACGTTTTGAGTTTATCTTGAATCAAAGAGGATCTTAATGATATTGAAAAGCAGAGGGTCCAAAAATTCAGCCCCTATATCCCTTACAAGAAACTCACACGAGGATTTCAACGAAAGCAGGGCGGGCGTTGATGAGCCACGTGCGTCAAATCCTTAACACGAGCGTCTAAAGTCGTGGATTTGTCTGATTTGAGTAGTCAAACACATTCATCTAACAGTTAAAATACTCATTATAGCGACACTCACGCTGATGTAATGACGATGATATGCCAACCAGAAGAGAATTGGTTGTTGAATCAAAAGATTCTTTTGTTTTACTCGTGAAAAATTTGAATAACAAAAGCAATGTTTGTAAAAAGTGATGCTTCCTATGGTCCGAAACTACTTTTAAAAAAGAACAGATTTAAAATGTTCTCTTGAGTATACGTGAAATACGGCCCGCTAAACCGACCAATCAAAGTGCGCGTACTAACTGAGCTAACACAATAAAGCTATTGTACCTGGTTGTTATTCAGCGAGATATTTTGTGGACTTTCATTAATGTTATGCACGCTGACCACAAACGAGCCTGTCACTGAGTAAGGAGGAAAACCGCTGTCTGTGCTGTTCAAGGTCACTGTATATTTTGCATACTGCTCGTAATCTAGTCCAGACTTTTGAAGAGTGACTTTTCCAGATGGCGAATCAACAGCGAAAAGGTTAAGAAGACCAGAAGTACTACCGTGGAAAAAACGAGAAACATAAATGATGATGGATATTTATCATTATTAAAAACTGAATCATTGGATAATGCAATTCTAGCATTTTGATTGGCTTAGCCGTTATGGTATATGAGCTAATATACCATGTTCTCCATATATGGTCGGTGTTCGCGTCAGTTTAAAATTGGAAGCTAGCTGAAATTTTTTTCGCGAAGGATAGAACGGCGCCCGAAGCAAATCGTTTTAATTCATTTCTTAGAATACTAGAAATGCAATTTCAACGAAAGAAAAAAGACAAAAACAAACAAAAAAGCCACAAGAGCTTGTTTGAAAGTTTGTCGAAAAACACATGAAAACACATGGAACTAAAGTACCTTGACCAGCTACGAAAGAAGACAATTGTTGTTTCTTCATGATCGCGAAGCCATTCGCCGATTGAGTCACTCGCCGATAGATAACTGCAGCTTGTTTATCCGACATCAAGAATATAAATCACAAGTAACCAGCTACAAATACAGGCTATGCTGCCATTCACTAGAGCAATCGAGGCGGCAGTATAGCTTCTTTTCTCGTTCAGCAAAACCAGCTTGTGGCTTCAAACAACTTCATAACAAGCGACCGAGGTAATACCGGTAGTTTTTCTCCGTTGTTCTTACTTTTATAGCTGCACCGAAAATCCAAATTCATAGTACTTTCGACGGCTGTCACTTTAAAATTCCTTTCCTTCACATTATCTGCCAGGTTTTTTAAGCTGTTCTGCTGTGTAAAATCCTAGAATCACGATGAGTTTTTAAAAAACTAATGTTCATCGCACAATGTTTTGATTTTTCATTCATGCAGTCTAGGCGAGCCCGGTTCGCGCGTTGACAGTTTTGATAGACGTGTGAAATGTCAATAGCGGAAGTCCCTTGTCTTTTCCGGTTTGTTCTAGTCGGGGCGATTCAACGAGATTTTGTGGGTGTTTTTAATAAAACAATTATTCCACTCGGGCTTGTTGGATATGAAATGATTATAGCCAACTCGGCGCTATGCGCCTCGTTGGCTATCTATCATCTCATATCCAACGCGCCCTCGTGGAATAATTGTTAATTAACCGATTACAAAAGGAAACCGTCAAAAAGTTGTGACATATAAAAGCAGCCATTGTCAAGTGACGTTTAAGATAGGGCTTAAGCATTCTCAAAACAGGAACCCAACTGATGAAGAACTTCTGTTTAATTTTCCTCTCTTCAGTCCGCCACTGAGTTTTGAACTACCCTCTGTCCTAGTGTTTCCGTGCTTTAATCACACAAATCATTGGTAAGCAAAATCAAACAATCATTGGATGACGTTTTTGAGATAAATCTGGATTGAATCAAGCTTGAGGTAAGTGTTATCAGCAAAGAACGAATCTAATAATTGTTTTATCATTCTTTTGAAAAAAATATCGACAAACACACACTGTCGTGCGGAACAAAGTTTAAAGGTACTCTTTGAAGTCATGCATTGCGCGCGCAACCTACAGGTTAGTAAGTTAACTGCTACCAGAAAACAAACTAATCCGTAGGTTGCGCTGATTTCCAATTTCCAAAATTAACTTCGCCAAGGAGAAGACAGATAGTGAGTACAATGTATAACAGTAAATCAAATTGGTCACGATTTCTTATTCGCATAACAGCTTAGGGCGTAAACGTTCCGTCTTGGATATCGACCTGGATAGGTGGTTTTAGTTGTTCTCATGAAGCCTAAGACATTTTTCCTTGAGCAAAGTATAGTTCAGAACTAAGTGAGCAGCGAATCACAAAAGGGCAGGGTGTTTGTACAGCACAATTCGACAGGAACATACATCAATGGCGACAATGAGGTAATACCTGCGGTTGCCGTGCGCATGTCCAACCACGTCAACTATCTCATACTGGTACGTCTGCCCAACATCTTGATCAGCGGTTACCACTGTACCAAGGTACTGCCCGGACACACTGTTTTCAGATAGATTCAGTGGGCGGCTTACTGATATTCCCGTGGGCGGATCGTTTCTGTCTCTTACGATTACTGTGAAGTTCTTTGTCGTACTAAGTCCTACAGTAAATAGAAAATAAATAAAGTACACACGGAGGAGCTGACTTAAAGGACATGAAGGTGATCTTAATTCATTCAGTCACGAGGGCCCGTATCGCGAAAATACCAATAATAAACGGGCCCGGAAAGTTGGTTTTTACATTCAAGAGAGATATTTCAATAGCTTTGCAAATAACTTGATAGAACATCAGTTAACAAAACAAAATGAACTGGTTTTTGTTGACTAGAACCTGCGCTTTTATTCTCTACATTTTGATTTCATTGTTTGATTTTGGGCCAGAAAATTTACCAAACCTTTCGAGAAACGGGCTCAAGTTTTTCTGGGTAACAGGTAGTATAGGCTAAATTTCCTATTGTCTGAAGGAACGAAGGCGCAAAGAGTAATTGACTTTAGAGGCCAAGTATGACGCGTGAATTTTTAAGGGAGCGCTCGCACGACAAAAGGGCCATTCGAAGGTATCTACTCTGGCTCCTTGTACATAACCTATGCCCAGGATCAAGACATGTGGAGTCTATTATAAAATCATGCTTTTGTAAAATTAATATGGGCTTACCCTTGTTATCTGTTGATTTGATTTCAAGCAGCCAGCTAGTTTTGGTCTCGTAATCCAAACTTCTCGAGGTATTTAGTGCGTCGCTGACAATGACAAAAGGAATGTTCCCGGCTGGACTGACAATGGTATAACTGAACGTCTGCACCACCGTCTGCTCATTATCCGGGTCAGCGGTATCCAGCCAACCAACAGTCACAATCCCAGCATTCTCAGTGACCTCGTTATTAGAAAGAGTGATGTCATACGGCTTCTCATTGACGTCAGTAACATTGACTCGCACTGTCTTGTCGACGGATAAAGGGGGCTTTCCGTTATCACGGCAACGAAGATCAATATTGTAGCTTTTTGTCTTCTCATAATTCAGATCACCAGCAACCAGAAGAGAGTTTGATGTCCCGTTGAGGATAAATGGTATGTTGGCGATATTAAGTATTCTACAAGTATGGTTTTGCCAGGTTCCTCTAGGACCATTATTGTCAGGGTCTGAAACCGAAATTTTACTGACCAGCGTTCCTCTGGGGCTATTTTCCTGGACACTGCTAGAGAGTAAAATTATGTCCGTAGGTCGTTCATTGACGTCACGTACCTGAAAAGAGAGTGGACATTTTTTTGGTGCGTTTGTTATAGCTTCTGTTAAAAATTATAAGTAACGACGCGTTGATTTACTCCTGACGGTTGCTATGCCGTTTTTGTGATCTTTTCTTAACGCCTGGATAGACTGCAATGTCTTTTGCCAAACCAGTTACGTTTACGACGTATAATTGCAAAAATGTCGAATGAGGAAATCATGATACTACAAAGGTCTCCTAGATTAATAATAATTGTGTTTAGTGTAGGAGAACGAAAAGGAGGACGCATCTAATCTTTCCTTTCCGGTGGCTTTTACAGACAGATGACGAGAACTACCATCTGCGTTCCTCTTGCTTTTTACCAGGGGCAATTTTTTCATGCAAGTATTCTTAGATCAGTACTTGTAGTGAACCACTAACCTGAATGGTGAAAGTTTTATCGATGCTTAATCTCGGGGTACCATTGTCTCTGCTTCTCACCGCGATAGAATACTCTGACTTTGTTTCGTAATCCAGGTTCGCATGGAAGGAAGAAAAGATCTTGTTTTGGCGGAGAATAAATTTCCAACCTCCATTGTTTATCAAACTGTAGCTGTGTGTCTGATTAATATCTTCATCTATGGTCGCCAACTCACCAACAAAGCCATAGTTAAGGTTCTCGTCAATAAATGCAGTATCTCCACCTGCCAAAGTGATATTCTTCGGTCGGTCATTAACATCTAGTATCGTAACCTTAAATGGCTGCACACGGAACAAACCACTGTCATCAGTCACGCGAACCAAAATATCTTCACTAGAGCTCGTTTCGTAGTCGAGATCACCGCTGACCTTTAACAGCGTCGTACACTTTGTTTTAACGCCTGGGATGTAAGTGTTGTTGTGGCAGGTGACACTTGAGCCCATAGTAAAATTGCCGCTTGCATCGTCATCTAGAACGAACTTTAAGCTTTGAACTTCGTCATGATCCAACGCATGAAATGTCCCTACTGTTGTGCCTGTTTTAGAGTTTTCATTCACCTTGGGTATATTGTCAGGGAAGGACTGTTGTCCGGATTCAGGCGTCAGTGAAATGTTTATTGGAGCCTCGTTAATGTTTTCCACAACAACCATAAACGTCTTGTTGATCTGCAAGTACAACAAAATGCATTATTTAAAAACAATCTCTTAGTGTCTTAAGACAGTAATTGGCGACAACTAAAAATAAGTGTTCGTTGCTACCCCAAAAGTGTCATTCAAACTCAAGAAAATGCAGATACAGGAAGTATGGGGGTCTTTCTGGAGTTATAGTCATCACAAAGTTAAAGAAACAAAGGAACCAAACAATAGAGTTCTCCTGGGGGTTTTATTGATTGGTTTAATTGTTTCTTTCGTTGTACTTAATTTGTGCCACCGTGACTACAGAAGGAACCAAGTATGGTAAAAAATGGTGGTGATAATGTTTCTGTTGCATATTATACAATGAAGTGAATGGTAGGTGCGCTGTGATTGGTCGGTGCCCATGAACTATTAAAGTTTTGTCCAACATGGCGCGCGGTTTTGAAAGTGTTTGCAGTTTGTTCTGGATTAAGCAAGTAAACATCAGCAAGAGCTGTTTAAAAGTAAGAAAAACGGAAAAGCAGAAATAAAATAGAGTTCATTGCGACTTTAAAATGCCTAAACTGGAAGAAATCTTCAAAAAAGTTGTGATCGTGTGTCACCGCTATGAGAAACCCGCAGCTTATGCGATTATCAGTTTTGCTAAGAGCAAGTAATCGGCCTTGGACAACTGTTGGAATGAACTGTTTACAAGAAGCATAAATAAGAAAAGAAGAACCCAACACGAAGTGTAGCGTTGGTGACCTTGAAATACCTAAACTGGTAAAAGATCCTCGAATAGTAAAGGGCTACGAGAAAAGTTTGTGAGTTTTTTTTTCTGTTCACTGTATGAAACGAATCGATTCCATGTTTCCATGCGTCTTCTTAGTAACAGAAGACAGAAGATGTCCCCCAGCCAATATGTGATAAAAATATCAGCGACGCAATCGCCTGCGGCTTGTGTTCCACTTTTTTGCAACATCGTTCCCAGGTTTCTCACTCTCTCTCTTGCTTCGAGGAAGGAAGAAAGAGAACCCTGCAAACGAGGTTTGTTTTTTGGTCAAACCACATTTTCATTTTCGTCATCTGTGATCTATTAACTGAACAGCGCAGACGCACGGCAACATGGAGTATATTTATACACTAACCTCTAAAGGCGGATTACCGCTATCCCTGACTTGGGCGACAATCTTGTGAACCTTGTTAGTCTCGTAATCTGTTCCGTTAGCTTTCAACAAATATCCCGATGAATCAACAGCAAACCACCCGCCATCACTGTCGATTAAAGCAAACTGAAGAGTCTGAGATGTATCTTCATCTGTAGCGGAAAACTGACCAACTTTTGTTCCGATTGTGGCGTTTTCTTTAACCATGTTACTGGATAACTTCAGGTTACGTGGTCGGTCGTTGACGTCAATCAATGTGATTGACAGAAACGCTTCAGTGCTTTGAGGTGGGTTCCCATTATCCGTAGCTCGCACGCTTACTTTGTAAGTATTTTGTCTCTCGTAATTCAACTTACAGAAGTCGCCGCCAATCTTAAGGCAGTCATCGTTGGACAAAGCAACTTTCAGCTTATTTCCATCCAGTTTAAATCTTCCTCCTGCTCCGTCAATCAGAGTGTAAACAAGGGTTTGATTGAAGTCAGGGTCACGTGCGGACACAGTTCCTACCAGTGCATCTTGGGGGTAATTTTCCTTTATAACTGTATTTGACAAAGTGATGTTAAAAGGTTTTTCATTGACATCTGAAAAAGAATAAAACATAAAAAATAATTCAGAGTTGAACTTTATTAATAAGTATTTGCATTAACAGTCGACTGAGCAAAGTGTGACAATATATTCAAACAGACACTAATCAACCTTATACCTCTATAGCCTTAAGTCAATCTTTTGTATTTCTCTATTTCGATAAAAGACTGCGAAGACCTTCAAGCAACACCACTCAAGCTGGCCCTTATCACCATTTTAACAAAGGCAGAGCTTCACAGTTGAATTTCCCTTGTCATTGACTATTGTTTCTTCTCGAAAATACCTTCAGTTGATCCTCGTTAACTTAATTTACCTCAAGGTCAGTGACCTTTCCAAGTTCCTTGTCGAGTCCCGCATTCTTTGCAAGTGGGTAATTTATCTAAATCAACCTTTCCGGGGGAGAGAGGGGTAACGTGATAAGTATTTCAGCAGGCTTAAATTCCAGGAGAAGGTTGTATGAACTCCTATAAATCAATATGTGGTTACCGTCAAGCTTGCATTTATTTTGAAACTGATTTAGTCAAACACCTCGAAGGAGTTATTCTCAAGGCAAAAGTAGTCAAGCATAATTCAAACTTTAACTTACCAACAACGGATATCTGGAAAGTCTTTATTAAACTGAGCGCCGGGTCGCCGCTGTCCACTGATCTGACCGTGATGATCCAAGAGGACTGGACTTCAAAATCCAAACTTCTCGTCGAATTCAACGCGTCATCATCGATTATAAAAGGTAGACCAGCGGTGTTCCCCATGAGTGTATAAGTAAATGTCTGTCTGTTTGTCACTTGGTTGGCGTTATCTGGGTCAGCGGTTGAGAACAAGCCTGAACATGAGCGATAAAAATAAATAATTAGAAGAACGTTACTGTAAAAATATGAATGACCAAGTGCATTAAACGTCGTACATTTGTGATGTCCTTCTATGATAACGGCCAGCAACAGGAAATAGAAATAGCGGAATAGGTCACGTGGTGATGTCCTAGAAAGATCTGTGATTCATAGTTTTAAAGACATTACCAACAAGCTGTTAATTTACTAAACCTTTTTAAAGTTTAATTAAAAAGTTCTAAATGTTTGAAAACAGAAGTTGGTGTTTTCATCCATTATCCAGCATGATTTTACTCGGGGCGCGAAGCGTTTTCCACGAAAAAAAAGCTAAAATTCTTGAGAACTATGAAAAGACAGTTACGAAATCGAATTAATTTATACATATTTGCCCATGTTTACGCTTCCTGATGAATGAAATCCCATAAAACAAAACAAACGCCCTTGACGTTTGACCGCGGTGGAGATTTGTGATAGCTAAGAAGTCGAATCACAAAGAAGGCAAGAAGTTTATTTATGTAAGACAGCAATTATCATTCAGTCATTACATTTTTTTAAATTAAATTATCATTCCTACCTATCAACATTGGAGACTGATTCTCCGCTATGGCGTCACTTGACAATGATATTCCAGTGGGAGCCTCATTGACGTCATCAACTGTAATGGATAGAACCTTCGCCAGTGACAATGGCGGAGAGCCGCTATCGGAGCATCTTACTTGCACAAGTATTAAAGCAGCATACTCGTAATCTAAATTGGCGTTACCCACTACCAGCGAATTGGTTTGAACTGTAAATTTCCCGACCTGATTTCCAATAACTTGGCAGTTGTGAGATTGCCATGCGCCACGTGAACCATAGTTATCCGGATCGGTGACATTAAGCTGACCGATCACTGTTCCAGGTGCGCTGTTTTCAGCTATGTTCGCTGGCGAAATAGTTATGTTCACTGGAGCTTCGTTGACGTCGATGACGGTGATCGTGAAATTTTTAACCAAACTAAGAGGGGGACTACCATTGTCTTCAGATTGAATCCTAACCGTGAACTGACTTTGAGCTTCATAATTTAAATTAGCCGAAGGTGAGACGTACAGCCAGATTGCTAAGATCACAAATTTACCCCCAGCACTGTCCAACAGCTTGTAAGTATGCGTTTGGTTAACGTCTTGGTCACTAGTCACCAATGTTCCAACATAATTACCGTTGGAGTTTTCATTAACAGACGCAGCGTTACTTCCACCTAGCGTGACATTTTCAGGAGCATCATTTTGATCTACGACTGTGATCTTTAATCGCTGAATCATGAAAGTGCCGTTGTTATCCGTCACGCGCACCATCAGCGAGTACTCAGTAGAAACCTCATAATCTAGAGAACCATTTAACAGAAGATCTGTTGTACACTTTGTATTCACCCCTGGGTTGTTGGTGATGGACTGACAGTTCGCACGTGATGCTAATTTAAATTTCCCACCGGCATCATCGTCGAGATTGAAAGTCAAATTTTGCCCTGCGTCGTAATCAAAAGCCTCCAGTGTTCCGATCTTCGTTCCGGAGGCGGAGTTCTCACGAATCTGAGCATGTCCATCCGGGAAAGACAGCTGACCTCCTTGGGAAGTGATGTTGATGCTGATTGGAGCCTCGTTGACATCCAAAACTTCGATCGTGAAGGATTTTTCCATCTAAAATAGACGAGCAATGTAAAAATATGTTAAAGCACCTCTAGGAAATATACAGCGGATGAAGAATAACCACTCAAAAGAAGAGTGGTTATAGATATCAGTGATTATGGTCCTGAGCCGCCGGGGGAATTGAGTGGCTTGACTGCAACCAGCTTCTACCCCACTCCAGCCCTCCTCCTCTCAGACACAAACATACATCCCCCAAAATAGTTTATCCCAAAAGTTACATTAAATTTCACCAGGTTCATGAGTTACAGAAAAGAGTTAATTCACATAAGTAATATTTTCAACACAAGCTGACCTCTCTTAAAACTTTCCTTTGTTTTGATTTTCCTCAGCTTGTGTGAAGGTTAGTTACTCAACGGAATGTTAGGTATATAACTCTTAAATAAAAGCGTTTGGATCACTTGTTTCTCGGTCTTTGCCCGAAGAACGCTTGTTTTCCGAAGGATATCAAAAGCAGAAATTTTAAACTTTTATTCCAAAACTAAAGAGCACTCATTTGCAAGTGTTTTGATTTTTAGAAGATACCCTGGATGCCATTGGAATTTTTCAACCAGTTATTACTTGCAGATATCATATATATACCTCGAGACAAAACATTTTCTTCAGATCGTGACTTTTGGATCAAACCAAGTTTAAAGATCCAGTGATGATTAAGATGAGTGTAGCTAAGAAAAATAGGAACAATGCAAATGAAGTATGTCTTGCATTGGTCTTTCATTTAAGAAAAGGGATGAGAAAGAGCCGTGAGTTAATAATAACAAAAAAGTTTACGTTTTTTTTTATCGAAAGGAGAAGCTGATTTTTATCATTGTCGTTCCTCGTGTGTATGCAGTCAACCGAGATGAAGTTCTCGCGAAATTCACGAATACCAAGCACTGTTTGGCTCAACCATCTGAAAGGGTTAGCCTCGACCTAAGGTAAATATAATCACAAATTCAGTCAGAGGAAGACCCGTGTACAACTATGTCTATTGTTTTAAACTCAAATTGAGGCACCTTCTAGCTGGTATTTGTGAATATTTTACTCAAGTTCAAAGCTAACCCCGTACGAATGAGTCTTTGGCGCTTTAATACAGCGGCCACGAAGAATTCGAAACTGGACTAATGCAGAAAGGCCTGTGTAGTCATTCCCAAAGTTATTTTGCTGAATACAAGTTATTCTTTAAAGCGTGACCTCATTTCCCTTTGATTGCCATGTTTACTCGCAGATATTTTGTTCAAACACTAGGTGAAAGCTCAGGATTGTATTCATGTCCCTCTTTCTCAAACAATTTATGTTTATTTTCCCTCTGCATGAACACCTTCCCTTCTTCAAGAATGTTGAGTCCCGCATTTTTTGCAAGTGGCTTCTTTGCATAAATTAACCTTTCAGCGGTGTTTCAGTGCTTTAATATTCCAAGAGAAGGTTGTATGACTTCTGTAAATCATTTTGTCGTTACCATAGAGCTTTCACAGACTTATCTTGACACAGCTTTAGTCAAAGCTTTGAAGGAGTTATCCGCTAACCGCGAAGTAGTCACTGCAACCTTTAACTTACCAACAATGGATATCTGGAAAGAATTTTTTTTAAAAACTGAGTGCCGGGCTGCCGCTGTCAGTTGATCTGACCGTGACGTTCAAAGAGGACTGGACTTCAAAATCCAAACTTCTCATCGAATTCAACTCGTCATCATCGATTAAAAATGGAAGACCAGCGGTGTTCCTTATGAGTGTGTAAGTAAATGTCTGTCTGTTTGTCACTTGGTTGGGAAAATTGAAACACATAAAAAAGAAGTATTCGGAAAAACACTACCATTTAGGAATGATATCGAGGAATGACGGAGTAAATTACGTATTAATCATATACTTATGATGTCCTGAAATGTTTAACAGCGTTACAAGAAATCCAACACATTGTTTATAAATTGGAAACTAAAAGAGTGGAACCTACTGAGTGTCAACTGAATTAAATGACAGTGGAATTCCGCCCTTTAAGCGTGCGGTCTCATCTCGATCGATGTTGTTTCCTGCGACAACACTGGGGCGTGCACACTCAAAACTGTGGATATATCAATATCTATCAACTTGACCGTAAATCCTGTAAGACTCTTCTGAAGTAAATGCCAAATTATTGAGAAAAATAATGAGGTGCTAACAGTGTTTTGTGGTTAGTGGCTCTATTTAATCCCAGACCCCTCGGTTAAGACTTTTTTTAAATCTCGTTTTTAATCTCGGTTTATTCACATAGATGCAAAGGTATTGGAAAGATCTTCACACCATTTGAACTTACTTTTTGTCCCCAGCCCAGTATGAAACTAATGAAGTTAGTGTGAGCGTGAGTTAGCGTGAGTTATTGTCAGATTCATGGAACCTGGAATTTTCGATACTAATGTGTTTTACTGAAGAGTAACAAGGGATTAAGGTCGCAATGATTTTGATACACGTATTATTTTAAAACCTAAACTAGTCCTGCCTATCAGCATCGGAGACTGATTTTCCGCTATGGCGTCACTTGACAATGATATCCCGGTAGGAGCCTCATTGACGTCATCAACTGTAATGGATAGAACCTTCACCGGTGACAATGGCGGAGAGCCGCTATCGGAGCATCTTACTTGCACAAGCATCAATGAAGCCTCTTCGTAATCTAAATTGGCGTTACCCACTACCAGTGAATTGGTTTGAACTGTAAATTTCCTGACCTGATTTCCAATAACTTGACAGTTGTGCGATTGCCATGCGCCACGTGAACCGTAGTTATCCGGATCGGTGACATTAAGCTGACCAATCACTGTTCCAGGTGCGCTGTTTTCAGCTTTGTTCACAGGCGAAAGAGTGATGTTCACTGGAGCTTTGTTGACGTCGATGATAGTGATCTCGAAATCTTTTGCCAAACTAAGAGGGAGCCTACCATTGTCTTCAGACTGAATCCTAACCGTGAACTGACTTTGAGCTTCATAACCCAAATTAGCCGAAGATGAGACTTGTTGTTTAAGATCATAAATTTAACCCCAGCACTGTTCAACAGCTCGTAAATATGCGTTTGGCCGACATCTTGGTCACTAGTCATCAGTTCTCCAACAAAAGCACCGTTGGCGTTTTCATTAACAGACAAAGCGTTACTTCCACGCAGCGTTATATTTTCAGGAGCATCATTTTGATCTACGAACGTGGTTATCCGTCAAGCGCACCATCAGAGAGTACTCAGCAGAAACCTCATAATCTAGAGAACCATTTAACAGAAGATCTGTTGTACACTTTGTATTCTCCCCTGGGATATTGGCGATGGACTGCCAGTTCGCTCGTGCTCCCAATTTAAATTTCCCACCGGCATAGATGTGAAAAAGTGGGGCTTGCACAGTAAAGATTTGATCAAAAACAAGCTCCAACAAATCAGGTCAATAACCAGAGTTTAATACCATCAACTGACGTAGTGAAAAAACTCACTCTGACTCTGAAGGTGACTATCGCACAGGTTGTCGAAACGTCAGTCACTGTCAACAACAGTCCTATTGAGGACTACGTTCACCCGGAGGTACAGTGAACATACTTAGTATGAAACTAACTTTTCTCCGAAATTGAGGAAAATGAAACAAACTTTCTTTGAGTTGCAACCATCTAAAATGTCCCCGTTTAGTGAAAAATTACATGCGAAGGAAAATTTCTCGCTTTGGATGGAATCCCACATAGGAGTACACACCTTTTCAGATAACTGAGCCATTCAGTGCATGATATTCGTAAAATTACTTCCTGCGAAGTGTCTCGGTTGACTGCATCTGACTAGCAAAAAAAATCACTCCCTCTTTTTCAGTCATTTTTTGTTTACATGAAAGATGTTAGTCAGACCTTCACTTTGATAATAACTTCAAAATTTGAAGAAGATGGTCTATCTCGAGGTATACAGGTATATACCGTTCTATTTTGAAAGGCGACACTCCTCTTGGAGGGTGTCTTTTCAGAAATTTCCCCATTCTTTTCATTAAGTATAGCAGTCAATTTAAAAAATGATTTTAAATGCGAACTGAGTTCAATGATTTTACACAACCTTGTTCCCATAGACCCTGGGAACGAGATTGCCAAAAAAAAAAAAACTGCCAATGTGCAGCGCATTGCCAGCATCAAAACTTTTTTCTCTATTGTGCGTGAGCAGATTATTATCCATAGGCAGTTATCTGCAATGACATAATGACCTTGACACCAATCAAAAATGATAATAGCTATTACTGGAAGACTCACTTTCATAGGCGGGTTTCCATTATCCGTTACCATTGCTCTGATGACATGTCTCTTCTGGGTTTCATGATTGATATTCTTCGCAGTGTACAGTCTCCCCTGAGAGTCAACCTTGAAGCGCCCACTGTCATCATTGGTCAGTGAGTATGTTGCTGATTGGCTGGCATCTTCGTCACGTGATGATAACCTAGTCACAAGGAACGAAAAATGTCAAATGATTTAATTGTAAATAGTAGCTTCATGCATGGCCAGGTTTCTTTACAACTGGAACTTGAAGTTTCATAAACGGGGCAACTGGAAAGGATTTGGTTGCTTTAATTGTTCATATCTGTTTTATTCTATTTGCCGTGTTAATTGTTGACATGGTAACCGCAATAGAGTGGAACGAATTAGTAGGCGCCCGTAGAAGTCTTCGCCCAACCTAAGTGGCAAAGACAGATCACCATACCAGGGTTTACTACCCCAACTCTCTCAGCATCAGAGGCCTTTAGATTCGAAGACGTGATATGACTTAAAGTTTGACATCCCAAAAACTCCATGTTTCTTTTTTTCACCAGAAAAAATAAATACGGTTATCTTTATTGAAGGAAGTTACGCCCTCTCCCTCTCTCCGTAAGATTATAACTCTTGTAACGTTGATAACTTGTTTCCGACTGCGACATTTTCGCTAAACGTAGTAGAATGACGACGGTTATGACGTTTTCACGCGAAAATGACGCTGGTTCACGCGCGCGCAATACTTGATATTCATTTGTTGTCATAGTCGAACTTGTCTTAGAATCTAAAGGTCACTATTGTCGGTGTCTTCCTCCGACAAATCGCACTGATAAGAAGGGTTGAAAGGGGTAAGGCCAATCGTATGACAACATTGCCAATGACTAATCATCAGAACTGAGGCAAGGTATTATTCACAGCCAGCATGACCTGCTAGATAGCTTGATGAAACCAGCGACAATCCGCTGAGGAGGTCCGCGCTCTTCTAACTGAGCTAACTGGGCGGAGGTTACAATAACTCGACTTACAGAGAGACAAAAACTTGGTTGTTACCATAATCTATGAACTAGAAGTAAGAAAAATTATTTTTGATTGCCACAAACATAAGCCAAAAGATTTTGAATAAAACAATATGTTAGAATTCTGTCACGTGATACTCACCTGCCAATCAAGGTATTTATCTTCGCATCCTCCTTTACTTGGCTATTGGAGAGCTGCAAGTCACGTGGCATGTCATTGATATCTTGCACGTCAATTCTAAAGTTTTCTTCGTAGGACAGTTGTGGGCTACCATTGTCTGTAGTCTTAACTCTGATAATGTGGCTCCTTTTCTTCTCGTAATTTAGCAGGCATGACGAACCTCCTTGAATCAAACATTGTTTGTTGGAAATAGCCACCTGAGTAATAAAAGGCAGAATATTTGAAGGATTATACCACACACAAGAAAGAGTGTTTCCTCGCCAAGAGCGGGAGGTTTAAAAACGAGGCACAGTCTACTGAATTTCGAAGCAATTTCGAAGTATCGGTAAACTGATGAAACATTCTGTCCCAGTGTGCTTGGTTTAGCTTGTGTGGTAGTGAACACTTCTGAACACAACACTTCTTTACTTTATTGTTGTAAGAATACTAGATTGGTGATGACTTCATTGTGCTTCATAGTGCCTTAGCTTGACAGTCAGACTCTTTGAGGAGGTAGCTCACTTAGAACTTGAGGGAGATGCGTGCAAGCGATCAACTTCAAACCGTCTGAGAAACGGACAAATGAACAAACCAGCGAACAGACGAACTAACGGACAGATGAATGAATGGATAGATAAATGAATAGGACGTGACATAACAAGGGATAGAATGGCATGAGATGGGATTGCTTTCAACCCAGCCGGCGATACGACGTAAGGGTACTGTTAACCAATTAAATTTATCTTTTTAAAAGAAAAGTACGTGCTGAGTTATATAGGTTGTCTTGTGCTGAAAGTAAGGAGCAGCTTCTCATATTGGAATACAGCATAATATTTTTCACTTTAGAGAAATTTTACCTTAATTTCATTTCCATCAACTTTAAATCTTCCCGAAGCGCTGTTCATCAGTTGGAAAGTATGATTCTGTGAAGTGTCTTGATCCACTGCGGTTAATGAGCCAACCAAAGTGTTCTCATCGCTGTTTTCATTTACATCAGAACTTGAAAGCTAAATCAACACAGAGAGAAGATCCCTGTTAGTACCGTATTTATTCGATTAACCGCCCTGGGCGCTTATTAAATTTTTGGACCTTGAGAATGGGCGCTTATTCGAGGCTGGGCGCTTATTAAATTTTCACTATTTTCAGCAAGTGAAGTATGTTTATTTCGCAACAAAACAATAAATGCTAATAACAAAACGCGAAGAAGTAACAAAGTAAGGTTTCTGTATAATACTCTGAAGAAAACTCCGTCCTCGGAGAAGTGTCTTATTAGCATTTATTCACTCAAGTGGGTGGGGTGGGGGTGAGCGCTTATTTGAGTTTGATTGGGAGGAGGAGGGGGTGGGCGCTTATTCGAGGCTGGGCGCTTATTAACTTTTTCTGCCTTTAGGATGGGCGCTTATTCGAGGTGGGCGCTAATTCGAGGCTGGGCGCTTATTCGAATAAATACGGTAATTACCGCCCAAGTCAGCAGGCAAAGGGGTCAGGTTTTTCTCATAACGATCGCCAATGTTGACTCGGCTGGGAGGGTGACTTTCTTTCCCAAGACCACCTTTCTCCATAAAACCGGGGCCCAACGAAATTTTGTTAATGAGACCCTGCGCCACAGGATATTACTCCTTAGAATGAATGCAAAATTTTTCTTTCTATTTGCTAATACAGTTTAAGCTCCATTAAGCGGCCACACTCGGAGTAACAGCGAGTGGCCCCTTAATGGAGGTTGGGCGCTTAACACAGGTTCATAACTTGTTTGGATAAAAAACAAATGTACCGAGAAAATATCTTACCACCATTCCATTTGGAGCATCATTTACGTCAATGACTTGGATCGTAAATGCCTGAGTTCTAGAGAGCGAAGGTATCCCGTCATCCTTTGCAGTCACTCTCACAAGCCACTGAGCGCTGTTCTCATAATCAAGTGGGCGTTTGGTAACAAGGCTGTTATTTTGGATCTGAAATGGTAGATTTGGGTTGGAGGAAGAGATTGAGAGCGTAAACGATTGAACCCGGTTTTTCTCGTTATCTGGATCCGTGACTGTGATCTGTGCGACTACAGTACCTCCTTTCTGGTTTTCTTGAATCTTGTCGTTTGATAGTGAAATACTTGTCGGAGCCTCGTTGACGTCTTGAACAAGAATCACAAACGTATCCTCCACAGCAAGGCCACCGGGATCACGACACAGGACTTTAACACTCAACGAACTTGCATCTTCATAATTGACGCCTGCACTTCCAACGGTCAGTTGGTTATTACTTAACGCTACCTTCCCATTGGCTGAATCGGTCAAACTGCACACGTGACTTTGCTGTCTGTCAGGGTCGCTGACTGTCAACTGACCAATTAGCGTTCCGGCTGGTTTATTTTCCTGAACGCTTCGGTTAGACAAGGTTATATTGGTTGGCTTTTCGTTTACGTCTTGGAGATTAATAACTAATGACACCTGCACAGAAAGAGGTGGGTTACCGTCATCAGTCGATTTCACTGTGATTTGGTGACTCGTAGATGATTCATAATCAAGTTTGGCGCCTATAGAAGTAAACAGTTTGTCCCCTTTTACTTGAAAATTTCCCCCTGGGTTGTTAATTAAGACGTAAGTGAAGTTTTGACCCTGATCCTCGTCTTCTGTTATAAGACTGTCCACTTGAACGCCTTTGCTGTTCTCAGGAATTAAAGCAGATACACTTCCATCCAGCGTGACATTTGTTGGCGGATCATTCACATCAATTACTGTCACGTTAAACATCTCTGTGCGAAAAAGACCTTTGTAATCGGTCACGCGAACGATTACGTCCAGGCTTGAGGTATCTTCGTAGTTTATATTGCCGCTGACAAGTAATTCTGTTGTGCAGCGAGTTCCATTGGGACTAATACTCTGGCAAGAAGAGTTGGATTGCAAGGAAAACTTGCCTCCTGCGTCATCATCTAGTTTAAAGGTTAGGTTTTGCACAGCATCAGTGTCTGTAGCAATTAAAGTTCCAACAAGAGTTCCAGGCTTCGAATTTTCCTTTACGTTACTCGAGGAGAGGACGATGGAGACTGGGGCCTCATTGACGTCCAACACGCTGATAGCAAATAACTTCGTCATCTGCGAAATAGCAAGAAAGGCTTGTTTTACAATATTATTCCATTTAACCACACTGTAAAGCAGGGCGCGTGTGTGTTTCAGTGGTGCATGGGGGTGGGAAGGATACGAAAGGGGGGAATGGGAGGTAAGAATTATTTGGTTAAAACCTCCAACTCTTCAATTTCTACTTGAAGCACTCAGTTGCCAGTTATCACGTGTTAACGAATACAAACAATTTGAGATCGATACTTTAATTTAGTGTTGGTTTCTTCTAAAGAGACGCACTGTTGGTTTTACATGAGGCTAATTCTATGTGCACAATAATGGTGGGATGCCTGTTTACCTACCGATAATGATGGCTTTCCGTCATCAGTGACTTTAGCCACGATGTGGTGCACTTTGCTCGTCTCATAGTCTGTTGACTTTGCCTTGTAAAGAACCCCCTCGCTGTCCAAAACAAATCTACCGGCATCGTCGTCAACCAGTGAGAAATTTAGCTTTTGTCCTTTGTCCTCGTCGCTAGCGGATAGATTGCCGATCTTGAAGTTGATTGGCGCGTTTTCTTTCACCTTGTAATTGGACAATTTCAGACCACGTGGTTGATCGTTAACGTCATTCAACAAGATGTTAAATGAGGCGTTAATAGATTGCGAGGGAGAACCGCTGTCAACACTGCGTACTCTTATAGAGTAAGAAGACAGGCTCTCGAAATTGAGAAAGCAATGGGAACCACCATTTAACAAGCAATTTCTGTTTGACTTGGCAACCTTAAATAAAAAGGGGAAATTTTCATGATTATTGAAAATGGAATACACAATAAACTCTAGCAGGCTTCGCCTACCTGGGTAACTTTTTATAAGGAGAAATAAAGTGACAACGGACAAAAACACATTGGCTCTTTTGAGACGCTTGGAATGAAACACTATTTTAGAGATGAAGCTTTCAGGAGCCAATCACTTGCTTACAAAAATTTATGACTTGCCCATTCTTTCTCGCCTCCTTTAAGTACTGTATCGTTTTATTTTAGTGTGGTTTGATTGAGTTGAGAAATACCACTATACCTTAACACGATTTCCTTGAATCTTAAACCTTCCATCAGCGCCATCTAGCAATGTGTAGCTGTATGACTGCCTGTTATCTGGGTCAGCGGTGCTTAGCGCGCCCACTTCTGTGTCCACGTCACTATTTTCATCAACAGTATTACTTGATAACTACAAGAGAAGTAGTGATGAGCATGAACCAAAAAGCATTTAATTAATTGGCTCAACGAACGCATTGGTTAACATAGGCTGTCTTTGCTCCTCTCTCTGTAACTCAGTCTAAAGCTTTTTCTCGTTTTTGGTAAAATAGTGGTTTGGTGATTCCGATCATATCCTCTGTCCCATACCGTTTCCAATCAACCCTACTCACCCGCTATCCGTGAATTACATAGATGTCTTTTCTCTCGGAATTTATGATAGCTTTAAACACAAGCGAGAGGTGAGGCGGTTTCAAGGTCCTTGAGCGCGTGTTAGGCCTGGGACAAACAACAATGAAGGGTAATGAGACATTACGCCAATCTTCGATTTGCTCGTGCCATAAGCGACTTTACTGGATTCAAAGTGAATTCGTCTCCCTGGCTCTGGGTTTAAAACAAATCTCAAACATTTGGACTCTTTCCGTTGCACTCTCTAAGAGTTCGAAATATTTAGGCCCTATCGCTCAACCTTATCAGTTAATAACAATGCGTAAGCTAAGGGGCTCAAGGAGAGTGTGACATCAGATCTATACAATATAGCTCTTAACGTAAATGCTCTACACTTCATACATTAACTGTCGGCAGGCACGGGAGCACAGATTAGGTAAAAACAAAAGAAACGACAGAACCAAACAATACAGCTCGTAACGAAAGTTTGTTGTTTGAGTTATTATTTTTTCTCTCTTGTCCTGCCAGAAGGATCAATGGAATTTTCATTATGATAATTTTCTTACAGATCATTAATTTTACGAGCTACACTCTGCTTACCTGGATCGCCGTAGGCTTTTCATTCACATCTGTCACCGAGATTGTAAATATTTTTTCCAACCTCATTGGCGGACTGCCGTTGTCTGTGCTTCTTATTACGAGTGAAAACCTACCGCGTAACACAAACAGAAATTTTCAGCCCAAGGAGGAATAACCATAAAGGGTAAAACTCAGTTCTATAGAGCAGTGAATGAAGGCACAATGGAAAGCGTCCACACTGTGCTCCTTCTTGCGAGTGAAAATCTACAGCGTAACACCAACAGAATTTTTCAGTCCAAACAAGAATGACCACAAAGGGTAAAACCCAGCAGTGAACAAAGGCACAATGGCCAAGCGTTCACACGCTGCTCCTTAATACGAGCAAAAACCTGCAGCGTAACACAAACAGAAATTTTCAGCCCAAGAAGGAATAACCACAAAGGGTAAAACTGAGTAGTGAATAAGGGCATAATGAACATGCGTTCACACTCACCTGTTTGGAGATGTTTCATAATTAAACGTGGTCAGTGTGAACAGATCTGCTCCTCGAAGCTCAAATTTTCCGCTCCCTCCGCTTACGATGCTGTAGGTGTGCTTGTCTTTAATGTTAGGATCCACGGTGGAGAACGTGCCAATTTTAGTCCCACGTGGTTGGTTTTCTGGAACACTGGCTGCGCCAGACAAGGTAATCTAAGGAAAAAGGAACGCGCTGATGAAAGCCACATTTAAACACAAGCCTTGGCTTTCCTAACTGGAATCTCGCCTGCCTAAAGGTAGATCACAACCAACTATTAAAATTGTCGGAAGTTTTTTAACCTCAAGTGCAAAACGCTGTCGTAACAGACTCATTTCATTGAATTCAAAAATTGAAAAAAACATTATTTTTGTTGTTTATGATGATGACGGTTATTATTAGCTATATCAAACTTAAAATGAAGAGCTTTTTACTTTTAGCAATAAATTGTTAAAGTTAATTACGTAATCTGCTGTGTTTAGGCAAATAATCACACCTTCAGATGCTTGGCAACGAATTAGTGCACTTTTCAAAAACATGCAAACTCTGAAGTTCAAAAGCAGCTATCACAAATGCGTTTTAAGCTGCCGTCAATCATAATTATGATCACGAGCAACAAACCTTGAAACAGGGAAACACACAAAATGGATCAAAATCCGCCAATCACAAACCATGATCATTTGAACCCGTTGGAGAAAACTTCTGTTTCCTAAGAGGTCTGCTAATATGATTGACAGCAGCGAAAAAAGTAAACATCAGTTGGCTTTTGAACTTCAGAATTCACGTGTTTATGAAAAGAGCAGTAATGGCTATTACCAGTTGACTTGAAACAAGGGTTCTTACAAAAGGTTACCTGTGATGGCGGATCGTTGTTCCGTCGACAGTATGAAGACGCATACGACGTCCATTGTCCTGATGTCTGACACGTGACTGTGGACGCTCCTTTTATGGAATAGTATTGAGGACATCCCAAGGAACATGTGACAGGATACGTGGTCTTACCTCCCGGGCACGTGACATTGGCATGCTTGCACGTGCTGCCAAGTGAAGTACCTGAAAATGTCTTCACGTTAGGTCTGTACCGTATAACAAATGAGAAGATAGAATTTAAGGGCATATTAATGAAAGAAATAAGACCTACAAAAACAGGTGCTACTTTGGCTGCGGCCTTAAGATGTGTTTGTTGGATCATTCCCAAAATCAAAAGTTAGAATCACCATGTTTTGCATAACAAAAAGTCATCTTACTAGAGAGCTCCGAACAGATATTCCCAGAAAACAGTCATTGGCTGCCCCTGATCTTATGGGCCATTCTCTATTTACCAAAATAAAAAAAATCCGAGTGGATTGAGAATTAGGGCCTTACCACAAAACATCTAAACCATCTGAAATATCTTGCAGATAACAAAGAGTCCGAGAGAATACATCCATACTGAAATTCAGTCACAAAAAAGTCGTGAAGAAAAAGCCCAGCATTTTCTTTCAAATGATAAAATGGTCTTTGCTTTACACAAACGAGTTTTCATTTTAGGGTTTCCAACTACGTTGACGCTTTAACAATTGATAAACTAATTCGCTGGTTCTGATATCACTAAAAACATTTTTTGGTCCATGATAGATAAATACCCTTCTCATTGATCTGAATAAGATTACTCTAAGGTTACTGAAGTTATGAAGATGTGAAAATCATATATGAGAACTGCAGGGTAAAGAATTATATGAAAGAAGATCATCGCACTTATAGACGCAACTTTTGCAGTTGCGATAAGAAAGCTTTCTTTTCGCAACTGCAAAAGTTGCGTCAGCTATAATTGCCATGATCTTCTTTCATATAATTCTAAGGTTACTGTTGTTGTTTTTGTTTGTTTGTCTGTTTACGTCATTTAATATTTCTGTTTTATGGTTACTGACCTGGTGCACAATATGATGGCTTTGGCATATTACAATCCTTGGCGATACAATTCTTCTTATTTGAGGCCAGATAGTATCCCGAATAACAGGAGCACACGCCATTGGTGCATTTATGTTGGCATCCATTGTTTCGAGTTCCACATTGTGATGTTTCCTTAAACACACAAAAAAATACATGAATACGACAACCATGTCAAAATGTTTAATTAATGTGAAGAGCAAATAGGTTCAGAAACGAGGGAAAAACAATTGTTCAGGGGGCCGTTTCTCAGAAGTCCCGATATCTTTTCGGGCCCGGAAAGTTGTTTTATGTTGGCCGTGTTTGCATTCAAGATTAAAGTTTAAATAATTCTGAAAATAATACAATGAATCTATCAGTTAACGAAGCAAATTCACTGGTTTGTGAGCTAGTAACTGTGCTACTATTCAACTGGTTTTGATTTCAAAATTTGCCTTCAGGCGCGAAAAGTTTCCGGGCCTTTCGAGAAACAGGCCCCTAGTTACGTTGGGATGAAATTAAGATTGACGACACACTCTAAGGGGAACGGACCGGCGTGTGAAAGTATTTTGTTCGTTGCTTTTCTTCTTGTTTGTTTTTCACTGAACTTGAATACGACGAAGCACCGGCTTATTTTGCGTTTGAAAGGAGGGGAAAAAAGGTCCTGAACGAAGCTTCTTTGTTTTTGAGTAGTGGTCTCATGTGTATCTTAGTTAGAGCAATGCTCTGAAGACCATCTGTCAGCACTCGCTCAGGTCGACAGTGCCGACATAAGTCAATTGACAGCCACTGTTTGATGGAAAAATATCGAGATAAAACTTCTCCACGCGTAAAAAAGGACTTATTATGAGTCGATGCTTTTCTTGCTCAAAGAAGTTGTCGACGAATTTTTTTTAAGTAAAACAACAACATCAACATCAACAAACAAGTTTACACCAGTGCAACCTCAAAGTTTACAGCAGTAAGTGTAAACTCAAGAAATAGGACAATAAATTCTTACCCTAAGTGCCGGGCAGTCTCTACCGCGGCACCTTTTAGAAATCTTAACTGTCCGCGTTCGCTGTTTTGTCCCAACAGCGCATTTTTCGCTGCAAACTCCCCATGAACCCCAAGAATTAACCTGAAAGTAAAAAACAAAACAAAACAAAAACAACGTTGAGAGCCCGGCGATGGTTTAATCTGAACCCCTCTCAGTACTGCGTTGTGAGGTACTGAGAAGAGTTACTTTTTCAACACGATCTAGCACAATCGCAGTGAATTTAAGAGACTGATCTACGTGGTCTTGTATTCGTTTCACGCGGTATGAACTCAACATATCTCAAATCTCAATGAACGTTTAGAGAATGTCAACCGGACCCACCCTGCGAGCAGAGGCTTTCTTTGTCTTCTTGAGTGATAAGGAGAAAAGGTGGCACTGTCTGAATCACGTCAAGTCTTTGAAGTCGCCGCAGCCTGAACTTCTGGACTAGTCAATCTTGTTTTTCCGCGTCAGACTGGTTTTATCGAGTGCGAGCATCCGTTTATTGATAAACCGATGGTCATAAACGAGCCCGCTGTAGCAAGCGCACGGTTTTTAAGCCTGGGTCCGAAACTATATCTTAGCAACATGCCGCGCATGCTCAACAAGGATCTTACCTCGATTCATGCAGGGTCTCTCTCGACGGTTACGCCAAAATAGAGCAAGTGAAATTAAAGTAAGGCTTTGCTGACAGGGTGGTCGAGACTAATTTTCAACCAGAGTTCAAAGTTATTGGTAGACAATATTTCAATACGTAAAAACAGTTTTAAAACGTACCACGCAATCTCTATTCTCACGGTAATCTGTGCACGGCCTGCTCTCGGATCTAGCTCCGCATGCCTTCCCGCGGCATACCGCTGGCGATGTTATTCGGCGAGTTCGGGTGGACTGTCCGCTTCCGCAGCCATTGCTACAAATTGACCAGGATGACCACGAAGACATGACGCAATCGCGGTTGTTGTACTGCGAACACCTTGTTGTGTCTTTCAAGGTTGGACAAGCTCTTCCATTACAATATTGTTGAACAGTAATGCGCCGTGTTCTTGTCTTTGTACCTGCGAAGCATTAAGAACTGATAAAATCTTTATGTTTGTAGTTATAATAACTTGTTGCTGTTCAGACATGCCGATAGTTGCTAAAACTGAAGTAACTGAAATAGAAAAGTCAAAAACAGGAAATTATCCAGTACCTTCGACCAAACGTAAATTTGCACATACGCTGTTCATTCTATTTTTATCAGTGGTCAAAAAGGTTTTTTTTTTCATCAAAATCGTTCTATAAACATTGGTAGTCACACAGCAGCACAAATTCAATTTCTTTACTAGAACCTTAATTGAATGGGAGACTTTACCCTGTTCGATTTTAGATCAGCCCAGCGTGAAGGCTTTGAATCGGCACTCTCAGTTCATCTTTATACATACCATTCACTAATTTCGTATTTTTGTCTACGTTTTCTTACAATTCTTAACTGAACCATTGTTTTTGTTTTTCCCCTGGTGTGTTGTTTCTTATCATTTTTTAATTTTTCAATTTATTATTAATTCATTTATTTACCTTTTTTGGTTTCTTATTATTTTATTTTATTACTTTATGTACTTTTTGAAATAAAAATAAAATAATAAAATAAAATAAAAAATAAAAATAAAATGTGAACAAAGGCTCATTTATTGGTTCTCGACAAACAAACTCTTCACACTTTCCCCGCATCGAATTCTTTTGTCCTTGTCGTCACCTACAACGGTCACTTTGTCAAAGAGGTACAATAACATCGCACTAAACAGATTTGTGTGTGATACCCTTTAAAGCTCGAAAATCTAGTCTCTTTTTTTGCCACAACAAGAGATAGAAAAATCTTTGAAGTATATTGTGTTTTCTACGGATACTTCTCCTTGCCACTATCTCCCTTTCTTGATTTCTGTTTAGTTGGTTAAGCCTGAATAAAGCTGCCAGTTGGCCATCCCGGAGGGAAACTACTTCATACAGGTCATGGCTGTAATTTTAGCGTGTGAATTAACAGACTCAATGGTAAGGGATATAGCGAAAGAGCTCCCTTTCAGCAGTTTTCTTTCTGCCCCATTTATCTCTCCTGAACCCATAGGGAAAGGTCTATTCGCAGGCGACGGTAATGTCTAAATAGAGGTCTTCATTCATGATCAAGAGATATCAGTATAAAAAAGACCTCGTATGACTCACCTGTTCCACATGTGTTAGAGCACGCACTCCACGAACCCCAAGACGACACAGCGCAGTCCCTCGGGCAGCAACTGTGAGTACACGAGCGTGTCTGTCGCGTGGCGGGACACGCGGGACTGCAATATGGCTGGGTAGCTACTGTACGTGTCTGATACTGAGTACCAGCTCCGCATTTGCCATTGTTTGGGGAACACGCACTCCACGAGCCCCACGCATTCATCTAAATAATGAATTATAAATCATAGCACGTTATGTAATGAAGACTATATGGTCGGATACTTCCGGGAGAGGGAATTCAAGAAGGCTTTGACTTAGCCAGTGAAAATGGGTAATTACATTCGCAATATTTTTACTTTAAGTTGATGGCGATGTGAATTTACGAATTTGACAATTTTATTGAGAAACCAAACAACTGGCAAAATTCATAGCAATCCAACGCTGAGACAGAATTACATCTGAAAGTGCTTGGTTGCACTGATTTTTTTGTGCGATCTTAACGATTATAGACTATTTCTGTTTATGGTGATAATGAAGTTGATGATAGTGGTGATAGTGACTGTCAGCTGAGGCTGATGCTCCTACTGATACTGTTGAGTGATTCTCGTTTTCGTCGACATTAGGGTGCTTTAGCAACTACGGCGGCGACGACAAAGAGAACGCCAAAAAAGCAACTAGTTTAAAAAGCACAACAACAATTTTAATCGTGCAGTAAACTTTTTGGTTAACCGTCCGAAACGCGAATTCACTTCAAAAGTTTTTGATGACCTGTAGTCGTTGCTAAAGCTCCCTAGTGATGGTTTTGAAGATGACAATCCATTTTAAAGAACGATAAATGTACAAAAAACACTTGACAAACAAGCAGCAAATTTGAAAAAACAGGAAAAAAAAAATAATGAGAATAACCTTGCAAGGGATTGGAACAGGTGTACATCTAGATGTGTCGCTTAATGTAGGGCACGATGATCCTCCACAGCTGGGAGATAAAGTCACCCTTCTTGTTCTTGTTCTTGTACCACTGTTCGTGCTGCACCTGCCTGGAGGTGCAGAACATGAGCCCCAAGCTGACCAACTGCTAACCTGAATGAAAAAATATATATACGTATATAAATTCGTTTTTTGAGTAGAACGTATTTCGTAGCGCGCTCGACTCAATTGATTGAGGAACATCAGCTATAACTTCACAGAAGTTCAGGCTTCACGAGTAATCATTGCTTTGAAACCTGAACTTCTGTAAAGTTATATATATATATATAAAAGCAATACAGTTGAACCACTCCTTTGGGACACCTCTTTTCAGGGAAGGAGACACTATTTCTGGGTCCCGCAACGTGCGTTACAGAGTTCGACTTCCTTGATGAGGTATTTGGACAATGGATGTTATTTGTGCTGAATTGGGGGTAATTCAGCGCAAGTTTATATTTAACATTGGATGACTTAGAATGAACTTAAATGAACTAATTTATCACCTGCGAACTATATTAAACTGTACCTGACAATCTCTTCGACAACAGGGCCCTCGGCAAGACTTTGTTTGTGTCAGTGTTGGACAGGGAGTACCTCTGCAGGAAGCCGCAGTTGTTACCCGGCGGCTGCGCCTTTGTTGACCATTACTTTCGCAACGCGCGTTGCAAGATCCCCAACTAGACCACGAACTGACAACACAATTCACCGGGCAGCATCTGACAATTTAGGAAAAAAGAGCAACAAAATTAGAAACAAAAAGCTAGGAAAAAGTGCTGAAAATAATAATAAAAAAAAATTAATAGGTAAGCCTCGGTAATCCGATGAGGGTTTTCGTCTAATTTTCGTGTGAAATCAGTCGTCGACGGAAATCAGTCTCCTTCTTTGAGTTTGAACCTGTCTTTTACCTTCCAAATCACTCAAGTCTCGATATAAATTGGTTAAGCCACTAAGCAGGTACTCTACTGAAAAAAAATAAACTAACATCTAGCAGAGCCGAAAAACTTAATTGTGTCTTTGTTTGTCTTTCTGATACTTATACTGTATTTATCTGTGGGGTCCAAATGATGTACGGCCATAGGCGTCTTTTATACGACGCGGTGAGGTAAAATATGCTCTTCTTTAAAAAGAAGTTATATCAGGATTCACAAAGAATTTCTTGAGCTCTTCTTTAAAAACTTTGGGCTATATTTGATGATTGAGAGCATTACAAAGATAAGTGAGGTTTTACCGGTGGAGCCAATTCCATTGATGTAGAGTGTAATTATAGCAAATAACCTTCTCTGTATCAGACTTGATTGTAATCGGAAAAAAAGTGTGAAACGGTTTTATTAGCTTTTTGTGTGACAGAGACTATAAATAGGTAGAAATAAAGCCAGAACCATTTACTTGCAATAATTCAGCTTTACTAGTACTTCAATAGTAATTTACGAAACGTTGAGCTTGCATCTTAGTTAGAGCGCGGTTTAATTTTTTAGTTCCAGTAGAGACAGACTTATCATCTACTTATAAAACTCCTACAATTTGGTATCGTTCTTCAGAGATCGCGGTATTTGTACAGTACGTGTAAAATAGTAGGAATTTAGCGTCACATATTAAATTTCAAAACAAACCCCCTGGCCCGTAGGATGACCTTTATGACCCATGTCTTCTTGTTCACAATGAACGCAACGGTATTACGACATCGCATACACGCACGAGAAAACTCTTTTTTTCAGACGCAAAACTAGCGCATGACGCAACGGGGTCACAGTCAACCCATTTACATTGATTTCCGCAGGATAATATAAGCCAAGAAACCAATTTCATTCTCTTAAATGTTCATTATTTTTTCAAAGATATAAACTTTCGTGATAAAATTGATCACGTGTTGTTGTGGCCGCATAGAAGGCGCGTGGCGCACTGATCACCAACAAATGGGTGAGAAGATGGAATATTGACTTGTAACTAGTTTCTATTATAAATAAAATCGACACTTAACATCTTTACTATCGCCACAAGCGCCGGATTAGAATGAGCTCTCAGATAGTAGGGATGACGCGCAAGTGTAAGGCACGCGAAGTCAGTTCCTCCCGTTTTATTTTCGGGTTCGCGCTTTCTAAATTTCGCGGACCCGACTAGCTCCATCGAAATTTGCGCCCTACCCAGTATTGTTACTATTATTATTATCTCCATCTACACAACCGGGCATTCTGCAAAGGATTCAGTCTAACTCTGCCGAGACCTTGGACCTCAAGCACCTTTCTCAAAATGGAGGTTCCAAGAAGCTCTGAAATATTTCGAATTCTTATTTTCTGCAAGTTACCATTAAACAACTACGTAGAGCTTTCACGACGACTGGCATGGTACCTCAGCAATTTTGCCTTTGCACCTCAAAGCCTAAATAGTACATTGTGTATTTCTTCGCAAAATCCTGGTATTTTTTTCCCCGTTTTTCTCTTTCTTTGCGGGGTATCATCATGATTTTTCTTATCATTGTCATTATTTGGTATCGTTATCATTATCACTATTTCTATTATCATTTTCATTACTATTACTATTATTATTATTATCATTATTATTATTATTATTATTATGAACAACACTACTGCTGTTGTTGTTACACTCGTCGCATTAAAAAAATACCCAGTTTCGCAAAGCTATGAGTAAGCAAACGTGACTAAATACGCCGAATAGCAATGAGGTACGTGAAAATATTCCTGTTTCGCAACAATGCGGTGTTGTAAACAAATTACTAAACGTTTTCCACTTAAGTGAATAAACATAAGTGATTATAAGTATATACCAAGAGCTACTGTAATGAAAGCGTTAGTCCGCAGGGGATTGAGGCCTCATAGCTTTTGTTACTTTAGTGACATCTTATGATCTGATTTGGAAAGCTTGAGTTTCATTTTCCTTGTCCAATTTCTAGAAATTGCAACTAAGCAATTGTCCATTTCTTATTTTAAACCCCAGTGGTAAAGAATAATCTTTTCTCACCAGGAGGGCACAAAATACCCGTTTTGCCAAAAGGTCAAGTTCTGTACCACTAACGCCCGAAAGGTTGTCTTCTCTGTTCGTGAAAGACTGTAATACTGGACAAGGTGTCGACTTTGTGGTCTCTGCGGGCCTCCAGTTAGTGTAAAGCTAAAGAGAGAAACCACTGAGACCAAGGTCCTTTCTACGCGAGCACAGCTTGGGAAATATGTAAAACATAGCTTACCAAGGCTGCCCTCGCTTTATCCCCCGACTCCATCCATGAAAGGTGGAGAGGTGGACAACACGTAGAGCAACAAAAATCCTAGAAGAGGATCAGACACTGGAGATTGAAGTGGAGTTAAAAGAAGGAAACATTTTGCCAAAAAAAGAAAAAGCAACAAAAAAAAAAATAAATAAATAAACATTGTTTTGGTAGCCACAAAGCCTGTACTTTGTACATTTATGTAAATAGCTGACGTAACGCTTACGATCTTCAGACATACAGTTGAAAGCACAAAAGAAGTAGATGAATAAGCACTCAAATTTACAAACGAAGAATATCTCCATTTAAAAACCAACTACTTTAACGCTTTTTTTTTAACTTACACCCCTGTATTACAACTTCGCGTCTGACTTCGTTGGCTCGGACATGCTGTTCCTCCACAACTTGGATAACGAGTGATACGCATTGTGCGCGTTTGTTGGGACATTCCACATCCCGTGCACGGGCTCCAAGCATTCCAGTTCCACGCACAATTAACGCGGCAACAGTGTGTGTTGCAGTACCTTGTTTCTTTCAAAGCAACATTGCAGGTACCTCCGCAGAGAGCGGGTACAGCGATGCCTCTCGTGCGATATTGTGTACCTGTGCCACAACCTCTTGTGCAGGTGGTCCATGAACTCCAACCTCCCGGCGTACAATTACGATAACAGCGCCTACGGCGTCTACGGCGCCACGAATCGACAGAGCAAAGAAAAAAACTTGCAAAAAGAACTAATACAAAGAACGTATCAAGCCGCATTTTGCTGAGTGTTGTGCTAGAGAGTGTCACAACTATCCTTAAGTTGTTGTAATTCTATCTTGGATATAAATATGCTTTTAAAGTGGTTATTACTTAGAACAGAATGAATTGTTTTGTGACAGTTTGTGTTGGACAGATACGCGTGCAAGAAGCTGTCCTCAAATTTCGTAAGGAAACAGTTCGACCACGATGATCATGTCGCATTTTAAGAAAGCCCACATAAAAAAATCAATGAATCAGAATTTACTGGCGGTGCAAAACATACGTACTTTTAAAATAGCATGCTGATTGACTGAAAACTAACTTATCCCTTTTTCGACCTTTTCGCTCCCTCCATGTTGAGTTAAAAAGATCTCTCATCACCCTTTGTTCTTTTAATTTCTTTAGAACGATTGAATATAAGCCCCCTTCAGATATCAAAGACACAATAAAACGTCAGACCATATAAACCATAAACCATGCCACGTGAAAAGGTTTACAGCAATATGGGATATCGATCAACTAATTTGCGGGAAATTGGTGATGTTTTGTTAAGATCGACCGTCTCACTAAAATATGCTTTTAATTAAGCTATAGTCTTTCATTTTTCATTTTTAGAATTAAAAAAAATGGTTTTATACCAAACACTGTTTGGTGAATAACCGGCTAAAATTGATTGCACAACACATTTCCAAACCCCGGAAGCATAAACCAACAAATGCCCGGGAGTATGACGCATCGTCATGTCAAAAAACTGAGAACATGTCCTAGCTTGCTTGAACATTAGGACCAAAGTCCTCGTAGGAATTTCACTTTTCTTTCGACTTTGCTCGTCCGCCTGCTTCCCCTTTCTCGGAAAACGAATAAAAAAACTTCATACACGTGCGACAAAGCATTGGCAAAAAAAAAGACTGAACGCAAGCGAATTGTGAAGCCGTCGTACAGTAAGAACTGGAAGTGCGAGAATAATCAAAGAACTTTGTGACTCCCGAAAGTCTTCACATTGGCAACGTTTAAAATAAATTGTTCACGCGTAGGCAATCCCCGGGTGGGCCCTTTGAAGCTAAATGTCATATTGTCCTACCCTTTCATACATCTAGCTAGTTAGTGACCCCGGCCTGTTGACGCGCTGTGTTGTATTCGAATCCATTTGCTTCGTTATGACTTTCAAATCTGTATTTCTTACTAGCGCAAACGCATTTTTACTTTACAAATCTCTTCAGCATTATTACTTGCGAAAAATGTAGCAGTAGGATTATTTGATGATGAAAAGCAAGTTAGCATTTTAAAAAATACGAGTTATAAAACCATGGCCATCTTTGGAACCTTATCAATCTTGTGACTTATGCGCTTGTCTGGCCAATATTAGGCTCGATTACTAGCCGCTGTTCGGGAAAATGAGCCCGCACTCATCCCCCCGAAAGGGTTTCGGGGAGGATCAAGGACCGGACCCGCGAGACGGCGGAAATCGAGCCTAGCCACTATCTGAGAGCCTGGAACAGGCTAATGAAATCAGGGTCTTCCTACTGTACAGTTTCTTAAAGTGTGCCGAAGAAGTCTGGAGTCTAATAATGGAAACTTTATTTGTGTTTTTGAATGTACAATTGTAAATCTCGCTACGTATAGGCAATTTACAAATGCTGCTTGAGATTGGATTATTTATAAAAATATATAAAAATAATAATAATAATAATAATAATAATAACAATAATAATAGTAATAATAATAATCAACTTTATTTTTCGAGGGTGGCACTTGACAGTGTACTGATAAACTCGTGGCCGTTCCCAGTCTCCTCCCCAGTGTCTCTTCTGGAAATGGTTCGTTCTTTCCAATAGCCTACAATCAATATATTAAAATTCTAACATGACTCTGAGGCTTTCTGGTCATATTCTGTATTTGGTTTGGTTTCCCTTGTCACTGAGCACTTAAGTCTCTTCCGGGAATTGAGATACAATGGATTCTTGAAAAAATTGCAATTTTGTCCGTATCAAGGCTCGAAATTGGCTCAGAGTCCTTTTAGAGTTTAAATATATCGAACGTGGACTAATCAATGGGAAGCACTTGAAGTAAATCCAAGGAACGGTGATGAGAGCGTAGATGCTGGTTTCCTTTGCTAACACTCTTGGGCTTGAGACAATAGCTCGCTTGCTCGAGACACGCCATTTTCGAACACAACTCCTACCAGACGTTTTCAACGTGAAAGGGATAGTGGCTCTACTCAACCGATTTTCAAAATTAAAGCGGATTCTGTTCGAGAAAAGGTCCATCCTTCATTTGCCGCGCGTAGGTTTATAAAACGCAATGTAAATTTTTAGAAATTTTCTTTCGAAAATGGACTCCATACTAAAAAAATCCCGTTTTTACTGTATTTTCAAGTTCAAAGGGATAATGCTTACTCTTATTCAATCTTCTTCATTTTAGGCTCAATTTGCAGGTACATCATTCATCTCCAAAAAGCTGCGCGTAGGTTTTTAGGATTTCGCTTTTGAAAAGCGGGAAAGCAAGTTTTATCAGCGCAACCTGTCTAATTTGAGCCCATTCTTTTCTTATTGTGAGCTTTTCTTAGCCAGCCAGCATTCAAATTTGCCGCTTCGCTGATTATGAATAATTAATGATGCCCTGCATTCTGCGCGATGGGCATTTTCACGACGGACATAAAACACAAATTCTAACTGAGCAAACTGCCTTCAGCCAACAGTCTTAAAACGCTACATTTTCCTAATGGGCCACAAGTAAACCAGGCCTCCGAAGATTTTTATACTCTCGTCACCGCGATAAAGTCACGGCCGAGATATCTGACACTAAGACACTGTGTATATATTCAAAGGCTGGGACTGTGTATATATTCAAAAGCTGAACAGATTCAAGGAAAGATATATTCTTGATAAAAAAGACACATTATAAGCCATCGGAAACCTTCCTGGACACACATTTCATCTCGCTCTTCTTATCAAACGACGCTTAAAAACAGCGGCTTCCTCAAAGGGGAACCCTTGATCATCCTGAGAACAACCACCTCACAAGCTACTATTTGCGACGAAAATATTGCGCAAGCTGATATAAAATTGGAAATAACATTAACAGGAAGAGACTCTGCGCTCCTAAACAACATGCTGCTGCCTCGGAAAAAGCAGTCAAGATAAATCTTGCCTATCGTAACACAATAAAGTGAAACCTCGACACAACGAAGGGCACAAGGGACTGGCAAAATTTTTATAACGACGTTTCGTTATATCGTGGCTCTTTTTCATATATTTTACTATTACTGGAGTAAAGAAAATCGTTCGTTATACCCGAGGACTTCATTGTTTAGAGGTTCTTTGTATCGAGGTTCCACTGTACCGACCATGTGTCTTATAAGAAAAAAAGAAGCTTTACTCAAAACTGAATGGCATCTTACACAAAGTCAGCCACTGCTTCACCAGATATTTAAAGAACCATCGATTTTTTTTTCTTACAAGAAAAAAAAAAAACAAATCAAAACTAAGAAGGGTTTACAGACGGTATCAAGCACATGGCTGTTACAGTTGTTCCCAGTTTCTCCCAGTCGCAAAGAATCTCGACTAGCCTGGGAACCAAGGCTTCCTTCCCTACCCAAACAAATCGGACACTGAAACAGTCTTGGAAAGAAAAGCTATCCGTGATACCTTCGCTTGCGCGAGCTGTTTTATTTTTGGTGAGTGACTTCACGTGTGTGACCTAGTTTCCAGAGTCTTTCTGCGCCTGTATGGCAGGTAGCGCCTGATTGAAAGTTGCCGAGTAATTTTTTGATGTGATGAAAGTAACTGAAAGTAGACTCAAACGTCAGTGTGAGTAGCGTTTCATGTTGGGGGAAACTCATAATTCTAAAAATATGCCTCCTTCGTTTAAACATTAAATAATCCTATTACCACGTATTTCGCAAGACACAACTGAGACAGGCTAAGACTTTCAGAAGTAATAGTACATGCATGTTATACGCTCTCACTGATTAACCCCATTGCTAAAGGGGTGAATATTTGAAACTCATGACGCAACGAAAGGGTTCCATTACAAAATTATAGCACGTTAACAAAGGTCATTCGCTGTAGAACACCACGTATGATAACGATTTACTTGCCAATGCAATTGGGTGGTAACTACACACTTAATTTTGACAAGTTAAACGCTGATGACCACGGATTGAAAAATGGTTTTAACGGTCGCTTCTTATCTTTGGAAACAATTTTTGAACACTTTTTGGCCTTAGCTCTTTTAACGAAGAATTCTCCCTGTCTGCACTGCGCATTGCAAACAACACCTGATACTCTCAGGATATTAACTATGAAAAAAAAAAACCACGCAAGGTTAACATTTTAAACAGTGCATTATGCGATTAATGCAAGTGCAAACGATTATGGCATCATATCTCATATCATCAAACTAATTGCGCCTTCTATAAGTCACGAGTCACTCTCCGGTCTCCGGTCCATGAGCACGAAAGCGCACCGCAGTACAAATCAAAAGCGGGGAATCTGACTGATTTCAGTGCTGTTTGGTAGATAGTCAGCAATAAATTTTAATGTATTTATATCGGGCGATATAGATATATTGGCAAGTTGACAATCTGGGTAACTACTGGCACGAGTCAGTACCAGGCACGAGAGGCCACGAGAGGCCGGCATTTGAATGTCTAATATAACACTCGTGAGCGTAAAGAAGACGAATCGGAACGAACAGGTCTTAAAGATCGAGTTAATGGATTCCATCTAAAAAGTGTTGACATAAATTGAAAGTTGGAATACAATGCTTGATGTAAAACCTTTTCGGGACTTTTGTAAGCTAATTTAAACAAAACGTAAAACAAAACTTGCTGGTTAAAAGCTAACTAAGATGAAAGAAAATATTTTACACGTTCTCTAAAGCCTTAAAACTCCAGAAAAAAAGGATTGATATGGACCATTCAAGTTTTACCAAGCCCGCGGACAATCTTTTGAGCAAAACACTATATATTCCTCCGTTGATCTTTATATTTACTGACTACACTGTCAGTGCACTGTATTTTGTTTATATCAGCTTACGCTCTAAAAATGTCCGCTGACCTCTATTTTGTAACATAAACATCTCATAAAAGAAATCCAGAACCATGTACAATGCCCTGCAAAAATCAGTTGTCATCTGAGATGTCTTTCGGAAGTGGCGAATGCGCCGACAATGCTACAGACACAATCGTTTCTGAAGAACGGTACATGTGGCATAAGCGAGACTTTCAACTTTTTTGTTTTCCAACAGTTAATAAGCAATGACTTGTAAAGTGAAACGGAGAAGAAAAAGAACTCCAGTGATTTTTTGAAATCACCTAATTTGAAATGATATACCGCAACTTAAAGTGTTAACGTACCCGTACAGAGTGAGCATTACCAACACCCGACGAAGTTTTGTTTTTCCCTGAAAGAGTTTGTTTAGTTTGTAAACCATGCAAAGTATGAGATTTACTAAAAGAAATAAAATATGCTTTTAAAAGATGCCTAATCCAGAAAGTTTGATTCTCAATATTCTTCTCTGAGATATCATCAAAATGACCCATCAGATCGCTTTTGTCAATTACTGAATTATGCTGCTGCAGCAGGTTTTTCGAAAAGCTCCGTTTAATTATTGAAATCAATTGGTACCGCAAGCATTGATTAAGTTATTCGCACATGAATATTTTCGCGCCAAAAGAAACATTGCCTACATACTCTTACTTTCTGCAGCCTAGTGATTCTCAACACCAAAGCACTAAATTGCTATTTCTCGCAGAGTATATTTGCTCCAAAGTACAAATAACATTAATTCAAATATCAGCTCCTTTAAGCAACAAAAAGTTTCCACTTACATTCCTTGTGCACATCGTCGACTCTCACTCCGTTTACTTGGGCACGATGTACCTCCACAACTAGGGTTTCTTATAATACGTATCGTTCGCGTTTGCGTCGCCGATGAACCGCAAGTCGCGGAACACGATCCCCAAGAGTTCCAGCTCCAGTAGCAGTTAACGCGACAGCACTGCGTGTTGCAAGACACGTAACGCCTGCGCTGAGTACTGTAAGGCGACGGACAAGCGCTTCCTCCGCATCTGGGGTTCGTTCTAATGGACCGTTGTTGGAGCACCACCCCACCTCCGCATGACCGTGAACAACTTCCTGTTGTTGACCAATAATTTAAGACGCAATCTTGCCGCGAACACCATCTTCGGCGTCGTCGCCGTCGCCGCCAAGCCCACGATCCAGGAAGGTCGCTCAGAGCAGCCAAAAAAGCAAAAACAACAAGACATAGCCAAAAATGCTTCCTCATGGTTCAAAATCAAGAGAAGCGCACAGCGCAACAGCAAACGTTCGGTCTGGCGGGTCAAACAGCACTAATTGACTAAGTCTTTTTCATCTCGTTCCCTTTTTAAACCGCTATTGGAGGGTACATGTCGAGACTGGCTACTGCCTGTCAAATTTTTGCGGTTAAATAAATTGCTGACTCCGTGTAAAATTTCAAGGGAAAACATTTCGCAATATGAGAAACGTTTGATTCAAAAGGGCAACGAAGTTACCTTTTGGATTGCCCAGCATTGCTGAAAATTCAATATTCTGCAAGTGTACCGGATGGAAAACTGAATATATATAATACAACTAGAAAATAATCGGTAGGTCATGTCTTAACCGACTCGCGACACTCTAGTAAATATGCGGTTTATGTTACTCGTGGTAAATTACTGGGATAATTACGGAGATGCTTAATTAATGGTACATTTTTTCACATAAAACTCCTTAAAGTTCAAGTCTCAATATGTATTTTCCTTCACAAGTAGAATTGCTTGGATAGGAGAAGGACTTTCGCAGGAAATAAGATATAAGGGGTGTTATCTTTACTTTTAAACCGAGTGAGAAGTTATATTGCAGTTTACCTTAGTTGCAGGTTGCAAAAGAATACTGGACAATAACAATGAAACTTTATCCAAAGATCTGTTTAGTTAGGTCTACTCAGATGTCTTGATGTAAAAGGTTCTTTTTCGGCAATAAATTGTCTGTAGGATTTATTGTTTTGGTTTTACAGCTCTTTTTTAGATGGCAAACTACAAACATCATCAACAAGCATTTTTAAGCCATATTAATTAAAGATGTCAAGAAAAATACATAAGGAAAAGCAAATACAGATTTGTTAAATCTCTTGAGACTTGAGAGTATACGAATGAATTAACGGGTTACGGGATGAAATTTAATAATGGTCAATCGGTGTGCTTGATTTTAAGTACCCCCGTCAAATCTATGGCCAAACAAAACAAATAAAGAAAAAGAAAACCAAAAACACATTCTCCTTTTCATAACATTCTTCCGCTAACTTTACGTTGTCCTTGTATATAAGCTGAGATAAGCAGCACCAGAAACTGGACAACATTCAAAACAGCTGAGTGGTTATTTATCGACGACCTGTTAAGATCAGCTGATTATCGTAATCATTTCTGTTCTGGTATAAAACCATTGTGTGATTGATAGATGCAATATACACCACTTTTCAGGTGTACGGATATGGATGTCCTCTGCGGTGACTCGGGTAAGGAAGGAAAACGCTGTTCCACTTCCTTTTCCAGGTACTGATTGAGGAATAGCTTTTTTATCAAAGAGTTTACTTTTAAAATCATATTGACCCTAACCTCGCAACAGAAATCCTCTGCACTCCATTTATCACCTGGTTGGTCATGAAGAAAGCGACCAAAACGTATTAGGTCTGAACCGAGGGTAAAATGCAGAGAAGTATTTTATAACGTTTTTCTTTCGCTCGGTGTATGAGGCTCGCGCGCGCTTGCATAATTCCGCGACACACGAAAATCCGCGCTACGGGTTTCGCACCTTTTACGAATAGCGCATTAAGTTTAAGAAAGAGAAAGAAGCCTACTCTATGAGGTCTATATGTTTTTCATCATGCGGGTATGCATTTTTGTGCTGAACATTAACAACCTGATCAGTATTAGGTTGTCGTAGTAACACTAAATGGTTAAGTGTCCCATTTGTTCAGAATGTTAGGAGTTCTGGAGTGCCGCGTAATCAACCGGAATAACTTAGAGGATCTATGCAACTTACATTCCAGTTGCACAAGTTCGAGTCTCGCTCCGCCGGCGTAGACAAGCGGGCGTCCGCAATTAGGCCTTCGGAAAAAGCGCATGGTTCGAGTTTGCGTCGATGTACCACAGCCAAGGCAAGGGCCCCAAGAAGTCCAGCCCCACCAGCAGTTAACAGGACAGCAACGTGTGTTACAAGACACGTATCGTCCGCGTTGAGTGCTGTAGTTAAGACAGACAGGCTGTTCCACTGCATCTGGGATAAGTTCGTATGGACCATTGTTGGAGCACTACCCCACCTCCGCGTGTCCGTGAACACCTTTCCGTTGTTGACCAAGAATTTAAGACGCAATTTTGCCGCGGACACCATCTTTGGTGTCGTCGCCGCCAAGCCCACGAACCCGGAAGATCGATTAGTGCAGCCAAAGAAGCAAAAAAAACGAGGCACACCCAAAAATGCCTCCTCATAGTTCACAATCAAGAGAAGTGCAGGCCGCACAGTGAGCGTTACTGAAACCCGAAGAAGTTTTAAGTTTCCATGAAGGAGTTTGTTTAGTTTGTAAACCAAAGTATGAGATTTACTGTAAAATGAAATAAATATGTGCTTTTGGACAATGTCTTATCCAAAAAGTCAAATTCTCAATATTCTTCTTTGGAATATCCTCAAAATGACCCATCAGATCGCTTTTGTTAATTACTGAATCTGCTAAGGCAGCAGTTTTTCGAAAAGCTCCGTTTAACTTTTGAAATGAATTGGTACCGCAAGCATTAATTAAGTTATTCGCACATGAATATTTTCTCGCCAAAAAAACATTGCCTACATACTCTACCTAACTGCAGCCTAGTTAGTGATTCTCAACACCCAAGCATTAAATTGCTGTTTCTCGCAGAGTATATTATTTTGTTCCAAAGCACAAATAACAGTCAAATATCAGCTCGTTTAGTTGAGTTTAAGTAACAAAACTTTTCCACTTACATTCCTTGCGCACATCGTCGACTCTCACTCCCTTTACTTGGGCACGATGTACCTCCACAACTAGGGTTTCTTATAATACGTATCGTTCGCGTTTGCGTCGCCGATGAACCGCAAGTCGCGGAACACCTTCCCCAAGAGTTCCAGATCCAGTAGCAGTTAACGCGACAGCACTGCGTGTTGCAAGACACGTACCGTCTGCGCTGAGTACTGTAAAGGGACGGACAAGCGCTTCCACCGCATCTAGGGTACGTTCTAATGGACCGTTGTTGGAGCACCACCCCACCTCCGCACGCCCGTGAACACGTTCCTGTCGTTGACCAAGAATTCAAGACGCAATTTTGCCGCGGACACGATCTTCGGCGTCGTCGTCGCCTCCAAGCCCATGAACCCGGGAGGTTAATTATCGAAGACCAAGACGCAAAAACAACAAGACATACCCAAAAATATTTTCTCATGGCGCACAGGAGAGGGAAGTGTATCAAGCGATGGCAAAAGTCAAAGTGGCGACCAAAATCGTGCTGGAATTACTCAACACTGGTTTGTACCACGTGCTTTTTTGCAAACTGAGGTATCACTGCCGTCAAATTGTGGTAAGATGAATAAATCATGTGAAGTATTGTTTCCGTTTTCCAAAACTTTGACGCAAAATGTTAACTCCGCTGTTTGGTGAAACAGGAATGTCACGTTTTTTTTTTTTTTTTTTTTTTTTTTGGGGGGGGGGGGGTATGCACTGACATCCTGTAACTTCTCTGCTAGAGCTCTAAACTTGTAAAAGATAACGTTAATTTAGAGAACAGATCACATGCCACATCGGGACCATTTGTGCTGGGCGACCGTAGCTGTAATGCTATTATGAGAGCTTCGAAATTGCTGATGTATGCCTGGTTCTCCTGTAACACAGTTTTCCCTTTCCTAATTCCTTCAACAAAAGCTCACAAGGCTTCCCTTTCCTGTCTGTGTTAGCCCCTTGAAATGATTGTTTACTGCAATTTATTATATTACAATGAAAGGCACTTTCGTTAAAAAAGTTAAAAAGTTTTTGTTGATTGCTCACCAACATCATAAATGAATAAAGTTTCTGGTTGTGATGGGGACTCCATAATAATACAAAGAATAGTTCATCAAATTTCTACAGAATGGTCAAAAATTAAAGTAACGTTTGTGCCCTTCCTGACAACATTAGGGACAGGGGTCAATTCAACAGCCTATAGGTAATTCATACCCCTTGGATCCCTTGCGCAAAGTTCCCGACTATTCCCTACAAGATCAAAATGTCGCGAACTTCTGTGTTTTTGTTTCTCCGAGTTATCGTCATAATCATTTGCGAGTTCATGGGGCATTTAGGACCGCATTTTAAATAATTTAGCACTTGCCCTGGCTTCAAATAAATTTTGACCAAATATCTCAAGGACACGGATGTAATAAAGAAGCCAACCAAAATCTACCGGGGTGTCCCGACTTTTTGCAAAGCTTACCACAATTTGTAACGATTTACAACGCCTGGATTCAAATAGTTTTCTGTTATGTTGGTGGCCTTTTTCAATTTACGTATTTCCGATTTATATTTATTTATTTTTCCCTGATTTTTTTTAATGAAAGACTGCTAGTTTGTAACAAAAACCTGACTAAGCATAACCACTGAAAATATCGTGACCTACTTCAAACGTGCTGTGGCAAAACCTATCTAGCCAAACCTTAGTATGAAAGAGTACAAGTTATCATAGCGAGATTTATGCAGCTCGCCCATAGTATTCAAGGAGCATGTTCATGGTGATGTAATATTTGGTCTATTTCTTTACAAATATGGACGAGAAATAAAGCAATGTGGTTACGGGTTTACGAAAGTCGTTTAACAAGCGTGTCAGTATGTCATCGTTGAATTTCCGAGGATTAATGGTAGTGGAATGTTTAGGTATAAGTGACTCTCTGCGGTTTTTGTCAATTAAAAGAAAACAATGTTAATCACGACTTCAGCGTGGAAACTGTTTATGAAGCGGAGGGCTCGCTTATTTTAGTAAAACTGTTGCGAAACTGACGAGTTGCCTTTCCACAAATCTGAGCTTCTTAATAATGACCATTAACATTAGTGCGTAATAAGGACTTTCTAACTCGTCAATGTACGAGTGATTACGTGATCTTACTAACGGAACTCGTATTGCGTTCTTACAATTCAGTCGCCGTTCTCAAGTGTTCAGTTTTGCAAGTCCAAGCAGATCCAAGACCAAACACATTCATCTGCTTCCAAGAAACAGCAAGGGTTAAAGAAAACATCCTAGATTAAAGTTTGTTACCATCTGTGAAATATTATAGCGGGGTCTTTTTAAGAGAAGGTTGGAAACAGGACATCAATACATTGAATGGATGAGGAACAGGTGCTCTACCACTCACAGATATCTTTTAATTACCGACAAGTGGATCAGTATTGTTCTAGTCTAAAATAAAGGAAGAACTCAAAGATCTTATGAAAGGTCAAATCTGGTCTACAAGTTATAGCTAACAAGTACTAAATACTAATTATATATGGATAAATCAATTTCTCCTGCGTCAGATTACCAAATAGAGGCCAAAATTTAATAATATCAGGGTCGTGTCGGTCTCGCACTCACAGTTATATCGGTCACACTATCCAGTTTTTCAGTTGGAGAAAAACGTTACTGTGGGTCATTCAGTCAAACTCCTCGGCCGGTACAAACGTGACTTGAGACTTAACGTAATTCTATACGAGAACTTCTTGTGTACACGTTTTATGACCTTCCGTTTCAGTTACTTAAAAGACTGACCGGATAGAATATCGCAGGGACTTGAACAAGTTGCGGCATACAAAGAGATCATAAGTTCTACTCTTTCACTTCCTCACCGAGAAAATCTTCCGCTGGATCAATAAAATTGACATCACCGCTTTGACTAGCTTCTGTTTGATCGATATCGTGTCGTCAACCAAGTTCAGCTTTCTGCAAAAACTGGTTGTAGCTAAATGTTTTAAAGAACGTTCAGTGTACCGATGCAACTGAGAAAAGCTTGATCTAACAGATCATTTTTACTTCGGCGAGTTTCTTGAAAACACTCAGAAAAAATGCAAATTAGAAATCATAGTAGGTCATTGGGCGCTTTCCATTTAGTCAAAATTTCCGGAATTTTCGGTTCGGCGGTAAATGGAACACGTTTCGTCGGCTCGACCCACTGGAAAATTCCCAGAAAAAGTGGAAAATCGAAAAAGGTGGGCCCGTTTTCCCGGTTGGAATTTCCGAACGGAATGTTGTGTTCCATTTCCGTTTCTCGTAGTTTGTACCAGTTCCAGGTTCACCGTCGGGCACCGCGACGTACCGGGGTTTACGAACCAAATGGAACAACTTTTTACCAATCGGAAATTCCACTTTTGCTCCCACCGAAATTTCCGGGGTTTTTTCCTAAATGGAAAGCGCCCATTATCTCTTCCCGTGAAAGGCTCTGCTAGAATATTTTGGGTAAATGGAAGAGCACTGATTTTATCACAAAACACCCATGGCAGCGTGTTTTAGCTGGGTAAGCACCTGCAACATTTGTGAAGTCGAGTAACGTAACTTCATCCGCGAGTCCCAAATTAAGCACTAGATTTGGAGGGCAGCAGTATCAAATGCTCTTTTTGCATAGACCTATTTCATTAAATAAACAGAGGGTCCCAAAGAGTTTTAGTTAATCCCGTTACCCCAAACAAAACAAACTTCCTTAATCCCGTATACCAGTCGGCGGTCTTCTTTGGGCTTACTCCAAACGGACATCTACGCTTCCCTTATTCTCGGAGCACTAGCGGAAGATGGTGGCACTGTCAATATATGCACTTGACAAGGTCCGAGAAATTATGACAGCATTTTTTGATTGAAATAAAGGAATTTTCGCTTTTGTTACCGGACCGGTTCTTTTTAAAACAACATTTTCCCGATCTCACGTCACAAAATCATAAAAATCCGTACCCCGGCCGTTCATAATTAATCCCGAACGTATCTTCCGGTCTGTGCTCTAAATTTCGGCCGGAACCCTTACTATAAGCTAAATCCCCGATCCCAAAAACCTGTTGGAAAACGTCTAAACAGTCCATTAGCGTATTTTTTGCTTTTCACTTTCGGTAATAACGTATACAGTGAGTGTACAGATCGCTCTGCGGCACCCCGGGCAAACTCCGTTCGCCGCCCCGCACCTTCGACAGAACTTTTGCAAGTTGCCACCTTCACATTGCTGCTTCAGAAACGGCTCTTTCAAAAACGCGTAAAGAAAAAGTTAGATGCCATTGCCGGAAATGTTATACTTTTTTCACAAATACAGAGAAAGCTTTTATGCGGAGGCCTCTCAAAATGATGCGAGGCAGTTATGAAATTTCTACCAGCTCCGTTTCCCTGAATTTGATGTAAATGTATTCTAAGAAACTTAATCCATTCAAAGATTTTCAATCTGACCAAATAAAGAGAAGTTCTCGTAAAATATTCACTGCTCATTACGCATGCGGAAATGCCGCTTGAATTTGACACCAGTTACGGGAACGACTAACGGATTCATTTTTTCAAATAATCAATTTATTAATAGAATCTTGAGGGGTACGCATGACCTGCCTTGACTGTAAAAATAGTTATCTTGAGATTTCCCGGAAGCAGCCACAAGAACAAGATTGTCTTCTCCACCATATAACGCAATTTAAAAATGCTGAGAACACTAACAGACCCAGCCTATCTAATAAAGCAATGTATACTTTACACATAAGTATTACAAGACCTAGTCTGCCTAGAGGGACAAGAGTTTCCGTTGCACCGACTGTATCTGTATATGGTTGGTGAGCGCGAATGGGTCGACATTCCACATCCCGAACACGAGCTCCAAGAGCCCCAAGAGTATACACAATTCACCGGACAACAGTTAGAGTTGCATCTTTTTGTATCTGTGAAGTCGTAAGGACAAGTTCCTCCGCAAGAGGCAGATCTTGTTTTTGTTCGCGTACGAGTCTTTACACCACTGCCGCACGTTCGACTGCAAGAACTCCAAGACGATCAGCTGGAAACTCTGCAACTGACAGCTGAACAACTTCGTCTTCTACGTCTCCAAAACCACGCGTTTGAAGTCGAAAAAACAACCACAATCGCTCCAAGCACCAGCAACCAAGAAGCACAATGTACCATGGTTGGTCGATGTCAAAAATCGTCTGGCTTCCCGGTTATGTTAATTGGCCTTATAAGATTAAGCAACATCTGTTCCGCATGTTTGACAACTGAACATCAAACTGGTGGTAACTTTCTTTTAACATTACACCTCACTCCAACCTGGCAAACGTGATCGCTTTGAAGAGCTGAATACCTTACGAACAATGCAGAACTCTAAGCCTTTAGTACGCAGCATTAACCACTGTCGAACCGAAAAAGCACGACAACATCACGTATATATGGTTTCTTGCAAGGGTGGCGCAGTTTGCAGAGGCGAAACCATGAAATGAATGCAAGGAAGAATCAAGACGCAATAACTTGGCATTTGGCTCGCCCGTCATTAGATCTTAGCCTTCTTTAAAAGAGCTACAACTACCCACTTAGATAAAAGACAAATTGGTTGATCAAGATCCACGATTTGCAGTGGCACGACACGCCCTATCAATCAATGCACACTCTATACATGCACTTCATTTAAAAAGGGTGGCTCTTGACCTCGAGGAAAAGAAAATACTTATACACACAAATGCATCGAGAGAAGAGAGGCTATTCACCCAACTGTTCCAGCATTCTTATACAACATCAACAGGGATAGCGGAATCGACATTTCTGAAGCGTGGATGCTACAAAGTCATACATGAAAAACCTGGAGATAGCACTTCTCAGACAGTGTCCACCAATCACAGCCGGCGCCCATCCCAGTACACAATTTGTCACGTGTGCAGTCGACCTAATCATCTGATTGGCTGTGAAGCAGTCAAAGTGAGACAAAGGATGACAGCTAACATCATTCATTATGGACAAGTCTTCTTCCTTAATGGCTAAAAATGTCAAAAGTTGACAAATGCTGCTAGTTGTTTGAACACGGAAGTCAGAAAATATTTGTGTTTTTCCCTATTTTTTTGCCATTGGATTTATTTTAGGAATCAATAAAGGGGAAAACTCTCCTTTTTTTCTTTACCTTTCTTCCATTGCTAATCTTTTACAGAAATTCCCAGATACACAGCTAAGGTACTCAGCGTGCTCATGACTGTAAGTTTGCTAAAACGACTAGAGAACAGGAAAAGGCAATGGCAAATAATCCCACATTATCCAATATATTCGTCAGTCAGTTGCCCTGACGAAGTCTAATTAAGTAAGACAAATTATCGGAAAGGGTCACTTTCCAACATTATGTTGCACAAGCGATATGAAAAGATATACTCTGGTCTCGACTGGCTTAATGCGTCTATGATTGTTAGTGTCTGAGAGCTGTATATTTCTGTTGAACAGCAGCCCACTTTTTTTGAGACAATTGCGTGAGATTTTTGTCTTGTCATGACCGACTCCAGAAGATTTCCGACGATTTTCCGAAGACTTCCGAACATTACCGAAAGTATCCGAAGATATTCGACGACCTTTGAGTACTTCCGAAGCTAGTTAAAGGCTAAAATGCTAACGTGTTTCGATACAGTCAGGACACAAAATCATCATAAGGAAACTATCGTCAAGCGTATTATAACAAGTGTAAAAAGAGGCTATGAAATTGCTGTCTAGTTTAAGGGGTTAATACTACCAGTAATGCGGCTTTATTCGCCAAGGAATTTAACATTAGTGAGCAACTTACTTGTAAATGACAAAATCACCGCTTTGTATCAAACAAATATCTCTCCCAAAACACCATAACAAACGCTACAAACAACAAAGTGACGTGGAAAAACTGTCTGGCTTACAAGTATCCAAAAACCAGATTTGCAATCCGTTTCAATCCTCCATTCGTTTGCGCATCCATTTGGAAGCAGGTCCACCCACCGTCTGAGTTTTGAGTAAATTTCGAAACACAGCTCCTTTAAGAATGTGATTATACCAAGTGATGGAGGTAATAATGAAGTTAAGAGGGGGCGTAAGGGTTTGCGGTGATGCGGTTTTGCTCGATGTTTGGTGCGTTGTGCGGAAATTTTTATTTTAAGTTGCGGTTTTGCGGTTTTACAAAACCAAGCAGTTTGCGGTATTTAGAAATTTTCGAGATAATTTCAACGCGGTTTGCGGTTTTCTTTTGCCATTCTTTGCGTTGTTTATATTTAATCTGTGCGATTTTGCGGTATTCGTATCCCCCTTAGCCCCCTCAGTTAAAGTTGAATTAAACTGAAGTTGAAACAAAAGGAATAGCGAGTTATAGGCTGAATACTCAAGACTTAAGTTTGTTCTCGCCTGTGAGATATGTCTACTGCCTTTAGGGAGCTGTCATTAACTATTGGGGGGGGAGGGTTGGTAAATTGTGGGGGAGGGCTGCGATTTATTGGGCGCTCATTTAGGGAGGGCTAAAATTTTCTGGGCCCGCATTTACGGGAGGGTTACAATTTCTATGCGCCTTTGGGCGATGTGCGCGTACTGTTAAAAGGGTTTTGTGCTAGTGAAATATTAAGCACTGCTTGAAATACGATGGCCGTGCAAGTAGTATTAACAGAATTGTATATTCAAAGCTAAATCACACGGTTAAAAAGCACTCTGATTGGCTGGAGATGAGCAGTGACTTCACACGGAATCGCTTCCAGTTTGCTTGACTTTGAAATGGCTTTGAAAACAGCGCACGGTTTTAGTTTGGCTTTGTTGTTTAATCAACGTCATCGACACGTGATTTTCACGTATTATAATACATGTGAATGGCAGATAATTTCATGAAAGCCCTTCTTAAAACGAGCAGCGATCAAAAGTGCACGGCTAGTTGATGATATGTTATTATAACTGAAAACGTGTTTTTTCATGTTATGACTGCCCCTCGATCTGTATTTGTTTTTTTAACTCATAGTGGTACAGTTTATACTAATCCTTCTTTTACAAAACTCAGTCAGTCTTAGACAGTAACAGGAACAGAACGTTTTCTTTTTCAACAAATGCAACATAGTTTTCTATATGTACAGTAAACAAATGTACAGTGAAGATGTAACGATTAGTCAATAGGCTAATAGTAAGGAACGCATTTGAATGTGTTCCAGTAAGGGCCAGAGTCATCTGAACTGACACTGTCGTATGCTTCCATTGCAGTGCCCGAGTGATTATCAAAGGCACTTCCTGATTCCTCCTTCTGACATTGTTCAGTGGCATCATCATCATTGGCCCGCCATCACTATTTATTTACCAGTTACGTTTGTTTTCTTTTTGATAGTTCAATAACCACACCAGTAGTTTGAAACGTGCGGAAAGAGAGTCAAAACAAGGTTTCACCCACCGCTAACCGCTACTTTTTCTGCTTTATCAACGCGCGCTCTGACGGTTTATTTAGTATTTTAGTATTTTAGTATTTTATTTTACTTAGTATTTTATTTTTCTCCGGACCGAGCTAGCTTTCCCTTTTCAGCGCTTACCCTCTTTCCAGGTCTGTTCACTGTGCCACTGATGAGAATGACAGACCTTCTAAGCATACTATAACTTCTTAAGTAACATCAATCTATGTTCCTGTCTATATTGTGTCTATATTACGTCCTAAAACTTTATAACAATGTACCATAGCTATTTGTAAATTTAGTTCTTGTATCGTTGCTAAATGAGTAGTTCAGTATCACTTACTTAATGCTACACATTCTAATTAAAAAATATCTAACGTAGTTGTGGTTATCTTTTCCGCAGCTACATGTAGTCCACGCTCAATGAACTAATGTGTGGTCATTGAACTACTGGTGTGGTTATTGAACTAACAAAAAGAAAAAATGGGTTTTGTAAATATTGTGAATACTAACACTTTTTTATTCCAATGAAAAAATTGTCTCAAAGTTACGCTCATATGGATTCTCAAGATGCAACATTTGAATACTCAAAATGTTATTAAAGGGGAGGGTTACAATTTTTTGAGCACACATTTTTGGAGGGGGTAGGATTTTTGGCCTGTTAACCTGAGAGGGGCTAAAATTTTTGGGCCCTAGCTTTTGAAATAATACCTGACCGCTCCGTTAGGACTTATATTTGAGTGTGCGGTGTCATGTAGTCGACCTTTTGCAGCTCTCGGTAGACCGCATAGGATTGGTTGGGAAATCAATGAACAAACAAAGTTAACAACAAAACCTAGTCCGAAAATAAAAGAGGCACGACACAAAGGGGTCCAATAGCCCACGTTCGATAAAATAAAATAAAATTGGCTTTCTTTTTGCTCTTTTGGGAATTGCGAGACGATGGAGTCTTGAAAAATTTGCAACTTTGACCCTAAAGCCTCGGAGTCATGTTAGAATTTTAATATATCAAAAGTGGGCTATTGATCTATGGTTTTGAAGAGATGCAAGGCTACTGATTCACTCCCACATACGCTTCGTTTAGCTGACGTTTTTGACTTAGTATTCTAGCCAGCATACGCGCTACAATTCTACGCGATGGATTGAGAAGGAAACAAACTTGTTTCTTTTCGGTCGTCTGCTTTACGTTGACTAAGTTCGTAATAGACATAAAGGATTGGGAACGTTGATTCGGCAATACTATAAATCTTCATACGATAGTTTGAAAGTGCGATAGGACAGTAAGAGTTGATTACTGAGTGCAATAAAGCACAAATGATGCATCAAGAGATAGATAATTCTCTTTTCCACGCCAGCGCAGTGAGAGCTGTTGGGCTGAAAGGCTTTCCATGCGGGCAGAAAAAGCAAAAAAGCACGCTCCTTCAACCTTATTTCGAACCCTCCTGTTTGGCACTAACGAACTCGGTTTGTATCTTCTCCGCTCACGGCCACAAGTTTTGTAAAAATGTGCTTTTTTCGGTGCTCTTTAACCTATGTCCTTGACGTGCTCTGTTTTCACTCAAAACAATTATGCACTTCATAGTGACACAATCCACCTTTTTTAGATTCTTCTTTAAAAACTGCATATGGCAGTAACTATGTTACATTCTCTACATGGAATAGGCAGCAAATAAAATCCCGTAAAAGCTTGCCTGAAAAGCTTTTTCGATTTCTGCAATAGACCCTGCAGACGAGCGCCGCGCGTGGACACACGTGAAAGTGACTGTTAGTGTTGTACTTCAGTGTAACCTAAACCACCTAATAACACCTAAGATAATAACACCGGTAAAAATCTACATTGCGTACTTTGAATTTGTTATTGCACATTTTGTTATTGCGCGGCCGAGCCAGTCTCAACGCGGAAACGCTTCTTAGCCGAGTAGGTATATGGAAATGAAAAAAATTAACTCGTGTATGCAACGTCTACAATGTGCCCCACTAATCACGCAATGCAGTTAACTACTATTTTTCAACAGCCAAGGATAACAAACTCAGATAATGTATACTTACACGTTAGTGTTACAAGATTTTGTCTCCTTATTGGGGCAAGATCTACCGTTGCACGAACTGTATCTAGTGATGATTGGTGAGCGCGAATGACTCGATATTCCGCACCCCATACACGGGCCCCAAGAGCTCCAGCTGTATAGACAATTCACCGGACAACAGTTAGAGTTGCATGTTTTCGTTTCTTTTAGATGATAAGCACAGCCTCCTCCGCAAGACTCAGTTACTGTTTTTCTCCTGGTGCGAGTGGTTAAACCACTGCCGCACGTTCGAGTGCAGGTACTCCAAGATGTCCAACTGCTTACTCTGCAATTGACGGCTGAACAACTTCGTCTCCTTCGACTCCACCAGGCACTTGAAAGCGAGAAAAGAACACTGAGCGCTAGAAACAAACGAACACAATGTACCATGTTTAAAAAAATAAAAACATTGATAAAAGGGGCTTAAAACTGCCCTTCGACATAAAGCAATTTCCCAAATTTTCTCCGCCCGTGTTGTGCTAGGACCTGCTAGTTACGGTAATAGTAGACTATTCATGATGTTATTAGCAGGTTAATATTTCCCGCGTTGCAATACATGGCATCATATAACCTTGGTATGGAGACAGACTGCTGTGGGGAGGGGTGGATATTAGTAGCGTGCTATAGGAATCCCAGAAACGGCTTCCATCCCGTATTCCATTCGGCTTGCCTCGGTTCTTCAATTCATGGTCTTTCCCGGTTTGGTCACCGTCGGTTCGGAAAAATAGTTTACCAGGGCCACCCTAGGGTCTGGTCCATAGTTTGCCCGGAAATTTTCGTTCCATTCCCTCAACAGAATTTCTGAAATATTTTAAAATTGCAACTTTTATTGAATGAAGGGCGCCCTAGAAATATAGGCAACTATTTCTATACTTCTAACAGAATATATTTAGTCGCCCTTTTTTCTGTAAAGCCCAAGAACAAGGGTCCCTGAATAGCCTCTTCCGTCCTCCCGTTATCACCACCCAGATTTTTGATCACTCTTGTAATGCCGAGCGGGGAAGATCGGCAGTTTCACAGAAACCTAAATTGACAGTCCAAATCTGCAGTTCGGGATGAGACAAATCCAGCCTCGTTACCAGGGATCTCTCCTACCCGTCCCTACGGAGCGAGAGAGAGTTGGGTTTGGTCACGTGTCTCTAGAACAAAATGAATTGTGAGGGACGAGTCCTTTGTCTCTCGTGTCCGGCTCGTTTTCAACCGACCTCGTTCCCAGGGTAAATCCCGCATCCCGGAAAACCTCGGCTCAAGAACAACGCTCACGTCATGCTCACGCCACAGTAACATGTGAAGCACAGGCGATAGAAATCAGGCATGTAAATGTAATTTCACAAGACTAAAATTAGACAATCGATCTAGCAGATAGAATATCCGGAGGAATTTTTTTAATTTGTTGACTGACTAGGAATTGACCGGATAATAATTATTTGAATTACCAACCGATTTTTCAGTCAACATCCGTTCCTCACCGACATTAATTTGTACCTAAGGCTAACAAGGGGCGCCGACAAGCTAAGACAGGAGCCCATGTTCGCTCTACGAGCAGGAGCTACTGTTACGATTCATTCTCTACTAATAAATAATCAGTCTTCCAGACGCCAAGTATCCACACAGTAACGAAGCATGACTGTGTTGTCTGTGATCACAGGTGAACCCGATCGATGATTCCTGAGCAATACGGTATCGGGTTTGCGTCTGGGCCGTTTTGGGATCGGATTTCAATGATCCCAAAAATCTACAGTTCTACATTGCATATTTGTAGCATTGCTGTGTTGTAGAGTCTATTCGAGAAAAAGGACTGAATTAGGGTTTGTAAGAAACAGGCTATTTGCGAGTTTCCCCCGGCCACTGTATCAAAACGAGGGTAAGTGCTCAGCCTTTAATATGAAAATTCTTTTTCATTCTCATACATATAAAATTCATTTTCACATGAAAGGTTGTGCACTTGGCCTCATTTTAAAAGTGAGGGTTTTTGGAACTCGGAAGTGGCCTATTATGCATCAGTCAATTCCCGCTGCATCCATTCCCCCCCTCTTCCCCCACCCACCCCCCGCCACGGTCTGACCCACGTGCATTAGCATTTTCTTTTTGCCTTGGATGGCAAATTCCCGGGGGCGGCGGGGACTCCGTTGAGCTGCCAAATGCCCCGCAGTGGGAAAGAAAAACGACGGCAAATACCCCGTCCTCAATCCACACTGCAGCGGTTTTTATTGCTCGCACAGTCGGGTAGTGCCGCTTTAAGCATTTTAACGTGCGATTTTTCGTTTCAATTAATGTCTGCCTTTGTAACTGTAAGACTTTATGCGCGGCAACACCACTTCATTATTCTTAAAAAAGATCGATCTTTATTCCAATACCTAAAAAGGGAGATTTGAAGGAGAGCACTAACTATCGTACAATTTCCCTAATTAGCCACGCAAGTAAAATCATGTCAAAAATTATCCAAAAGAAGAAGTGTGCAAAACTACCCTGCGAGCAGAGGATCTTCCTCTGGCCCATAGGCGTACGGGCCGGGGGGGGCGAGGGGGGATGCAGCCCCCCCAAATTTTGGGCAACTCAGATTTTTTGGGCAGCAAGAGAAAATTTGGGCAAAGACAGCTTTTAAAAACGTTGTCATGTTTTTCTATTAGTATTTTGAAGAGATAAATATTTTCTATTTTAACGTGAAGTCGGGGTAATAATCCAGTTACATTTACACGAGACAGTGGTTGCCAAGCACGTGATGAGTTTCTGTTTATAAGGGAAGGGTATCATATGCTGAGGTTTTTTTAACGTTGGGCACTGTACTGCAATGGGCTATTTCCAATCGTGAATTGATTAGAATAAACTTCCGCCTAACTTTCTACTGAATCATCTCCGCTCGTAGAACAGTGTATGGCAGATAGCATCAGCGATTGATATGAAAGTGAAGAAGTGGCTGACTAATTCTCACTTTGAATTACGAGAAGAATCTTAAATTTTTAAAAAAATTTACCAAGTGGTTCAAATTATTCACTAATTTGTTAAAGTAGACCGAAATGTTTACAAAACCGCTAACAGAAGCGCCATGATACATACTAATGAAATCCTTCTTTGTACCAATTGACCAGAATTATCTCTAAAATAATTCACACACATTTTTAAAAAGATTGAAGCTACTATGAGGTGAAATTACATGTCAAAAGCGCTTCGTTTTCTACAGATAACGGCTAAACATCAAGATTTTCCCTTTTTTACTGTATTTCTAATGATAAAAACTTTATCCTAAAATATCCCGATAACGCTCTTACAGATTCCGTTTTAACTTCGCGAACATCGAGGCGACTATTGGAGGAAAAATCTCCCGGGAACGATTTCATAGTTAGAAAGAATGCTGCAAGTATAATAGGTAGTGGTGTCATTTCGCTGCTATGGCAACTCCGATGTCATTGCAACCCTGATCGTGACAAATTTTCATCTTTATCTAATACAACTGTGGTGGCAATTTTTCCAAATGTTTGTTTATGGCGACGTAGTTTATGCCCAAACTTGGCAGGTATTGACCCTGAAAAACTGTATCGAGGAACTTTCATATGCCAGTACGGCCTATGTTGTTGTATCGTATGGCCCTCGTTTCTTTTCGACTGTTTTGTAAAAATTTGGGCAACTTGCAAGAATGTTTTGGGCAAATGGTTTACCCCCCCCCCCCCTGGCCGAAAATTGCCCGTACGCCTATGCTCTGGCCGGTGCAAAACAGGCAGGGTTCAGAAAAGACTCGGGCACCAGATATAATTTCTTCAAGTTGAGAATGATAATTCAGAAGTGCAGAGAATTTAGCAAAGATTTATATATGTGTTTCATAGACTGCTCGAAAGCGTTTGACTATGTATCTCACTCTCAATTGTGGGGGACATTAAGTAAAATGGGGTTTCCAGAGAGAGAGATAAACCTGGTAAGGTACTCTACACGGGTCAGGAGACATCAATATGCACCAACTGCGGAAACACAGAATGGTTCAAAATAAAAAGAGGCGTTAGGCAGGGATGTATCTTGTCACCATGCAGCATGTTTATCTGGGATCTCAGACAATATCTGGGGATGAGAGGGGTCGGAGGAAAGAAGGAGGAGGCTTGCTATGGCGACGAACTATTTGTAGAAGTTGAACATCCTCAACCAAAACTGGGAATTCTTAGAAAATGCGTTTTCACTAAGGCTAAATATGGCTGAGAGACTTTGACACCTGGAAAAATAACTTTAAAACGAATTAACGCTTTTGAAATCAAGTGCTACGGAAATTTCGTTTATAAAATATCACGGACGGAGCACAGAACAAGTAAGTCAGTTAGGAAAGAACTCAAAGTGAAAGATCAATAGTTGGAGATTTTTATAAAGAAACAAAAGTCAGTGAAGTGTTTTGGCCATTTGAAAAGAAGAGAGGGCTTGAGAAAAAACATCTTGCAGGGAAAGATAGATGGGAAAAGAGAAACAGGAAGACCGACAGGGCAGTGGGAATGGGACACACGGAATATTTTTGATATGTCTGTAACAGAAGTTGGAAGATTGGCAATTGACAGAAACTGTTAATTCTGCTGTGCAGTCAAGGATGCAACGTCCTATGGGGATAAGCATTCAGAGCACTAAATAGAAGTACTAGCTTTTACCTTGTTTTAAATAGTTCGTTGGTAAAAAAAAATGACATTAAAATTTAAACATGGTTCGTACAACTTCAGACGAACAAATTTCAATGACTTTTTCAAGGATTTTTCAAGGACAAATTAGAGTTTTCAAGGACTAAGATTTTTTAAATAATTCTTTAACCCCGTATGATGACCCTATTAGCTAAAACACGTCGTGGAGTCATTTACGATTTTTACTTCTTCTCCTTTTAACTTCTTCGGCCATCGTTGATCACATTATCACGGCTAATTTTTGGAAAAAGACTTTCACTTGCAAAATGACTGGGTATAACTTGCAGTTACATCTGAGGTACAGAAATAGCATTTGAAATAATAAAGAAACAGAAATAAAATATTGTTCATGCACAAAAACGTTTTTTCGTTACCCGTGAGTTGTACAGGTTCTTACAACAAGGATGAGCCAAATTTTTCTCGGCAAAATAATCTAATTTTACAGAAAACGGTGTGGTATAGACAAGGTAGTGAATTTCAAGGATTTTTCAAGACCTAATAAGAAATCAAGTACTTTTCAAGGAGTTAGACCGAATTCAAGGACTTTTCAAGACGACTAGTAAAATTCATGACCTTTACAAGAATTTACGAGCCAAGTTTAAGAGTGTGCTGTAAAGTTATCTGTTCTGATTACTGAGTTTGATAGTATGAAAGGAAGTTATTAAAGTAATAGATCTAGATCATAGTAGTATTCTGAATTTTATTCAAATTCTAGACTGAACAGAAATTTGCCGGATTATATAACAAAAAAAACGTTAATTCACCTCAAAAGCTTCCGATTTCGCTATGAAAGTTCTGGCTTGATAAGCAATAAAGAGGCCCTCCGAAGGTGGAGGGCGGGGGTACCATGTCGCCCGTCTGAATTTTAAAACGTCTCGTGTCGGTGTTTCAGTATAAATGCTTGTCGCTTATTGTCGGCTTTGCGGTCACTGTCGCAGTTTGGCCGAGGGAGGTTGTCTCTTGTCGCGATTTCATTTTACGCGCTGTCGCTACTTTTTGGGCCATGTCGCTTGCTGCAATTTACCCTGGCAGGGCCTCAATAAAGAAATGCATCCATAACATTGAGAAAACATGCCTTTGAAAACCTTTGCAAGTTTTTCCAGTCCTTGAGAGATGAGCCAATCAGCCAATCTCCTCATGTTTCCTGTAAAATCCTCCATGTTTAAGAAATAGAACAGAACACAAACAGCGTTGATAAACATATTCAACTTACTCCTTTTTATGAACTTGACGTTTCGTACGCTACTCAACATACATTTTCAAAAGCACCGTTACAATTTTGAAAACTAATACTTAATATATAATACTGAAAAGGGACTGGGACCGCAATTAAGAACAAATCTATAAAAAGAAACAGCTAATTAATAAAGCATAAGCTTCTTGCTACTGACGTTTACTTTGAAAGCTGGCTTCAGTTCTTATATAAGCAATGTTTCTTTGATTTTCCAGTAATAATCAGTTTTTCCCGCCACTAAGATATCAAAATGATCCCACTTAATGTTGTGTCCAGTAGTGTTGGCATGGTCAGCAATGGCTGATGTGTGGTCATTTTTAGCGAGGGCCTTGAAATGCTCAATTTTTCTATCATGAAGCCTTCGTTTAGTTTTACCAATGTAAAAATCTTTACAATCGTAACAACTGGCTTTGTAAATAACTTTAGATTGTTGAAATCGATTGTAAGGAAAGAAAGATTTGATGTTTAGTTATGTTTGGAAAGGAAACCATGTGCATGTCAAAAGCTTGGGGCTGCAAAAAATTTGCTAATGCCCCACCCCAAGGACTGACAAGGCCCAGGCAGGCAAATGCTCCTCAGTGGCCCTGGGGGGGGGGGGGGGGAGAACAGCTGGAATTGACTGATACACTAGAATAGAATTAACTTGAGCTTATTTGCCCTTTTGGGCTTTTCGATTCTTATCATGCTTTCACTGTTTTTGCTTATTTATTATTACAGTTTTGTGGTTTATATATATATAGGCCTATTGCTGTGGCTACCCCAAATATTCTGTTCACAGGCCTTCTCAGCCTTTATTAGAAAAAGGAATAGAAGGACTGCAGGGAATTTGCTGACCTTCAGCGCAAGGGGTGGGAGTGGCTGCTCTGCACCCTAGGAAAGGGGTACTCAACTGAGTCCAACCCCTCACCCCTTTCTATACCATTTTTGACAGAAAAGGTACCCCTTTCATATACTTTCTATTGACAAATGGTAACCCCTTTCATGTGCCAAGTTTTACAACTTTGCATCCCTTTAACTGCTGTAAATGCACTGTCTTTTAAATAAGAATAAGTCAAGATCGCATTCAATTGAGAATCACAAATTGCCTTTGTTTACTGTATAACAGGTGTAGAATCGATTATAGCAGTGAATATGAATAATAACATTGACCAATCAAACCATCACTCGATCGTGTTAAAAACCTGGTAAAATGTTCTCCAGTGCTCGGCAGAAATGAACTTCACCTGATGGGCAACCCATTTGCAAAGCAAACCTTTCTGAGCAAAGCGACAAGCGAGGCACGACAGACACAAACAGCCAGCGAGAAGAAACAGAAAAAGTCCCTGTTATTCGTCCACAGTCATTAATTTCAGCTGTTTTCTGGAGCATTGGACAATATTTTACTAGGTTTGTATTATGATCACATGACAGTGTGATCTTCAATTCTAGAGTAAACAAAGGCAATTGAAGGTTCTAAATAACTCCTCTGTGCCCTGTGGTATAGTCATCACATATCATGTATATTTGGCATAATCCTAACAACACAAACAGACCCGATGGAAGGCCTGCGACAATGCCAGATGACATTTATTTGACTGTGGGGGGAGGTTATCCCTATAATGGCCTATATGGGGAGGCTCTGCTTGAAAGGGGTACCTAACATATCAGATGTAAAAAACAATACATAGGTGAAACTAAATGCGCACTTCGTTAATGCTTTAAAGAACATAGACAGGCAACAAACAATCCACTCCAAGCAAATGCCACAGCAGCAGTCCCTTCCCACTTTAATCAACCTGGCCCCTCGATCGCAGACATGGAACTTATTCCACTGTAATATTACAACCCACCCTCAGCATGTCATGCCGTAAGGCAAGAGAAGCATACCTCATAGATAGAGGGAAAACCCTGTCACCAGATGGTCTGAACTGAAGGAATGAACATTGAACTGTTTCTATTTCTTTTATTGTTTAATCATTTACCTGTATATTATTCTATCTAGTATTTATAATTGTAGTTAATTATTAACCACTTAAGTGAATTTTAAATTCAAATTTTAGGAGCCATTTAAAGATATTTTCTCTCAGTATAGCTCTGGCACTGAGGAAGGCTAAATTTGTTAGCCGGAATATTGGCCTAGAATAAATCAGCCCTTTGCCGTAGTGCCAGCCCTGCATTCAGTTTTGTCTTATTTTACCTTTTTCAGGCTTCAGGTATATGAAAGGGTAGGGATTTTACTCGTTGAAGTATATGAAAGGGTAGCGAAATCTGTCATTTGGGTCTGTAAAAGGGCCCAAAAAGACTTGCAGATGAATTTTACGGCTTAAATATGTCAAGAAAATGTTCTATTTTTGTGATTGATTCCTATTAAAAAGACAGTGCATTTACAGCAGTGAAAAGGGATGCAAAGTTCTAAACAAGGTATGTGAAAAGGGGACCATTTATCAATAGAAGGTTAACAAAAGGGGTACCTTTTTCGCGAAAAATGGTATATAAAAGGGTAAGGGGTTGGGCCACAGGGCGGAGTCTCCCCACATAAACATTTGTTGAGTACCCTTCCCTCCCCCTGGGGTGGAGGGGGGGGTTGATCAATGTCAATCAAAGTTGATTGCATGTAATTACTAACCCTTTTTGCTTTCAAAAAAACACATTATGCTATTTCTACATGTAATGCTTACTTATATCATTATATATACTTACTTGTTTCTTTTCTCTAAGATGATGGTTGAGACAATTCTAAATCAGGAGTAAATAGAACAGATCCCTCTATGGCTTTTCCAACCGTAAAATGGACCAGTTAGCAAAAAATCCGTCGATACCGCTGGAAATAACGTCTTAAAATTCAGTAAAGTTGCCGACTTAGAGAGTTATTTGTTGAAAGATAATTAACGAAGATAAAGCTCCGCAGAGTCGAAAAATTTTGCAGACGGCACCCATATGTAAACCAACGTATTCAAAGCTTCTCGGCTTTTCGAAGCTATATCTTGGTCCAGTTCAAACGAATTACTTTCAAACTCGGTCTGTTTACTAATCTTAAAGCGCTTTTACCAGCGGTTTCGCAGGATATTTGCCAACTGACATCCTTCTAAGACAATCGATCAAGAGCTGTAGGGCGAGATAGAGATTGGTGGTGCTGTGCAGGACTGTGCAGTCACATTCCCGCCAACATGTATTAGGCTTGGTAGGTACTTCATATATGATTGCGTTTTATCCGTGGGCGCAATAGTCACTTACGAAAGATGAACAAAAAAGCAAAATGGCGGCTTTAAGTAGCTATGACGCATCGTATAGCGGTCTTTTAGGCCTCGCAGAGACCTTTAGAACATCTAATCCGCCTAGGATCAAGCAATGCATACAGTGCCTCCAGTCTGTGTTTCACTTTCAACCATCTCCTGCTATCCAAGCTCGTACTCATCTCCAACTTGGAAGGCTTCTTCAAAGATACACGAAGAACACCGACATGGCTCGTTCACATTTAGAGAAAGCTGTGAGTTTGAATTCGAAATTTGGGCTAGATTCTTTCCCCGGTAATGCTGTCTATGTGGCATTAAACTTGTTTATTTTGTTTGACAGGTTGTACTAGCTCAGTCTGTATCCTTTCTAAAATCTAAAACTATACGTGTCGTAATAGCGCTAGCTACATGTAGCTTAATGTAGTGAATCGATTTTGATGGAAATATTACTTCTGTAGTTTCCAAGATGAAGCCACCCAATCATAGATGTGACCGAACTGCGTTTTAGCGTTTGGCTTTTTAATGAGTGTGTCATTGGCAGTCACTGTTTTTCTTTAGTGTACAGTGTAGTAGCTGTTACGTTTTTGGGGCGTCAGTTGTGGAAGATCTTGTATGTTTCAAGCAGCCAATCTTCACTAAATGAGTAACCTCGCTAGGTTGATCCTCAATTTCCTTTGTCTTCTAACAAAAATCACCAAAAATTACTGATCGCTTTGTCTTCAATTATCTTGCCGTTGATAACACAGGTCAAACAGCAGATAACAAGCACACAGACAGCATGATTTTTCCTTTTTTTCTTCTGGCGAGTAAAACCGACAAGGCGTTGGGAGGTGATACTTTTCAGAACCAGTCAGTAATACTCATCTGCTGACAGGCCTTTTCCTTCATACACTTCTTTCACTTCTTTTTCTATTCTCCTTTTAAGCTGAAATTGATGCCTTCCAATGATGAATTCCCATAGAGAAATTTCATCACACTTCACTAACGACATATTTTTAGTTACTCAAATGGCGTGATGTTGATTTCAACCAATCGGAAAAAGGTAATAAGTTGAAGATTGACATTTAATTAATTCTGACCAATCAGTATTTTCATGCTCAGAATCTGAGCGTGAAAAATGGAGAAAACGATGGCGTCCTTGCAGGCGTTCCTTTCCATTCTCCCTCACGCACCCAAATTCCCCCTTCCCCCTCCCCTTTTAACGCCTGCCATGCACGCTAGATCAGGCAAATCCCAGTTAGTATTTTCTAGCTTGTGTCTAAATTCATTGACTCTTTTCTTTCTGGTATCTCAGATAGTAAGGCTGTCGCTGTCTTTATGCAAGTAATCGCCAAAACAATATTGTAAAGATCGGTAGGCAATCTGAGTTATAACTTATGATCAAACCACTTTTCGAGGATACAGTTGTATTGTTCTTAAAAATGTTGTCTATAAGTGTCCCTTAATGTGCTGTAATTCTTGTGGGCTTTTTAATCGTTGGCAGGTCGATTCAGTAAACTGAGCAGTGACTGAATGAGATTCATGTTTCAGTAAATCCAAATTAAAATCACCAGTTATATGAGAATGCTGTATTGCCTTTGGTAACACCTGAGATGATTTCGTTAATTTTCTCTGTGAATTCCAGAGTGTTTTCTGAAGGAGGTCGAGGGCGATGAAAAACTCCGATTATCAATGGTATTTTTATGTTGTGAAATGTAATTTCAATGAAAAGAGACTCAATGATATTTCCATTGGAAACATTAAACTCTGTCAAGATTTTGTTATGAGAAATCTTGTCAATAAAGAGCCTGACTCCTCTGCCAATTCTACTCTATTTATAACAAAATGGAACTGTCAAAACTAAAGTCATTAACATTACTGTCTTTGACCCATGTCTCAGTTGTGGCAAGAACTGAAAACTTATGATTTATATTAGCCTGTAAGTGGGAAAGGGCATCTTGGTTTTTAACTAGCTAGACTGTGGGCATTAAGTGTGTTGCCTCCATGATTATGCTAATCTAAGAAACTGAGATTCAAAGTGGTTAAAAAATTGTCACCTGAATTTAATGTTAACCTGCATGTATATGTTGTGGTTAATTTTTTATCCCAGGTAATTTTTACTTTTCCTTTGTTTCAACTTCATTAGCTACATTCATCATCATCATTGGTCGGCTGCAGAGCAGGCGACTACGAGCTTCCTCCAGCCACAATGATCCTGTGCCAATTCAGACAGCTTGCCCTGGCCAATCATGTTGTCTGTGTCTCCCAAAAGGTGTTGAATGTATGTGAGAAACAGGGTTCGTTGCCGTCCTGGTTTTCTCTTCCCATGTGGTGGAATATACAGCTACATTACCATACCCAAAAACAAAAGAAAGAGAAAATTACCTGACATAAAAAATTAACCACAACATATACATATACACACCTGCTACCAAATTAATTTTGTCCCAATGGTGTCTATTTTGTAGAAGCAAAACTTATTTTTTAGTGTACAGTTAAAACTTGTTATTAGATTTGACATAGTTGTGAATCAGCTTGGAACTGGATTTGAGGAAGTTCATCTGGAAGCAATGTGCATTTTAACAGATGTTTACAAAGAACAGGTGATCAAAATTTGCTCAAAAAATATCTATTTTTCTCATTTCTTTATTTCCATAATCTACCAGTGATTTTGTTACCTCTGCATCCTAAAAATCTCCAAAGACGCAAAATGTTATTCATGGCGTGCGTCCCACTGGATGCAAAGATCAATCGATCTGAACATGTGTATTTGTAGGAATTGTAATGTAAAATGTAAATGTAATTTTTGTGGCTGTTATTGTGGCTGGTGTTTAATGATGCATATTTGGACTCTTTTTTTTGTTGTTGTTTGTTTTTTTAACTGGGACTTGTTGGTTATGGACAGGGACTCATAATTTTTCACAAGACAAGTCCCGGGACTAACCATTACTATTTGTAACAAAATCACTGATCTACAGATTCAATAAAGACTCAAATTCCAAAAAGTTATCTTGGGTCTAAGTAATATTATTATTTAGACCCAAGTCAATTTTTTTTTATGTACCAGTCAACTCCAAAACTGCCCAATCCACACTCCCTCTTCCCTGGCCATACCCCGGGCATATCACTGGAGTTTCACTCCATACAGTGGGAAATTTGACCCAAAATGAGGCCCGCCTCATTGAAGGGGATCGTTGGCAGTTTTGGAATTGACTGGCACATTACCTCACAGTCACCGCCAGTGTAATTTACAAGTACATGTAGGACACTCACTTTTATTTTTCATTGATGTATTTGTTGTTTATTTCCAGGGTCAATTTCATCTTGCAAAATCATCCTTGCGTCAAGCGCTTGAATTTGCTCATGCAAACAGTCTTCCATTCTGGCAATTTAAAATCACTTTTCAGTTAGCGGTAAGCTGTCATCAATGAAAAAATATTATTCTTACCCTTTCTTTGACTTGAGTTTAGGCATGATTGTAATTTAAGCTTTTTTGCAGGATGTTCATGCAAATGATAAAGAATTAAAGACATCAACAGAGGTTCTTGAGTTGGGAGAGAGATTTGCAGAGCAGTGTGGCTCACACTACATGAAGTAAGATATAATTCCCCTGTATATATTTTGTCTAAGAGTCTTGAAACATTAATGTATGAAAATATCATTGATGGCAATGCAGAAAAATAATAACGCTGGGTTTAACTTTCTTTTAAATTCTCATGTTTGTGAATTTTCGCCTTCTGACGTGAAGGTTCAAAGGATATTTTGCCATTTGAATTTTTATTTTGACATTATTTTCCTTATTACTTTATAGGTGTCTGTTTGCTCTAAGCAAAGCTATGGTAGGTCAAAGACAACACGTTTAAAATGTTTGATAATTTCACAGTAGCTTTCTTCACCTTGATGTTCTTCCCTCTTTCACGTATCTCCATTTCCCTCTTCAGTTGACTGGCATGGTGTAAAAAGTCACGACATTTTGGCCTCTCGGAGGTCATTTTTAAGTGCGAGTAACGGTCTTTAAATAGTTTAAAAGGTAAGAATGTAATTAACAATAAAAATTAATGCGATAAAGTATGTTAATGATAAGTGATGAAATATTTATAAAATTGAAAAGAAACATAAGAAGCCTAATAAAAACCATTCTAAACAAATAATTTTAAATGGATGGAAATGCACTGTTTGTTTTTATAGTTTTGGTTTCAGTTCTTTCTTTTCAATTTTATTTTTAATATTTTGTCACTTATCGTTTACATATTATCGCATTTTATTGTTAATTGCATTCTTACCTTTTAAACTATTTTTAAACCATTGGTAATATATTTATGCTAATTTTATTTTGTACTTGCGCTTGAAAATGACCTCGGAGAGGTTGAAACATCGTGTCTTTCTATCGCTTATTTTTATTACAAAATATATCAAAGAAATTTCTCATCAAGTGTAAAAAGGTCATATAAGGTGATGATTTTGCTGGAGAATCAGTTAACCATCTCTTTCAATGTTTGAATTTATTTTTTTATTTTTTCACGGCTTTAATTCTATTGGTTAAGTTGTATGCCAATGAGAAAAACTGTAATCAATGACATCAGCAAAGAGGTCTATTGTCTATTTTTATTTCACTGTCAGTACAAGTACTGTATTGTAGTTTGTTCACGTTTTTTTAGTAAAACCTAAGGAAGAGGACAAGACTTAGATTAGAGAACTCTCCACAAAAAAAGCTGATTGCATTTGGCAGTCAGTTTCTTTGTTGTCAGTATGCATTATTTCCATTTACAGGCATATATGATGATGAAAGAATTAAACCATGCAACTGGGATTCTGTCTATGGTTTCCAATTTCTTGGAGAGGTGGAACATTTCCACTTACCAGCATGAATCAATTCAAGTGTTTTATTTGCTGTTAAGAGTTTGGAACTTTTTAAAATTGGGGCAGGTAAAGAAATGTAATCACATGTATTAACAGAAAAATAAGTAGCTCACATCATTATACACTTATATAATACTTTGAGGAAAGTGTGCCCATAGAGTATTTATGTACGAGTTGTGAGTAAGTCACAAGTTGAATGAGTGAGCACAGCGAACAAGTGAGTTTCTGATACAAAAACGAGCCCATAAATATTAAATAATGTACAAAACACTTTCCATGTGGTATTTTGTTTATTATGTACATGCACATACTTATATAGACATTCATCATTTTGCCAGCCTTGTATTTCAAATCTTTCTAAGATGCTAAAATTTGCCACTTCAGTACCCTGATAAAGAAAATGAAGTATAATAATCAAGAAAAAAGTTTGGTAAAAATCATAATGAGGGTATAAAGGATATGAGGTAATTCAGGAATTACAAGTAATTTTATTTAACTTTTAAGATGGAGAACTTTTAGTCAGAGTGGCTTAACACACAGTGAGGTTTGAAAAAAGTTCCTTTAACGGTATTTCGACTTTTACATGTTTATATTCTTTTTTCCAGGCAAAGAGTGTAAGACCATATCTGAAGCAACTCCAACAATCAATACAACTGTTGACAACCCTTCATCCTGATGGTAACTTTTCTTTAAATTTACAGCAAAACGTTTGGATAAAGTAATGATAGCAGATACTCAAATGTCATGAAGGACCACTAATATAATGTCATTACATGTAAGAGGTCAAGACTCAATTCCAGCCAAAATCATTCTAAAAGTAAACTGGTCGATGAACATGCCATGATCATGACAAAAGTACATGGAAGATGCTTGCTCCAAGTAATGGGTTCCTGATGTGCCACCAAGGTTCTAGCTGCTACAAATGATTATTAAAACCACCATTACTTGTAAGTTTGAAGTAACTGAAGTGTCATCTGCATGGTCAAAGAAATGGTCAAAGAAATGAGATCAACTACAACACTGTCGAGTCGAATGCTCCTCAAAAGCCTTTTAGTTCTATAATATTATTGAGTACTTTAAGAGTTCCTATTCACTCTAACATAATTATGATGTACATTTCAGAGTCACAAATTCATGAAGCTGAACGATTTGAATGGCTTACCAAGGAACATCTCTGTGTGCTGGTGTATTTGGTAAGGATGCAGCTAGAATTGCATCCATTGAATTTGAAAAGAAGAGTTTCACTTTATGTGCATCTGCTGCTTTTCTTGCATCAGTGTTGCTTGAGATAATTAAGTATATATTGACTTAAGCAAAAAAGAAAGCTTGATAAGTTTAATGTCTTTTAACTAACAAAATAATGTTATTGTCAATATCAATAAACTTATTAAAGCAGTAATAAAACGGGCCAGCAAATGGCAATGATAGATCTGACATGACAATAAATTTGCTGTGTAATGTTAAAAGTGAAAATGTTTTGATCTTTTCCAGGTGACAGTGATGCACTCAATGTATTCAGGTTATATGGAGAAAGCAATAAAATACAGTGAAAAAGCTCTTGTACAAGTTGATCGCTTAAATGGTAAGTTTCAATATTGTTAGCAAGTATTATTGCTGTAAAATAATAGACTAACTCTTAATTACTTTAGATTTTGTTTACTGTGAGCTGTACATAGGGCTGTCACTAAGATTTGAAGTTGCCAGGTACTTGCAATTTATTAGTAGGTGGGAAACTGAACAGCCAGGGAGTTCTTTTGATCTCATTTTCCTTTTGTTTCCTACAAAAATAGCAAGGTGTCATGCTCATAGTAACCAGAGGAAATCCCTGCCTCCTCCCCCAGCCCATATTGACAGCCCTGGGTTGTACAGATATAAAATAATTTACTATGAAACTTGCAAGTGGTATTTCAAATTAACTTATTATGTGCAGGATCATTGAACAGTTAGTTCTGCTAACTTTGTTTTTGCCTGTTTGTTATTTTGTGTGAAAGCTACCTTATCAAGTTCAGGTCTCTTATCAATGTTCAAGCTTGTCCTTCTGGAACATGTGATCATCTGTAGAATGGTGCAAGGCCATATGCCGCAGGCAATAAAAGAGGTACAATCATAATAATAAGTGCTTAGCTAGAAGGCAAAAATTATTTTACAATATTTTTGGATATTAAACAGGCTGGAGTATGTTATTTAATACATTAATAGTCTTTCTTCTTAGATACAGGGGGTTAATTTTGTTCTATAACTTTTGTTACTGATAAGCTTTGAAAGGCAAAATTGTTTTAAATCTGTATGATTAGTGGGGTTATTGTTCTACTGCCCAGCTGCCTTTCCTTTCATCTTATCCTAAGATCCTAAAAGCTTTCCCCAAAACGTTTCCCATTGAAATGAAGCCTATTGAATGCTTAGAATAAGAAAAGAATGAGACAAGAAAAGCAATTTAAGAGGGGAGGGGAGAGAAAGTATTTTATCTTGAAATTTTGCCCTCTGTGCATACCTGAACTTTGGAAGCTAATAATTGCCCCTGGATTAGAAGGCCACAAAGTGTACGATCTTTAAACAGCTCTGTAGTAAGTTTTAGCTCTTTATAGCCATGCAGTGACCGGAAAACCACTGACTAGTTTCAAAATGCGTTTTTTGGTAAAATTCCCTGAGGCGAATGGGTTAAATGCACAGTTTTGCAATTGCAGTTCATTCTTGTACAAAATAGTTATTTGTTCTTATATTATTAAATTTTCTGTATTTTGTTGTCTTTTCAGATTTCTCAAGTGTATCAAATAGCTCAACATGATGGAAAGTTGTTAACTTGTCATCACTCAGTTGTACACACCCTTCTGGTGGGTTGCAATCTTTCCCCACATGAAGTTAAATTAGGTCACTCTGATCTCGACAATGACATTACACTGTGCAATCCTGCTGGTTATCTGATTATGACAATAAAGCAGTGTTTCTTTTTGTTTGTCTTTGAGAGATTATGCGTGATCTCTGTCTTGAGTGAATTAAAATAATTGCAAAGCATTATCTGTCCCATTGTATCAAATAATCCTTTAACTAATAGAACAATGTGTCATGATGGTGATGAAGATGATGACCATGGTGATGACGATGATCATCATCCTCATATTCTTCACATCCTACAGGGAGCCAATGTGTTGTATCACTTGCCGACAAATGTTTAATGTATAATGGATTGCGGTGGGATTGCAGCAGTGGCGGATCCAGGGGAGAGAACCATCCCCCCACTCCCCACCCATTTTTTTACCAAAATGAGGCCCAAAGGGCCAAAAAACATTTTCTGGGAGACCGGGCCCTCCCCTTATCTCAGGATCTGGATGACCCCCCCCCCTTATCTGAAGGTCTGGATCTGCCACTGTGCAGATTGATGGAAAAAACACTGGATAATGAAAAGAATGATTTTTTTCATAACAGTAATAATTAGTCATGCATTCAAGTAAAATTTCTGAAAAGTAAACATTTAATAAATGATGCTTTCTGTACCAACTCAGCACTTGATTTCTGCATTAGGGCTTGTATGCCATGTCCATGAATCTGATGGATTCAGCTGAGAAGCAGTTCAATTCGGCTCTAGAGGTAAAGTTTGCTTTGTCATTTTTATTGAGAATGATTCTATTTTTGAGGTTGCTACTTTCTGGCATGATGTTTTTGTTAACACATGTATTTAATACTTGCACAATGTATGTTGTAGCCTTGAGTATCATCCGTAGGCTATGCAGTGTATATGTTGTAGGTTAAAATAAAATAAGATTAAAATATTTAAACCATGGTTGAGTCTTGTCTCCGAGCCCTAATAGTAATTGTCAAATAAAGGACAGAAATGAAATTGGGTATCAACCTAGGCTTCAACCTTTTAACCTGGATTAAGTTTGACCCAAAACCTGTACATAATAAATACTACTTATTAACTGAGAGTGAGGTCATTACAGGGAAATCTCAGACTGAGGCCTTCATGTATTGACCGAGCAATAGGTCTGAGACTTCCCTGTAATGACCGAACAGATGAGCTATTTATTATATGGCCTTTCCATTATGGACCTGATCCTGCGATCAGTTAAAACCAACATCTGACCAGCAGATAACTTTAAAAAAACACTTCACCTCAATGAGTTGTACACTTGAGCCTGCAATACAGTCAGGTGACATTGGGCAGCGGATGCCCTTTTTGACATCTGTCAACTGACCATAACATAATCATATATCCATAAGGATGTCAACTATCAAGTTACACACAGATTGTATATGCTTTGGGCACCTACAGGTAGCTAGTAATGCCCGGTCATGACAAGAAAATAATGCCTGGTCATTACAAGAAAACAGCTGATCAGAGCGCGGTTACTATTGTAGCCATAGGCTAAGTTATAGAGCGTATTCACATGACACCACAGTGGCCATGATATTGGTGTTCCAAAACAATGAAACGGTAGCCATTTTGGTGTTCCACTCAAATCCTGTGGGAGTTGGACTCTTTTCTTATGTAAAAAATTTTTTTTGTTCCCATAAATTTGCATAGATGCTGGCCACGCGAGTGAATAAGCTCTATTGTATTGTCTATAATTATCAACAATACAATTTTCATGATATAATCATTGGATTAGCTCTGAATTAGCACTGCTGCAACAAACTGATAGTAACAGGTTATATAATGACTTCATCATAGTCATCTTCTTTTCTAGCTGTTGTGTTGTTTGAGAAGTTAGGCCACGACTTTTGCCTTAATTTAGGGACGGAAATATTGTCATTGGTCTTTTTATTTTATTATTATCATAACAACATTTTTTGTCAAAATTTGTGTATGTCTGTTCCAAAGGAAACAGTTTATATATAAATAAAGTATAATAATATACTTTTACTGAGTGATTAATAATTTGTTTTCACAGTCCTGTGGACAACCAGAACTCAGAAACTTCATTGGATTAAATCTGGCTATCATTTACATACGATCTGGTATTGGAGCCGACAGAAGAATGGAGGTAAGAAATTAAAGATGTTCATGCTAAATGTGTATTAGCATAGTTACTGTACAAGGTCCTGACAGGCATGTGCAATGTCCTAAGCAGAGAATTTAAGGACTTGGCTGTAGTTTGTTCTGTTAACCCTTTAATATAAGTCCCAAGTGAAGTCAACTTGAACTTTTTCCTATTAACACCAGTACATTATAAAGAGAAAACTATAAGGTTATTGGAAGCAATACAGTGATCACCAAAAAGAAATTTATTTATCTTTTATTAAATTCTCTCTACTAATGCATCAGTCAATTCCACCTGCACCCACCACCGTGGTCAAACGTCTAAATCGTTATTTTTGTTTTTTATTGCTGCGATTTCATTTAGCAGTTAGAGAAAAATGGGCAAAGGTGTATAAATCAGTTAGTCAACATAACTATCTAGTTTTTTTCAGCATCGATGTCACTATAGGAATAATAGAGCTTAGTTTTGGTTATCGACTTGCAACATTGTTGTTGTGATCTTTACTGTTTATGTGAGGAATCTATTTAGTCTTGTCATCACTGAGCTACAGTGGTTTTAAGGGTTCTTATGCACTACTCTTCAACATGAGTATGCTGAGTGATTGATATCAGCAGTTTTATCGCCGTATTACTTTAATAACTTTATAGGCTGTTTTAGTGTATTTTCTAGTGTTATTTAGTTCTCGTTCGCTATTTGTTATCATCGGTTTTTAGTCAGATATATTTGCACTCTATGTATTCTTAGCTAAGTTTTCGTTCGATTTTATCGTTTTCAGTTCGAACCGACTTTGTACGACTTAAAACCGATTTCACAACTTAAGGACCTTTTGTCTTGTCAATCGACCCGTCGATTCTTCTGTATCAAGTTGTGACCTCTGTGCTAGGAACATTGATCTCTGGTTCAATAAATCTGTTCATGTTTACATATCTTTCCATTTTTCTCAAAATTTTGAGCTTCTTTCGCTGAAAACGTTTCTCGCTAAAAGAGAATCATGTTTGAAAATGGCGCCGATAATAACGTCAGCATCGGTTTTCAATCACTTAGAACATTTTTGGTAAACTTTTAAAAAGTTTAGTAAAGTAACAGGATGTTGGTATTACCTTAAACTTTCGATAGTGAAAGTAGCAACCTTAACTTCGAAGTATTTCGCTTAACTTTTGCAAATTTCACTCGTTCGACCGCTGTGAACCTGCACCCAGGCCCCCAGCCCCCCCATTAGTGGAATTGACTGATGCCTAATTTCTATTAATTCTTAAAAGAAAATATACATGGATATCAGTTTTGATCAGATGCAGTAAACCTTACAGTTCAACAAATAGTTAAAACATGCACTTAGTGAAGTTTAAAAGTTTTCCTTCTGCTCACAGATGCAACATCATTGTTCAGCATCACTTCCATTGTTTAAACTTGTGGCCATTGTGCCAGGGCGAAGATAATAATGTGTTCATTTTAATAACAGGATCACGCAAAGTTACCAATTTGACCGATTTTGTTGAGATACTTACCAATACCAAAATGAGACCAAGACTTTCACACTTTAGACTTATTTTGGGCAATTAGGGTTGCCTTTTTTTGGTGTTTTATTTTTTCTTTGGCTTATTTTTTAAAACTGGTTTGCATGTATTATTTCAAACCAGTACCTTCAAACTGGTTTGTTTGGTTACTGTGTGCATGGTAGTATCAACTCATTCACCCCTGAATTGCCCATAACCGCCCATGCAGATCCACGTCCCTTCTACCATTTGTGATGTCATCAGTTGTAATGTTCCAGGGCAACTTTGTCTGCTAACTTATGCAGAGTGAAGAGATCTTTCAAACCATACCAGAACAAGCATGATTCGGTCAAGGAGGCCATAGAAAAAGAAAAGATGTAATGTTGACCTGAAAATTTCCATGGAAATCTTGTTCTAGGACTTACCTACTGTACCTTTTCCTTTCATGTAATCCTAAGATCCTAAAAGCTTTCCCAAAAACATTACCTACCATAATAAAGCCTACCAAAACCTGGAGCAAACGAAATAGAAAATAAGGCAAGAAAAGCAAAAGAATAGGGAAGGAGAGAAAGCAAATAGAAAAAGACTTTTTTTCTTGACTTAGTCAAGACTGTTATGTCACTTTTAAACCCAAAAACTATGATGAAATTTTACTTTCTGTGCATGCCCAAACTTCTCAAGGTAACATTTTGCATTTGAATCAGAGGTACAACCTGTAAACAGCTTTGTGGTAAGTTTTAGCTGTTTATAGCCAGACAATGACCATGCTTGACTAGCTTGAAAATGTGTTTTTTTTTTTAACGACATTCCTAGAAGCGAATTAGTTAATTGGTAAGTCATTTGCTTAAGGGAAGGTTGTATCCTGTATCCAATGACTTATCAGGTTTTGCTTTAAAGGCCTTTATCAACCTCATTGGGTTTTCTTTCACTAATTTTGTTGCCTATTTTTTTTATTTCAGCTTGAAAATCTTTTAGCAAAAATTAGCCCAGATCAGATGCCTGTTAGGTAATAAATTAATAATATTATAATATCATAATAATAATAATATTAATTATTACTTATAATAATTTATTTGAAATACCCTATTTGCATCAAGGGGTACATGTGCATTGGCAACCCAGGATCAGACTGAATTTGATCAACTGCTTTGACCTTATCCCTAACCATACCTTTTGTCATTGTGGTGTGACTGTTTAATAGGAGTTGATTCAATCTGGTCCAATCTAGGTTTTGCTGATGCCTCTTCCAAGGGGTGGTAAACTAACAGTAAAAATGTGAGACTTGCCTCAATGTTGAGCACCTCATTTAAAACTCCAAGAATTATTTCAAAACTTAGTGATGGAAATAAAACACACACAAAAAGATACTTCCACAAGATTAGCTGGTGGCAAATTAATGCATTGATAAAATTTGTCAATCTGTTATTCTAGCTCACTCAGCCACCAGGCAGGCTATTATTATGTCAGGGGATTACAGTCATTCTTTGAGTCAAGATTTATGGATGCAAAGTAAGTTTTTAGCTGTGATGTTCAAAACAACAGTGTTTGGTAGTAACCTCTTAAACCTCATCTTTCTTGAGTATCCTTCATGGCTTTGCTTATTTTATAATGCCTAAATTTTTTCTCCCTTACACTAAAAATAAAGTTGTAAGTCCAGTTGAAATTCAGGTTAAAATCATTTCATCCCAGTTTGTTATTCATTTCTCTCACTTCCTAACCCTAGTAATATTCATGATTATGGATAATGCAAAGATGTCATTATGGTTTCAACTTTTAACATTAGTAGATGCTACTGGGAGGTAAGAAATTGAATGGCTAGGAAGTTCTTTTGGTTCTCTTTTCTTTCAACTCCTGTGGTTTCCTATTGAACGGGTTTTGGAGTCATTTTCAAAGTAGCCAGGAGGAAATCCCTGGCCCCGGGCCCTTAATGACAGCCCTGATAATACCATCAGTTTCCTTCGTCTCATAATTAACCCTGATTATTTATAATCATGAATTATGATTAGGGCTAGGACACAACAGTTTCCTTCATCTCATAATTAACCCTGATTATTTATAATCATGAATTATGATTAGGGCTAGGACACAACAGAAACTTATAATCAAAGTAAGCCTAAATCATTTCCACTTGAGTTTCATAATTATGGACTGCAATATAATTCAAATTACCAAAGTTTTGCCTGTGCAATATTTTCCACTTCTTGCAATGAATAAAATTCCACTGATCACTTATTTTAACATCTCATTCAATTTTAATAGGAAATACTTGCGTGAAACGTTGAAGTTGGCAAATCCTGAAGACCTAAACAGACTATCAGCTTGTTCACTGGTTTTACTCGGACACACATTCTTCACTCTCAGAATATCACAGGTGTGAGGATGTTGTAATGATAATAATAGTAATAATAATAATAATAATTTAGTCATTTCTATAGTGCAAATTCAATTCAAAGTTTTCAATTGCTCTTTACGTTCAATTTCTAAAAGAAAACTCTTTTTAAAAAAGTCTAAAATTATTTTTAAAATGAAATTACAGTCAATGATATTAATTTTACACTTATATATATGTAAACTATATGAATTGCACAAATTTAAAATTACATAGGTTTCATACAGTTAAAATAGTGATAAGATAATTGAAATAACTAGATAATAAATTAGTTAAAATAAGCTTTCTTGAAAAGATATGTTTAAAAGTGCAGACCCTTCGTTCCTCCCAGAGCTCTTGAGGGATTGAGTTCCAAAGTTTTGGAGTGGCAGCCGAAAAGGCCCAGTCCCCTAGGTTAGGGGATGTCTTATGTATATAATTTTTAAACTGCTGGTGTTTGCAGCGATGGTGCGTCATTGGATCTCAGTCCATTAGAATTCAGTTTGAGTGATATATCCCAGAGCTGCAGCATGAATGGTCTTGTACATAATTAGAATAATCTTAAAGTCAATCCTGTGTTTAATGTTTTACCAGTGAAGTTCAGTTAACAAAGGAGTAATATGACAGTGTCTGGGAGCTTTGTATACAAGTCTAGCTGCAGAATTTTGCTTGCATTGTAAAAGGAGACAGGAAGGCAACCTGTAAAGAAGTGAACAGCAATGATCGAGGCAGCTTGTAATGAACACATGTATAAATTTCTCCATGATCTCCTAAGTTGAGAACTTCCTTATCCTGCATATTTATTATGGAGATACAAGTAGCCAGCTTTACGAGTTTATGTAACTTGTGTGTTCATCATAAGGTTGCTGTCGAACCAAGTACCCAGATTTCTGATTGCATCCTTACTTGTACCAGTACTCACTGGTTTTAGTAAATTTAATTTCTGAAGTCAATTGTTATGTCAAGTGTTGAGTCTTTTGTTGTATCAAAGTAATGTTTATAGCAAGAGTGTTATTATGTTCATAGTTGAGCGTCAACATAATTCGTTCATAGTTGCTCAAGATGATATTAATTTAGGGCCTCTTCACATGAGCCCGGTTGACCGGGCTGGCCCGGTTTCCAAGATCTTGCCTTACCTTTAAATTCTTTGTAAAATTTTCTATGTGTTCATACGAGAGGGCAGGCTGGCTCGGTTTCCGAGATCTCAGTTTTTTCAACCGAGATCTCGGTAAGTGGGCTGGAAATTTTGCCATGTGAACACTTCAGCCCAGTCACTGAGATGAAAGCAGGAGCTCTGGCAGTCCGGATGGTCGTCCTGCATTGTCTGCTGTATTTTCCACATCGTAAGCATCCCATTTAACTGCAGTGATGCAGCTTTAAGAGTTGCCAAAGCTATGATAGGTGCAAAAGTTAAGATTTTTGTGATTCACCATGTTTGAGCTCTTTGTTTCTTGAAGTATGAGTATGAGCTTGTCCCCAGGATCTTTCGCCTTTTCTCATCTTGGACACTAGGATGAAATTCTCATATGAACCCCAGGTGAAATTCATCCCAGTAACTGCAGGCCAGCCCGGTCACCCGGGCTCATATGAAGAGGCCCTTAGGCAAAAACTTTGAAACAATCATAACTGAGATGATCTATGTAGACATAAGAAAACGTAGGAAATGCATAAAAGTGTTTTTATTGTTAACTTCTCATGTCTGGGGGTATTTCTTGGAGTATTTATCCAACTAACATAATTAGGGCTTCTGATATTTCGCGGAAAAAAAAGCAAAATTTCGCGGGATTTTCAGGGGCAAATTCGCGGAAAAATCGGCCGATTTCGCGGGATTTTCGCGGGAAAAAAGTCAAAATTCCCAGAACAATCGGCCGATTTCAGGCAATTTTCGCGGGAGAAAAGTAAAAATTCGCAGAAAAATCGGCCCATTTCGCGCGATTTTAGCGGAAAAGAGTCAATTTTCGAAGGATTTTCAGGGGCAAATAATTTCCGAAGAATTTCTTGGGAAAATCGGCTGATTTCATGAGAAATTTCGGGGGAAAACTTCGCCAAGAAACAATCAGTAAAAAACAGCCGATTTCGCTGGGGTTTATTTTGCGTCGATATGACCAGCGTTGGTGAACGTTTTTTTTAACATGGATAATCATTTGCTCTTTCAACAACAGTTCGCTCGAGAAATAACGCTATCAACATTACGGTTAGTGCCCAGTTTTTCGCAACGTTCATGTAAAAAAAGTCTGGTAGTTTTGGGACGTTGTTTACTCGTTGCAGTGATGAAGTTTCAAGCTAAATTTGGACGTTTGGGGTTAATAAAACCGGTCTAATAGCCAAATATGTTTTGCCGACATGTATTTGGAAGTATTTCTGGGGGATTTCGCGGTATTTCGCGTTTTTTGGGGAATTTCGCGGGATTTTGCGGAAATACCAGAATTTCGCGGGTCCGCGACCGCGCGAAATATCAGAAGCCCTGCATAATCAACTCTTGTAACCATGCAAATTAAGGAATTACGAAAGTGGACACAAAATTAATATTATCATACCGTGAGTTACAGTAAAAAAAGTGTCACAAAGAATCTGTAACATTACTACCGGGAAAGATAATCTTTAGGGGAGTTTTCCTTTTTTCTTAGTACAGTGGAACCCCGATATAACGATATGCCAAGGGAGTAGTGGAATTAGATCGTTATATCGAGGTATCGTTATAATCGAGACTCCCGATATAACGATATTGTCGTAAAATAACCGAAAATATCGTTATATCCGGGTAAAATTAACATGTACTTTTTTTACTACATATTGTTTAATTAAACTTGTAATGAGTATCAAATGACTCACAAATGTAGCGTTTCAAGCACGCAGCAATGTCCTTAAACAATTTGCAAAGTATTAAGACGTTATCATGGTTACACAACAAGGTCTGTGGTATGAATCGTAAAAGGGAAACAAAACAAAACTGAAACATTTGAAGTTGCGACTGTAATCGTCTTTACTTTTCGCTGTTCGCTGTCTCATTTGTTTTATTTGCAATTGAAAACGCATCCTCCATCGCTGAAAGAGAGGAAAGGAATTCTCTCTCTCGTTCGCCTGAATCATCCAACGTAATAATAAAATCTCTAATTGCTTTGACAGCTTCAGTAGCTTGCACAGGAGTCAGGCCTAGGAGCGTAGGTTCAATCACTGATATATCATCATCAGAGTCTGACTTGTCCCCTTGCATGAGAGCTGGCATGCGCGATTGTATCTGTGTACTGATACTGTAATATCGTTATATCAGGGAAGATTTTACGCTCCTGCGCTAAAAACTCATCGTTATATCGGGAATATCGTTATATCGAAGATCGTTATATCGGGGTTCTGTCCCATACATTTTACTGTAACTTTTGCCGGGACATAGCATATCTATCATTATACCGGGGATATCATTATATCGAGGATCGTTGTTTCGGGGTTCCACTGTACTACGAGCAGCAAATTAATGCTTCCAATGAGATAATGATTTTTGGGCAAAATGAAGAAGGGCTCTGCTTGCAGGTTTCAAATGTATTTAAAAAATACTTTAATTTTTGGTTTCTTACATGTATATTTAAGTTTTATTTCATGTTAATTTTTAGGATTCCCTTGATATGGCCTTACCTGCCAGTCAACTGGCTAGTCGTATTCCTGATCCATATATTCACATGTGGGCTGCGTCACTTCTTAGGGGTGAGAAATTTCATGTAAAGTGCTGCATGCTTTTACCTTACTTTCCACCACAACTGATTTGTTGCTAAGTTTGAAAAACTATATGTATCTTTTGTAAAGGACCATGTCTTATGTAAACATGTTTCAGGCGAAAATATTAAGTAATAAGGAAAGAGTACTAGGATGTTAACAGGCCTTTGTTATGTTTTGAATATTGTCTGAAGTGGCTATCTTTATTCTCATTTGTTCTTGGTTTATTTATTTTTAACAGATTTGTATGGACTGATGGGTGATCCTGTTACAGCAAGTGACTATTATCAAATACACAGCAGTTGTACCAAGAAACTGCTTGATAGTAAGTTGTCATTATTATTTTAAGAGAGTATAGTGAAGTATTATGTTGACTCTAAAGAAAAAACAGATACTTACTTTCAGGGCCGTCATTAAGGGCTGCAGGCTGGGGATTTCTATGAGCATGAGGAAAATAGAACCAAAGACCACCCTAGCTGTTGAAACCCCGGCCCACCAACTAAGTGCATTTACTTGACAACTTAAAGTTTTACTGGCAGCCCTGTTTTTTTGCCATCTGGTTGGAAGTTGAATATAAGTTCTGTCACATTTTATAACTCATTGCAAAATGTTTAAGAAAATTCTTTAAAGTTACCTTTCACTGGTTGCAAAGAAAGACAGTTTTACGGCTTGCCATTTGGGCAAGTTGTTGCAAGTATGTACTACCCCAAGAGTACTTTAAGTAGTCCAAAAAAAGTTTTGATGAGCAGCATTGATTACAGCTCTTCTGTAATTTGAATTTCCCCAAAAACTTCACTTGCCCTTCAGGAAGGATAAGAACAGGATTCACTAGCCCGATTGCAAAATCCACTAACCCTGGGCTATCGGGCATGACTTTCTTTGCATACTGCATTCATTTCCAGTCTCTTTTTATCAGTTTTTTAAACAAAATTAGGTGACACAGCCAAGTCAGTTTGATTGCTAAGACAACAGATGTACAGTTGGTACTGGCATAATGTCTTCAGTCTAGGTCTTATGTTCATAATAGCTCTAATAATAGAAGGGTTGTGGTGACTCTTAGTCAGGGCATTTAGAGCTGATGATACCTAGTGAGCCTCGGTTAACTGTCAACGATTAAAAACAAAACACAAACGTCTGCCATGAAGTGCATTATAACAGATTCTTATCATATACCAAGCACCTTCCGATTGAGATAATAATGTAGTGGCCTATTTGGAATGGGAAGGAAAACCCAGTACCTCTGGTGCTGAGCTAAAGTTTTGTGTACCTTATCCTTCTAGATCACATGCAAGCTGGACAGATGCCAGAACACAGACTCACTGAGGTAACCTTGGTCCCCTTTTATTAATAACTATAACAAAGTTCACTAATCTGATTGGATTTATCTGCAGCCCTGATTTCATCATTAACAGGATAGTGTAATAGTGTAATGAACATGTCGTGCAAGTAATAAGAATAGCATATGCCATCATGCATGCACATTTGAATGTTTTTTCTTTTTTTTTTCTTTTTTTCACTTCTAGCAATAAGGAATGCTAAAAATCTTGTGTTTTAATTTTGAAATAGCCTGAGTTATCACAAATTTGTTATACAGTGTTATAGCTAACTGGTAACAACTTTGTGTCATCCAATTAGGTCTGTAAATGCAGATACTCCTGATAAAACAAATCAGACTCCTGCTACGTGGTGTTTACCTCTCGCATGATTACAGGCCACATTGGATAACACTCAGTTTATTACCATTATGTTTAATGATTTAAAGCAGAAGTGTCCAACAAATGATCTGAGAAATTCCTGTGGCCATTAATCAAGAATAACAGTATGCCTGTCTGCAGTTCCAGTTCTTTGTAAACTATAACTGGTGTAAATTTTCATTTTTCTCCTTTTATAGTGGACTGGCAGCATCAGCCCATCTAAACAACAGACAGCTGCAAATCAAACTGGATTATTAACAATCTTCCCCCAGGCTGGGCCCAGCAGTGTAATGTAGTGACCTTTGCAAAAGAGATGAGGCTTTGTAGCAAATCAACATCAAGTGCATCTTTTGGAGCAAAAAGCATTAAGCATCTTTGTCATACTTGTCATGTAAGGATGTATCAGTGATGTAGCTGCAAATGAAGTATACTCTATATCACTTTGATGCGGTGTTTGTTCAATCTTCCCAAAGTGGAACTCAGTGTGATGTAACATCCTTTGCACTAGTGAAAAGATGGCGTCTTTCTGACTTTGGCCTTCAGTTGCTCAAAAGTCTGCATGAATGTGCATCTGTAGGAACACTTATACATGTCCTTTTATATGCAAAAGACATCAACATTTATAAAAAGCCTTGGTTTGCTGGCATCATTTTGTTCAGCTTCCTGGTCATCATCATCATCATCATCATCGTCATCGTCAAGTAAAGGTGTCTTTACCTTATATTGAGAATGATGTTATTACTCTAAAGCTGTGGGTGACATGCATGTCCCTTTGTTCTAGTGGCTTCTGTAGTGACGGGATCATTCCTTTCATTTGGTAGGAACTTCATGCATCATACAACATTCAGCTATTGAAATACTGTATGTGGTTCTTGGAAGTCACTAACAAATAGAATGCTACAGTCATAAACGTTTTTATTGTCAACATAGTTGAACTTTTTATGTTGTGATTAATTGTATTAATGATAATGGTAACAGAACTAGGTGTTGTCCAGTGTGTATAGGTAATCATACAACTTTGAGTTCAATTTGAAATTTATTCCCACGAGTGGTTTTTTCAAAAAGTATCAAAATTCCAGACTCTACAGAGAGAATGCCATTTGAGCTTTTTTAAAAAAAAACAATGTGTACAAATAAACTCCAAATTGAAGAAAAGTCATGTCAGACTGAATACTCTTTAATAACAAACAGGAAAAATTTTTCTTGAGAAAAATTTTTCACCAAAACAGTCTGATAGTGCAATTCGATGAAACAATAACCCAATCTCATCCCTCATCTCAAAGTGGCCAATATAATTCTATTGTTTATTAGCCAATCATAGCTCCATTCTCTGACATATTTGCTTCTTATTTCCTGGGTTTCCATTATATTTCCTCATTTTTGTTGTGATTACTGAAAACTGCATTGCTCTCAGCCAATCAGATTTAAGAAATTTTTTCATTTTTGTTATCATGTCTGTGGACAAATTGGACTGTGCACTGTCCAGTCATTCGATTTTGTTATGTTATGCATATGATTACAGGCAGAATTGGACTTCACTCAGTTCTATTGACATTATTAAATGATTAATTATGCATATTATTCTATGCCTAAATGCCTAGCAGTCACCATGTTTCTTTCAAGACTTTCAAGACTGTGGTAACAAAGACTTGTCATGAAAGAACTTGGAAAGATTATTGATTAGGAGTGGATTATTTTCTTTTTGAAAACATGGGACACCTTGTAAAGTTGTAAAAAATATTGTTGTGATATTTTCTTATGTTTCTGGTAACTATGGTCACCAGGTTGACAATTTTTTTTTACTCTAAGCTAAATTGTTTTGTGCATAAAGTATATGATCAGTCATTAAATGTCTGTACAGTGATGTATAGTGATGTATAGTGATGCTTGAGTCTTTTGGTTCTTGATAATGTGTTCTGACAGGCCATTACTGCCAGAAAATGTTGCGCTTCAATAAGTAATTCACTAGTGGGGTATAACAACGGTGCGGATCTAGGATAAAATTAATACTGACTGATTTCCTAAACGATTGCCGAAGGTGCAAGCTTCTAGAGGGTCCGGGGTCAGGCTTCCCCAGGAAAATTTTGGATTTTTAACTCCTTAAAGTCCCCTTTTCTTTGGTTCCTGAGTCATTCAGATGGGATATTGGCCAGATTTCAACTTGGAAAGAGTTTTTCATTATTAAAAAATATATTTATTATGAAAAATCTGACTGATTTCCGAAAAATGGTGGAAACCTGTGTGGATCCACGCCTGAGCAATGCATGCTGCACTAAAAATTCAAACTAAGCCACTACACTAACCCCATGGCTGCAGAAGCGTTTTCGGTGCTACAGTTGACATTTTTGTTGGAGGTCTACACAGCAAATTATGGTTGCCCCCAAGAGGCAGCTGGGCAGTGGGTTGGGGGCTGGCACTTGTCTACCACTTGGGCTTTGGGGCAAAAAGATGGCTGACAGTTTAGACTAACACTGTAGACTGAATTAATAATTTGTGTGGTATTTAACATCACAGCCTTACACTTAGGGCCCTTTTTAAACGACAGAACTGGCAGGCCAGATCAATCATTTCTAAAATGAAATATTAGTCTTTGCTCGAAAATTTTACTAAAACCCATCAATGCTGTGAATATACAATTAAGGAATAAACCAATCAGGCTGTATCATAGTCCTGATTCTCCTTACAACCGGAATGGTCTGGCCAGCCAGTTCTGAGAAATGTTAAGCCCCCTGAGAGGGTGCTTACCATTTAGCCAGAAAATTCCAAAATTCTGCACGGAAGATGGTAATGTCATTTTTCTGAAATTCCAATAAAAAATTGAGGACTACGGTTTTAGGTAGTCCTTTTATTTGGGTTAATGGACTGTTTCTTACCATTTACCAATTTCTCGGTTCTCGTGCTGCAGAAATTCACACTTCTTTGGATTTCCATCAAATGGTTGGCACCCTTCATTCCAGTTGGGTGATCACAATTTGTTCTGGTATAGAATTTAGGTCCATCAGGTACCAGGTTTTACTACTTTATAATCCAGGTATCACTAAGTTATGAGATACAGTTTTTGTAAAAGAGAAATATGTTTCTCTGCTCTTTTTGCCCTTATCATCAATAGGATCACTCTTCTATGATTGGTGACCTTTTGGAAGCTGAAGAAAGACAGATGCCTTTTTTAATAAAATCTCTCTCAACTGAGTGAAAAATATATATCATGTCTGGGGACAATTTCTCAGTACCTTGAGGGTGCTGTAGTTTATCGTCATTTATTTTTATTGGTAACGAAAAAAGGATACCTTTTTCATCTTAAGATCATTTTCAAAACATTATTAACGCACATTTCTTCTAAGCCTAAATCTGAAGTTAAATTCTAAAGAGAGCATTTCAGTGTAACTTAAAGCTTATTGTGTATAAATTTCCTCCTTTGTTGCGAAAACGAAACCTTTCTTTCATATTTCCTTTGTTTTGCCTGTCAAATTATATTTGTACTGATGTAGTTCTTGATTAAAGTGTGGCGAAATGCGTAAAAAGTATTCGTTTAGGCCTTTTCTCAAACCCATAAGTTCATATTTTCTAACAACAAATGATATTGGAAACAATTACAAGGAGCAAAATATTAACGATAAAATGTTAGCGTATTAAACCCCCAAAACTATAATGCTCAGCATTTTATTACATGTTAATATTGCATTGGTTTTTAGAATATCTAGTTTTAGATTGACATTTTCAATGTGAAAGGCTATATCATTTACAAGCCGAAAACAACAATAATATTATACAGACAAGCATTGTTTTGTTGGTGGTTAAATAGCCAATCACGAGCCGCTAATCAATCAAGTGTTCAATATCCCATTGACACAACACAATCCTCTGTTTTATGTGTAATGAATTGACATAAATTAATTTGTCGAATTCCACCTGAAAAAAAACGGGATGCATTTAACGGTGCAACCGCTATCCAATAGGAACCCGGAAGATTCGCAAACGGATTATTTCAATCTTTTTCAATCTTGTTAAGTGACTTCTTACAGTCCGGTAAAACAGCAGTCCTCTAAGGTCTTTACCATCCGTTCAAAGTGCCGACCCTCTGAGCATAAGTGCACCTAACAAGTATTGGAGAATGTGTGGTGTGTTGGTTATGCCATGAAGGTTTCGTATTGAAAATGTGCTCAGAGGGGAATCACCCTACCAGGCATGTTGCTACAGTAGTTACTTTTTTTCTGTCACGATCAAAATCAAGTTAGAGCTAGTTAGGTACCATTTGGTAGGTAAGCCATTGGTTTTGGACAAGTTACTCTATTTCCTTCAATTTTGCTCAAGTGGTAACAGTACAACTTTTTTGTTTATTCCAGAGGGAGAAAAGATTACTTTTTGTTTATTAAGCTTTTTACTGCCTGCCGACAATTACTCACTGTCACCCAACCAATCATTGGGTGTTATCACAAGTGGATTAGTAAACGTCATGAGTGCTGCCAATAACACCTGCACACAAACTTGTCAAACCGGTTTGACCACTTTCCCGGATGTCACAGTGGTTACGTCACTTCTTTACAGTACAGCTTTTGTTGCCCAGGCAACGGGGAGATGTGAAAGCTTTTTCCAGATTATGATTGGTCCATTTAGCATTTGATTGACAGGTAGTCGTTTTCGACACAGCGGGTGTGGGAGACGATTTTTGTGCACACGTCCATCTATCAGAAGGTTGTGGCGTTTGATTTCATGTTCCCGCCCCTATCTCTTGGTTGAAATCCCAAATACTTTTTTGCTCACAAAGAGGAAATTAACGAAGAAGTTTGGATTGACCTCAAAGTACATACTCCCTGGAGAATTCACAGTTCACCTAGCAGAGTAGTTCGTCAGGACACGGGGTTACAGTCGACAACTTTTACACGACCACACTTCACACCGCCATTATTGTGTCGTGTTCGTTGTTGCAAACACCACATGGCCGCCGAATGAAAGAAAACTTCGGTTAATGTTGCTTCCTGAAAGTCGTCGATAACTAAGCATCGCCTGTCGTCAAGAAAGCGCTCATATCCGTTGAAAGAACCTAGAAAGATAAATTTAAAAAAGCCGTATCGTCGGCTAACTTTGTTGGAAGCAGACTAAATAACAACGTTTCACCATTCGCTGCACAAATTATATTCTGTAGCAGCCTCGTCCTCGAGCCGGTCACGTTTATCCTCTGAGCTGGAATTGAACCTTTGAATGTGAAGATTCATCTTTAAAGTATCTCGCAGAATACAAAGGTAGTTGTGGTCTAAGTTTATTTCTTGACAGTAGAGCCTAGCAGAGTTTGTTTCAACCAGCTTTCGAATCAATGGCAAGTTGCCTTCCGTTACTCGTGTCAGCCATGTTGTCATTGGCGCCAAAATATACTGCGCTGAAAAGGAATTCCGTCGGACAATGGTGTTCTCCTCGCGGTTATTGCATTTCTTGTCGCTATTTGGCGATATTTCGGTAAATAGATACTCTAGCCATCTACCAGGCTTTAAATACATGAATTGAAAGCTTGTCACGCGTAGAAAAGCCGCTGCTTCAACATTTTGCCGGCAAATTTATGGAAGATCATTGTCTTTGTTATGATTCAAAATTCTAAATAACGTTCTGTCGAATCCGAGAATGTTTATAACAGATTTTAATGCGAATTTTTTTTTACTTTACAGGAATGGAGTCGGAAGTTGTCACCAAAGGTTCGAAACGGCTAAAGTTATCGCCAAACAAAGCTGAACTCGACGAGGAGATAAAACAGGATGTTGGTGAAGAGATTAAGCTGGGTAAATCGTCTGGGGATACGACTTCAGACGAGCAAACCGCCGAAACGAAGAAAGAGGCCAAGTAAGTGGAGTTAGAATAAATTGAGATAGTATTTTGTCTTTGCCTTAATGTCACTGGGTTGAAAACGGTTCAAGAGAAATAATGTGAACCAACAAATTTAATTCTCTTTGTGACACGTGTTGTACAAGTTGGTTGGATTTATTTTTAACACGCAATGATCTTTTTGATCTTGTATTATTTTTATAGAAAGAACTTCTCATTTTGTGTATGTCATCTTTGAGTTGGATCTCGAAACTGTTTTCCTTATAGCATCGGCTTTTTTTGTTGGAACTGTTTTGTGATTTTTACACCTCTTTGAGGAGACAGAGCGTCGTTGACAGTCTCGAAATTTATTGATTACACTTGATCGATATGCTTCCGATATTTTTAGAAAACACCCACAATTCGAAATTGAAATAAGGGGAAAATCTTGAAGTACCTTTTGCGACAAGTTATTCTGGAAAACTAGATGTTTTACTGTATTAACGATAGAACTTATCTTGGTCCAAGGTTCTTTGTTAGTTCAAAAGGTTATGGCCTGAATTTTAAATCAATCACCATTTCTTCAAAAATATCATCCTTGCTGTTAAAGTAAGATGGAACTTAGAAATACTTGAAGAGAATGTGGGTAAATAATCTTTTAACCCGAGTCAATTACTTTAATTCTGCATGACAACTTGTGGAGATTACTAAAGCTTAATGTTTGTCTCGACTGCATTGTGCTTGAGACGAACCAAAATGTCAAACATGTAAATCAGATTATAACTGACTCATTGATCGTCTTCCCCTTAACAGTGGCATGCTACCAAAAAGCACTGGCAACTGGGTCAAATAATGACTAGCAACATTTAATCTTCATGCTCACTAAATTGACAACAATAATTTTAAGAAAATTCATCAGCAAGGAAAGTTTCTCTCTATCATTGATATTTATTCAAGAGAATAAATAGTGGAAGCACAGATTTTTAGTAAGTGAAACATAGGCCCGGTTGCCAGATGTCGTAAGTCTTTTGACTTGCATATTGAGTAAAAAGAGAAAGAAATGGCATATCAACTCGTAGGGAAGTGTGAGAAAAACTATCTGTAAGTACATAAATGGCACTGATCTTAATTGCCCATGAAAGTAACAGACAACTTATGGTAACTGGATTTGAGAGAAAATCAGTGATTGAGTGAAGCTGTACTAGAGTTGACAGTCTTGTGACTCATTTCTGTTTTTTCCTTACCTTTTACTTCAAAAGGATGAGAAACAGACAAAATTCAGAGTTTGTATAAAGCTGAGGTGACAAACAAGAAAACATCATTTTGTGATACAGTTGAAACTCCATTAAGCTGCCACCCTTTAACCAGTAATCAAGTTCTGAAATAATTATTGTGCCATCCCAACCAGAGTTCCCCTGTTATTGTCACCTCTATTAAGGGGTCACCCTTACATTAGCCTTATTCTAAAAATATGATGAAGGGAAATAGTCAGTCAGAGAATGTGACAACTGATTGTGGACCAGTAATACTGTTCCCATTGTTTATTTGTTTTCAAATAGAGTGATGTTTCTGGTAAAGATTAATGCTAATTTTTGAAACTTCTATTGAACAGCCAGCAGGGTTTTCACAAAGAATTAGTAGCTGGAGAAAGGGGTAACTTTAGTGGAGAATATTGTGAAAGAGGCTCTATGTCTGAATATAAAATAGTCATAGGCTATCACACGTTAGCCGGAGAATTCTGTGTAGTAAATGGATAGTTCTCCAATCTCCGTTGCCTAATGAACACTCTGAGCCAGTCAGCATTACCCGAGGGTGGCGGCCTAATGGAGGTTCAACTGTATCAAGAGAATGTGTCATTGTTTTATAGAAACTTGGTTCAGTTTCAGTATTTTGTGTTTTCCCCGAAGCAAGCAATTGTGCACCCTATACCAAGATTATCATTGATATTAACACAGCTCATCTTCAAAGCAAGTGTTAAACCTGAACTATTATACTTTTATCAAGCAGAAAACCCTCTTCCAATCAGTATGCATTTTCTTTTCTCTCCAGTGAATCTATTTAAATAGTCAATCAAGAACTTTATTCTGTTTTCCTTGGCTTGGGCCTCCAATAAAGTAAAGCTTAGTGGTGGTTATTATATGGCTGTCGGTTTTCGCCATGCAGTTGGTCAATTTTCGGTCCTTAACTTGTTTTATGGACCAAAATTTCAAAAGCAAATGCCCATTTTGCAGCTATAAATCTCTTTATTGTGAAAAAGGTTTAGAGAAAGTTATAAGAAGTCTGTCAACCTTGAGGACTTGATTGTTGACTTCTTAGTTCAACATTTTAACCTGTGCTATTTTGTGAACAAAGCAAATGAAGAAACTGAATCATAATCTTGTTGAAGAAGAGGATTCCATCAAGGTACTTGAAAATTTTATCTCAGTGCACAGTTAAGAAGACGAAAAACGACTGGCCGAGATTTGAGACATTTTGCCTAAGAGAAAGCAAATCCTTCAACAAATTATATGATAACAAACATACCTACACCTGGTTATCTTGACAAGTTGCCTTTTGCAGTGTGTTTTTTTTTTTCAAAGACCAGTGAAAGAAAGATGGAAGCAACTTTGATTCAGACAATTTCCAGTTTTCAAAAGACATCCAGTGTCACAAAGGCAAGAGAATAGTTACAGTGCTCTTAGTTTTTGACCGAATAAACTTTTTCAACATGATGCATTTGCATTTTGATGTTACTTTCAATGGAAAGCCGTTGTAATGTGCTATTGTCTCCATGAGCCAATAAAACTTCCATTTCTGACGCCTGTCAAATGACTGTCAAGTCATTTGTCCCGCACTTGTTTCTGTTCCCCATAAACAGGAAGCCATATAATAAACATCTTACTTACTAGACTCAATTTTTGGGGGGCCATGCTGTAAACTTTTTTTTGTTTTGTTGTTGTTTTATTTTTTCCATCGATTTATGGCCCAGACGCTTAACACTTGAGCCATACTAATTCAAGGTTAGGATAAAAGAAACAACCATTCCATAGTCAGCTTTGATGCTTGGCATGTGCCAGGCTCTCTTATAGAGTGCATAAAGTACCAAGAATTCATGAAGAATTTCTAGGAAGCCACGTCATGTAGCCCAATAAGGCCTACAGTGTATTATGTTTTATAAAATAACTAAGATAGTACGGGCATTCTGATTGGTTAAAAACCTATGGGTTATTGTGCCAGTAAACTCATTGAAAACTTCAAGTTATTTTATAAAAGCGATTGACCACACTTTCTATGGGTTTACTAGCGTGATAACCCACTTGGGATGTTGGGAGAACACTCGAAAAGCTTGTAAATCACTTGCCTTCGGCTCGTGATACAGAACACTTGCATTTGTCCAGATTATGAAATTTTTTAATCAGTTTCAAGGTTTGTTGTTGATTATGCCACTGGTGGGAAATTGAGACCAAAATTGTGTGAAATTACACCATTGAGTATCATCAGAAGCACTGACTTGTAAAGGGTTACTGGCAAGTACAAAAACATCTTGCGTGTACCGGGATAAACAGTCCAAAATTAATGCAGATGTATGAGTCCAGTTGACTCATTGACTTATGGCATCAAAAAGTGCACCTTGTATGAAGAAGGGTCCTGGAAAGTATCAGAAAAATCCTTTTCAGCCTGTAAAAGTGCCTGAACCCTAGAAATATTCAATTGGTGCAAATTTTGTGTGAATACATTGTAATCATTATGTTGTGTAACATTTTAATAGGCCAAAAGAGAGTGACTCAGTGGTTGTGATATCCTCGTCCTCTTCTGATGATGATTCCGACAAAGAGCAGAAAAAGGAAGGGGCTGATGCAGTTGTTAAAAAAGAGTCTGAGGAGATGGAGGTCTCCGGTACAGGAATTGAAAATTCTGATACAAAAAGTGATCTGCCATCAAAGGAGGAGTCCAATGAACAGGTCTGCTGTAAACAGAAGAGTACTTCTGTAAACTCACAAGTAGACAGCAAAGATTCAGACTCAGATGAGTGTATCTCGCAAGAAGACCTTCTGGCACAGTTGGGGTTAAGTTCAGTTAAAGAATTACAAAAGAAAGAATCAACAAGTAATAATGGTTCAACACTACAGTCTGCTAATGCAAATGGAGTTGATAAGAAACCTGTGATAACTCACAGACCAAAGGAGAGTATTGTTGACTTTTTAAAAGTCCCAAAATTGACCTCTCTTGATAGTAAAAGAAAATTAAATGGTGACGCAAAGGCTGAGATTGCTTTTGTTAATGGTGATAACAGTGATGGGTCAAGGCCAGAATCACCTCTGTCCGATGAAAATGATGATGACCTACAGGCTAAAGAAAAGCTGATTGCTCATCTTAGAAATGAACTGAGGCATGAGGAAGCTAAGCTGTTATTGTTAAAAAAGTTACATGCTGCTCAAAATGACATCAAAAGTAACTCCAAACTACAAAAAGAGAATGTTGTAGATAAAACTCCAACACCATCAGCTGCTTCGCTGACCAGTCATCCCATGAAGTCATCTATGCATTTGCCTCAAAAGAAAGGACAAAGTCTCCCTCCTCCCCCACCATTAAAGGCATCAACAGTGCTGGCATCCTCTACCTTTCATCCCCCAAGGGATGTACCAGGCCAACCAAGGCTGTTACCAAAGGGAGGTGGTGCTGCTTCTCAAACACCAGCATCAAACACAGCTTCAACCAAGTTTGTTGGTTCTGCAGCTCAGACTCTAAAGGAGTTTGCTGTACATCAACAGGCTATGCACCAACAGTCAGCTCAGCCTAAACCTGGCTCCTCTGCGATTGCTGATCTTCAAAATGTTGTTACATGTATGGCTAATTTAATTCAGCCAACACCATTGTACCCACCACACAGTGGAGGCCGTGGCAGCCCTGTCTACTCAATTTCAAATCAGCCTGCCCCAGTGCGGCCCACTCCTGTTAGAGCTAATAATGTTACCAGTCTGCCAGCCAGTAGCGGATATGTCTCGTTTCAGCACCACTTGCCGAGCAGCGCTCATCAAACTGCTGGTGGAAAGCAAGCTGCTGCCAAGATGGCATTACGCAAGCAGCTTGAGAGAACCCTGCTTCAGATTCCACCACCCAAACCACCACCTCCTGAGTGGTCATTCATCCCAAGTCTTGGTAGCCCCGACTTTATGGTGCTGGTTGGGCTTGAGGCTGTTGTGAGTGTCATGGCAGACAGAGATGCCAAAAAATTAAATGCTTCCCTGCAAGAACAGAAGATAAACCCCAAAGTTTGTTCACGCTGTGGTACTGACTTCTCACCATCGTGGACAAATAAGCAGGACAGTGGCCCTGGATTAGTTACTGTATGTGAAAAATGTAGCACTGTTCATGTGAAGAAGGAACTCAAAGCAGAACACACTGCTCGTTTAAAGGCAGCTTTCCTTAAAGCTCTTAAACAAGAACAAGAGATAGAACAAAAGATAAATGACAGCCCAGCAATTGCTCCAAAACCCCACCACCAAGGTCAAAAGACATCCTCTCAGCCAGCCCTAGCCCCAGCACCTCCACGTCATCACATCACACACCACCAACCCATGATTCATCACCACCACCAAGCTGTTCAGCCCCCTCTGTATCACCACCACCAACCTCATGCCAACTCACTGTTGTTTCAGCTTCAGCAGCAGCACCTTCAACAGCAGCATCAGGAGTTGGAGGCTGCTGCACGACAGCAGGCTGATGTAAGATGGCATCCTTACTTGAGCCAGCATCATCACTCCAGCTCCCGCAACCCTCAACATCATCATAGCTATGTATCAGACTCTGATAGACAATATTTGTTGGACATGATTCCCTCTTTGCCTACACCAACTCTTGGTTATGGCTCTAGTAGAATTTAATAATAAGTATGTTGTGGTGAAAGCATAATGATATTATGATAGTATGTTATTATTATTTAAGTACATGTAGCATGTTGTCTCTGCTAACAGTCTTTGGTTACGCCCTTACTCTTAGCTAATACTGAGTTCACATCAGCTCTACATGTTTTAGTGCTATAGCACATTCTTCATTAGCATATTTGCACTTTCTTTATTCTCATGACAATTGTTTTGAAAGTAACAGCTAAACATGCTACAGAAAAGACTGGTTTTCATATTCAGGTCCTTAAGAATAATGTGAGCTTATGTTAGAGGCATTCACTGATGTTGTTTTTAAAAACAGTGAAAGCAAACTGAGCATCCCAACTGGTGATTTGTAGTCTTGTGGTTAAATTTCATTGAAAAGACTGCCGAGAGTTTCTGGTCTTGGTGTGAACTCAGTATTGGTAGGTTTTGTAAGGGTGGCATCGTCTAGTCTTGTTGTAGAAACTTCATGTTGCAGACCCTTCTAGTAAAAGGCGTGGTTCAAACTCTGGGATTACAGTATTTCAATGCAGAAATACTGTAAAGTGCTGCTCATAAACTGTCTCCCCCTTCCCCCAGTGATGCCCCAACAACCCGTAAACCAAATGATGCATCCAAAAAGCCCACCTCAACGGGGCCTCCTCCTAGCTTTTCTTGTTCTGAGAGATAAGAATTTGGTTAATCGCAATGCTTTGAAGCTTCATTAAAAACTAGTAAATGCAAAGTGTATCTTGATCAGCACTCCTATAGCTTATTTCTAAGCTCTTTTCTATTTTGGTTATAAAACCCCCTAGGTCGATGTATAAGCCCACAGCTTTTAAGCAGCAGTTTACAGTATGGTGGTTTTCTCTAACAAGATCTACTTCTCTTTCTTATCAGATAGGAAGCTGCTTGAAAATAAATTATAACTCACCAATGAATCTTGTGGGGAGAACAGGTCTTGCACATTTTAGCTTGACATGTCAAGTACAGTAACTTCTCTATATGTCCTTTTTATGAGGTCCAGCAAATAGTGTTAAAATTTGTAATGGCACAAAAATAATAGGTTCTTTTTCACTGTCTGTCGTTTTGGTCCCATTGACTATTTTCCAATTGCCCATAATACACTCTGTTTGCCCCCCAAATTTTGCATAAGTTATTGTCTTAAAATGCTCTTGGGAAAATGCAATACTCCCAGGAGCATTTAAAAACATTGGTTTATGCAGAATTTAGGGGGCAAACAGAGTGTATTGTGGGCAATTGGAAAATAGAGAATAATTTATCTCTTGGTCCAACACTGTCTGTAATCAACTGACTCTAAATGGTTCAAAAGTTGGATAGAGCTATCCAGTGGATGTCCAGTTGATGAGTATTGTTTTGAGAGAAAATTCCACTATCCACTTGATAAAGATTTTTCCACTGTCTAGTGCTCTATCTACCTTTTCAGGGTGGTTGAGGATTGAGTTTGACAGGAAATATGTGGAGTGACCACACCTTAATTTACCGCTACCTTTTCACCGTGGTCCACAATCGACTATTGATGGGATAACTCCTGGATGACCATTTCAAGGCCAACCTTGCATTCTCCAGGGTTGGTTTTCTGAGATGTTTTTAGTTTACAGTTCATGTTGTTTATTGGTTGTTGGTCGATTCTTGGAAGGTTCTATTTTGATTGGGGTGTGGTCATAACAATGTAAACTGTTTTCCGACCCCTGGTGATGGATTTGTTTCCCTTATGTTTTCTGGTCTTCACTCTGCACTCATTTTACTTGGATGAGGCTGCAATAATCCTTCCTCCTTTAACTATAATAAGAAGCCCAACACACCTCTGTTGATGTGGGCTTTTGAATCTTTCTCTTCTAAATAGCTCTATGTTTTCCTGGGAACAAACTTGTTCGCAAAACCGTGTTGTTCCTAGGTAATTAATATGGTGCTTGAAGACTTTGGTAACCCTTGAATTTAATAGTTTTACGTATATAGATATTTTGTTCAAAGGTAACTAGAGAGAACAACAGAATTAGGATATATGACTCAGCAAAGTTTGGTCTTTGGTGGCATAGTCCAGGTGATATATTATGAGAGCTGGAGGACAAAGCATGAGATTTTTGAAAAAGCTTCATGCTTGTTTCGCTTGAAGTTTTAGGCTTCATAAATTGGCAATCGGTTAATAAGTTTGTGTGAAATCCTAAGACGTCATTGGCCATTTTAAAAAAGACAAAATTAAGTATTATATTTCTTTCAACTGTAAAAGGACACTTCAATGCATTATTTATTATAAGAAAATTGTTTCAGAGACACTTGTAGTATAATATTATTAAAGGATTAAACATTGAAGTTCTACCCAACTTCTTCCTTTTAAAATAAAGGGTTGGTCCATTTGAAAAGTGGTCAAATTTTGCTTCTTTGTAGGTTCATTATTTATCGTTTTAGAAGAAAAGGCGAGTCCAATCAAACCCATTATGAAACCGCAGCTTGTTACAACAGGTCTTAAAATGAATGTAATCCCAAGATGTAACACATCGAGGGGTGGGTGGTATGCTGATCCGTGCCGAATTTCATTGTAGGTTTTTTTGAGATTGGCTTAGTGTTGCCTGTAAACAGGTTTTCTATAGTTAACGCAAACAGAAGGTTTCACGCCACGCTGGGGGTAATCGGAGGAAACCAAATTACAGGTGATAAGGCAAAAACTCAGAAGTTTGCAACCGAATTAAATCATCACTGCCAGTTTCGAATCATTAAAATTCCCACTTAGCTTCGAGGCTGAAGGGTATAAAACAAAAGAAATCGCGTTGAGATTGAGGGATGAATGATTCATTTATTTTGCTTTCTTCCCCTCAGCCTAGGAGCCAGTTGAGTTATGAATTTGTAATATTTCGACACTGGCCTATTGTTGGTGGAAGAAATTGTCATCACGATTAGGCAGGCATTTAAGCAAGTTAATAATTAAAAAGCCCTAAACTCTTCCAAGCTTCTTCGGAGTGGAATGTGGGGCAGTGGGATTAGTGTCAAACTTTGTCCTTCCAGCGTGGTCCGTATTAAGGAATTACGCTCCAGTTTCCGGTCGTTCCGATACAAAATTGTTTCGATACAAGGTGATTCAGTCTAGGTGTTTTTCACGTTCTTGGCTGAAAGGACAAGGAATGTTTTTCTTGCTCACGTGTAAACTATACTTGAAGTGATCGAAAATGTTGTGCAGTTTCAATGGGTGAGTTCGTATAGAAACGACCGGTTTCCAAAGCTCCTCATTCAACCAAAGCTTGTTTTCGCCCTTCCAGGATTCGATTCATAGCCACCAGGTCTTTTGCCAAGGCGACGCAATCACTTTTCAGCCCTTCTAGCTGACCCTTCATTTGAGTGGACAAAGTGTGCGAAAGTTGCCTGACGCTTTCTGCTTCATGTGCAATCGACCTGAGTTTCTTTTTGGATGACTGAAAACTTCGTTGCTCTCGAACAGTGTTGGTGCACACTAGACTGTCCAGGTCCTCTTGAGTCCATTTAGCAGTGCGCACAAGACTTGACGCTATATCATCCTTGAGCTCTAACAATTCTTCGACTGCACGACGCGCTTTCCTGCCATCAAACTGCAATAGTTCCTCAATAGCGTCCCCAAGGGCGTCGTAAAAAATTATTAGCTGCTTCCTCCACTGGAAAAAAATGTGGAGGCTTTCCCCTTTTGGACGTTCGTCACGCTCCTTGCTCGTCCACGAACTGTTAGAGTCATCACGATCATCGCGTTTATGAACTCTTGGCAGTTCCCTCTGTTCCTCGATCTTCTTTAGTCTGAGTGCAAGCCTGTCAAGCTGTTGACGATCATTTGGCCTCCTTCTCGAAGCGGAACACCGCAGTAAATCGCTGGTTTCTTCGAGTCTTCTATTCAGGTTTTCAATCTGAGAATGAACCTGGGATTGAATTGAATCTTGAGAGGGTACGCAGTAGTCGCGAGCGTATGCCATTGTTGAAGCTGGCGACTGAGGCGCGATTACGGTATTGGTGTTATTTAATACCCTATGCTATCTGTATTCGAAATCCAGTAAAAAGCAGGAAAATAATTAGGCCTTATTTATTTTTAATTGAGACGCAGCTGAGAGCCTTTCATGTTATGGTATGTTTTGGAAAATGTTGATAAACTTGTAAGTGTTGTCACGGCAACTGGCGTAAATTGAAGCTTTATTATCTTTACTATAGGCTAAATTAAGATAATAGCTAACAAAAAAACGCTCTCTGTTGGAATACTGTAACTGAAACAAAAACCTGCTGGACTGTTAATACCCTCTCTTGGTGTTGTATTGGGCTCTTGCATTACACAGCCTGGCTGTATTATAAACTTATGCAGGGACGTAGCGTGAGATTTTGAAGGTGTACGCATGCACTGATCATGCTGAAAGAATAGTTGTAGCGCGGAAGGCGGCCCAGCCTAGAGGGGTCCGCAGGACATTTTTAGTAAATCAATACGCAGGAAAATGCAGTCTTTAGTTAGGTACAGTGCCTGACGTCATCAGAATTATGGAATATTAAAAGCGATGCTACCACAAATACACCAATATAATGAAAAAATGTATCGGTCATCCCGATTTGATGATGAAAAAAGGCTTTTTCAGGAAATAAAACGTACATAATTTTTCCATATTTCAGCCGTACGTTTACGCACGGGTGTATGTGCATGCGTAAAGGGACGCTACGCTTTGTTCTCTAGCGCAGTGATCGAAAACGTACAACTTTTCCTATGAATATCAAGTGTCTGCTTTCAGCGACAGCCTGTAGAACGAATGCACAACCCATTACATGTAATAGCAAGTAATAACAGGCTGAAGGTACCGATGGCTTATCCAGATGGGATTTACCGGTTCCTTTGACGCAGCATGATTCGAGTGATATATTTAGCCTGATATAAACACGAGAGGGGTTGGGAGAATTCGAGACAGTTATGCAAACCCGAGACGAAGTCGAGGGTTTGCAAACACAGGTAAAAAGTTTTCTATTGCTTTTATAAAATAACTTTCCCAAGAAAAAAACGCAAAACTCTTTGTATGGCGCTGATTAAAAGAGAAATTCTTACCAGTCGCAAAATCTTGTCCACGAAGTCTTGCACGCGTAATCAGTTCTTGTTTTGTAAAAAGATGCTTTGCAAAATACGGATTTTTCTCGCTTAAAACGGTCAGCTTAAGCGAAAAAAAATGTACACACCTTCTTTTTAACGACTTTCCAAGTTTCAGCCGACAAAGGAATGGGTAAATAAAGTAAACTTTTTGAGTTTTGAACTCGAAAACTTTTTCAAATTTGTGCTTGCGTGATTAGCGCGCGAAAAACCAAACAACTTGACGCCACAACCATGTTTACATACTCTCATGCAAACACTCCTCTCGGCCAATCAGAGCGCGCGTACTATCTTAGTTATTTTATAAATTGGATCATAAAGCCTGAACCGGATCATGTAAAGGAACGCATCCGTAGTTTAGGTAGGAGGTGTACTTACGGAAAACTCAGGTGAGTGTGTGCTGCATGCTCCTTGAAATTTCAGACCAACATGTGTGATAGTTTGTCCACCGTATTTCGTTCACGACTGTTCTAAGAAAAGAATAATGAGAGACAGACCCAGTTTACAGACCCTGTTGGGATCCAAAGAGCACAAAACCTCGCTTCCCACTCAACATATATACCTACTTCATACCAAAATTCTCTTTGGGCCGTATAAACCTACGGCTTATATTAGAGGGTACCCACCCCCGGATTTGTGAAAAACTACTAACAGATGAACATGATGCAGGCTCAGTACTGTAAGTTTACATACACATGTTGTTATTTTGTCAACAGGGTCTGAGTAGTATTTGAACATACCCGTCCTTTTTCAGACACAGCAAGGCAGTGTGCAAAATAAGTTCAGTTGGATGACTTTGAAATGTGAGCCATGCATGCTGATGCAAAAAGCCTCGTGTTGTTCTTTCACTCATCTCCGGACGAGTTGAAATAATAGGTGGACGTTTGGGAGAAAGAGGAGTACTGAGCGTGGGGAGTTTTTTGTTGACTATAAACAGCGACATTAAGTTCAAAATTATGCGTTGTTTATAGACGTCTGTAGGCTTCCCCGCTTTCACACGAGAAAAATTTGCAAAAGTTAGCTACCAAGTACCTCCAAGCTGAGGTTATTGCTTTCCGTACTCAAAGTCTGTATTAACAACGCAGGGATGATTACTAAGTTTTTAGAAAGTTTAGTAAAACAAATTTTAAGTGCTAGAACTGAAGCCAATGATCGTACTGCCAGATGTCAATCAATGTCATCATTTTTAGCGCGGAAAGAAGGTAATAATTTTGAGAAAAATAAGAAAAAAGTTAAGAAATTCCCCCAAAGAATGCCTTGTAGTGTTCAAGGGCGGTTCGTTTGGTGCATGATGTTTAATACATACAAGTACTCATCTATGTTTAAAGGGAAAAAGAGAGAACCGGCTTTTGACCACATTAAGCTTCGCCCAAGAAATTAAGTTTTGTTTGTCTAATAGGCAACATCTCTTTCAAGTGTTTTGAAAATACACCACAGAAGAAACTAATCAATGGTATTCACTCCTTAAATCTAAATGACATCCGATGATTGATTGATTGATTGATTGACATTCCTTGCTCTTGAACAGTTGAAAGATATCTGCTTTAGCTAACTTACACACATCAGTATATGGGTTAAAGCTCGTGAAGATCAGTTTCAGTCAAACATCCCTGCAATCTGCACTCAAAAACACACTACAGAATAGGCTACTTCCGAGTTCCAAAAACCCTCACTTTCAAAATGAGGCTAGGTGCACGACCTTTCTTGTGAAAATGAGTTTTATTTGCATGAGAATGAAAAATCATTTCCATATCAAAGGCTGAGCACCTACCCTCGTTTTGATACAGAGGCCTGGGGGAACTCGGAAATGGCCTATTGCCCGGCTGGACAAGCGACCATTAGACCGCGCAGGATTAGCTCAGTCGGTAGAGCGCCTGACTACAGAACGGGAGGTAGCCAGTTCGATTCCTGGGGCCGGAGCAATGCTCAGGGTCTTTAAATAACTGAGAAATGAAGGCAATGCCTTCGCGCATACCCTGCAAATCGCATGGCTCGGACGACCACGTTAAATGGCGGTCCCGTCTCCAGTAGGAGACGTATAAATAGTGTCCCCAATTAGTACTTTGGTGCTAAATACATTGACACTCAAATAAAGTGCTTTTTTTTAGGCAGTTCTTTGCCTGCGTAGCGCATGTACTGAACTTTGTCGCGCTCGATAGGCATTACAAAACAGGGAACCTCAAAAGAGGCACTGAGAAAATCGCTCCCTGCTCTCAGGAGCTACGTATTCTAGTTACTAGTTCCATCCCTTCCAAGCGTACGTGTTCACAACGCCCTGTTCTCGCATAGATCCAGTCCGATCACTATCCGTGACTTTTTTCTCCGCATTCCTTGTTAGCCTGTCCACCATCTTTTCAATCTCCTCACTTCCCATATCTGTGACTTCCACTTTGGATCGTCTGTTTGGTTCTGGCTGTTTTCGTTCAGTCCGATTCACCCAGTCAGGTTCATACAGTCTGTTAACCATTCGATGGACCTCATCTCCTGTCATTTTCTGGTACCCCATTAGACAACTCGGATTCCTTTCTTTCGGATGAGTAATAGTTCCCCATGGTTTTTTAGCCATTTTGTTTCACAGTTTTTCCCGTTAATTTAAAAGTCTTGCTCGTTCGAAACCAAAGCACAAGAAAACAGCAGTGTTTACTAATGAATTGTGTTAAATCCGCATGCGATTTACTTTAATTTCCATAACAAAGCACTCCAGACAGGCAAAACTATTTGTCTATTCTTCTTGACAGTGTTTGACTTTGACCGAGTAATTAAAATTTCAGTTCTCCGCAAATGAATCCAGCCAACACGGAATTTTTTCGCCCAATCAATACCATTAGCGGCTGCAGCTGTTCTGTAATTGAAAGCGATCGACTTTTTAAGTTTCCACTCTAAAATTAAGTTAACGATATATGACATAACAGTGCCAGCGCACTACAAATATAAACTCTTTTTTCGACAACAGCCCTTATTATAAATTGTTCTTGATGCCTGGGTATGATTTATTAAAATGCTTGAAAATCCACATCTTAAGTCATACTCAGTTTTTTCTAGTCATAGTACCTTCCCGTCTTTGTATACAAATTTAAATGTAGTTTATCATCAAGCCTTCCATTAAGAGGGTGGGAAAAGGAGAGGAGATTAAAATTTGCGACAAACACGTAGATAACCAACAACAGAGTAAAACCCTTGTTAAAATCACAGAGGCCGCATGAATGAGCTGTTTTAAATTAAGAAAACGAAAGCAGAGCTATCTCTCATCCAGAGCTCAGTCTAATCAGTATGCAAAGCATTTTATTAGCTTTATTCGCGTCGGGAAACAATAGGAAACTAGTGATCATAACCGCTGTCAAGTTCATTTGTCCATTCGTTTACTTGGAAAATTAATGTTGAACTAATGTCTTGCAAGTGCTCATCTATCCCGCGTAGCAATCGTTTCCTTGTGGTTTCGGAGCAAAGAAAGAGCGAGGAACAACGAAGAACGGGATTTTCGGTTTTAAAGGAGCGAAAAATGTTCTTTGCTGAGAAATCGCACAGAAACGCTTAACTCAAATGATGACTGTTTATAAGCTAAAACACTGCGTTTACATTAATGCGTGACAGACAGTAAAAAACACTTGAGATGTCTGAATTATATTAAAGTGACATAGGTCACGGGCTTTCTTCTCCGCAAAGTATAGCTTGGTGATTGCAACCATTCCAGGCGTAGGAATTAAGAACAACTCCCCATTCCCTCTTGTATTGATGAATTCTCCGCCTGTCCGGTGTCTTGTCCAAATTTGCTTCTTTATTTGCAAGCCGGGCAACCATTGCGTCGATTTCGTCCCTTGACAACGCTCGCTTTTCGATCGCTGGACGCGGACGCTTCTTCTGTTGTGCTGGAGTTGTTTTTGGTCTGGTTAAACGTTCGACCACGTTTTCGATTTCCTCGCTGTCTAATTTTTGATATCCCAGTGCAAAAGGAGGTTTGGTTATAGTTCCCCACGGCTGAGAAGTCATAGTGTCTTTGGCATGAACTGAACAATACTCCCACTGTAGCTACTGTATATAAGTGGCAAGACTGTACGACCGCACAACAGTCTTTAAGCTGATACGTGGACCAGGTTTTCAGGATGCTCTGTACGGTTCTATACGTCTCCTTGACAAATTTGTAAGGACCGAAGCTCAAAAGCAAGTTTCGTCCAGTGAGAACTGTTGTGCCAAGGTCCCTCTCGGCCGCTATACGGCACAGGCAACTCGTGCATGCGCAGTGCGAGCTCAAATGTGCGTTCGTAACTGCAAGGACAGTGGAGATTGTGGAAGGGACCAGGACATATCATCATCATCAGCAGCAGCAGCAGCATCTTTGTCAACTTTGCTTTTGCTTTTTGTCAAATTAGAGCAAGTTCAAGTCTTACAATTGAGCAGGGTAAATGAGACAACTACACCTATGTAGAATGAAAGCTTGGTTTTACTTGTGCGCCACTTATAGATGCACAAACATTTTATACTTGACCAGAATCTCTGTGAGTGTTAGACAGGTTTTTAAAATCAAATACATCTCAGGTCAGCTTCAAACTCTCTGAGGAAAAGGTCCTCTCTTGGTTTCCCTCATCACTAAGACCTCAACTCATGATCAATTGAGGGTAAGTTGCTGAAAGGGGCCTTTGTCTCAATAATGCAGTCTAAATAGACATATGTTCTTTTGTTTTTATTTGTCACCTTCCTGAGATATGAATTACAAGCCGAATTGTTCACCAGTATGATGCGCTTGTAGTCACCTATCTGAAATAACTGAGTTGCAGTTCTCCGTTTTATTTTTTTTAGCTTTGAGGGATTATGTTATCAGGTTGAGTGCTAAGTAGACAGATTCTTCCATCTCATTTTCATTTTAATTGAACTGAACAATTAAATTAAAGCCAATCTAAGAATAATAACTTGAGTCTGTCAGGCGCCTATGCAAAAACAGAAACCACGTCGCAGATAATGGCACAAACAAACAAAGTTTTGTCTCATTATAGGCATGGATTTATGGTTTATTAAACGACGTCATGAACAAGCTGAGTAAATTTCGAGAAATTGTTTTAAGCATTTTGTATCCTCAAAAGTGCCTCTAATTAACAGTAGAGTAACTCTTTGGAAAGTAACGCAATGTACGAATTCATCGACCTTAGTACCAAAAGAATCATCGACAGGCTCAGAAACGAACATTAAATAGACTTCACAGTTCAAACCCGTATTTGAAAATACCCCCGGGAACACGCCAGCGTACAACGAAACAATTCAGTGGCTATACTACACTACTACGAAAATTAACACATTCGTTTTTTAATTGCTAAAGGCAACCTCGCGCAGTTTTTGAACAGTTTAAGCATGCACCGTCGCGTTCAATGTCGACGTTCTTCCTTGCATGCTCTGTTCAGAGGAAAGGTTTTATAGCTTTACCAAAGGCTATTCATCCCCCGATCACAGTGCCATTTCAAGTGTTGTAATCAGTGCAATGGAGCTTCAAACTGACTGGTAATTTACACAATTAACGCCGGTTTATGATTGAAATGCCTTATGACGACCTAAACTGCTGCCTGCAGAGTGAAGTCGTGACCATGCCGCTTGTTCTCTAGCCACTGTGCAGTCATGGCTGGGTATCAGTCTGCATCTTTGATTTTTTCTGAATTATCGTAGAAGAAGGCTATCACAATAAGGCCAGGCATACTCTCTTGCAATGGTTAGGCCTTTAGTTCAAACATCTGATCAAGAAATCTTTGTGAATTTGAGAATTTCTTGAAACACTTGCAAGGCAATCGAAGGTATACTAATACCAATTTCCATCTGGTCTGGTAACTCGACTTCTTAGCAATTTTCCGTTGATCCATGCGTAAGTATTCACAACACCCATTTCTCGTCCTGCTCCAGTTCGCTGTCTTTCCGGTGTTTTCTCCTTATTTTTGGAGGCATCCGCTAACCTTTCCAACATTTCATCAATCTCCTCTCGACTTAATTTTTTCTCGTTATGTTTCGTAACATTTCCGTGGTCATCTAACGCTTTAGTTGTATTTAATCTTGCAACCATAGCGTCAACCTGTTCTTTGGGCAAAGTTCGGCTCCGTTGTTTAAATTCTGGATACTTTATATAAGTGGTCTTGATCCACGACATTGCGTTTGACAAGTCCTGATCGGTCACTAAATTTTCAAGAACAGAAATTTCGTGATGCAGCTTCTTGTTGAAGTTATTGTTTGTTTGAAGGCTATAGTTGAAATCTCTTGTGCAAACAGATGGCTTTCAATTTCTATACAATACATTTATTGTTAACCACAAAACACCAGAGCCGATTCTGAAGAAGACAATGCAAAGCTGTTCACAGCGTTAAGCCGTATTCAGCCAGGTGTTTTGTTTGCGTATTGATTTATCCGTTGGCACTGATAATAAGTCATAAGACAATTGACGTTATTGGGATAAGTTGAAATATTATTAAAAGAAAAGAAAATTCCGTTCAAAGGGATCAGGATAAACAGAAAGTATGCAATTGCAGTGATGTTTTGGACAACTGTTTCACGCGGTATTTTGCTAATTTTTATCTTGAATTGCAATATTGTGGTATTTCAAAACGAGCTGGCGCAGTTAAACCAAGCGTAATATGAGTTTGTAAGTAAAATAAAACTGAGAACAAATATTTAGGCTTACTTAAGAAATTGCAAATAAGATCACCGTAGTGTTGTTGTCTGTCTGAGTCGCCCTGAAGATTCACGGAGACTGGACAGCAGAAAACAATTTAGTTGACTTATTTCAGTGATGGTAATATAAGGAATGAGTGGAGTCTCATTCGGTCTGTAATCATACGAATGATTAACAAAATCGGACGACCGCGTAGCGGGAGTCCGATTTATTTAATCATGAGCCATGATTACAGACCGAATTGGACGACGCAAAGTTTTGTTACCAGTTAATCATAACTATTACAAAATTTGTGATATTTTAGCCTTTTTTTAAACTTAAGACACAAGAAATTCTGAGAGCTTTTTGCTAGTACTGAAAAAAGAGCCATTTAATTAGTGCGCTTGCGAAAACATGCGCTGTCCAATTACTTAGTAGGCATGAAATCAGGACAGTTGATAGCCAATCAGATTTGAGAATTTTGTTATAGTCCGGTTAAGATTACGGTTTTATTTATTTGTTCTATGTTTTATTTCCCATTATTAGTACAAACTTATATTACTTTTGGCTTGCATCTAGTAAGGGTTTTGTTAGCTTTGAGTTTGGGTCCGGTTTAACACGTTCATAACTTGGCGTGCCTTTGCCGATATTCTTTTGGGTACGGCGTGATACAGGTTTCAAGACCAACCCTCTATCCGCTCCCGCGCCATCCCTGAAAAGAAGATTTATCATGAAATTTTAAGTGGACTGTATTTGGAACGAAACTCTCGGTGCCTTGGAAGTATCATTTACTGAAAAGCAAAGTCTGTATGCTGGCTAGGAAGAAAAAACTTCGGCCCTACAAAGCGTATTCCTCTTTCAGTTTCTTAGGTTCTGACGTAACAGAAGAAAAACAATTTCAGAACATCTCTGAATTGAATGCTGACAATATAACAAAAATCTATAAAAACGCTCTTGATTTTTCTGATAAACCAGATCAGTTGGTTTAACGCATTTTTATTCTTTTTTTTCCAAAGTCTTTTACAATACAAATACTTTTAAATCTATATAATGTATAATGTTAAATTAAGATACAGTAATTTGTAATCTGTTTAAATTGTACGTAATAATATATACTGTACGTCTCAGTAAAAATGTTATTGCCTATCTATGTCATTTAAGCCTATTCTCCACTTCCGAATCCCCGCCATAGAACGCTATGTTTTCGCCCCAAAAGTTGCATAAACTGTTGATACGTTTTCAAATACTCCTGCAGGGATGACTGGTCATTCCCATGCGCATTTGGAAACAACAAACACTCAATGACTGGTTCCGACGGAAACAGTTCAGCTTTTGTTTCCCGAGAATCTCAAAGCTTCTAGGGGCGGAGCCGAGCGAAAGGGAGCTTTAGTTATTACGACAGCGACGGCAACGAGGACCGGTCAAAAAAGCAATAGGTTTTCAATCAAAACAACAACTTTGCACCTGCATCACGCTTTTTTGTACTTTTCTTTGGTGTTACAGCCGGACTACGACATGAAAACTTGACTAATCAGCACTTTTTATGGAGGACATAAACAAGCGACGACGAATTTTTCTTTCTCTATCTAATCTTAAGTGCGGTCCTCAAGAAATCAACTGCACAGAAATTCGACTACATTTGACATTTTTAGCAAATTGGAAAAAACGCGACAAAGTTTGCAGAAACGCGAATTCATTTTAAACGTTACGTTTTCGGTGGAGTCGCCGTCGTCTTTGCTAAAGCTCCTTATTGATTTGGACGGCGGTTGTCGGTCAACACGCACTGTTACCTTCTGACATCATAGATTTTGCAATACTACCCGCAGAGAGATTTTGACGGGAAACAGTTTCAACGTTAGATGTCATGTGACCTCGATGTCACTAATGAGGGCGCGCGCGGTTGGGAAAAAAATTCCAGCCATATACCAATAACTTTTACAAAACAGAGGGTACATATGGTGGATTCGAAAATAGTCAATACAGTAAGGGCCACAAGATGATAATGCTTGCATGCAACGTCACTTGCGACCCTGAGTGAATATAGGCTAGGTCTGATTTCTTTCTATTATCCTTACTTGATTATGTATTAATTCAAGTTCATTAACAACTAAAAATCTTCAGAAGTACTTGTTTTTGTACTACTAATATTTAGTTGTCAGGTTTATAATTATATTGTACTTAAATCTTTTTGAATGCTGAATAGGAGGACGTGAAATAAAGGGGAAAAGAGGGAGGGAGGGCACCCAGGGAAGATCAGGCCTCATTTGCCATTCAAAAGAATTAACAAGAACATAACTTACAAACCGTAGAAAAACAAGTAATCTTAATTGTCATTTCATAATGGTTTCTATCGGAGGAAAAACCAGAAAACAAATATGTTACACGAACTATAACTTGATAACAAGAGGAACAGAGTAAAATGATAAAACAAAATACTAGCAGTGATCATTAGTTAAGATTTCAAGCGTTTGAAGCGATTGTACACATGAAACTTTAACGCAAACTGCTTGTTATTATCTTCAGTTTTCAATGTCAAAAACAAAACAAAACAAAACAGAAAATAACACGAACAACATGGAATGCGAGAAAATTGTTGTTAATTAGCTTTTACAGCGGTCCTTTGTGATCAAGTGATTTGACATTTCGCTTAGATTCTGAATCAACTATAACTTTACTGCTAGCATCTAATTAAACTCGTTACCGATCGTTTTACAAGCAGTGAAGTATAATATCTGACAATACCTGTCCCACAATATTAAAGAGCTTTGCCCAAAGAATTCTTTACCGCGTAGCGTAATGTGTGTCTGAGTAAACTGTTTTGCATTACAAAAGAGCAAAACCCTCAATAAGTTATCATCTGAAGACAGGTCGACGGGTGATTCGTGAGCTCAGAAATGATAAAATAATATAGCGAAAGCCATTATGGCGAAAATAACAGCACGCTGAGATGCAAGTGTCAAAGGGGCGCTGTTAACCCATTCAGTATCGTCTGTCAATAAGAAAAAAGAACTAGTGTTTTAGTAACATACACAAGGGCAAAAATAAAATCAGTGTTAACAGTAAGTTGTTTAAGTTCACAGAGAAACTAAAACCAAGTGAAAACGTAAGATATAACTAAACTTTTTTAGTTTATCTTCATTTTTCTTTTAGCTCCTGAAGAAGGTTTGTCTTTCAAACCGAAATATTGGGCAAATTTGTTTAAAGATACATTTTTTGTTTTGTTCTTTTGTTTACTTCTTCATTGCCTCGCCGTAAGAATCTGTTTGCCGTTTTATATTTCTACAAGTTATTATTGTACTGATCCAGGTCTACAACTGGGAGATCGGGCACCACGCAACTGCTTGCAATTGCCGCTGTGGACTTGCTGATATTTTATAGTTTTGCTTCAGCCCGTCAATAAGTCGTTTGTACGGTGAAACTAACTATTGAGTACGATGCGGTGGCGTTTGTTACAGTTCAGCCGTAAACCAACTTTTTAAAGTGATTCGTTGATAGTAGTCTGTAAAATACTTATGCATTTCGCTCAGAGTCCTAGTCGATTTGATGTTTCGTCTGTAAATGGTGTTCAGCAATGTGATTGTTGACATCACCATTTCTTGTTGCTCGTTTGTATTCAATCAGTCGCGTGATAAGCTTACTTCCTTGTATACTGCTCCCTGTCTGTTCTCCGGTCTGTCTTTGACCTTGGCATTTGTATTATTAAGCAGTCGTCGTAAAGTGGTTTACGGTAGTTTGTGCAATGTGTATTCTTAAGGTTGTAGTATACGCACGATAGTTTTGTTAAGATATTTTTATATCTAAGATATAGGCGACAAGGAAAATTTGGGTACAAGCAAGAGGGGATGAAGGGGACAGAGAAGGCATCCCCCATACACACCCTATTCCATAGGTAATTCGTCTCGAGTTATTTTTAGAATCCGGATAAAGTTAACTCGCGCGCTGCGTGGAGGTTTCGTGGAGGTTTCGCATGACTAAACGCCGTGCAAAACATGTCAGGCGAAAGGCAATGAAAGCGTAAAGAGATCGAGAGCACTCCTGAATACTGACGCGAAATGACTCGGCGCTCACCTGGGAAAGGGAAATCGCTAGACTCTTTGACAACCCGTGAAAGCAGTTTAACTCGAAGTTGTCGTAACCTCAGTGCTTTAATAAAATGAGAAATTTCGCCGGTCTATTGAAACCGGTCGTTTGTACAATAAAGCAAGTAGGACGCGAAGTGTTATTTTTGTTGAATAATGAAAGACTAATAAAAGAATAAATATTAAACCAGAAATTTCTCTTTTCAAACTGTAAATTATAAATGATCCTGACAGAATATTCAGCGTGTTAAGGATTTCTCTGCTGTACTGTTAGCTCTATACAAGAGAGGAAGGGCGATTCTTTTTTAATTTTCGTTTCGCTGACACAGCTTTAGCAAAAATCTCTCTGTAGTCGTTTTCGTCGACAAAACGAATAGCACTATTGCTCTCTGCGTCTTCCACCATTTTGTTCTGCGTCAATTCGTGAAGGACGCGTGGCTCTGAGCGTGGGTCATCCACGCGGAACACATTCGCGCTATGTGAGTGGCTGTTGTCTTATCCCCCTTGGGATCTGTGGTCTTAAAAATAACTCGAGACGAATTACCTATGGAATAAGGTGTGTATAGGGGATGCTTTCTCTGTCCCCTTTATCCTCTCTTGGTACAAGATATTACTCTGAAACAATTTCTGACATCATTTTTTGAGTAAACCTTACCTGTGACAGCGAGGGTAAACTTCTGGCACTTTTCAATGTCTGCAGAGCATCCGGAGGAGAGACAGCAGTAGTAGTTCCCAGTGTCTTCGCGGCTAACGTTAGTGATGGTCAAAACGTAAGGACTGTAAACTCCCCTCCTTGCAACCTTGTAGCGTTCATCTTTTGATGAATCTGTAAAAACAAACAAACGAACAAGCAAGAAAAAATTACACTGCTTTATACGGTAAAAACTTTTAACTTTGGGTATGTAGCTTATTGAACCATTCGATTTGTAATATCGACAGCACTGACAATAGGACAATTGCACGATGACGATATTTGACTACAACTACCAGAATTAGTTATCGTACATGTTCACGTACGCTACGCTATACTGATCAAAAACTTCTGGCAGTTCCGAAGTCAAGACTTAAAATATACGGAGACAGGGCCTTTTCCGTTGCTGCACCTAAACTCTGGAATGAGCTGCCATTAGTTCTTATAAGTTTAGTTACAATTAATTTATTCAAGAAACACTTAAAGACCGATCTTTTTAAAAAAGCATATAATGTTTGACTTTTTGATAATTTAGAATTGGATTTATTGTGATATTTTTATAAATAAGACTGCTAATAGGTTTTTAATTTATTCATATGTTATTACCAGTGGGATCTTTTTAATTATTTTAATATTATGAATTGTAAAGCACTTTGGTCAAGTAGTGGAGTTAGCGCTATATAAATTATGTTATGTTTATGTTTTAATTCATTTCGGTTTTGCTTTGTTATTTAAATTTCTCAATCCCGCTGAGGATTAAAGAACAATAGCCTTAATTTGCACAAGAAAACAACAAACTCAAGGATTCTGGCAGTTGTAGCAAAATGACGTCATCGTGCAGTTGTCCTATTGTATACTACTTATTAAGAGCGAGGTCATTATAGGGAAATCTCTGACTGAGGCCTTGGTGCAAGGCCGAGGTCTGAGATTTCCATGTACTGAACCGAACGGACGAGGTTAATAAGTTATTTATTATATGGCCTTTCATTATAGACCTGAGGCTACGATCAATAAAAACCAACAACTGGTCAGCGGATAACTTTAAAAAGCACGTCAACTCATGCGTTAAACACCTGAGTCAGCGATACAGTCAGGTTAAACCGGTCAGCGGACACCCTTTTTGACAGCTGTCAATTGATCATAACATGGATGTCCATAAGGATGTCAAATGTCAAGTTAAACACAGATTTTATATGCCTTGGACACCTAGCTAGTAATGCCCAGCCATTACAAGAAAATAATTCCTGGTCATTTCAGGAAAACAGCCAATCACAGCGCGCGTACTTTTGTGGCCATATAATAAAATCTCATCATTGTGAACAGTACCAAACCGCGGATCAAATTTGGGAATCATGGGTTACTAACGTGCTTAAATCGTTATACTTCAGCTTCTTTATTGGAAGATTGCGACCACGAAAACAATCACTTAACTTTTCAAACTAAAAATGATAACATTTTATCTGATCGGATGTGACGAAGTCATATCGACCTTACCAATACAAGGTAGAACAGTTTCGTTGTTGCTAAACATAGCTTTCCACTCCACCATCAATGGAAAGCCTTGGGCACTGCACTTCATTGTCACATTATCCCCTTTTTCCTTGGTAAGGGATTCTCCTTCTTTCTTTTCAAACCATGGTGCAACTGAAAAATAAGGATGCAACAAATCAGTCAATTTACTGGTTTTTCTTTGCTTTTTCTTACGACTGCGACGAGCATATCGATCATATTTTCATGTAAATTTGTGTTTCGGCTGATCATGTCATCACCATCATTCCATATTTCATTCCATTCATGGATAAAGATGAACTCAACAAATTGGCCTGCTCCCAATCTATGGGTGTTCATAGCTCAGTTGGTAGACCACTGCAGTGCTAACGACAACTGCAATAATCATACCATCTTTACTGATTTCAGTCTTGTAATAATCTACCGTTAAATGACTGCTACCGCTAGACTGTTTCAACTGTATATTACGTCAGGATTTATAGTTTGTTTAAGACAAAAAACGCAGAACTCAAATTTTTCCTTTCAGTTTGAATGGAATAATTTTATCTTTCGTTTCATTTTTTTTAAAATTTAGCTCTAGTTTTTTTGCCACTCCATTAAAGTAGAATTGATGAATTGATCATTAAAGCTATAAGCTTAAATCGGGAGTAATAAAAGCCGAACAAAACTGTTAGGATGTGTACATTTTCCTGTACGCTAGATGGTATCCCGGATTGTATGCTACGTTCCTCGCTGGTGGCAATACATTGTACTCACTATCTGCCTTCTCATTGGCCAAGAGACCACAGCTAGTTTTGGAAATCAGCGCAACCTACAGATTAGTTAATTATCTGCTAGCAGATAACTGACTAATCTGTAGGTTGTGCGCGCAGTGCGTGGTTTCGAATAACAATAGCAATTCAGGTTCCTTGCGAAGGTGTGTTTGTCGTTATTTTCTTCAAAAACAATTGGTAGATTCGGTTTTTGTGACAGCCTAAATGATCAAGGTCTCGGTAACTGTTATCAAGCTCGGCCTTCGGTTCGGCTGATAACACTTACCTCGATGTTGATTAATTCGGATATCACAAAAACCTCATCCAATAATACACAGAGCTTCCATACAGTTGGGAGCTAATGTATCTCCCAACGACGAACAATCAGCCTTAAACTTCATCAGCTGACTTATCAGCTGTGGAGTCAGTCAGCAGTGGCATGGATCTTCCCACTTTGTCAATGATAATCTGAACGCTCGTTTTCAACAACGGCCGAGTGTATTGTTTTTATCTCGCCCTGCAAAATTGTATAATTGCAAAGCCTGGAATACACACGAATGATTGATACACACTAGCCAGAGTCTAGCCATACTTAATCGTATATTTTCCTGCGCTCAGCTGTAACATTTTCCCGCTTCTAGGAATGTGGATTTTTACAATTTTTATTTTAAGCGCAGTGGTACTAGTTGCATGTTTTCCCATGTTTGGCAGCGATTATTAGGGCGGATGACTTTAAACTATACACTTCACTTGAAGTTCCTTTAGTAGGCTTACTTACTTTGGACTTGAGTGGTGTCAGATATGTTCAGGTCTATAGTTCCTCGCACCGTAACTTCCAAGCGACAAGTGTAATTTCCTCCATGCTCAGCTCGTGCACTTTTGATAGCCATCGGATCGATGGTGTGTCTAGGCGCTTCTGGATTTTCCTTCCTCATCTCGCCATCTTTAAACCAAGCAATCCTCTTCACCTTAGTAGCCCTGCTTCCGGTGTCCTTCACAATGCATTTTATAGTAACGGTATCACCATGCTGCAGAACATTCACTTTGGTTGTTTCCACTTGAGGGACTTCATTCCCTGATAACATGAAAACAGTGTCAATGTCGTGACCCACCAGTCTTTATAATAGAGACCTAGAGATTCGAGGAACAGAACGACTACGAGGACCAGATTTGATTTCAAGTTCTTTTGCGTGTTTTCAAAAAATAGTTACCCGGAATGCTTTATTGTAGTTTGTTTTTCATTAGACAAGTGAGAACTGTTATCTTTATTGAGGAAGGTAAAGCCCTCTCCCCTTCGCAAAATGGTAAAACTCTAAATATTAAACGAAATGCTCGCTAAATGTCGTAGTAGAATGACAACGGCTATCACATTTAATTTTCCCGCCAAAAAGTGACGCTGGCTCACGAGCGTGCACTACTTGATATTGAGAAAATCTAGTATTCGTAGTCGTCCTCGTCTTAGAATCTGACGGTCTCTACTGTTACTGATTAACAACGGGTACAGCTTGACGAAGCCTTAAGAACATCGCCCTGTGTGGAAGTGAGGCTGATGCAAGTGTATCGTGCTCGTGAACTGTCCAGTTTTCAGCCGGTGACAGTTAGTATCTTTTGGCATTTCAATAATTGATACACTTGATCAATACCTTATCTGTTATTTGCAGGGTTCTATCTAGGGTATTTGAGGGTAGAAGCTCCCCCACAAAAAAATATATTGTTATCATTAGAGTGTATAAGTAACTATATCAGAAAAATCACCCTGACGCGACCAGGTCAGTGCACACTCGACATTTCTCAAAATTGTGACTCAAAATGCACCAGATTGCATGTCAGAGCATATTCATTTCAAAACGTTTCCGGGGGGCATGCCCCCGGACCCCGCTAGGAAGCTCGTCGCCCTCGGCCACTCAACACTTCTCCCCCAAACGATAAATTCTAGCTCGATAGATCCCCGATATAGATAGGCTACCAAAGGCACCCATATGAAGGCGCTGTGTAATTACACTAGGCTCCTGGTTATCAAATAAGGAGGGTTGTCCAATACTCACGTATCCGCTTGTGTATATTAGACATGTGTGGAGGGTTCATGAGAAAATAATCTAAGTCCCCTTAATGAGATGCATATTCACCAACAGAACCATTGGAATGACATCATTTTCTATTGGTACCAATCGTACCATTGGTACCAATGGACAATGGGTTTGACGAATCGTATCCGTTTGTGTATATTGGACATGTGTGGAGTGCAAATAACTACTCAAAACATGAAAAGAAGAGAAGTGTGTAGTGTCATAACGCAGCAAAATCATGGCAAATACAAAAGGAGAAAAGGAAGGACAAACTTGAAAAGATTGAAACTGATTGAAATTGTTATTTTGAAAACTCGGTCTGTTAACCAAAACCAGTTTTTCAAGTTCATTTTGGTGTTTGTAACTTGTGATACTGGGAAACATTTGTTTTACACGAAGTTGTGATTTTGCCATTTACAAGTAATTTTTTCGAGAATCATAGCAAATAAGGACGTGCAATTGGCGTGCATTATTAACAAAATGAACTAAACAACCGTGTCAAAGTCCTGTATTATCGTTCGTTGTTTGTGCGCCTGCAATCAGCAAAGCCTGCGCAGCATGAACTAAGTCAAGAAAATGTAAATGTTTTACATAGGAATTACAGTCAAACACCGCTTTATTCATTATTACGGACAGTTTTCTTTGTCCCTGGAGAAAGGTAGTCTCGATTTCCGCCGTCTCCCGAGTCCGGTCGATGAGTGCAGGCTCATTTTCCACAGCGGTTGGTAATCGAGCCTAGAAGAAAGGCCCTTACATTTTGTCTAAATTCATCCCGCTTAATACGGACACTTTCTATGGCGCCCGGTCAGTGTCCGTATTAACGGGGTTCAGTTGGACTCTACAATAAAGTTCCCCCACTCTTTACTCCGTTCAATACTTACTTTCTAAGACAGTGATACCAAATCCGTAATTTTTAGAATCGTTGCGGCCGACTGCAAAGGCCAGGCACTCATACCTCCCCAAAGGACCAACGCTATCGTCTGCCGTTGTTGCATTCCGAATGTGAAGCGTCACGAATAACTTGCGTCCATTTTCTACAAATAAACCCCATGATAATAATGATAATGGTGTAGTGATAATGATCAGAAATTAATCTTATTGCTTTCACTTTGACCTTTATCTTTCACCTCTGCTGTTTTCTTTGATTTACACACTCCCATGCATCCACCCAAATTAAATTTAAAAACCGAGTGTCGCTCCACGTCTTTGTTATTATTTCAAAGAGCTGTCTGTTAGAAATTTAGTTGATGAGGGCATTTTTAATCTAGATAGAACGGCCCAAGTTGAATTTACGTAAGTCAGGTAAAGGGTCACCCAGGCCTGTTATAGATGTTTCAGTTATAGCCTGCAAAACAGGGGTTATTTTTTCGTGTTTTTCAGGCATGGAAAATGAATTTAATCCAGCATACCGTAACGTCCCTCCCATTTATAGGCCTATACACCAGTAAACAACCACAACGACAAACAAAAAAAAACAGGTTACAGCCCCCCCCCCAATATAAGCCCCTCTCTGGCTTGTATTGAAAAGAATTCGACTTTTTACGACGTTTTGAAGCTTAAAAAGCGTCGTAGCTGAAACGTGACAAAAGCAAAAAAATAGTAGATAACTTAAAGTTTAGCGCCTGCAACATTTAGAAAATTCTACAACTCCTTAACAATTAACCATTCCAGATCACTGTTAAAAATTGCCTCGAAAGGCTCAACATAAAGCAAGGCTTTCTTTCCATGAGGACAAAGATGGAGTTTTGGTGTCTTGACCTTTAACCGGGAGCAAGGACGTTGGAGAATCAGACCGCCGTTCAACAAAAACAAAGCCATCATATTAGAGACATTAGAGACCTTAAGATTCTTAGGACTCTTAAGAGAAGGACGACTACCACGGCGTGAACCCATCATTTTGGCGGGAAAACGAGATAGTCGTTGGTTAGTTCTACTACGGGCTTCAGCGAAAATGTCGGAAACAATTTATCATTTATATTTGTTAGAAGTTTTGTCATTTTGCGATCGGAAGAGGGCTTAACCTCCTTCGATATATAAAAATAACAATGTTAACTCTTCTAGCAAAAGAAAAAAGGAAAATGAAGATTTCCGGGGCGTCATTTTTTTTCGAGAACTACGCGAAAAAACTTGACATTATATCTCGTTCTCGTAGTCGTCCTCAGTTCCTCGAATCTAAAGTTCTCCATTACGATGAAGATAGAAAAAATAAATTAAACACATCTTGACTTACCTTCTGTCCTGTTGGTGAAGTAAATGTTCTCATTAGGCGTCAGGGTTGTATACGCATTGAACTTTGTTTTCCTAATGAACAGGATTTTCTCGGGCATGACTGGAGCTGTATCATTATCATCAAACGCTACACAGCTGATTTGAGTTGACATGTGTTTGAGTACGGGAACATTTTGTGGAAAGGGCTCCTTTATACCGAATTCAGCTGAAAGGACGAAAACGGCAAAAAAGGAACATAAAAAGTTGATCAAGGAATCTGAGTTTTCGCTTTACATATTGATGTCAGACATATCTTTCTGCTTAATAATTTTAATCATTTTATAAGCAGATCTTTTTCAGATGTGCTAAACTTTAACATATATTGTGAGTAATGATAAGAAACTCTTCTCAAAAGCCTCCTTTTTTGATTCCGGCTGAGATGTGGTAAAGGACTGAAGTCACCTAGCGGAGTTCCATCCTCGGATACCCAGGGGTAGTTAGTCTGGTCGGAAGAAAAGGTGGGATGAAAGTTTTCAAGTACGGGCGAAAGAGCCCCTGGGTACCGACTCTCACCAAACTATTTCCAAAACTTCAAGCGAATGCTGGCTCCTGATTGGGCACAAAAAATGCTTTGTATTATTGTGCCCAATCGGCGAAGAGTCTCTCTTTTCGTGAGTTCGTACACCACGGCTATTTTCTCGCCCCACTTGCCCGGTTCGTTCACCAAGCTTCTGCGTGAAAGGGAAACTTTTACTTTCTACTTTTCTAACCAGAAACAAAGGAACTACCGATGAGTTGAAAAAACGTTTAGGGTGCTATAAGTAGGAGCAATCCAATTTGCCCCAAGAATATTCTGTTTTTGACGGATCACAATGTATCGTAAATATTAGGAAGTTTGAGATGTGGCGGCGACGAGAAAGTCAAATAAGCAATAGCTTGACAAAGCGAAACAACAACTTTGCCCGTGCATCATGCTTTTTTATACATTTCTTTGCTGTCAACTGCACGACTACCCTTGAAAATGCCTAATTTCACGTTTTGTGAAGGACGTAAACAAGCAGTGACAAAATTCATTCTCTTCATGAACTTGGATATGGTTGATAGAAATTCAGCTCCAGAAGAGTTCGCTTGCATTTGACAAAGTAAGCGAGTTGGAATAATCACGACAGAGACTGACAAATTGTGAATTCACTTTTCCACGCGACGTTTTCGTGGCTGTCAGCCGTCGTGGTATCTTTTAAAAACTCCCTAATAGTTATTCACGCTTGCATCTCGATGCATCGGTCACGTCTTGCGTACCTGTTGTAAGCTCCAGCTTGTATTTCTGGAAAAGCGTCTTTAGCTTTCGGGCCGGCGGGCAGACAGTATTTTGAAATCAAATGGGGATTTTATATCAAACTGAAAGTTTCCTGACTACGTGCATTTCTTTGGTGCATGATCCAGACAAGCCGTGATCGAGACAATAGTGGTCGTGTACGAACTCCCGAAAAGAACTCAGGAGAAACTGTTGGGCACAATAATACAAAGCATTTTTTGTGCCCAATCACGAGCCAGCATTCGCTTGAATTTTTGAAAATATTTTTTTTTGAGGGAAAAGCCCAGGGGACGAGGTTGGGATGAGCGGAGATCGCGACCAAAGTGCGAAATAATCGCCTGAGGAGCAGGTGGGCTTTACACTTTTCTGATTTTTTTTTTCTGTCATGGATCACGATTTTTGCCGATCAAAACAACACAAAAGCAAACTATCATGTCATGTACGTGGGGAATATCTTATTTAAAAGTGTTCTGAACAAGTGACATAATAGATTGTTTAGTACTCACTTCAAACCGTCAACACGTCACTGAAAAATTTCCTCACGTCCAGACAAATCAGACAAAGCAGTTACGTTGAGAGTTTTTAATTAAAACCAAGTGTAAATCGTCACTTTTAACCTTGATAGCGTGCAGTTTTGGTACGAGCTTAACCGGGGGTGGGGGGGTACTCCTGGGAATTCTTGGTGGGGGGTGTGCCGCCCAGTTCTCAAAATCCTGACCCTATTTCAGACCAAATAATGTCATTTTCCAGACCCGTTTTCCGACCAGACCTCTAAAATCCATGCTCGTTTTCAGACCTGACCTTTAGGCAGAAATTATGTTAGTATTACTTAGATTAGAGTGCAAACAAAAAAAATTCCTCAAATTCGTTTCGAATGCGCATATTTCTCTTTCTTTCTTACTCATTTGGAATTGAAACGATGTACGTTCATCCCCTGCAGTTCCCTCGAAAACTATACCCGATTCCAGACCAAAATGGGCAAAGCGTATACCCGTTTTCAGACCAAAACGGCCGAAAAACCCTACCCGATGGGGCGGCACATACCTATATAGCTTATATAAGGAAGTACCCCCCCCCCCGGAGGTTAACCGGATTCGGACTTTTGATGGTTCAGTTACGTTACGTTATAGCTTATGTTTTTACCTTAAAAACTGAGGCAATCAATTTCTACAGCATGTGCTTATTTACGTATAGTGAATTGTTGAATTGTTTTTTCTCCCCGACAAGTTAAAAGCGTTTGAAAAATCTACGACATCGGATATGTGCAGAAGACGTTTCCCAAGCTAAGTTAAGATGCATATCTTCAAGAGAGGATATCCCTTATGATATTGTTTGACAACAATGCTGGCCAATCTGATCTTATGGACTCTAAGAGACTGTATGAATCCGGCTATGGAGCTTTTATACATTTTCTTCCATAAGCACCATAAACGCAACATTCAGTCTGGTCTCAGTCTAAAAGAGACTCGAATACCGCCATGTAAACTCGATATTCTAACAAACCTTTTCAAATAATCCAGTTAGCTGAAACGTATTCTTTTCGTTTTGACCTTTCTGTTTTTGGTAAAATATTGGCATGGAACCTAGAACAATCTTCATTCTTCACGGGACATGTAGGGTCCTGTTCCGTCTATAGCTCTCGTTACTCGATTTCCGTTGGCAAAAGAAAGAATGGAAAGATTTCTTGCTGAGAAAACCTTTCAAGCATTTTAGTCAAGAAAGACAAAAATCAACGGAAACTGCCTTCACTTTAAGTCAGATTTGATACTACTCAGGGGTAAAGAAGACATAGAGGCAAAGAAAAAAATTTGTTAACAAATAGGTTCTCTTTGCATTTATGTCACGCTCTAATCATGCATGGTGGCCACTATGGAATGTCACTCTATTGTTTTTTGTACCTCGCTATATTTTCTTTTATTATTATTATTGTTATTGTTATTATTATTATTATTATTCAGAAAATTTACCAATAACTTTTCATTGACTACTACAAACCTAATTTCTATTTCGCGTGACTACAACATGTTATGTACGAAAAACAAATAAGGAACACACCCTTGCTACAAAAAGGTCATTTCGTCAGAAATTGAAGTGTTTCAATGACGAACGATCAATGTCCAAAGCTAAAAGAGTCTTGGAAGCACGCAAGAACAAGCACACTGCGGGGTATTTTGTTTTTAACATGCTAGTTCATCAGCGACAAAAGTTCAAATATGTCACGAAGATATCGTTCTTTCCTTCTACTTTGAAACAGCATTTTCTTGAAGAAGCCTATACATAGAGCAAGTTTGCAGCTAAATAAACAATATCATATAAAACGCCAGGGAAAGCTTTGAGCAACTATTAAAGCAATTAAAAAGAACTTTTTATAAAATGATGAATAATAATTTATGAAAGTCAGGTAACCATATTTTTTAACCGTAGTTTATTTGTTTGTGGAGGAAAAAAACACAGAAAAGGACAGGAGAACATAATTGACTATGACAAAAATGCTCACGCAAATAAAGACATCACGCGATCTGTGCCAAATCGGGTTGACAGTTCACTGAGCTTAAATACATTAAAAGGGGATAAAAAGCATTTGATAATGGCCCTCCGCACACATCTTGCCTTAGCAAGCTGACACAGAGAAAAATTTTTGTCGAAAAAAAGGAAAGCCAAAGGGAAAATGAGAAATCTTTTGGATCCCGGTGACAGTATTTTCAGATAAAAAGTTTTGCATTCAGCATAATTGTATTTTACTAGTTTTGTTGCTGTTAACGCAAAATAAGAAGCCTGTTGTGCAAACGAAGAAATTCTATTAAGGAATAAAGGCCTAGTTCGCGTAGGATAACACGTGCAAAAAATTCGTTTTAAAGTTCATTTTTTTTTATAAATACATTAGTGCGTTAAATTTTCTACTTTGGTGTTTGCTGACCGTAGTATTTCTTTGTTTTTTGCCACAACAAAAATCGAATAAAAGATAAACGATTCAGGACTTTGTTAAGGAGACATGGGTCTACTCACCTTTTACAAAGCTTACGGCACAAACCACTAATAACCAAAACATTTTGCTGTTGAATAGGAGGCGATCCGATGCTGGGATTAAGCAGGTGATTTGCACTGCAATGATGCTCTCTCAGTGATGCAGAAGCAAGACAGTCACAAGCAATTGTTTTTCACAAAGCTATTATAGGAGGACACCTGTCAATCATATGACGTTATTGAAGAACGCACCAGTGATTGGTTGAATTGTGAAAATCTTCATCTTTTCGCTGGCCAAGAAAAAGGTAAACATGGTGAAATACCGAAAATACCCTTTCTAATTATCGATACAAGCACAGGCAAGGTGAAACCTAACCAAATTGATAATTCGGTCGATATAGTTTGACACCGAAAAATAAATTGACTCCTGCTGTTGCAGTCTCGACTGCTCTCACCGACTGGCTTTCCTTGCATTAAAAACAGACCCGGGTGTAAGTATAAATAGTTCGTATTCATTACTTGATTTTCCATAAAAATATAGTGTAATCTCATGCTTTATTAATTATTTGTATTATTCTGTACTTTTTTCGTCTGTGACAAGATAGTGCTTGCTGTCAACAAGTGTTCTCCAGAACCTTCAGCATGCATCAGTTCTTATTTCAAAAAGAGGCGCTAATTTTTGCGATAAAGGCTTCTATAAATATCATTAACAGCTGTAAAATCCCTTATAGTCGTAATATCTATTTTCAATTTGCTTGTCATCATTGATCACGACATCAACTGTACTAGTCACGAACACAAAAAAACTTTAACTGTACGTGCTAAGAATCGATGTTGCAAAGTTTATTAATGTCAATAATCCTACAATCTCAGAAAACGTTCTCTAGTGGTTAACAACTTTTTCTAACTTGGAAAATAGAACACAACAGAAATTCCCAGAACCGTTCTGAAGTCGGTCTGACTCGGGTCTGAGAAGAGTCTGAGAAATCCAAGATCACAAATATGCTTGATCGAACAGGGACACCCAACGAGAATACAGTTCAAGACCACTTAAACATAGCATTGTTAAACGTATTTTAGTATTTAAACGGTAGATATAGGCATATTTTTATCCCCTAAAATTTTTTCATCTGTTCGGATTTCCTAGCTGAAAGTCTAGTGATCCGAAAATTATAGGGATCAAAACTTACCTTTTCGAAAATTTCAGCCAGAAAAAAGGCTCCCGAAAATTCTAGGTGACCTTTTAAGAGGTTTTAAGGGTAAAAATCCGTTTAAAATGGGCAACTATAGTAGTTTTTAGAAGTTCGAAAATCCTACGGAGAGGCAGGCAAGCAAAAAATTGTACAACAAATGTTCCGAAAATTCTAGATCTCAAATCGTCTTCCGAACAGATATTTTTCCGAAAATTGCCGTGGGGTGCCCCTGATCGAACAATCGGCACTCATGATATAGTGCCACTTGATTTTGATAAAGCAGAGGTGTCTAATCCTAAGGGGCCGACCATTTAACTCTTGAGGGTGGGGGTGGGTGATTTCTGGTCATCAAGAATTTTTTTTCTAGCAATATGGTGGGCAGGATATTTTTTCCCTTTTTTTCCCTTAAGCTCTTTATTACATTTGTGCTGCATGCAATTTTTTTCTTCCGACAAGCGCTTGCAGGAAATTTTTTTTCAAAATCACCCCCCCCCCCCTCCCCTCAAGAGTTAAATGGTCGGCCCCTAAGTCATGGCCCTGAACCAAGACAACGGACGCTGTAAACAATAGACTTTGTCACGGTTTTCGACGCCATCTTGACCTAAAGTAGGCAAACATGTGAGAAATTACAGTGTTTATATAATTATATGAGAATCTAATGCCCAATAATTTCCGTAAAACGGCTTTTCTGAAAAAAATATCAATTGTAAACTAAAGCTACAAAGCGAAGGATTGCACTTAAACATTTTGGGGACGTACCTGTGCTTAAATTTCTCCAGAGGCTTGCTTTGGATTTTCGATATATTTGTCTGTAATTTTTCCCGGGAATTTCTTACAGACACATGTAAAGAAAATTTAAAAAAGTGGTTCTAGGTGTTCTAGCGCATGTAACGCCCTCATTTTTTTCAGTAGAATCCTTAAGAGTGAAGCGTTAGTTTACAATTCATATTTTTCTCAGAAAAGCCGTTCTACGGAAATTATTGGACATTAGATTTTCATACAAACACTGTAATTTCTCAGGCGTTTGCCTACTCGTCAAGATGGCGTCGGAAACAGTGGCAAGGTCAATTGTTACCTAGCCACATTAGCTATGCTACACGAGACAAGACGGGATATCTTCTCTATTAAAGTATTAACCAAATCCGTTGATGACAATATTCGCGCGTTTTGCATTGATTATATTTATTCATTTCACAACAAAAAATTTAATCAAACAATTTAATTAGCAAAAGTTGTTACTTAAATTGTACATTTATGAGATAATAAGGAAGCCTAACGAAGCTATAGGAGCAGCTTATAGTAAAAACCCTTGAATGCAGAGGTCCATGCCACTCAACGCATAAATAATACTGGGTTCCTTCCTAGTGTTGGGATCTCTAGATATAGAGATTCTAGAGCCAGACGTCCCTTGAAATGAGAATTATAAAAACAAAACTGAATGCAAGGTTGACAATCAGGGCAAGGTGGCTGATTTATTTGAGGCCACAGTCCCCTGGCCACGGCCTCCGCACCAAAACACGACTCATTATTTGTTCCAAGGGGTCGGGGACCCGTTTCTCGAAAGTCCCAGTAACTTTTTGGGCCCAAAATCAAATATTCAAATCGAAATATAAAGAATAAGAGCGCGGGTCCTGGCTAGCAAACTACTCTATTTTGTTTCATTAACTGATAGTTTTATCACGTTACATGCAAAACTATTGAAACCTCGATCTTTAATGTAAAGGGAGACAGCTTACCGGGCCCGTTAAAAATCGGGACTTTCGAGAAACGGGCCATAGTTTCCCAAAAGTCCCAGTACCATTTCGGGATCGAAATCAAATATTCCAATCAAAATCCAAATAAGAAGAACACGGTTCCTAGCCAACAAACCAGTCTGATCTTGTTTGGTTCACTGATAATTTGTTCATGTTACCCGCAAAACTATTGAAACTTCTATCTTAAATATAGACAACATGTTTTCGGTATCGGCAAGAGAGAATAAACTCTCTTGTTGTCCGCACTCCTTCGAGAAGCGTGTCCCAGGTCGTTACTCACTTTTTGGATCACTTTTCTACACACATGGATTCTTGAGAGGGAAGACTTCTCAACGCATGCTGGGAAAATAAAGAGTCGTAGGCGGGACAACTTTCTCTTCTTTTTTCTTGAGCTTTACAAATCATACTTTTATTCTACATGCTTTCAAGAAGTCTGTTATTTTCTTTTACTTGCCGCGCAGTACATTAAGATGTTTTAGTCGGCTAATAAATTCAATTCGACAGGGTCCTTTTTATTATATACACACTGAAAAGCTATTTCGTACATTTTCGAATGGAAATGAGTTGTTCCTTTAACGATATTCTCCGTAATTTTGCTTAAACCCCCACAGTATAGTCTACCATTGCCAGCGTTGATTTCTTACTTGACCGTTGGTGGACCCCACGTTTCGGTTTGAATCTGCAGTTAATAATTGTTATAAGGGGGCTGTGTGTTTTATATATAGGAAAGGGTTAAAAATGGTTTCATTTTTTCGGCATGTTTCTTGCCTTTATGGTAAAAGATTATAATGCCAGAAATGTATTTTTTAGGCATTATTTTTATGCCTCTACTTTCAGCCGGATACAGCGTTAAACGAAGAAGTATAGTAATCAAATGACGTGTTTTCGGTTTTGCCTTCACATTTTAATGAACCGAGAAAGAATAACCCTTCCTTTACACAACCGATCTTTGAGTCCCTTATAACCACTGCCCATCCAAATCGTTGTTAAGAAAAGCGTGATATCACTGAGAGTTCAGTGATGCATGTTGAACGTTCTGGTACGCCTCACAAGGTAGTCCTACCTTTGAGTCTGTGGATGAAATGGCCGGATAACTTTTAACGAGGTAAAAGCACTGAGAAGTACTTTCCCAAGTGGTGTTGTTTGTGACGTCGTTTCCGTTGACTAAAAGGAAACGAAAATGACTGCTAAGCAGGCTTTCCTGCTGTTTACCTACGTTGTACATAGATGCGGGAATTGAACGTGGGGAACGGAACGTGAGAAGCGTGACCGAAGGGAGCGCGATGGGTGATGTGAAGGAGGAGAACGATAGGCAGAGAGTCTGTCCTCTTTCCCATCACCCCTCGCGCTCCCCTTGAGTGCTCTTCTCTCGCTAACCTGAGCAGCTGTACATGGTCTCTCTGCTCCGCAGAAGTTCGATAAAGTGTTATTGAATTTCAGCTAAGCGAGTGCAAAGTTTGCACCTGCACTTACTCTCGTCAATCCCCTTTGTGTGAGCCTCCGTGCAGGAGAGATATACAAGGTGGTTTATTAAAGCTGGACTATATTAATTCTGTGGATACACTCCTTAATGAAGTGGTACATTTCATAGGAAAGTTACATGCACTGACGATGCACAAGAGCCAAAGTTGCCTGTAAGGGCAGTTCCACTTTTTAGTCTGAATGAAATCCTAAGAAGTCAATTCCTGTGTTGCTGTCTCTTTCTTGGTATCCTGTTGAAATTAAAGTTTTTAAGGGTTTTCTTGATTTTCTTGATGTTGTTTATTTTACTTCAGTTTTGCACAAGTTTTGTTGCACAGATTTACGAATAAAATTTAACTTATAAATAAAGCAATTAAATCACTCATTATATACAGTGTAATTAAAACCGCACGGAGCAGGTGTAGCCACAGTCCGTAAGACAAACTACAATGTCACTAAGTTTTTTTCTGTTTCTATGGTAGGACATGCATGTACAAAGTCTTGTGAAACACCAGAGAAGTTGTAGGCTGTCACTACTAAAACACTAATCCGGGGTCAATTTAAAAAAACCTTTTAGTTACACTTGTAAAAGTTTTATCAATTGACCCCAGCTTTTGAAGACTCGACCGATTTGTCCAAATCAAGAATGCATTACGGGTGTATGAACAAGAGGGTCATCAGAGCAAGAATCACGCCACGAGATGTCCATAGCATTGTGGAACCACTGTATGCCGGATCTGTTGAGAACAAAAACAAAATTGTCGATAACAAAAAATGAAAATATGCTCATGGCGTATAGAAGTCTTCTCATAGTAGACAGCACATCACATCATAAATGTCTCAAGACATTACATTGATCATGATTTTATCACCCAAACTTTCCCTTACTGTGGCAAGTGCAAACCACATCGCCACGATGGGAAAGCGATGAAAGTTCGACATTCAAGTACGTAATATCCCACAGGATATTATTATATGGCTGCTTCCGCGAGCATGGGGCAAGATGAAGAGAGCCCGGCTGTGTTCTGATTGGCGACCCGACTAAGATAAGTTTATGTTGGCTTCTCGAAATTGTCCGCGTTGTTCCTGCTACAAAATTAATAGTTTTTATCCAAGCTTGTTCGGGCAAGATGGCTAGATAATAGCTTCGTCACTTTTCCTGTTTTTATTCGACCTCAGCTTGGTCCATAAGACCATAATATCCAGCCATGTTAGCCTCATGCTTAGTCACGCTTAAAAAACAAGGTCAACCTCAGCCTCATGTTCACTCAAAGGCTAGGACACTAAGTCCACAACTGTTAGTTAGGAGTCTAGTTAGGAGAGTTTTCAAACTCGAGATCAATTGTTTCTTTAAAATTATGGTCAGCGTTGGTCTCTTGGCAGACGCTATTGGGTTGTCGAGCAACGCTCCATCTAAACTTCGGCAGTGGGAGTAGTATTTGCCGTTCTCAGGTTCCGAGTAAGACTGGGTGAGTGAATATGTCGAATGGCATTGTGGGACTGTTTTGGGGAACGAATTTGGATCCATTTGGATCCTTAAAGGTTAGTTCTGAAAAAGGGTATGGATTTTAGAGGCCAGGTCTGAAAACGGGAGCGGAAAAAGACATTTTTTGGTCTGAAATGTGGTCAGGATTTGGAGAACCGGGGGCACACCCAGGAGTACCCCCCAAGGAAACGATAGCGGTCCCCAAAACAGTCCTATAGGAAAGTTTGACCCAGCACCAACCCAGTCCCATAGCAACCTCAAAATGATGGCCACTAACAGGGATTAAAAAAACTTACCAGTAACAATGAGGGTAAACTGCTGACAGTGTTCTTTAATAGTGACCTTGGCAGAGCAGTTGGATGGCAGGCAACAGTAATAGATACCAGTGTCGTTTGTGTTCAGATTGGTGATTGTCAAGAAATAAGGATCATACATTTTCACCTGCATTATCTTGAATCGGCCATCTATTGATGTATCTGTTACCAAAAATCAAGTCAAAGTTGGTGAAAAGTTTAGGTACCCTGCAAGCAGTGGTTTCTCCAGGAAAGTTTAGTTAACGTAAAAAAAAAATCTATGCTTTTAAATAAAGACTTCACGTTACATGGCGAAAATCAAACAAAAAAACAAACTATTAAACGGCCAGTAATCAAAGGGGAGGAGTGCAACTACTCGCTCCTGCCTGTGACCTTGGTCTTTTCTTTCCTAGAGTCGATGTTTTACTTTAAAAATTAAATGAATAATTCAAACGTTAATTCAATAGAACTTACTAAAGCATTTAGCCTTTTTGTCCTTGTTTTTGCGAACTTTCCACTCCAGATTTAAAGGAAAGCCTCGCACACGGCATTCCAGTGTCACGTCCTCTCCTGTTTTCACTGCTTTGCTTTCTGCCTCCTTGTCTTCAAGCGTTGTTGCTACTGGAAAAACGACTTTAATGTTAATAAAAAAGTAATACTTTGCTTGAAAGTGAAGGGGTGGAAATATATTATGTTACGTTTTTAGAATAACGCTCGCGGGATTTCTGCCCTTAGAGATGACTAAAATTACCGGCGACTAAAAGCTAAAATTAGAGTTAAAATTGAACGGTCACTTTTTAGTGATCTGATTATCCCGTAGCACACAATCGTGGTAGATCTGACTGACAGTTGTGTTCTTATCATCCATCTGGTTTCCGGCCATGACTGTCGCTAAATCGTCAGCACCTTACGTGAGATATAACTGGAGTCATTTCAAGTACTTAGAGACCTTTAGATTCGAGGACGACTACGAGTACGAGATTTGACTTAAAGTTTTTCGCGTATTCTCAAAATATGGACTCCCCAGAAAGCTTCATTTTACCATTTTTCACTAGAAAAGTTAACACTGTTACCTTTAGTGAAGGAGGTTACGCCCTCTCCCGATCGCAGAATGATAAAACTCCTAACATTTGATTTGATAACTTGTTTCCGACTCGTAGTAGAGGATGACGACGGCTACCAAGTTTTCCCGCCAAAATGACGCTAACTCACGCGTGAGCACTACTTGGTATTAAGAAAATCTCGTACTCGTTGTCGTACTCGTGGTAGGAGCACCCAACTACAGAATGTTTCCAAATGCGTCATTGGTGTCGAAAATGGTTTTTGTCTTTGTATTCCTTAAAGGCAATATTTGTTCCTTCGAACAGTTACTACTTTGCAGAAAGGTCGTTAAGTGCTCCTGGTGTTTAACTCGTACCCTGCTTCCGACTGAGGCGTTTTAACATTTTTTAATAATCACACCAATACGGCCATTCAGGGCTGATGTGATGATCGTATCTCCGACTTCCTATTTCATAAGCAACTCGACTAGCTGATGCTTTTAAAAAACCCGCTTAAAGTTGAGTAAAATATTTTCTCTTGTTTATTTTTATCCATTCGTATTGCCAAATTTTATATATGTATTTTTGAGTCAATAAACGGTTGTTTCCATTGTTGTTTTCTTTGTCTAACTGCGGAGTAGGGACTGAAAGGCGAGGCAGGGAAAGCGTTTTGGCAAGAACGACACCCGTGACAGAATATCACTACGTGGAAACTGACCAAAAAACTTCAAATTCTACATGTAAAGCAGTTTGCTCACAGTACAAAGGATAGTTTTTGCTTTCATCCATTCAACAGAATTATGTATGATTCTTCATATTATACTCAGTTTTTGGCCATGGGCGCATCCAATAACTCTTACCTGAGACGGGAGTGATATCTGACACATTGTACTCTAGCACAGCACGAAGCACCACATTTATCACGCAGGTGTAATTTCCGCCGTCTTTGGCGATCGCCTCCTCGATAACCAGCGGACCAAGGGCCTTTTCAGGATCTGCGGGATTAGGATTTTTCACACTTCGTAGCATGCGGCCATTTTTAAACCAGGCAATCTGCTTAAGTACATTGTGACGATTCCCTCTGTCAGTCATATTGCATGTTATTGTTGCGTTATCACCATGCTCGAGGACATCAACTTTGGAAGTTTCAACTTTAGGGACATCACTTTCTGAAAATATAAAATATTATACATTGTACTCACTATCTGTCTTCTCATTGGCTAAGAGCCTTCAGCTAATTCATGCATTTCTGGAGATCTAAAAGTACTTTGGATAGCCTAAAAAGTGTTTTCAACGTTTTTTGGAGGAAACCGTCGCCGGGTGCCCCTGATGTTATCAGCCTCGGGTGATGGCCTTTTACTCGGCCTTCATTGTTGTTTTTTTAGCCATGCAATCACATATGTGATGTAATCACATAAATCGACTTGTTCGCGAACTGTTTATCAAAAAGCAGCTAATTTTTATAGGCATCACTGAAGGGCTGGAAAGTATCTTTGTAGGTCATTATTTAAAAGACCTTACTGATATCTTATGTTTCTGCATTAACAAAAAAGTGTGACGAAGCATCTTCCTTACACGTAAAAAGATCCACAATACATTTACCATGATTATATTTTTCTTGTAATCTTAATTAATTATTATCATCAAAATTAACAAACCAAGAAGTGTCGGTTATAGACCATAGCATATAATACCTTGTATAACGTTGATATAGAAGCCATGCTCTTCATATTTTGTGCTATTAACTGCGTAGGCCTGACAGAAGTAATATCCTATTGGTCCACTTTGACTATCATATTTCATCGTGACATTCCGAATGTGTAATGTGTAGAACAGCTTTCGCCCATTGTCTGCCAATAAGAGCAAAGTATAAATCATTTGAGAGTGGTTTTGTGCGATCTGGATTAGCGTCATGTTTACTTAAGTTTCAAAAGCCCTTCAACCTTCGTTTTGGTAACTTGATCTATATAACCTTATCCCACGTTTTTAGATTTCTAAAGCAAGACAACAGATTCATAAGTTGTAAAAACTATCATTATAAACTCAAGGGTTTTTTTAGCCCGTATTTGTATCTAATTTTGGGATTAATTAGGCCAAGAGTCGAATTTTCTAGAAATGAGTCTCAGAACTCGCTGCATTGCCCATAATGCACCTTGTTAAGGTGTTTCTCCAAAATTTTGAATAATCATGGTTTCCAATTTCTACATTTTTTGAAGTCTGGAAAAAAGGTTTTGTACTTTAGCGCAGTTATTGACAATTAAGGCTAAGTAAGTCCTTAATTAGGTTCTATGAAGGCGATGTAGCTGTTGTATATGACTACCAGAAAAATTAAATAACCTTGAGTTCGGCCCTTAAAAATTTACCACATGTAAGAACCTGGTTGATCTTGCTTGGCTAAACAGATTGTTATATTTTTGGGTATTAAAATGGCAAATTTCTGCCAGCTCGTTCCTAAACCCCTAGGTTCTTACACGCGGGATTTTATAGTACCACAAACATCCTACGAAAGAAAAATCATAAGTTTTGAAATGAACACCAGTAAGTATAATGAAGCAACGCTAGTATATATATCTTGTTAACGTGTTTTATTTCTCTGACCAATTTCGTCTGATCACATAGACTTTATTAGGGGTATAACAAGATGGAGCTAAGGAGCTACAGTGAAACCTCACCTTCGGGACCTTCCCAAGTGTCCGCTTAATAGAGGATGTCCTCTTAATAAGGGTTGTAAAAATTGCGCAATGTTTGTTAACGATCAACATTCAACGGTTACTCTGTGCTGTGATAAAGTTGCATGTTGTTAAAGAAGCTATCGAGAGTTCAAGTTCATTACCTTTCATTACCAACTTTAATCTGTTTGTAAATGCAAAAACACTAACTGACTTCAGTACGTATTCCAAGGACGTAATCCAATACTACTATTGTCAATTCAGTCCGGTGTCCCCTTAATAGAGGTTTTTGGAGGTGTCCGCTGAATAGGGGTTCGTTATAGAGGGAAATATCAGATGTTCGTTTCGGGACCCGGCTTAGTGTCCGCTTAATAGAGGGTGCCCGCTTAATTGGGGGTCCCCTTAATAGAGGTTTCACTGTAACTTTATACCCTAATGATTATGGTCAGATGATGGGCTCCTGATATGGGAAGTCACGTTCCTGTTAGGGTGGGTGTGAACAGCCAAAAACAACCAAAAATATCTGTCGCCTCTTGTAAAGGGAATCCAAAACAGTCTTGGATTCTGAATTCCCCGCCTTGTACTGGATTTTCTGAGCTCCAGCAGGAGCCTATCAAATGATGGGCTCCTGGCTCCAGTCGTTAATGGGATTCCAGATTCCTTGAGCTGTATTCTCGATTCCAAAGCCGAGGATTCCGAATTCTACAGCAAAAATTTGGAGGATTCCAGAATCCGGATTCTATTACATGAGGCCATATATGTGCAGGATATGACTATAATCCTGCGTAACATAATATCCATAATGTGCAATGTTCTTTAATTCTGGGGCTTATCTAGCTAATGTTCGTATTGCTAACCTACCTTTTCTTTTGGTGGTAAAGAAAACATTGCCATCCGACGTCAATTTTTCACCGTTCTTTAATCCAACAAACTCAATTCTATCGGGTATGACTCCTGATGTGTCATTGCTATCATATGCCACACACGTGACTTCAACTGAAGAATACTCTATGCAATTCTTGTTTTTTGGAAACGGTTCCCATATTCCAAAACTAGCTGAAGACATAAAAAAGGAGAAACAGAAGAAAATGCTGGAGCTTTTTAAAATATACCATACTTTACTGATTTAATTATTATGGTTTAAACTAGATCTTACAATGTCATGTCAAACCCGGTAGCCTATTCTGTTCGTTAATGTATGTAAGCATGTTGACACCCTCAATTCTTCATCAAGATCAGCCAGCGTTAATAAATGACAACAACACTGAGACAACGACAACTTTATTTACTTCAAAATCTTGTAATGAAATAAAAAGTTACTCGCCGCGCACAACCCGCAAGTAGCAAAGGCTATTTGAGGCGGATTGCGTAAAAAATGATTACGTAGATTGGTAAAAAAGAATATAAACAAAAAAAGTGTTATAAGAAAAGAAAGATTAATTAGGTAAAGAATTGACCACAATTAATTACACGAAAAAGGAAAAATTAAGTAGGCATGCTTGACTAAGCAAAATAAGACTAGATACTAAACGAAATTCAGTTGTTGGAGAATGGTGAGCAGTTCAAGCCAATATTCGTCTTGGTTCTTTAGGATCTGCATGAGAATCTCATGCAATCGTTTTTTGAAATTTCCGTATTTAAGCTGTTTTAAATGTGTTGATATTCCATTCCACGCTTTGGCTCCAGAGCTTGAAATGGAAGGCTTTTGTACATGATTTCTAATCTTGAGTGTTTGATGTAGAAATTACTGGCGGCAGCTGACTTTGTGCTATACGACAGGTGTATATCTGATAAGTCTTCAAAGAGGTTTCTTAAATTAACTGGCACTATGTTATTCTTGACTTTATACATGTTGCTGATTGATTCAACATTTAGAAAACTTATAGATGTTGCTTTTGATAAAGAGAGGGATCACGTGATCTTTTCTACTTGGTGAAAAATAGACCTTGTCACGGTTTTCGACGCCATCTTGACGAGTAGGCAAACGAATCAAATGTCGAATAATTTCCGTAGAACGGCTGTTCTGAAAAAAAAAAAAATGATTTGTAAACTAGAGCTTCACTTCAGGGTTCTACTAGAAAAAATTGAGGGCGTTACATGCACTGGAAGACCTAGAACCACTTTTTTAAATTTTCTATACATTTGTCTGTAAGAAAGTCCCGGAAAAATTACAGACAAATGTATAGCTACGTTTGGAAACTCTAATGTAAACTAATGCAAGCCTCTGGAGACATTTAGGCACAGGTACGCCTGCAAAACTTTTTAGGATAATCCTTTGCTTTGTAGCTTTAGTTTACAATTGATATTTTTTTCAGAACAGCCGTTTTACGTAAATTATTCGACATTAGATTCTCATACAAACACTGTAATTTCTCACGCGTTTGCCTACTCGTCAAGATGGCGTCGAAAACCGTGACAAGGTCTATGCATTAACCGAAGAGCCCCTATTAGAAGAATATGAAGTTAATCTGACTTACTTTTTTTGTGGTTTGCCCTCAAGAGCTTAAGCCACAACTATGATAGGGATAGATCAAAGGTTGTTACACCTGCGATTAAGTTCGCAAAGGAACAAAATGCTTTAGTCTAGCGATGATTCGTAAAGTTTTACTAGTTTTCAATTAATGCGACAAGATCCATGTGTTGTTTCCAGCTAAGGTTTTTGTCTATCAGAATACCTAGGTATTTAACAAGTTCTTTGCATTCTAAAAGAACCTGATAAAGAAGTTGATTTAACATCCCAATTCGTGACTTAAAAAGAGGGCGGAGATTATTTTCCATGTATCACACGCAAAACAATCTTCGTCAGTGAATTCTAGCAGATGTCAATGTGTACTTAGCCTGCGAAGCCCAGACGCACGGTATTTCCGGTCGTCTGCGCTTCGCAGGCTAGTGTTTACCGGACACTGCCAAAAAAACCAACATACATCAATGGCTATGGAAATTAGCTTCTCACACACGGACGTTCTTTGGGCTTAAAAAGCGTGACCCGGCCCTGCATAATGACAACAACACCCTGTAACTGAATTTCCTTCCACTGAATTAGACGCAAAAAAAAAAACGGTCCAATACATTATCCGCTGAAATATGACTGGCAACGCTACGACGCAAGACACGCACCGTGTCAGGTACGCTCGGTATTACTCGCTTTGTCCCCGCAAGAAACTCTTCTTTTTACTGTTTGCCAAATCTTCAGTTATGAGCTACCGGTAATCTTGTTCGTTCATGATGAGTGGTAGACTTGCTATAAGTCGACCTCTTCTTAGGCCGCGAAGCGGCCGACCGCGAGCGACGAAGTCCCGCGCCATATATGAAATTCGACAACGGACTTTTTCGAAGTCTAGATGGGTGGATACTGGCCTCGTTCCGCTTTGCTTGCTGGTTGATGGACAGTATAACTTGGCCAATATCCAGTCACCTTGACCTCAAAGCTAATGACTCATACTCTCATTTACCAACACATTGTTTACATCCAATTTAAGCACATATCAAGTGCTATGTGTAATAAAGTACAATGCCAGTCAAATACCTTACGCTTGTTTCCTGCTTTCGGGTAGAGGACTTTGCTCCCTAACTTGAACTACATGTTCACAGCGGTCAAACGAGTCAAATTTGCAAAAGTCAAGCGAAATACTTGAAAGTTAAGGTTGCTACTTTCACTATCGAAAGTTTAGGGTATTACCAACATCCTGTTAGTTTACTAAACTTTTTAAAAGTTTACTAAAAAAGTTCTAAGTGATTGAAAACCGATGCTGACGTTATTATGGGCGCCATTTTCAAACATGATTCTCTTTTAGCGCGAAGCGTTTTCAGCGAAAAAAGCTCAAAATTTTGAGAAAAATGGAAAGATAGTTATGTTGACTAACTGATTTATACATCTTTGCCCATTTTTCTCTAACTGGTAAATGAAATCCCAGCAATAAAAAACAAAAATAACGATTTAGACGTTTGACCGCGGTGGTAACTACATGTATAGCATAGCCCCCGGGGGGGTACTTAACGTAACAAAGTGCTCTTTTTCTATTTTCTGTAATCTATTTACTTGTATTAGCATGACAAAGTATTATTAAACTTAAACTTAAACTTAAAAGGGATGCAAAGTTCTAAAGGAGGTATGTAAAAGATGTACCATTTCATGTCAGTAGAACTGAGGTATATAATATGAAAGTAATACCTTTCTGTCCAGTGGAATTAATAAAAGGGTAAGGCGGTTTTGGCCTGCGTGCAGACGATAACTAAACTCTGATTAGACGGAGTTAACCAGAGTTTAATTTCGTCTGCGCGCAGGCTAAGGCGATTGTAACTCGGGAAAAAAGAAATACGGCCCAAAGCTAACCTAATTAAATTGCATACTTGTCACTCACTGAGTTACACTTGATTTAAAATTGACGCAAATGATCTAATAGATAGGACTTAAAACTGCTTAATGAAGGTGCATAAATAATGTTCGATGGAATACTATTCCAGTCTGTTATGTAGCGATTGAAAAATGAAACTTTGAAGTAATCTGTACGTGTCTTTTTTTAACTGTTGTGAATAATGGAAAAACAGCAAGGGGTGACAGGCCGCACAACCTCACCGGCGTGAAACCTTTGATAACCTTTTACATATTGCCCCAGAGAGGATAACTCTTTCAGGAATTTTACACTTTAAAATTTGAACGACGATATAGCTTCTATGTAGCGGACCAAGATACGGCGCGATACAGTTTACAGGGGCACCCAACGAGGATATAGTTCAAAACCACTTAACATAGCATTGTTGAACGTATTTTAGTATTTAAACGGTAGATATGGGCATATTTTTATCCCCTAAAAACTTTTCATCTGTTCGGATTTCCTAGCTGAAAGTCTAGTGATCCGAAAATTATAGGGATCAAAACTTACCTTTTCGAAAATTTAGCCAGGAAAAGGCTCCCGAAAATTCTAGGTGGCCTTTTTTAGGGTAAATATCCGTTTAAAATGGGTAATTATACCATTTTGTAGATGTTCGAAAATCCTAGGAGAGGCAGGCAAGCAAGAAATTTTACAACAAATGTTCCGAAAATTCTAGTTCTCAAATCGTCTTCCGAACAGATATTTTCCCGAAAATTGCCGTTGGGTGCCCCTGAGTTTATGTTCAGCAGGGGAAAAATGTATAAGTTGAGCAGAACCTTTAATCAGGGGCACCCAACGAGAATATAGTTCAAAACCACTTAAACGTATGTTGAACGTATTTTAGTATTTAAACGGTAGATATAGGCATATTTTTATCGCCTAAAAATTTGTCACCTGTTCGGATTTCCTAGCTGAAAATCTAGTGATCCAAACATTATAGGGATCAAAACTTACCTTATCGAAAATTTTAGCCAGAAAAAAGGCTCCCGAAAATTCTAGGTGACTTTTTTAGGGTAAAAATCCATTACAAATGGACAATTATGCCATTTCTTAGATGTTCGAAAATCCTAGGAGAGGTATGCTGGCAAGAAATTTACAACAAATGTTCCGAAAAGTCTAGATCTCCAATCGTCTTCCGAACAGACATTTTCCAAAAATTGACGTTGGGTGCCGCTGCTTTAATGTACAACAGACAATTTATCATTCGGTTCGAGCGTATTCCTGTTGAATTTGTTGACCCGTTTATAAGATATGTCGGCTCAAAATTATGATTAAAAAAATAACGAGCTTTAAAATACTCTCCTCTGATATCAAAACTACAAGTTACATTTACAAAGCGATTGAGTTTTAAATCGACATCAGTCAAAGGACACAGCATCATAACGTATTTAAATCATGCTTCTACTAGAGAGGTGATAAATATACCCAAAACCAGTGTCAGATCAGGATATATTTAAAGAATACGTGCTGTGTACAGCTCAGCCTTGCTCTCTGAGATTGCTTAAACCTAAACTGTACGAATATATTAGAAGCAGATACCATAAGATTACAGCAGCTATGGAAAATTGTTATAATATTTTTGAGTAGACATATCTCATAAACAGACTACAAATTCAACAGGAATTATACGCGCGAACTGAATAAATTGTCTGTTGTACATTTTTAAAGGTTCTGCCCAACTTACTCAATTTTCCCTTGCTGAACATAAACTGTACCGCGCCGTTATATAAAAGCTATATCAACGTTCAAATTTCAAAGTGTAAAATCCCTGAAAGAGTTCTCCTGACTGGGGCAAAATGCAAAAGGTTTTCAAAGGTTTCACGCCGGTGAGGATGTGCGGCCTGTCTGACCCCTTGCAATTTTTACCACTCTATTAAAGCTTCTTTTATAGTAGACACTAAGGGCTAGTATTATAACACGAAAGGCAACATTTTTTCTCTCCCTTACCGTTTTGTTTCAGGAGGGCGGACATTCAGTTTCTGTGAGTTTTATTTATTCGTGATGGCAATTTTTCTTTCAAATTGTGTTGGTAGCCTCTGTCCGTCAGGCGTTTTTTTGAAATTTGGAAAGACTTTCCTCAAACGTTGTTTAAGGTTAAACTGAAGGCTTCTCCTTCGGTGACAAATCCGGCAGTGGGTGACAAGGGGCGAAATCATGTGTGCTGGAAGGTTTCCTTTTGTGTCTTTACATCAAGGATGGCTTTTTCGTTGAATTCTTGTGCCTTTGTAGACAACTGTGTCTTAAAACAATGTCTCAGTGAATTTCGGTGGTGAATTTAATATACAGTAGAGTAATGTAAGTTTACTTGTTCTGGTGTACTTATGACCCACAGCGAAAAAATGTCTGATACATGTAGCGTTTCCAAACAGTTGTTTTAAAGGTGGTTTTGCTAATTTTATCATATGACATGTTGGCAAAGGAATTAAACTGCTGTCTTAGCCCTTCGCAGTACCGCGAGTTTGTAGGTAGGGTGTTCCATTCGACTGGAAAGAATTTTCTTTGAGGATTAATCTAACTAGCATTTCTGGCAGGTAATGTGTAGAAATAGGTGGGTTGCTTTTTTAAATTTTCATACGCTCTGCAAACTATTTCAATGCTTCATTATGTTGTATATTTGTAAAAATATTTGTGACGTCCATTGAAACAAGAAATGCTCGGTTTTTCACCTTTGTCTTTTCAATAAAAATTTATAAAGTCGGTGGTATCTTTGGTTACTTCCTAGAAAGTTAGATATGTTGTTCTTTCTAAAAAAAGATAATGTCGGTCCATGTCAGTTGTTGATTAATATTTTTCCTGTCGGTAGTCGGTAATTTTTTCCCGTTTTGGTGGTAGTCAGTAATATTTTTCGCCCTTTGTCGCTATTCGGTTAACCCCATTCACTCCCTTTGGTGGTATTTGCACCAAAAGGGCGTAGATTATCATCGGCAGACGGCAGCTTAATTGATAGTAATTTATCAGTATAATGGTTGCTTTCATTTCTATGAGCAGGCTTGTTCCAAAAAAAGGTATCATTATAAAGTATCCTTAAAGGAATGTTTATTTCCCTGTTTATGCTTGAGGGCTGCTGATCTCTGTTCGTGGAGGCGCTACACGTGTGCGCACGCGCTCTTTGCGTGCAAGTCATACGCGCGGTAAGAAACATCTCTAGTCTTTTAAGAAGCTCATTTACTGAGTGACGTTGTCTCGACTTCACTTACATGTAAAATGTTCTATCTTTCGGGTTCTCTTTATACTTTGCCACCTACTTCGCTTCAGTATAATTAAGTAAACAGAGCTTTCCTTATTATAGCGCGAAAAGACCGCTAAGATTCGTCGGTCACACAGGCACAAAATACGTGCCGACAGTTTTGTAGAGGACATAAAGCATTTTAAAAATTTCACTGAAACAAAACGCATGTAGCGTTCAAGGGGAACCAGCAACAAACGAGGTGAAGTGAGGAATATCATGTTTTGATCATAAACTTAACCGATACAGTCGTACGTTATCCAGAAATGGTCTAATGTACCGAACGAAATAAATGATAAAGCTGGCACACTCTGTAAGAAATAGATATTGAAAATCAGGAACAACACTCCAATCAAACATAAACTACACAAAGTTAATTCTACGTTGAATAATTGATTGTTCCTGCAAATATTAAGGTGGAATGCCCGGACGATTTTCACTAGTTTCAGCTGGCGAATTTAGCCAGAAGATTTTTTTCTAACATAAGTAATTTTCTCCAGCTGACACAAGTGCACTTACAGAATCAAACTTTATCACCAACTTCAAAATTGTTTAGGAATAAACAATTACTCGCCCACATATAGCAGTTGATAATCTAGTCCGGCCAGGTTTAAAGAGTTGATGGAAGGGAAATATAACCCGATGCTCCGCGTCCTCAGATGCACATTTGAGATCAAGATGGCCGCTCGAACTGAAACGCGGCGCTCGATCTCGACGATATTATGAAAAAATAGGGGACTGTAAACAGGCTACCATCTGAGAGTACCTTTAAGATAGCGTCAAGTTAAACTACTACAAAATGCACGAAACGAAAGCGCACTAGTTTATATTCCCTTTTAAGAAAAATGAAGGTTTTTTTTCTGTAAAGCGGTTCCCAGTTGTGATGTGATGTTTACTGTGACGGGCTTCTGCATGGAGGACAAAATTAAAGGAGATTCCCGCCTTTTTTGAAAGCATATTGTAACGCTACGGTTTCTAGCCCTATAAATTTGTTAGGTGAAAGGAGATAGATCTAGTACCGACTCTCAGCAGTACTGGTTGTCGCTGAATTTACTTGACGGTATCCTGTCACTTTTTTGGGGCCAAAAAACAATCGTACCCTCTTCCTCAAATAAGAATCAGGTTTTTATAATGAAGCTGGGATTATTTTCCCAGATTTTAAAGTATGCTAATAACATAACTAGGTTACAATTTTTTTCACTTCGAGCCATGATAAACCGGGGCTGTTAAAAGAATTTGCAGAATTTGAATACGGCGCAAAATGATTTTTTTTTAGATAAGCTTTTCTAAGGTCACGTTCATATCGGTTTTCCGAAATTCTATACTTTTCAACTTAAGTGTATGTTAAGGATATTTCGTGCACAAACCAAGAGAAAAGAAAGAAAAGACGCGAGATTTAAAAAAAAAGCATTCGTAGTCTCCATTCAGCCGGGTTGGCCTAAAAACCATGCCTTGTTAAAAAAGAGTTTAAAGATTGCAGCGGGCCAATATGAGTTGAGGATGACAGTTGAAGTTTGCGTGATGAAAGTTTAAGTTAAATTTGGAGTATGGATGCCGTAGTTGTTGCTGAGAGTTTAAAATAATTTTTACAAATATTTAAAGTTGTTATAGTTTCAAGGCCTTAAAAAGTAGTATCAGTTTTTGCCGTGCGTTAAAAATATTTTAACTCACCGTTGGCAGTCGAGGCAAACACAGAAACAAAAACCAGAAATATGACAAAACATATAGAGCAGCTCATCGTTGAGAAGTCACCAATAAGAGACAAGTTTTCCAATGGATGTAGCCTTAAATTAATGAGGCGGACTTGATATCAGTTTATATTATATGCGCTTGCATGGGAGGGCGAGGCAAGAGCATGTATATCATGTGTTTGTCACCAGAGGTCGCATGCAGATTGACTTTCTTTGACGCAACCATCACTATTGTTTAGGTCATTCCACTGCAGGAAATTGAAGAAAAACATTTTTCTTCTATCGAAAAATTATAACGAAATTCTGGAGACTTCTTGATGTCAATTTTTTTCACTTGTACTACCATGGCGACAGTTACATCACTAAACACATAGGTCTTCCTGTAAGTACAGTCGAACCTCGCTATTTCGAACTCGGTTAATTCGAAGTCCCCGCTATTTCGAAGGAAGATCGAATTCCCTTGGATTTACCCTTCCCCTTTGCGCTTCCCCGGTTATTTCGAAGCCCCGCTATTTCGAAGTTTTTTTCATTTCCCTTGGGACTTCGAAATAGCGGGGTTCGACTGTAGTACCTATAAATAGTCAGGAATTCTTGCTATAAAGTGAAGGGATTTTCTGCTTAGACCAATTAACTTTAAACTCCGCCCGAATTTGAAGGAGTACCATTTCCGAAAATTTGACTGACGTATTTTATTTTTTTTATCTCAAGTATTGAAAAAAATTGCCAGTTTTTCAGCGTTAGAAACACCAGGTGCTCAAGGGTCTAATCAGGCGGGTGGGGGGTGGGGGTGGGTCGGAGGGGTGACCTCAGGAGTCGGGTAGATTGGATATATCCGTTAGAACCGAGGATTTTTTAAGGAACCGACTGAGGAACTTTGCTAACTGCCATAAAGTGGAAAATAACGTTGAAATAACTTTCGAAATAAGCCATGAAGTAACTTAAACTGAATAACACTTACCTTTCACTTTGCCTTTCAGGTCCTTTCAGCTGAGATTTGATCAATTTGAGGGAGAATAGACTGCTTCAAAGCAGTTCTTTCGGAGGGGCGTTGCGTGACTTCACAAAGAACATTGCTCGGATCTTTACGAGTAGCAGCACGTCACATGTACTGCTCGTATCCTACGAAGTAGAAACGCATCGTAACGACGCGGAAAAATGGCTGGTATTCAAAAGAGGGGATAAGTTGGGCCTATTAACACAGACAATCTACTGGCTTCTCTTTAGAAATAAAAACGACAGCTTACGTTGGACCATAGATACACCCCCAAATTGCTGATTACCATGTGATCTTTCGTGCCTTGACGTGAAAAGATTATTGACGAACCGGGGCAACAATATAATATTTTATAGGATCAAATTTAGCGCGAGAAACATCGCACGTTTCAGGGAACGGTTTGGTTTTCTATAGTATATTGATCAGTCCCAGTTTTAAAATTATTTTCAGTGTCCCTGAGATGAATATGTTTTTGGCAGTTCAAGAGTCTTAGTCAAACAACAAATTACTATTCCAAAATCAAATTCCTAAGATCGCAAGAAACGGCCCTCAAAGGATGTAAATTTAGCTCTTTTAGTACATGCAGGTAAAATAAAAGGAGAAATACACAGCACATGAGAACCTTTCCACAGTTTTTTACAAATTTTGGCCATCACTGCATGGTGAGAGATAATGTATTGAAAAGGTTACCCGTAGCAATGTGGATGCGAAGATATGGGCAGTCCTCAAAGTCATAAAATTTTACAGCCAGTTTGGTATGGTGGGGGTAGAGGTGGGGCATATTTGTACCTTCACCATGCAAACTTCTGTAAAATTTTTTCGTTTCAGAGACGTATTATTACCACCTAATCTTCGGGCTGCACGACTTCCAGAATCCAGAGGTTCCCAGCACAGAGGTTACTGTTTTTTTTTTTCTCTAAAATCAGATTGTCTGACGGACGGAACAATTGGTTCGGCTAAACGGTAGATTAGCGCTAAGACCACGATTAAAAATAAAAGTTAATATGGTTTTTAGGTACTCATATCATACAAATTGAATTAACTTAATTGTTCTTATTCCATTGTCTTTTATCATTAAGTACCCCCAAAAAAGGTAATCGTTAAAACCTTAACCATCTGTTGAGGAAGTCATCGGTTTGGAAGGCAAGCGTGTGCTAGATTAAAGAATGTCGCTTAGGGTTTCATTTTGGTAGTCATAACTTGGAGATTTCCTGTCCGGAGACATGAGGTTATTACAAAAACAACAGCATGCCTGTCCCATGAAAATGTGACTCTTTGAGCAAGGTTAATCCCTTTCTATTTTTTTTAAAATGCATGATGACCAGGAGCCCATGCTCCTGATGATGACTGAATCGTGAGACAAACAATAACTTTGTTTTAATTCTTTCTGCCAAGACGAATAACTACAACCTTTCCCTAAAAAAAAAAGGCTTTGAAACACAAATACAAAAATAAGTCACGGAAAGATTTCGTTATCGCGTTTTTTCTGATTCTCCAAGCTAGTACGTAGTTTGCATGCAGACAGGCGGACTTGTCACACGAGACCTACAATAGATTTTTTAAAAAAACTCCATGTATTGTCTATATCGCGGATTAAGACTGTCTGCGACGTACCGTGTGGCACAAAATTTTTGCTGGTTGTAATTTTTGCGATTCTCCAGCGATCCGCAAAAATAAATTCCCGCAAAAAAAAAATTTACCGCAAACATTTTTCCCGCAAACATTTACTCCAAAGTAAATATTCTCTAACTTAAATTCGCTCCAGTACTAAGAAATACAGTGGTCTGTTTAATCACAACTTATCTCTTTCATTGAGAAACGAAACGGTATACAACGAAATACTGGTTTATTGTTTGAAAATATGTATTTCTATTGCACGTACTCAACAAAAACGAAAATATTATCAATGCAAGGTACTGGGTACTTTCTGAAAATGGCAAAAATTAATTCCCATGCTGTAAGAAAAACCAATCTGTCTTAATCGCAAAAACTAGTTCCCGTAAAACACTAAAAATCGCCGATCCGTAAAAATAAACTCTTGCAAAAATTTCGTTAAGTTATTTCCACGAATTTCTGATCAAGGTAAGAATTGAGGGAGCCAATACCCAAGAGTGATTCTAATTCGTGCGCTTTGATTTTCTGCTTAAACTCATGCAAGATAACATGAACATTTTTTACAGTATATTGTACATTTTGTTACTGCAAATATGTGAATGTCTTTGTTCGCAAGTATTATTACATACACACTCTAATGGAAGAGCTTGGCATAAATTCGGGTACGAATCGTAATTCTACATAAGTTATGTAACTCAGAATCGTTACAGTGGATGAAATAATACAGACCCACGCCACAACATTGGAGGATGTATTTGACATCAAATTACAACAGAAGGAGAACGGCTTGCCACAGATATATTGGATTCCCAAACTTCACAAGACACCGTACAAGGCAAGATTTATTGCAGGTTCAAGTTCAGGTACTACAGCTAGGCTCGAGTCTAAATGAATTTCTGAGTGTCTTAAACTAGTCCGCAGCCACTGCACCGCTTACTGCAAGACGATTCGGGAAAGGACAGGTGTTAACTGCATGTGGATCATCAATAATTCGTTGCACGTTATCAGGGCACCGGGGGAAAAACAGCACTTGGGACTTTTCTACTCTTTATACTAGCCTTCCACACGCCTAACTAAAAAAGCAACTCCATGATCTTTTGGAAAGAGTTTTTAAAACTGGGAAAAAGCTTCATTGCTACCAATAATTTTCGCACCCGCCTTCTGGACAAATGATAGGACGTCAGCGAGGTACGCGTACTTCTCCGGTAGTGAGCTTTGACTCGCTATTGTCTTTCTTATCGACAACATCTACGTTCGTTTTGGTAGCTTTGTTTCCCAGCAGGGTATTGGAATACCAATGGGCCCAACAGTGTACCTTTCTGACCTTTGATGGCTGATCTCCTCCTTCATACCTTCGATTAAGATTTCATAGTCAAAACAATGAAACAGGACATAAATTACAAAAGCCATCCAGTTCGGCAAAACTTTTCGGTACGTCGACGATTTTTTCAGTATTATTGAACAATGTGGACTTTGGAAAGTGCATCAGCCGCAATTTCCCCTTCGGAATTGGAACTTTAGCCGGGACACTTCCACATCATCTACTGAAGTGTGTTATCTCGACACGAATATCAAGACTGGCGACATAAATACACCTTTCCGTATCAGCATCTAAGCTAACAGAGATGACTTTGCGTTCCGGGTTGTCAACTTTCCTCAAATGGACAGCAACATTCCCGCCAATCCAGCTTACGGTGTTTATGTATCTCAACTGGTGAGATATGCTAGAATTTGCCCGTCCAAAGTGGACTTCATAAATAGACTCCGCGGACTTTCATTACGTCTCAGACAACAAGGCTTTGAAACCAATCTACTTCAGAAATCAGTTAATAAATTCTTAAACAGCCATGGTATTATTGTCGAGAAGTATGGTGCAGCCCTGCGGGAGATGAGATTAGCAATCCATGGGCTTGAATTGCACCATCGTATCCTTACATCACTTATTTATTACTTATTCTCGGTTTTCACTCATGTGAGAAACCAGAAATAAAAATGGAAACCTTTTAATTGAGAAACTCTGGAATCTGGGAAATGAAAGAAGGTAAATATACCAAAAGCTTTACCAAGAATCAGGTTTATGCAGAAGTTCATATGCAAGATATTCGGAAAAACGTTTTACTCAAATTTATAAAGCTTTGTATGGAGACGCCACGTTTGTGTCCCTTTCAGGGGCACAAATATGGCCGCCGGAAACCAACAGAAACATCTGTTTTTGAGCTTTTCTACTTTAAATGCGTCAATTCTTCGCTTGAGGAACTCATAACGATTAAAACAATATTTATTCTAAGACAAGGAATGTTTAGATAGCAAAATCTCAAAAAATCCGTAATGTTTTTAACCCACACAAGAGCCATCCGGGCCACCATGCCGCGTCACGCAAAAGCCTGGAATTCAAGCGTCCTGTATCGCAAAACAAAGAACCCTTTTGAACCGAAAATTTGTTCGTATAAGGTCCAGTTCTAAGGTGCTCTAATATCACATGAAAGTAGAAACTCAGAAGAAGCGATAGTTTCTTAGTTTGAATTTTGGTGACGTCATGATCATGTGAAAACCAAGATTTGTATTTCAGTTGTATCTTGGTACATGTATGCGCGCGGTTTTATTTTGTGCGCGTGCATTATCTATTTAATTATTTCACGGCCGGACTTGTACATTTAGTTCGTTAAATAACATCTTAATTTTACTTTGCGTTATTATCCTCACTTATATGTGTGTCCGTGACTTTGCTCACATTGTGGGTGGCTCTTCCTAAAATGTTCTGCAATTCAGGTATAGGATTTAATGGAGCCGAAACCATTTGTGGAATTGCACGCATTTTAGGCATGCTAATATATTTTTTAGCAACTGCTATAATTTTCAGTCTGTCCACTATGAACTTTTTAATAATGTCGTCCTGGGGTACCAGGGCCTCCTATTCCGAGACTTCTTGTGATTTTTTTGAGTTTTTTTTTTTTAATCCGACCAACCGATCCAATATCAGGAAACGCATAAACGAAAAAAAAAAGGGATGGCCTAAGAATCAAGAAGATATGAGGTTTTTTTGCCATTGTCTACAAAAACCGCAATAGCCTGCGAAAACATCCGTTTCTCCTCGCTCTTCGCCGATGGGGACGTTTCGCGGGGGGGAACTCAGCGACAGAAATTCCATACTGATGACGTAAAATCTGTCCAGAATCCGGTCAGAAGCGCTGATTAGTCGACGGAGTAGTTACACTGTTTTAACTATTGATTACCAATGACAGACACAAGACAAAAGGCCACAAAGGTCAAATGTATATTAAAAAAGCGAAGAATCTCTAACAAAACAGTCAATGTTTGTGGAATATAGGTTTCTGTAGTCTGCGTTAAAAAGGGAAGAAGGGGAAGGGGAAGGGGGAATTTGGGAGCGTGAGAACGCGCGAGGGAGAAAGGAAAGGAACCCTCCTCCTTCGCGTGCGGTCTCGCGCCCTCGATTCCCCTCCCCTTCCCCTTTCCTTTCGAACGCCTGCCACGCAGGCTAGTTTCTCCTTGCTTTTCGCCGCTGGGGACGTTTGCGACTCAGCGACAGAAATTCCATACTAATGACGCAAATCAACGTTACATAATAAACCCGGTAGTCATGAGAATCCAAATATAAACTTGTCCAATTTTACGTGTCTTCTGGTCGATTTTGGTG